TCCTCGCGCGGATTAGCCTTGTTCAGTCTTGCGGTACAGTGCTTTGTATGTGAAATGGCCTAGATGTAACATTGGAGGGAGGAAAGAAATGAATATTTTCTTTTTCTATGATTCTACGACAGGTCGTGGGGTATTGTTTGTACATTGTGGGATTGGCGTCATCTGCAGATAGGATGCGGCGTACTCTCAAGGTGCTTACCCGGGCGGGTTGTTTTTGGAGCATGATTGATTGCCCTGAACAAGGCGCTAGATAAAGAACAATCTTACCTAGTTCATACATACCTTGAGGTAGTAACTAGCCGCTATAGTTTTAGTATGTAATTCCCCGCTCTATGTTAGTATTTATCGTAATGCATACTTAGCTAGGAAGGTCGGCTTGCTTACATACAATACTAGTACTAATTTAATCATTTTTGTTATTTGTGGATTCTCCTTTTTTCCCGTTCTCCTTTTCGCTTTGTATTTCACCCGAGCCCGAAATCCGGGGGAGAGGCAACCAATCCACTGGCATTGTCTTGTTCTGGATTGGGGCAGTGTGTTTTCTTTTGGACGTGTGGAAATAAATACACAATTTAAAAACAAAATAAAAACACTCTAATCAGGTATTTGTGTTTTCAGCCAGCGAGTGAGTACTATGTACAGCCTTGTTCAGCCAGAACACCAGCACACTGGGACACCTGGTCATTTTGTCAAACTAGTGCACTTACTGCAGAGGGCAAAGACCTCAGGGTAGGGCTGAATTGATCAGCCAACCCTTCCCCTACCGTTTCGGGGATCTCTGTGCGCAGCAGGCGTATCGACTTCACCGCTCATGACGCCCACGTCCCCGGCTGGAATTGCAAGCCTTCTACCCTCATCCTGGGCCCATCACCCCTGCTGCAGCCCTTCGCACCAATCACTCTCGCTGCTCGACCCCGGATGCTTGGGTGGGATTGCATAGCGGGCCTTCTAACAACCTCCTAGAAAAAGGTTCCTGGCGGTGGACAATCGCTGCAGGCATCCCTGGCCCAATATCCCCCCCCCATCTTCTCGGAGGAGATGACACGCAGCAGTCCGTCCCTCTCTTCTGGATGGTTGGCTCGCTTTTCTAATTTTGGTTCGTGTCACTGAAAGTCAAAACCGAATACCCGCACATACTTTGAATACTGGGGGAGAGTAAGGGCCCAAAAGAACACCCAGTCCGCGCACCCGCACGGCTAACTCCGAGGTGTCCCATCTCCTTCACCCTGTTACACTGGATGCAGAATGAACCGGGTCGCCAACCGGATCTGGGAAAAGCTCCTGGGGTGTCCATTCGAAGGCAAGCCATGTATCCTGTCACACTACCCCTCCATACCGGCCTGCCACGGGTCAAGGCCCGATGCTCGTCGCTCCAATCGCGGCGATGTCGGACAAGGCGCCCAGCGTTGGTGGCATCGCGTACGCTCCCCGATCCACTCGCCCTAGGTAAGAGCTTTGGACGCGCGCTTTGTCTAGCTAACGACCTTATGCAAGATGGACATGGTTTAATTGAGTCAATCTTGAACAAAATCTTCGGTCTCCTGTCAACTTCGGCCTAAACTTGAACCGTGATTTCCGACATTCTTCACTGAACTAGGGCCGCCCATTTCGCATAGCGATCATATGGCACGTCCAAAACGCCCAGAATTATCCAATGTATCTCACATATCCCGCCTGGCGTCACAATCCTATCGTAGAAGGTCGGAACCAAAACCCACAGGGTCGTGTTCTAACTTTACCAAGCACGCTAGCCATACCGGCGTTACCAGCTGAAAGCTCGTCCCGCACCAGCACTTTGTTGTCTATCTAAGCATCCCGCTCTCCTGGTTTCTGACAAGGGGCCCAGGGCATCGAGGAGCGACATTAGAGATGGGATGATGAAATCATCATGCTCCATCGCTTATGCAATCGATCTGCCGTGCTCCTGCCCCTCATTCTAAATCATCCTGCAAGAACTTACGGAAATAACCATAGCCAAGAAGTACAAACAGAACCAACACTGCGCATTTTCTTTATCGGTCACCTCCACGTGGCCTACACGTGTTGCAACTCGCCTATCCGGCCTACTTTTGGGTCCCGGGCATAGCCTCAGCAGGGTCTCTAGTACGTACTACCTTATCTTATGCTCCGATGGCTGGCTCGAGGATGGTTTGGGCAACAGACTTCAGTTTCATAATTGGGGTAATGTCTGCTTGCTGAAAATGTTCCAAAGATGGTGGGCAACGCAAAAGCCCTGTAGTTTTGGATGGTGTTTCGCATGAACATTGTATTGTCACTTGCGTTCAACATGGGTTTATTAGTTGGTGGCTTATGTCTGTAAGCACTGTGTTTGTGTAAGTTGCTGGGCATCTGACTAAGGATACCCACACAAAAGGTGCTTAAGTGGTGTACGCTAACTGTTCATGGTGCATATTGTAGTTTACTGCAATAAATAACTAAGTATCCTTGAACATTCCAGACCAGCAGTTGCCATCGTTGATGCAACTCGCCAATCTTGACAAACTGGTTCGATCGTAGCTAAAAATACTCAGATGGCTCCGTGGTTAATGCAGTTAGGCGGGGTCTGGAAAACAAAAAGTCAAATATAGTAGTGTTGGCTATTTTTGCGGGATGGTAGTGGATCAGCTAGATCGAATACGACCAGCGGTGTCGGTGCTGGGCTTCCCGCGAGAATGACCCAGAGCCTCAGACCCTGACCGTCTCCCTGTGCCCCACTGCTGTAATGTCCTTTCCATTTCAGGTGGTACAATGGCCGAATTGAGTAGCTTACCATACCATAATAGTAGGATGCTGACGCTGCATGCAAGCTTGTTGCGGTGAAAGAAGCCTCCTGGCTTGGTGCTGGGAAACGCTCCGAATGATTAAGCGATAGCTAGAAACTTTGTCGACGTGGTGGTGGACTTCAAGGCTTGAATTGTACAGCCCGTGGGCCTAGGTTTAACCGTTTGACAAGAAACGAGACTAGCTGCGTTTCCAAATCTCTCTGGCGCAAAATTCAGGATTACACTTTTTGCCTCTCTGCAGTTGCATGATCCCAAATAGGCAAATGGTAAAGATATTGTGGCGAACATATATTTGCGAGACTCAAATGATCTCAAACTGATAATTAAGCGCAACATGTAGACCATGCCTATCGAAATTTATTCTTTATGTGTAAGAGACTGGTTTCCGGACGATGGTTTCTTTGTTTCAAGGCGTTGCACAGCCAACATCTGAAACCGCGACAAGGACAGAAAAGTTTGGATTTGAGTCACGATGTGTTGAAAGGAAAATCAGAGACTTTTTGATATTTCTTTAATCTCTTCATTGTCGATGGGAATGACCCATGGCCGAAAGGCTACCCCTCTTTTAGATCTGAGCTCGCCTGCAATGCAATACTCAAGGTGCTAAAGGGAGATTGTGAAGAATGAGACCTGAGAAAGTTCCCAAGTGACGAAATTGTTATAAGCCATCCGGTTTCAAACAAGAGATTACCCCTTCGATGGAAAAGATCGAAAGAAGATTGTGAAGTACCATTGAAAGAGCAGAGTAAATGTGAAAGCATCGAAAATATATCAAGGCTAATCAAATCACATCTAATTCTCGATATTTTTAGATCGTTTACTTCATGAACGGACTCAGTGAGTGTCTCTTTGGGAGCAAATATAGTATCGAAACTTCGATTAATGAACTCCAGGACACGATGGTCTTCATTGTCAATGATACTTATTGTTTGAAAACAAAGGTCTTAGCATAAAAAAGTTATCATTTCTTCTATGTGAAAATTCTAAACGCCTGATATAAATCTTCAAACTCGCTGGATCTCTCGAGAAAATTTGCACCAAAATTCGAAATTGCACGCAATAGATCCAATATGAGTCCTCCACGGTTTCATCTCGATATTCTCCACCAGCACGATTCGGATGTTATCCACTCCACCGAAACCAATGACAACAATACTACCGACTATTTTCCTCCAGAAGTTCAAGTGGTTAATCTAGACAGCGCCATAGAAGCCACCATAGCAATGGAGTCCCAAACATTTGAGATGAATCGTGCTCAGACTATAAATTATATCAGACAATGGGGCAAATTACGCAGAGTTAATTACAACTGGGAAGGCGTTGTAATCATACTGCATCAAATATCAAGTGACTATTTAAGATACAAAGAAATGGCGAAAGACGGCACTGGTCGATGCTTTCATTTGAAATGCGATGCAATCAGAAAAGCTCTTACCAAGGTAGCTTCTGAAGTTAGGAGAGACAGAAAGATAAGACAAAGAAGCGAATGGAAGATGGACATGCTTTATAGATGTATTGGGAAGTTGACCCTTCATGGATATGATCATTCGGACGATGAAACTACATCGAGGTCCATTAGGAACTGTGTAGCCGTCGAGGATGCTCTGCGATCTCATTCTGAAACGCGTGATTGGAGATTTATAGATGAGCTAGACGAGAGGCTTCGATTCTGGCGCCGTATCTATTTTGCGGTGCCCCATTGCTGCTGCCTGCAGTGCACGGAGGAGACTCGAGGGGCATTATCTCAAGGGCCCATATAAGTTATCGGCATCTGCTGAGCTTTGGACCCCGGGGTTTCTATATTCCTTTTCGTTTTTAGAGACTAGACTTTGTACTATAAACTATTAGATGAATGCAACTGGAAAACTTGCATTGCACACGAGTATGTGAGAGAGAAATCCTATTCTGAAGAACCAGGGATCTGCGCGCGTGCTATGTACAGTGTTGCTTCGTGGAATGAATTGAGGTTGTCTCCTCATCTCAAAAGCATTTCACAAAACAAAGGTTCTCCTCCGGAAACAAAGGTTCTCCTCCGGAAACAAAGGTTCTCCTCCGGACCTTGCGTTTGCATTAGTAAGTACTAGTATAATATTCTGAAGATTGCCCGGGTGAGTGACTGTCTGGTGTATTGCGCAACAGAGTCGGGCTTTCCCCTGGCATTCCAAGGTTAGGTACAATCTGAAAAGTTGTAAAATCGAGTTGAATGTTCCACATTGCTCAGACCGAGTAGTTTCTTTGATAGGCATCTTCTGCAGCCTTATCCCAATCCAGCATATACCAAAGCAGACCACTTTCTATCACAATAACCAAGGACTGTCCGATTAATAATCCACCCCATTGCCCCAAGAGACCCCAGTGTAGACGAAACGCCATAACCAGGGCCAAAGGGATTGCTAGTACATAGTATACTGGAATTTGTACCGATGTTCCTAGAGCAGGTCGTCCAATTGCTCTCAGAATGCCAGTCAAGCAAGCGACGATTGGATCCAGTGTGGATAGAACAGCGATCATCGGAAGTGTGGTAAAGGTCAGGTGGCGGACATCAACGTCAGAAGTGAATAAAGGAGGCAAGACTCCTCTGAGACCCATTATGACAACGAAGTTGAACAATCCAGCACAAGCTGCGGCGCAGAATGCTACTCTCGTAGCTGTTTGTACCGATTCAAGGATACCTGCACCGATAAGCTGGGCGACACGAGTTCCACTTGCGACAGAAACGGAAAAGCCGACATAAAAGGCGAAACAGGTTACAGTAGTCAGCCCTGACTGGGCTGCTAAGCTTCGTGTTCCTAGGTAAGATGCCGACAAAGTCATGACTTCCCAGGTGGCAAACTCTGCTTCGACCATGAGCCAGCTTGGAATGGCAAGACGAAACATTGGGCCCCATCCTTTCCATATGTTCTTCGAAATTGGCACCCAGCATTCGGAGCCTCGAAACAGGTAGACGTATAAGGCAAGTAGGATTGGAAGGAGATCCATCGCGATTGAGACTGAGATGGGAGCGCCCACGAACCCCCAGTTTAATTTCTGTATGGCGGTGGAATTTTCAAATTAGCGATGCTTTACTACTTATCGGTCATGGCGATCGGTCGGACATACCCAGACAAACAACCAGCTCAAGAAGACATTCACAGAAGCACAGATCACAAGGACCAGCAGAATAGGAGTAAACAACCCTTGAGCTTGAAAGAATCGCTTTCCAGCTTCAAATAATGCATATCCGGGTGCCCCTGCGAGAACGATCTTCAAATATAGTCCCGCCAGTACTGCCACATCATATTCAGAATCAGGTAGTATTCGGAGAAAGATGGCTGTGAAGTTGAACCATAGAACGCCAATGGGAATGGTGAGCAGAAGCAAGATCATCGACATTCGCTGAAGGTGAAGCCCGACCAGTAGTTTCTTTCCAGAACCGTATGCCTGGGGACATAAAGTGTCCAGCGCTGTTGAGAACCCCTGGTAAATGCAGTACCCAGTGATGGTGGCAGTCATATTCGCGAGGCTCACGGCGCCCACTTCTGCATTGCCAATATGCCCAACAAACAATATGCTTGACGCGGTTAAAGCATATTGCAAGGAGAGCGCCAGTATTAAAGGCACAGCATCTTTAAATATAATGGTCGCCTCGTCCTTCCACCCTTTTGATGGTTTCACCTCATATATTGATGGATCTGGGTTCTTGTGGGAGCCTAAAAGCGTCGATGTTTCCGTTGGCTCCCTGCAAATGGGCTCCCTGCAAAGGGAGCTAGGTGGACTTGTTGATGTTGGAGTCATATCCAGTTCACAGGACTTGCGATACCGCGAAAAAGGTGCGAGCTTTCTCGAACAGCAAGAAAAATGTCCCGACCGTGAGCATTTATGAAAAACTCAGAATACGAGACACGTTCGCCACTTCAGGTGAATCCCGCAGGTGGCGTTCCTGCCAAATCAACAAAAAAAAGCAAAGCTGCATGGTTATGACATCTCAAGTTCGCGTTGTATGCGCTGAAGATCATGACCGTGCATGAACTATTCATTTTGAGTAGCTGTGCTGCAGTTTCACCCGAAAAAAGTAAGGAGTACCCACAAAACTCCGGTGGGCCTATAGCAACTGCGAGGGAAAAAGTAAAATTAATTATTGGATTAAATTTGAATGGTTACACAGCATATGCGATGTGGGCTTGTACCACAGCCGTGCGGTACAGCATGTTCAATTTGCATATTATTTCTCACATCACGCAATGTCTTACTCTCCTTCGAAGACACAGTTAAATCGAATCAAAGAGAGCCAGCTAGGTATTCCTCGGCAAGATAAAGAATTAACACAAAGGAAGATGGATGGAGGGGCTGGTCGGCATGTGCATCTAAAAGCAGGTGGCTGCATGAAACACGCAAGTCTGCAGAGAACAGACATGGCTGGCTGAAATCCCTTGCCGTGAATACCTCTAGTGGATGGGTGGAACCGAGTTGAGCTGAAATGTGTACTTTTGTTGCTTAACCTGTTTCTCCGACTAAATTCGAGTAGTTACTGCTCCGGTTCTTTGAGTGCCCAGCGAGAAAATAACTCGCCACTTTCCTATCCCTTTCTGTAGCTACATCTTGATCACGGGGCATCCTTAGGGGAACTGTGTTAAGTAACTTCTGATTTTTGATATTTTAAATTGCGTATATACTAGAGTATCTACATAGCTTAATCCTCCGAATGAGGGCGCGTTCTAGATTCCAAACATCGAATAACGCAATGCGATGCTAAAGTGACCAATAGCAGACAATCGCAGAAGAAACGACGTACGCCGAAAAAGCAAAAAGCAAAACAAAAACAAAAACGAAAATTTCCATTTCAATCCGAGTCACAGTTCCAGAGTTAATTTTCTTTTCACCAGATAACTAGCACTGCACAATCACTCCTGCTGAGCGATAGGCTGAGCAGTCACCGCGGTGAGACTTTCAGGACGCAAGTGAATTGGAGAAATCAAGGACTCCATGAGGCCAGGCCTCAGTGCCAATTCTTTCTGGGCAATTCGATGCATCTGTTGAAGAATTCTCCTCACATTTTCCTGCTGCACCAGTGGATTAATCACGCATAGCCGAAGAACAGTGCAGCCACGAAGCTTTGTAGTGAAGATGGCAGCGATGTTTTCTGCGATTAGTCGCTTCGAAATTGCAACATTCATGGCATCGAGCTCCTTCTCGTCGATAACAAGACCGAAGGGGCTGTATCGGAATACGACAACACTGAGAGTTGCAGGAGAAACAATCTCCCAGTCTCCAAGCCGACGGAGCTCGTGCTCCGCGGTAGATGCAAGGATAACTCCTTGGTCAATCATCTGCCCGATACGATCATGTCCCAAGACCTTCAAAGTGAACCAAAGCGACATAGCTCTCGACGGGCGGCTGAGCTCTGGGCTAACATTATAGAAGCTCGTAGATCCATCCGGTGCTCTTGTCGTTCGAATATAGTCGGCCTCCATGCTAAAGCTCTTTTCAAGTTTCCAGCCATCCCGAGCCAAGAGGATACCCGACCCGATGGTTTGGAAGAGCCATTTATGAGCATCCCAGGAAACACTATCGGCTCGCCCGAGTCCATCGGCGAGATAACGGTTAGTTTTAGAGAGAGAGATTGAAGCACCGTAGGCACCATCGATGTGGAGCCACATTGAATGTTTCTCGGCCAAATCGGCGAGGCCATGGAGTGGATCAATGCTGCCGGTATTTGTAGTTCCACAGCTGCCAACAATAAGGAAGGGTAGCAGTCCGCTTGCTTTGTCTGTGAGGATTGCCTGGCTCAGGGATTCGAGGTCGAAACGGAAATTTTGGTCGGTCGGAAGGGTGCGAATTTGATAATCGCAAAATCCAGCCATATGCAGGCCCTTGGCAAGAGACATGTGTGTTTGATCGGAGATGTATACCACTCCATCGGATCGACGGTTTTGAGGAAGCGTATTGTCACGGGCCATGACGACTGCAGTCATGTTGGCCATTGAACCCCCAGACACGAAACACCCCGCTGCGGATTGAGGTAGTCCAGCCTGGTCCGCGAGCCAACGCAGGAGAGTATTCTCTACCACACTTGGGCCTGAGCTATTATTCCACATCGCAGCGTTGACATTAAAAACGGAGGTGAGCAAATCACCAATCCACGCAAGGGGTGATGGATATGCCGGCATGTACGCGAAACAAGCAGGATGGTCGTGGCGAAGGCGATTATCGAAGATTGAGAAGGCCTCTTGGAGGGTTTTCGAGACTTCGCAGGATTCTTGACGAGGGGTGGCCATTTCTTGGACATTGGCGATCCCTGGACCATCCAGTGTGCGCATTATAGGTTCTTCTGGATTCATTGGGTCCATGCTGAATAGATGGGAGAGGAATGAGCGAGCCTCATTGAGTATCGGGGCGAGGCCTCCATCGGTGATAGTCTCTGGTCCGTTGGTAGGCATGATGTGCTGCTACTCCGTACAAAGGCAGAAAAAAAAAATTGGGACAATCGAGAAGGGGAATCTCCATCGAGCTCAATTTAAAGAGACCTTATTGATAATGGAATGGCTGGTTGTGATGCATTTGGCCAACTATTCGCATGTCTGAGATACTGTTCATGCACACAGAATAAGCAAAATCGCAAGGGGGCGTCTAGTTCAGCGGGCCACAAACCTCAGCCGGCCACAGGATAGGATGTGAGGTGGCGGCATATTTCACATCAAGCGACCAATCATAAAGAGAGGTGGAAGGGTGTACGTGCAAAAAATTGATTTTTTATGCCCGTCTTTTGGTTTCTTCTGCCGACTTAGTACCTGGGTTTGCCCACTCTACAGCGAACGCCCAGGAACGTGGAGTTGCCTCTGCCTTGGTGAGCTATTACCCGCCAATTGCATGCAGGAATCAACTGAAGATCAAATTTACAGACATACATATACAGTACTAGTGACACTTTCAGCTCTGGAATATTAGGTTTGGTCGTGTCTCAGTAGCACCAGGGAGCGCTCAGGACCCCTGAGGGTATCATTATACTATATTCCACCGTCTATTCAAGCGACTTGAATTTCGAAAAGAATCCATAGATGATGTTGCCTTTCCGGACCCCTAGAGAAATATGGCGTAAGATTTAGTAGGTTGATGCTGTTTGCAGGACAGGGAACAGGTACCCTGTACCCGCCAGGCAGCATGGAAGTTGTGTAACGTGGGACAGCAGATTGCCCCGATCGCTTGCAGAAATCCGTCGAGGATCAGCTAAGAGCTATTTAATGACTAACCCAGGGCAGTAAACTGCGTAGATCTCTCATTGGTCAATTCGGAGCTGACCTGCCTCTCAGCTTGGCTGAGGTTTGTTGATCATGGCTGCAGTTTGTCGCACCACTTTAACGTGTACATATGCATGGCTTGCGCACAGGTCAATAGCCCCTGGCGAGAATAGCCGAAAGTCGATATCGACATTATACTGTACATATCTCAATGCAACCAAAAGCCTGCCGACTCTTTTGAAAACCCCCTCCTTCCCCAAACCCCATTGTCTTGAAAGACATATGTAGATGTTTCAATACGGACTCGGAGTAGCAGAGAAGTCTCGAGTCTTTAGTAAGCGCTTTGGATTCTGCACGATGTGGAACGTACTTCCAAGGTTTTAGTCGTAATTATTTTTCATCTCCATGGATTCCTCGACGGGAGTAAAAAAGCAATACGTGAACTATGAGTTCCAGAATTAGACAGGTTGAAAGACGACTGTATAAGGTTTATTTCGAAAACTTAGCTTTCAGTCCATTTTCGAGTCTTTGGAGCTGTTCATGACATTCTTCTTCTACAAGCGATTCAGATCTAAGACTTTCTTGCGCAATATGTCTCTCTAATTTTCTATCGTGCGTGAATTCGTATGACAATCGACCGCACATCCTACTAGGGTGTCAGTCTCGCCACCCAGCACATCCCTTGATATGTACTATTGTACATCGGGTGGGGCGACTCGCTTCCACTCGAACCAGGAAAAGCTCATTCATAATAAGTGCATTCCAAACTGAACAGAGTGTATTGAATTTAGCAAATCAACCCTTTATCATCTTTTAGACCAACTGATTCAAAATATTGTAGTACTAATCTTTGTTGAGGCTCGATGCCTCAGGCATCGAAGATCACCCTATAACGTAATTCCAAAGCGAGCTGGCCACCCACCCGAGCTGGCCACCCCAAAACATATAGTAAATACGATAAATTACAACTTCATATCTTAACAACCAGGTGTAACTTAAGTCGGGAAATAAACTTATTAAGTCTGAGTAGTATTTAAAAATCCTTGTTAGAGTATGAAAGTACTAGGACAATTAACGGACGAGGTATGTATATTTTTCGCTTAACTGTCTAAATTACATGGTATTTTATGGTAATATAATAAAATATTAAACTGAGTAGCTCAATACCTAAATATATTATGTCTGATGTAGAGAAAAGCCAGTATCCTAAAAACTAGACAACATTAAAAATTGGTGGCTGAAATATAGAGGGGCAGAGAATGGTATTTACTATGTGTTTTGGGGTGGCCAGCTCGGGTGGGTGGCCAGCTCGCTTTGGAATTACGTTAACTAACGTAATACCCATACGGATGGCGCACACAAGCGGGTGGCGCACCGCAAAACACATAGTAAATGCGATAAATTACCACTTCACATTTCAACCACTGTAGCTTGATTTTACTTGAATATTATAATATAGGCCTTTCCTAGCATATGAAATAACATATCTTAGTTTTAAGCAACTTAGATGGTTATTTCATATGCTTTACAATAAAATACTGCGTAATTTTAACATTGGGCACAGAAATATATATATCTCTTCTAATACTTCCAAGATTCTAGTAGTTTTTCTATACTTTACCAGTAGGCTAAAAATACTATCTACATACTGTACTACCAATATCTTATTATAAATGGGTATAGTTGTTGAGATATGAAGTTGTATTTAATTGCATTTACTATTTGTTTTGGGGTGGCCGGCTCGCTTGTGTGGCCGACTCGTATATGAATTACGTTACTACAGCCTCCCTCCTTTTTTGATCATCTCTCACCTATCACATACTTCAATCATCATCACTCCCATCATCCGCGGTAGAATTCACCCTCCGTCGTCAGTTTTTCTTAAAGGAATATATCTGGCCCATCGACAGTACTTTCAAATTTGATCAATACCAGTGGACCTAAGTATAATTCTAAACCGTGCGGCAAAATGCGATGTTGATGGAAATGTTCACAGGTACTGAAAGCTCGAAAAATGTATGAACTCTAGTCTAGTCTATTGTCTCTAATAGTAACAAGATTGAATTGAAAGGACGAACACACCGAGTATTCGCCTACTCTAGTTTTGCTTTTTGCTGGCCGATGCCGGGACTTTCCAGTGTAAGGCACCCTCCGCATCAGGATCACTGACAACCTTGCAAGTAGTAAAGGTGGTGGCAAGGTCCTTCAGGAATGATCCCTCTTCAATGCGATAGCTGTCGCCAAGGAAGGGGACAATGGCATTGGTCGCCTCTTCCGCGTGGTAGAAAGGAATCTTCGGGAACAGGTGGTGAACGACGTGGTAGTCAATGATCTCGTGGAAGAAGTGACGTCCAATGAAGCCGAATCGTCGGTCGACGGTACCAAGGGCTCCCTTGACGAAGGTCCATGAGTTCTCGTCGTAGTGAGGAACATCAGGGTGGGTGTGGTGCAGGTAGGTGATGGCAACCAGCCAGTGGTGGACCCAGAAATAGGGAACAGCATACAGGAGCGCGATCTTCCAGGCGCCCATGAAGGTAGAGAGGTAATACAAAGTGCCTCCGACAATCAACAGGCCCAAATCAGTGATCGCAATCAGCTTGGTCTGTTGGCTGGTGAACAGGGAACCCAGAGGGTCCAAATGGCTGTTTCGGAGAGTGCGAGGACCCGAAGAAGTTCCCTTGTCGGGGAGACTCTTGTTGCCGGCGCTGACGTTAAACAGCAGATAGAGTTGCCATCCGAAGATCTGGTGTCCCAGAAGGGTGACGGCATGGTAGAGAGGTGTCTCCTCAACAAGCTCGACGAACTTGCTCAGAAGGGTGGGCTCTTGGCTCTTGACCTCAGATTCAGTTGGAGGAACAAAGACGGTGTCCTTGTCAATATGGCCATGGTAACGGTGATGTCTAGCGTGGGTGATCTTCCAAGAGTAGAAAGGCACCATAAGAAGGGAGTGGACCGCCCATCCAACAAAGTTGTTCAGACCAGAAGACTCGGAGAAGGAGCCATGACCACATTCGTGACCAATGATCCACATTCCGGTACCAACACAGCCTTGAACAAAGCCATAGAGAATCCAGGCACCAGCCCGGAGAAGTGGCGTAGGCAGATAATCAATCTGGAGAGCTAGGTAAACCAGCACAGATGCATAGACGATATCACGAAAGAGATATGCCAATGACTTCACTGCGGAGCGCTCAAAGCAGTGAGCTGGGATTTTCTCCCTGATTGCTCCATAAGTGAGATCTTTAGCCTTTGCAAAGTCAGTATTGGTGATAAGTTATTCTGGGGAATAAATGTAAGTACCTCGGCCTCGCCCTTCAATTGGCAGACTATAGGCTGCACGGTCTGAGTTGTAGAAGCCATTTTTGCGTCTGATGATACTGACTCAAGAAAGCAACAACGAAAGCATTTGAAAGATCAAAGAGTCGCCCCTTATTAAGAGAATTTTTATCTATGGATACTCCGTACATGATTTGCAATGCTCAATTGATTGGCCCCTGGGGTATCCGAGAAACGGAGCCCTATGCGGAGCCGTTCTAGCCCCCTTCTAGATGGCGTGGCGGCCCCTATCCATGGATGGAGCCAGAATTCAACCAATCTCATCGCATGGAGCCTTAAACCGTACCCGTATCCCTGAGACTCGCTTAGTGGCCCAACAGAAGGGAATAGAAAAACGTTGATTATCGCGGATTTCCGATGGAGAAATTCTCGGTGTTCTCCACCTTGCGCTTAATTTCATTTCCTAGACAGCATCTCATAGGCCCGGGAGGTTTTACTAGGTTTGAGTCTAATCACTAGTCCTAATGGATTTCCCCCTGACAGCCCTTTTTTGCCTCAATTTAGAAACATTTGGAGTTTCCCGATTCGTACTACTCGTAGAGATCGGCCGAAATTCGAAATTTTGCTTTCCACCCTGAGCCACACCTTCAACGGCCATGCATAAGTGTTATGAGATATAGCCAATGGGGAGTAGACCGTCGTGAGTGAAAGAACTATATGCAAAATGAAAGAATATAACAGACAAGAAAAGGGAGAAAATCGCGAAGGATCACGGGGCAAAGTTGTTGAGACATTTGTGTTCAAGGAGGTTATGGCGATATGGGGGAAACTAGCCCGAAGCAGACGAAGCGCCAAGGCTAAGGATTCAACAAAGAAAATTTCAAATAATGCTCGAGCACAGGAGAATGGCAAATTCGGTGTCGGATTCCTCGAGAACAAAAGTTCCGATATCATGTGCAAAATATTTTCAGGCTCACCTTTGAAAGTAAATCACGAGGCTAGTTTGAATTTCTTTTTTTGCCATTTCGTATAATTCAATTCGAAGCACGAGGGAGAACTCCATGATCACAGGTGTTCTCAGCCTCGGCTCGACACCTTAAAATTTCCGATGGATTCGTTTTCGTGTCCATTTTTTCTTACGAGTCTCCCCGGGGTGTGGCGCAGTGTCAATTAGCTCCACAACGCTGGGGTTGATCTTTTCCTCCACGAAGCCAAAGGGTAGCAATCGCCAAGAGAACGGCCCTATATCAATTGTTTGCCCAGCGACGGGGTACTTTCTGATATTTGAAACCCATGAAATTCATGACTAACAAAGTATATTTGTTGGCTGATTCGTTGGACTTGCGTGCAATTTTGCATGTGCTTATCGTCTGCCTAGAAGTTTTTTTTATTGGCATTCTCCTTATCGTAGCTTTCTAATCAAATGATTATTCATCAAAATGTGGCACCAGGCCAGATCTCTGGGGGTATGTTTGAAAAATGAGAACTCAAAACACTGGCTTTGAAACAAGGCTCAAAATTGTACATATGCGAATCACCTGGGCTGACTAGTTGACTATACGATGAGGCAGATCTTCGACAGCATATTTTTGGATTTGTCCTATTGACTCAATTACTAGTATATCTTCGAGTGTCCGGGAAGCTAAAAAAAGGAGGCGATGCAGTCGAAAGGAAAATGCTGGTATCCATGGATGGTGATAATCTTGTATTGCATATTCGATTACTATTTCCTGAACAGCATACGCAAAATGCCCAATGGCTCAACATTTATGCAAAATATCATACTAGTACTTTGAAGCTGTCGAGGCTGAGCGGCCTCAGGCATACTAGTACAAGATCGCCTTCCTCTGTTGCCATATTTTCATCGTTCCGAGCTTCCACCAGAAGCTTAAATCCGAGAAAGCTCCAGCAAGGAACCTCTATCATCGTTTCCATCAGGCAGCTTCGCGCAACTCGCCATTTCTGGTAATCAACTTCACGCTTACCCCCGCCTGTTCGTAAAGACATCCAATCAAGCGAGGGCAGAAATCAAAACCCCGCTATATCCGATTCTATGTCCACGAAGCTCCTACGAAGTTTCCTTACGATAGCAAGTCGAGTATCTAAACTCCGAAAGAACGTCATATCGAATGAGTTACTTGTAGTACAAATAGTTCATAACTGACACTGTCATACGTTATTTGGGAATAACAACAATAACTCGGACAACAACCTACTATTTAGTACCTATCACATACACCAAAAAGACTCGGAACAACTCGAACTCCATCAGCACAATGCCTCAACAAACCTGGCTCATAACCGGCTCATCCTCCGGCCTAGGAGCAATCCTCACTGAAACAGTCCTTCGCTCCGGCCACCGAGTTCTCGCAACAGCACGCAACCCAACCAAAGCCGCAATCGAATATCCGCAAATCAGCGAACTTGGCGGCATATGGATAGAACTCGACGTAACCGGCACCGATACTAGTGAGCGCATAACAGAAGCAATCGAAACCCACTTCGACGGCACCATCGATGTCGTCGTTAATAATGCCGCATATTCGCTGCTGGGGAGTATCGAGGATATGAGCGAGGAGGAGATCCAAAAGCAATTCAGCACGAACGTTTTCGGCCCTGTGAGAGTGCTTAAGGGTGTTTTGCCTTTTATGCGGAAGAGGAGGTCTGGGACGGTGGTTAATGTGGGCAGTATTGCTGGTATTGATGGATTGCCTTGTTGTGCTATGTATGCCGGGTCGAAGTTTGCGCTTGAGGGTGAGTGTTCTTCAAGCTTTCTTTTCTGTCATCGCCGCTGCTTGATCCCTTTCGCAAGGTTATGGGCCGTGGATACGGATCGACTCGAATGACTAACCCTTACTGTTAATAAACTTCTAGGCATGTCGGAAAGTCTCTCCAAAGAATTAAAACCATTCAATATTCGAGTCCTCATCGTCGAACCAGGGCAATTTCGAACCAAGTTCCTTTCCTCTTTCGCAACACCTGCGGCTGGGTTGAGAGACGATTACACCGGGACGCCTGTGGATGTGACATTGCAGGCATTCAAGGCTCACGACGGAACCCAGCAAGGTGATCCTGCAAAGGCAGCGTTGAGGATTTTCGAAGTTGTCAGTGGAACTGGTATGGGTGCGGGAAAGGAAGATCTTCAGCGATTGATACTTGGTCCGGATTGTTTTGCGCGGTTCCAGTCCAAGGCGAACTCGTTGCTTGAGAATTTGGATCGGATGAAGGAGATTTCTCATTCGACTAGCTTTTGAATGGCGAGATAGGTATAGTTAGATTATAGAGTAAGTTGAGTGTGCTGTGTTGATAGATTTGCGGGTGCTTCAAGTGTGCTAGTTCACTACATCGCCGGATTCCCACTACTAGTAAATGCATGAATTGAACTGAAATGAATTGAATCTTGTTTTCGAACCGGTAAATTTGATCTTATGAGCAAGTTTGAAGACTTAATTGAAAGATCTTGAATTGGCTAAGAAGTAGATATGACTCGGGAGAAGATGCATAGCCAAAGCCAAAAGACGAACAATACTCGACAAAGAAGATATCCCATTTGAACAGATATGAGGAAGAAAGAGATAGCAACAGGAAAATAGAGATCGGGGCAGAAAAAAAAGGAAACATGATAAACAAACTCATCGTCTTGTCGTCATCGTCATCAATTCCCCAGCACATCCCCGCGAACATAATCCTTCGGCAAAACATGCAATGGAGCAGATAGATATGAGATATGGCCCCCCTCCTCTTCGCCACATACATTTGGAAACGGATTATGAGAAAAATATCACCAAAGAAGCTAAGCTGTCGTCGCTTCGAAACACCCGCGCTGGGAGAGAAAATAGTTGCAGATGCGACGCTCAATTGATAGAGATTCAAGGCCTCGAGCTTGAGGATGTCATGCCAAACCACGCCAACGCCGCTGGCTGTCCCGGCCTGACCTGTCCCGTTTATCCGATCTCGGCGCCCTGCACACTCATCTTATCGGACGCAGTCTGCTGCTCATTCTGTTGCCGCCGCCGCCGCATGGGCGCTTTCTTGCGGTTTGCGATGAGGACGTCTTGGGATTGCTCGGGTTTCATTTCAGTGTCGCCGTCGCGATCACCCTCGTCGGATTTAACGTTGTTTAGGTTGAATGTTTTCTCGTAGATGGTCGTTTCGTCAAGATCGTACATATCTGTTGGCTTCGATCGGAGCCATTTCATGCGAGGGCCGACCCTTGAGACTTCCGCGACCTTGAATCCGTAGATTCTCGGGTCATAGGTCTTGTCGCGCCCGAGGCCGGGGCAGAAGTTGAGAGTGTGCACGCCGTTGATCTCGACGGGTTGGTGCTCCGGTGTGGGGGTTCGGTGGGGGCCCTGGGCGGCAGGGGAACGGTTGGCGGGCTGCGAGGCGTTTCTTGAGAGGGAGGAGAGCGAGGAGTTGTCCAGTCGGGGTCGAATGCTCAGGTCGGGGAAGGTCATGAAGAAAAGGCAGCCGAATGTCGTGCCGAAGAAGGCTCCATCGACGGAGTGGAAGCGGCTGTTGGGGGGTGTATAGATGTCCATGCAACCGGGGCAGAATAGCTTGACGGTTTCCTGACCCGGAGTATCAGATCGGCCCACGGGGAGAACCTTGCACCCGTTGCAGTTGACGCGCGGGCAGACGCCAAAGTGCTGCATTTCGTATTTCTCGAGCATTTGTTGGATTCCGGGTCGCGAGGTGATGTAGCGCTGGTGAATTAGTCCGTAGAGAAGCTCTGCAGAGCTCTCAATGACGCTCAAGTCGCTCGCGACACGAGCGTGTCGCCGGTCACCGGCTCTCCGATATCCCAGAGGACGTTCGTCATCAAGGACTTCATCCTCGTCCTCTTCCTCTTCCTCCTCTTCCTCCTCTTCTTCTTCGTCCTCCTCTGGCTCGACGTCGAGAATCATCTCCAGGGCCTCTTTATACATGGGCACTTGTGACTGCAGGCCCGTTAGGTTGAAGTCATCCTCGATGAAATCCTCCGACACCTCTGCGAAGAATTCATGGCCCATCAGAGAGCAGAATGAGGAGATCCATGACTCCGGGGCACCCTCTGAAGACGACATATCGAATGAGGCGGAGACGGATGAGGAAAGGGTCGATTCAGACAGTTGACTCAGATCCAGCCTGTCCAGGCCGTCGGCCAACGCCGAACCTGTCTCTCTCGACACGTTGCCGAGGTTTAAGGGAAGAGCCGTTGGGGGGGAGAGGATTGCGACGACGAAGCGGACTCGTCGAGCGAAAATAAGAGGGGCTTGGATGTTGAACGGCTGCGGTCGGACTCGGATGAAACCCGGTGGGTAGCGTGGAGGGGGGTAGACGGCGGGGAGGCGAGTTTCAGCGACCCAAGAAAAGGATGAAATTGGGGCGATCGAGGTTTAGGATTCGACTTGGGTGCAGGAGGTCGATGTTGTCGATGTTTAGTGGGGAAGCTGAGCGCTCATGGCACTGTGTACTGTGCGGGAGGGGGAGGTTGTGCGATCAAAGTCGAGAACGGCGTATCTTAGCCTGCGCCCCACCACCGCCTTCGATCTTGCCGTACGGAGTAGATCCGTATCAATTCGACACAATTCAATTTAAACCTAAAGGCAGATTTGCTAACTTGATCTACGAGTAGGAGTTGTTTCCAGTCCTTATATATACTCGTAGCTAATAGACAAGGGGGCAAACCTCCTTCAGGAGCCATTTATCCAGCTTCTGCAGTTCTCTATGATGTAGAGCACGATAGATCTCACCTAGATCCTGACAGGCAAACTCATAGATGTCAGTATTCATCCCATCCCACATAAAAGCCTTATCACCAGATTTAATGATCTGAGTCTGGCCTTCTTTATCCCTTAAAATTGGTCGTACTGGGCCAAGACCGAAAGCGCGTGCGACAACCAAACCGATGTCATTAGGACTTTCCCAATCATTTTCAATTCCCTCATCTGTCCATTCTGGAGGAACAGGATACTTCTAAGAAGATCTTTATGTTAGAATAATTATTTATCAATAGGTTTAGGAAGGGTCTTACTATAGGGATATCAGAATCAGAATCCTTGATAGAAGATTGGGAACTTTGTCGAGAGATTTTGCGGGGAATTCTTTCAGGGATTCGGCAGGTGAGCTACTCATTGAACCCTCTTTGGTCAGGATACCTGAGTACTAAGAAAAGTCAGCAATATCATCTTGTAAGAATGGATAGTTGTAATACTTACTGGTTCAAGTTGTGGGGAAACCTTAGGCTCTTGCGTGGAGGGATAGAGGCAGTCGGTATACCGATGACAACTGACGAACCTGAGCACACGGAAAAACGAGAAAACAAAGGGGAGGAATGGTTGGTTGGATGGTAATGAGAATATGGAGCAGGGAGGTTGATGGAAGACTCGTCTGTCCGATGCTTACATCCTTATTTCCCACCTTCAGGGCGGTATATCTTTGCTGCAACGCAGACTTTAGGTGCGCCACTGTAGGCATTTATACTAGTACTAGTATTTTCCCTTTCAGACTCGTCATACGCTTCGAATAAATTATAACATTGTTTACAGTTTTATCCGACAATCCACTGTCACCATTCAAAACAAGCCACGGATGATGCGAGAAAATTCCTCCTCGCCGCCCAGGATACCAGAGAGTCCCTCTCCAGTATTCTGGATCTCGCCATCGTCACCAACAAACCCATTCATGCCATCAGCACCACTCGTCGGGGGCATAAAGCTTCCAAATGACCCGACCGCCTCAAACAAATTCGTGAGCTCGTGGCTCATCTGTAGTCCATTTAAGGGACTATTGCCAAGTTCATTTACTCCATTCATCGGGCCGTAAGCAGATAAGTCGTCAATTGAGTGCCCTGCAAGACCAGCCATGGCAACGGCTGCACTTGAGTGAGGGTCATTCGAGTTGTTTCCAAAGGGTCGGGCTAGAACGCCCAATTTCTCGCCGATCTCGCGGAGCCCCTTAATAGTCTTCCACAATCGCTTCGATACATATGACTTGGTGCTGAAGCCATTGATTAGATCGAGCGCCATGTAGAACTCGTCGCGCACTTGTCGGTTGAATTCGGCCGGGGCATGGCACACTGCAAGGAAGAGGACGGCCAGAGCAGCGACAAGGAAATAGTTGAACGTGATCTGCTGAGTGCGGTAGATATCAGACATTTGGTTGAGGCGGGTGAGTACCCGGACAGTGTCCTTGGCAACATCAACCACGGTCTGTGCATGGCCACGGTCCTCAACGATACTTGCGGCTGAGTGGAGGACAGGGCGATAGATGAGGATGCGTAGCTGGTTCATGCGTAGATATAACAGGATGCGGAGACGCCGCATTCCCCGACTTGCAGGCTCGCCGTTCTTGGGCGACTCCACGGGATAGAATTTGAGTTCGTCTGGTACCTGTTTGTACCATTGCAGAACTTGGTAATCCAAATATCCAATCTCGTCGCGTCGTATATCGGTGGTGCCTTCTGAGCCAAGGCCAGAATACCAGATCTTAGAACTGATTCGGTTGTAAGAAATCATGCAACGGAGATAAAGCAAAGACGAATCCTGGAAGTAGATAGGTTAGCCAACCACTTATTTATAGTGCAGGTCTTTTGAGCTTACCGGTTCGGGTAGATTAGGATCGATATCTTCGTCTTGAATTACAAAGGGCAAGCCCGTGCCTAGACTCCATCGCCTATCCAGGCTGTATACAGTCCAGAAGATTCGAGTGATCTCGTTCCACTGGGTCTCAAGAGGGAAAGACTTCATCAAAGCATCCTTACGGTGCAGACCCATCTCGAGACACATGCGTGCAGCCAATCCGATCAACCGATAGGCCATAGCATCGTCATCAGTATGGAAATGATAAGTGGCCTGGTGTGGTGTGGACTCAAATTAGTCAACCATACACATAAATTATTGTAAGAGGAATTCACGTACCACAATCGCAAAGAGCTGGATATTTCTGATATCATGCGGCTCCCACAACTTCGACTCGATCACCGGCTTAATACTCAGAAAAAGTCTCTGGCCGAGCTCACTTTGACCACCCGCTTCCACGACCAGCGTAGTAGCCAGAATCAACTTTAATAAAATAGTACTATCATCCTGAAGACTGTCAGCGCCTGGGAGTCCTCTCTGAGCAAATCCAGTCCGCGTGGCAGCTTCCATGAAAGTGTACAACAAATTAGCCTGATTAGTCACAGTGGTAATATCCACCACGGGATACATAATCCCAATCTCTTCTTCGTACACCTTGCATAGACGCACAGCTTCTTCTCGACGGATAGTCCAGATTGGATCCTTAGTCGGATGGATCGCCGGCACAAGTGAGCCCATGTGAGGAGGCGGAGATCCCGCCGGCGTGACATGCGCCGTTGTCAAGTCATCGGGAATCCCGTCTTCTCCCTGGGTGATACCCATACTCTGCAAGCTAGACTTGGCAACATCGAAGTTGAATGCCGAGCTGGTGGGGCCCTGAAATCGTGGGTGACGGGATCGTGTCTTCGGCATGGTCGCGGGCATCGGGGTGAAGACCGACTGGGAGCCATCGCGAGAGAGATGATCAAACGATGGAGACTCAAAGGCGGGCCGAGCCCGGAGCTCGTTGAGATTAGTGAACAGATTATTGACCTGGTCTTGCAGAGTCGTGATCTGAGAGGTCATCGAGTGGAACTCGCTAAGTTGGGGGTTACAAGGTTAGCCAATGTCCAAAGGGAGAAGTCTCAGATCATGATTCTGCGACTTACTCGGAGTCCTTGAAGTTATTGGTGCAGCAATTCGGCGCATATCGGCCTGGTTCTGGCGTCAGTTTCGGCTGTTCCGACATCGATGTTCGCTTTCCGAGCCGGCCATTGCGGGATGGTGGCCGGTAAGCGTAGACGTCGCACGATGGGTGGTAAAGGGATAGTTCATACATTCCAAGTTCAGATGCCCACATCTTTGGCAAGGCACTTGGCCGTTACACTTGATCTTGCGACGCTTGCATTCGTTGCTAAACAAAAAACCCGGAGGTTAGTCCCGAACGGCATGTACATATCCGAGGCCTAGCAAAAGGCCACGAGGGAAGCCGTGGCCTGATAGTGCATGAATGCCGTATCTCAGACCCGAGTATAGGGCTAGAGTGGACAGACGGGGCCCCGGAACAATATCAGATGGGGTCAGGCCATCAATCATACCATGCGATGGAGATGTAACGATTCCGCTTTGCGCGCGTGCTCGTTCCGTTGCTTTGTTCCGCCTTCCTCTTAGCGGAATCGGCGCCAGGAGTAGTGGGCTGATCGCCAGGGCCTGTCTGTGGTGGAGTAGTTTCAAGTTGAGGCGACTCGGAAGCCATCTTACTTGATAAGACAAGACGCCAGAGGAGAATACTGGAGAGAATCGGCGGCGATGGAGTGCGGAGACCTTCCACGCTCGCGGGGTCGGGGAAGGCCGTTTCCCCAGATCGGCTGAGTCACCAATATTGGGGCCCTCCGATTGGTTGGCTTGTACTACAATCGGGTAAACAATTGCGAGCTAGTATCATTTTGACCGATATGTATGTTTCTTTGATGAATGGAACTATTATTAAAGCTATGGCTATGTATTCACCTCAGTTGGAGACCAATTCCTGGATTTTATACAGGAGAAGCGCCTTGCCCATCCGTAGAGTCTGTAGCAGTTGGGTTCCCTTGCCTGGGTTCTTGCGCAGCCAGGCAGCAGCAGCGAACAGACCGACGAGAACGGAAAGGCGAATGCCCCTGTGGATACGCTGTAGAGTCGCACCTTTCTGGGTTCTCTTCGCTGTCCAGTGGCTCCAATATGGGAACGAACACCGCAGCCAGTAATGAACTTGAGACCACCTGCTTTTGGTAAGCAACTGATCTAGTGAGAATTGGGGGGAGGTAGGAAATATACTCACGGGTAAGTCGAAGAATTCCATCCATCTTCGGTAATGTACCAACTAGCACACAAGCCCCGACGGAAGACAGTCTTCTGCAGTTGATCCTGCAGCTGCTTTGTCCATGCACGCTCGGCTTCCTCCTTAATCTCATAGGAACTCACCTTACCCTCGAGAATGGGCTTGATGAACTTGAGAGTGTAATTAACCGCATTCTCGGTCGCAAAGATGACACTGGTATGTCCCGTTGCTGTATTTGGACCGAACAGCATGAAGAAGTTAGGGAACTGGTCCATCGCAATTCCCAAATACGCCTGTGCGCCTCCACGCTCGTCCCACAATTCCTGAATATCCTTGCCTCCCTTGCCGGTCATTTTGAGGGGATGGAGCCATTTGTTCGTTTCGAAGCCGTTACCCAGAATGAGCACATCGGCGGGGATCTCCCGAACCTCATCGGAGGGGTTGCTTTGGTTACGCGGGTAGAAGCTGCCCGGCCCGATGGTCACACTCTTTGCGTGGACACGGGTCAGTGGTTGGGTGGTCAGCTCGACCTTGGATGAATTCAAACTGCGGTACCAGGTGCCGTCAATAATGCGACGCTTACAGCCTAAGCTGTAGTCCGGGGTGAGAACCTCGTGGTATTTTTCGGGTGCCATCTTGCGCATATGGGCAAGGAAGGCTTCTTCGATCTGCGGTCTCTTCCAGCGACCGTAAGCAGAATCCGTAAACATGGCAAAGAAGTTGTGTTCAAGCATGAGAAACACATTGTTGCGCAGAAGTCGTGACAGGCCCGGGATATTAGTGCACAGAGTGGGCATCCATCTGTCCCACTTCTCCAGTAAATGGGGCGGGAGGAGATCAGGTTGCACCCACGGAGGCGTTCGCATCAGTTGTGTGATAGAGCGAACGTTGGCTTCGGGTTTCGCCAGTTCAGGAACCACTTGTGCGGCACTGCATCCTGAGCCGAAGACAACCACGTCCTTATTCTGCAAATCGATCTCGTCATCCCATCGGGCTGTGTGCATGATTTCTCCTTCAAAGTCCTCGATTCCGGGAATATCCTTTGGCCATGTCTTTGGCTCGACCAAGCCTCCTACTCCGCTGACGACGACCTTGGCGCGCACAATCTCTTCCTTGATGTAGACTGCATGTGAGCCATCTTCAATAGCAAGTTGCTCCCGTTCATAAGCCGATAGATCTCCGGTTCCAGGAACAAGATGCGAAAGAGTTACCTCCCACTCTTCATCTTGCTCAATCCACTGAAGGTTCTTGACGTCGGTGTGGAACTGAATCTTATCGACAATCTGATACTCTTCACAGACGTCGGCTAGATATTGCGCGATTTCAGGACCAGACGGGTGCAAAGTCGACCAGTTCTTCTTCGGCGCAAAGGAAAAAGAGTAGAATAATGCCGGACTGGAGAAAGAAGGGGTGATGAGGTTAGATAACTGGCGAGTCGCAAACTGGATCGGTCAACACATACATGTCACAAGCAGCACCGGGATACCGGTTGATCCACCAAGTACCTCCAATACCAGATTGTCGCTCAAAGATTCGAAACTGGTCTGTCCCCAGGACCTGCTTCAACCGACAACCCATCGCCACGCCGGACTCTCCGGCGCCGACAATGAGAACGGGGTAATAGGTATGCGCATCTTTGCCATAGGCATGGCGCTTGTGAATGCTTGCGACAGAAGGCATCTTGAGACTCGGTTCTCCGCGTCTTTAGCGAAGCTTGACAATAATCAAGTCCACTCCTTAGAGCAGTTCCAGGTGGACCTCAATCTGACAGTCCTGTACAGAGTACTGCGAACAATAGTAGAGGTGAATCCGAATGATAGTAGATACTACCCAGGCAATAGTTACTTTTCGTGAGGTAAGTTGTAGCACAGCATGTGAAGAGTGACAAGCACCTAACCGCGGTAACAGTCTGAGAGATAATTTAGAGGGAAGAAATAATAGACTACGACGACAAGAGTAAAATAGATTGCAGATCGGCCCAAATGACCCCAGATGAACCCAGACTCAAAGCTCTGAAGAAAGAGGGGGTTCGGCTTGGCAACCTCGGTAATCCGCTTATGTTTATGCCATGCACTACTAGTATTACTAGTACGCTGGGCTGCTTATGTGCTTCATACTAGTACTAGCCTAGTATCGTCTTTATGAAGGAAGTCAATTAATAGCACAGCTTCAAGGGAGTACTATCATACTCACAAGACAGAATAAATTGCAAGATGATCAAATAAGGTTATCCATGTATACTGTCAATGCCAAGATATCAAACACCAATGCAAGCCGGGTAAATCTCCCGTGCCTCATCCATTCTTTCCTCTCACCTGGCAGTGTCACCCTTCACCAACCTCAAACCACGTATGCCCCTGCAGCAGCCATGGCTACTCTCCAGTCGAGCTCTACGCCGACCCCTTCCCTACAAATCAAACCTTAACCCATTACAATTCCGATCGGTCCTCCACCACAATTTCTCCACCTCCCCAATCCGCCCATACCGACCTCTCGACACCCTCCCCGACTCGCGCATCACCACCTTCCAACAACAATGTTTTCTCCCCGAGAAACCCGCCATCCTCCCTCGCTCCGAGTTCCTTAATACACCTGCTCGAACAAAATGGTTCCAAGACACGAGTGATGACAGCAATGGCAATGGCAATGGCAATGGCTCGCCGACAAACGGACCCGATCCCAATCAACCAATCGCCAGCCTAAACACCGAATACCTCCAAACCCACGCCGCGGACGCCTTCGTCCCCCTCGAGCTCACGGAACTAGTCAACCCACTCGCTTCAGAAGTACGAAGCTTCCGCCAATTCCACGCCCCGCTACACCTCTTCCTAGAATGGATGCGCGTGGCCAAGACCTCGCCCCAAGCAACGAGACTCTACCTAGCACAGTGTCAACTCCTCGACCTACCTCCCGTGTTGCGCGACGACGTGCCGACTCCAGATATAGTCGCGCGTGCTGGGAAGGGCGATGTTTACGATGCGAATGTCTGGATTGGCCATCCACCGACCTATACGCCTCTGCACCGTGATCCGAATCCGAATCTCTTTGTTCAACTTGCGGGGCGCAAGATTGTCAGGCTGCTCGCTCCGGAGGATGGTCAGGCTGTTTTCGCGAGTGTTAGGAGGTCGTTGGGGAAGAGTAGTGATCGGGGTGCGGCGGCGATTCGTGGGGAGGAAATGATGCAGGGGGAAGAGCGGGCGCTGTTGGATGAGATGGTCTGGGGTGTTCCTGTTTCTGCTGGTTCAGAAGGGAAGGGGTTTGAGGCCGTGCTGGATGCTGGGGATGGGTTGTTTATTCCAAAGGGATGGTGGCATAGTATTAAAGGTGTTGGGGAGGGCGTTACTGCGTCGGTAAGTTCGCTTCTGTGCATTGATTATGTTGATGATGGACTGCTAATTGTTTCTACAGGTCAACTGGTGGTTTCGATGACAAGTGGAGGCGTGTAAAATAAATAGCAGCAATGAAAGATGTAATTCTAGACATGTATTTCACAATATATAATTGTTAGTACTAGTAAACTATATCGAAGTCATTTGTCAGAGCTGCCCCGAATAGTTACTGGGAAGACCCGCCCGGTTGATCTCCGACTCCCCGACTCCGACTCACCTCCACCTCCGCCTTGAACCACTTTTCGCCTCCGCAGCCCCAACCCAACCACCAGACCGTGGCAGCATGCAACTATCGCGAACAGCCTACCGCGCCGCCCTCCTCCACCTCAGCGTGAACCCTCTCTTCACCCGCGCCTCAATTCACCAACCCAGCTGGAGCCTCACCACGGCAACACCCCAACCCCCAAGCTCGCGCCTCTACACAATTCTCTTCCCACAGTGCAAAACCAACACGCGACAAGCCCATACAATGTCCACCTCAACACCCGACACCAACACCAACAACCCCAACCAAGAGACCTCCTCTGAGCCCCAAAATCCCGGCCCAGAACAAGCGCAAGAGCAAAAGCAAGAGCAAGAGCAGCTCTACCTCCCCGAAACCGCCTCCGCTCAAGAAGGCCAACCAAAGAACCTTCGCCTAGACCTTGGCGCGGACGGCGGCGTCTCGCTGGACCATCTCGGTCCTATGGTCGTGAATGTTGACGGGACGTTGTCCCGGATCAGTAATTGGGATCAGATGACGGAGATGGAACAGAAGAGTACGCTGCGAGTCCTTGGGAAGCGGAATAAGCAGCGGTTGGAGGCTTTGAAGGCTCAGGGCGTGGAGTAAATATTGGAAATACTAGTACTCTGCGCTCTTCCAGGGTTCTTCGGCTGGAATCCGAGTTAATATATTTGGATTTAATGTGCTGAGAGCGGAGGAGACTGTTTGTATTATAGTTATGGAGGGTTGGGAAATGTTTACAGCGTTGCATCTGAAAGAGTCTTATTGAGAGTATCTAAATTTTAATTGATTCGTCTATAACTTAAATCCCACCTGGGCAGTACTATGATGGCTGGGCGGGGCAGTTCTATAGTTATGCAACGTGAAAATAAAAGTTGCTCAACTCCACAAGATACTTCAAGGTTTGCTCTTCCCTACCCTACCCTGGCCAGCTCGACATCGCATCAATCGAACAATTTGCCGATATACTTGTGCAGAGTACTTCTAAAAGAAAGTCCATAAATTAGCATCATATCCTCAAGCCCAGAAGACGAAAAATAAAAATAGCACACGAAGAACAACCTACTTAGGCGGCCCAGTGACATAATCCCGGGTATACTCCTCAATCTCAGCAAGACCAGTAACAAGATCGACCTCCTCAGGCTTAAGAAATTTCGTCTTGTGAAAGAATTTCCATCCAAAATAAAGCACCGGGAAAACGCCGATCATAGTGTAAGAGAAGAGGAACGTCGGAATGGACCAATTTCCCGGCAGGAAGACCGTGTAACCACCGACGAAAGCCATAATCGTCGTAGCGGTGCATGCAATGTAGGAAATGTATGGCTGGAACCAACTGCGGTAAGGTAGCGTTTCGCGGGAAATACCTTGGGCTTCTAGGGCTTTCTTGAAGCGGATGTATGTGAATGTGACGACGGAGAAGTTGATGAGTTGGGATGCGGTCACCTAGGGAATAAAGTGTTAGTTTTGGTTTGATATGATACGCACTGATATCACACGAGAAGTTAGGGGGGGGGGGGAGGACCAGGTATAAAACGTACCAAATTAACAAACCAATTCAAAACAACCGACGCCCCATTCGAAACCTGGAGGAAGCTCAAAAGCGCAATCAAAAGCACAACACCCACACAATAAATAGGCACACCCCTCGAAGTACACTTAGTCAAAAAAGCCGGCGCCTTCTTCTCCAACGCCAGCCCATAAAGACTGCGACTAGCGCAGTAAACATAACTGTTTCCAGCACTGAACGAAGCCGTCAAAACAACCGCATTAACAATATGCGGCAGAATAGGTATCCCCAACCGATCCATCGAAATGACATACGGCGAAGCCGCCGCACCCGGTTTATCATTATCGAACGCATCAGCCATGGTGGGATCATTGTATGGGACAAGGATGCCGACGCACAGAACGCCGAGAACGAAGAAAGCCGTTAGTCGGTAGAAGACGCCGTTGAATGCCTTTGGAAGGACGACGCGGGGGGTTCATTGTTTCTCCCGCGGCCATGGAGACATAATCTGGTCCGGCGATGGTGAAACTCGCTGTTATTACTGCAGCTAGGAAGCCGAGGAATCGGCCCGTGTCGCCGGTCTTGTAGAACTCGTTGAATGCGCCTGGCTCGTTCCAGTATCGGAAGCCGAATCGGTCGCCGAGAGGGTTTCCGCCTAGCATTACCACCACCGTGTAGAAGATTAGGCCGATGCTTAGGAAGACTTTGCCGAGGGATAGCCAGAATTCGGCTTCACCGTACCATTTTACGGCGAAGACGTTTAGGGCTCTGGTGGGAGGGTTAGAATGAGATTGAAGTTGAAGTTGAAGTTGTCTATGCTTTGGATCGTGGATGGGGGTTCGTGCGTACATGTATAGTACCAGGACGATTACATTCATGGCTGCGACGGGTATCACGCTCGTCCAGTAGTTGACGATTAGACTGACTGCGACGATTTCGAAGGGGACGAGGGCGGCTTCGAAGATGAAGAAATTGTATCCTGCTGCGACGCCGAGGGCTTCGTCGACGTAGCGGCCAGCGAAGCGGATGAATGGGGAGGAGATGGGGAGGTAGGTGACCATCTCTGCGAGACCTGGAGAGAAATGTGAGTTTGATGGACTACAATGGAGGTAGGTGAGATGCAAAAGAGTGTTCTCTTCTGCTTTTGTTCCAAGCATATGGCGCGAGGGAAGTTTTATTTTGGCGCTTTTGGAGTAAAGTGTTGCTTGGGTTGCCGGGTTGTTGCTGGGGCTGGGGGCTTGGAAAGGGATCTCGTACAAACAGTGATAATGAGGATAACGGCACTCCTATAAAGTCAAGGTATAAGATTCCAATTTGGATATTCAGATGGGCTTTTGGGCAAAATGCGGGGGTTGGATGTCTGGGTCGATTTCGCTTTGGGTTTGATTGTATGGGCATAAATGGTTGATGTTGATACGTCGGATTTGGAACAAGCTTTGCCTAGATCTGCTTACGCCCTTGGAGTTGATTGAAGGACTGGAATTTCTTTTTCTTTTCTTTTTCCTTTTTTTTCCTCTCCGATTTGCTCTGCTTTTGTTTTTGCTGTATTCTTTCTTCTGATCGTGATTCGTATGGTGCTCTTCTTGTGTAGAATTCATACTCCCAATGGAAATTGTCGAAATGACCCAAGCTTCCAAGGAAAGACAAATAAGAATTGGAAAGAGGGTTTCACTTACCAAATACTAAATCCAAGGAACAAGCTTCCAGGCCCACTTGTGCGCAGGCCAGAGCCGATCTGCACATACAATGCAGTGCCAATCGTACCACCGATGCCGATCAATTGAACATGGCGCGGTTTCAACTTGCGATGGGTATGGTCATAGGTGGGTTTGATAGAGCCGCCATCGATGGAGTCATCGCGCTTATCCATAGAGTCCTTCTCCACAACCTCCACACCTTTACCCACGACCTTGACAGGGGTGGTCTCCGGGTCAGAGAGAGTGCGGGGAGTCTCCATGGACTGGATAGCGGCCACCATTGGCGAATGGGGGCCTAGATCTGATTTAGAGTCTGGGTGGGACATGCTGCTGGCGATGCAGATCGATCACCGTGTCAAAGATAAGAATGTTATTGCGGCATGAGAGGTACCAAAAAATTGGGAAAGAAAAGGAAGACAGAGGCGATTTAATTAGGAAAAAAAGAAAAAAACAAGGATCGAGATAGAAGAAAAATTTGCATCTTGGCGAGTTCCCCTCGATTGCTTGGCAAGCCTTAGAAAGGACTCGTACATAGCGAATCTGCTTGTTGACCGAGGCCGTCGGCGTGGTCCGAGCAAACGTCCCGAGCTGGGAGCAAATCAGCGGTCCCGGTCGAAGTGAAAAGCGGCTTTAAGCGGGGCTGTGGGGTTGAGGTATGTCGGCATATGAATGTCAAATCAGCACAATCCAAAGCTAGGTCCCGGCCCGGGGTAAGATTAACTCATATAGAGAGCTCGATATAGATATGGTGTATAGTAGATGGCAACTGAGTTGGAGTGGTGACCCCATGTACTCCGTATTGGTGAGTGAATTAGTAATAAAGTAGTGAAGTAAAGTAAGGCAGGAGCGCAAGGGACCTCGTGCCTTCCCTTCCAAAGCTCCCTTCCTTTCACCTTCACCTTCACCTCAGGCCTTGTTTATCCTTTTCATTCTTTTCTGTTCCAACACACACACACACACACACACACACACATCTCACCAAGCCAAACTTCAAGTTCATCGTTTATTCCTCACACAGTCGAAGATTTATATCTTCTCCACGAGCAAGCCCAGAGTCAGTACCAACGCACCAAGTTACCACAATATCAATCAGGCAGGTGTAGGCAGAAGTCGAGTATGGAGAATGTCAGCACACGCAATTACATGCTACTCTCCGTTACAAAGACGCCACCGATATGACCACCTACCTTGAGACAATCTATGGAGACCTGTGTCCTGTCAGGGAGGCGAATAGTCAGTTCGATGCTCTTTGCATGGGGTATTCACAGAGGTTTACCGGATTCTTTCCTACATTTTCTCTGCTCGCCGAGAAGGCAAAATTCCCCGAAAAAGAGCGCAAAAAAGACCTCTTTCACAAGCTATCGCCTGATTACCGGGAAAAACTGAAGGATGATTTCTACCAAAAGGATTTCGATTGGCTTGTCGAACACTGCAGGTGCGTGGATTACTGCGGTCGACTACTAAGATTGAGGAAAACCAGCACGCACAGCCAATCCACTCGACTCTCCCTCCCTGTTTTACATCGAGCCTCCCTAGGTCAATGAACCGGCTATCGGCCAGCATGTCAAGGAATCATACGAGAATCATCGGGGTCGTTTTTGCAGGGCCATTTGAGCGAGAAGGGTGTGCATAGGTCCGAACTGCAGGTTGATGACTGAGTCTGAAAGAAACCCTTTTGAATCGAGATCCAATACCTTCTCTGAATACCCCCATGTATTACTTTATCTCCTATTTCCCATGAATATCAATTTCGAACTAATCTTTTTCCAGCCCAAAGCCGGGCAAGTAATAATTTAGAAGTTGTAGTGAACTACTACTAGTAGGGAAGTATTGGCAAGGCACGTTGGCTGCTGCCCAGGTGCCTCTGCCACCCCACGTGCCGATCAAAGATGCAGGTACCCCACAAGCTACTACTAGTACTACAAGTTGCTAGTACTTTGAATATCTGTCAATTTTATGAACCAGATAAGATGTGGATTTCCCGCAGTCTTTTATATTAGAAAGCACCTCACTGGTACTACCAGAACTTAACTATACCGGCGGGATAGAATGGGCATTCCAGGATTGAACACGAATCCCCACTAGCAGGGGTGTCGTAAGATTTTGGGTAAAGACTGTGTAGCTTTCTTCCAAACTGTTTAAAATATAGGCAATTAACACCTTATGAGGCAATAGAATGTCTGGACTTTAAACGGCCTGGATGAAAGTTACAGAGGCTTTATCCAAAATATTACGAGACCCCTGCTAGGGAAGAACCCCGTCGAATTTCTCGTGTGTGAATTCCCAGAAAATATCTTGATCTAGCATAAACACATTGCAAAAATCAAGTCATAATACATCATTCAAGCGACCGAAGCCACAGAGGTAAAAGTCAAAGCCAACCCAATCAATCAAGATGTTCCTTCTCCGCAGGGCCGTACGGTCGATCCTCATCCCTAGGATCCACCGCCAGCGAGCCATGACTTGCAGCACTATCCGCAGAGACCCTCCGCTCTGGCTGGTCAACTGCCTGACCTAGCCAACTTGGTGGGAAGAAACTCTCGTTGTCTTCGAAGTAAACATGGTGGATGACGTCAGAGTCGTTGTGGTCTCGCTGGGGATTGTCACGGCGATTTTGAGGGGCGGCGAGATGTGCTCTAGCTTCGTCGGAGCTATTCTGCGCCGGCTTGGTAGTAGGAGATGATGGCATGTCTGTGGCTGATATGGGGTAAGATGTATGTTGAGGAGGGAGGTTGAACTTAGAAGGTTATGTAAAGTTTGAGGGGCGTCCTTTGTACAAATACTACATAGTATGTAACATGATCCATTGTCATCTGATCTGCGCCACCGTTCCGCGGGTTATTTGCATGCAGCGATTTGGAGAGGGCGGTACTTTGACGTCATATTACAGAGATAATTAAAGTATTATATTTCATAATTTAGCAGTGAGTTAGCTACTCTTTTGTAATCCGATACTACTAAGTAGTATGCTATACACCTATCTGAGGTAGAAAGATCTTAACTCGATCATACGGCGAAAGATAATTGAAAGAGTACCCTCTAAATGGAAGGATTCCAGTGTTATTAATTGATTTAACAAAGTAATCTCTCCAGTCAATAAAATTAAAGATAGTATAAACTATACTACTACTACCGCAGCATCCAAGCAATCAATCAGCGAGCCGAGTTCGTCAGCAGCCGACGGGAGCCAATCCAACCCCGCTTGCCCCGCGACTATCACTTTCCCTCCGATCCAAACCCACCACTGGCACTCTCTTTCTTCTCACACACCCTCTCTCACCAGACACACAACATGGGCGAACGTTTTGCTCCCAAGGTACCAGTCCAACTGGACCCGCCAAAGGATGACCCCATTTCCCCAGAGGAATTGGCCAAATGCGACGGTACGCGCGCGCGCCGGTATCTGATTTTGTGCCGAGGTCAAAACTAACCCAGATGCTATTCACAGGTTCCGATTCCAGTCGCCCTACTCTCGTTGCTATGAAGGGCATTATCTTTGATGTCACCAAGAACCCGATGTACGGAGCTACCGGCTCTTATAAAGGTAAGCAGGGAGTTGGCAAGCTATGGACTTTTGCGCGAGATCGCAATTGCGCGAGAAGAGAGGAGGGAAGAAAACGGATGCTAATTGATCAACTTCGATATAGTGTTTGCCGGTAAGGATGCCTCTCGTGCGCTCGCCAAGTCGTCATTGAAGCCTGAGGATTGCGTGCCGGAATGGTATGACCTTGAGGATAAGGAGAAGACTGTCCTGGATGAGTGGTACCAGTTCTTCAGCAAGCGGTATAATATTGTTGGAAAGGTGGAGGGTGCGAAGAATACCTAGAAAACTGAGAGGCTTGGAATGAAAGAAATACGCTGAGAAAGGGAACTTGAAAGAAAGGCCTTTATGATGAATCGAGTGTACGGAATATACCCGCGATGATGCTCGGTCGGAGACCTTTACTCTGACTCTCACGATCACGATCGTTGAAATGACAATCACAATGCTTTTGATTTAGAATGGTATATCGGGCATTAGATACAGAAACAAGCTCTATACATGTTTTAAATCCTCCACGCGCACACTCACCCCTTACGGGCCTTGCGCTGCGCACGCTTCTTGCCAATAATCCGATTGCGCTTCGCGACCTTGTCCTCCTCAACGTCCTCCTCATCTTCCTTGCCATCTTTGCCATTTTCTGAGCGCTTCCGCTTCTGACCCTTCTGGTTCTTGTCATCTTCTTGCTCCGCCTTTGCATCCTTCTCTGCCTTCTCCTTGGCCTGTTGTTTCTTCTTGTCTTGCAGCTCTTGACGACGCTTGATGACTTGGGCGTTCTCAATAGCAAACTCAACAACCAATCGCTTGCGCTTGTCCTTCTCTTCCGAGTCCGAGTTCGCTGGGACCTCGATCGGATGGCAGTTGAGCCAGCGCAGACCCATCAGCGCGTGACGGTGAGTGTAGTATTCGATGAAACCGTAACCACGACTGCGACCACCACCTTCCTTCTCGGGCACCTTAGTACCCTCACGAGTCTCGAAGACAATCTTGGCTTGTCGAACGATACCGGCCTTCTTCTCCTTGCGCTCGTGCTCAAGTTCCTTCATGGTCTCGCGGGATCGCTGCTGCTCCTCCCGAGAGAGAGACTGGCGCTTCTCGGCCTTGACATCCTTGGCGAAACCGACAACGGCCTCACGGGCAAGTTGCTTGAGATCCTTGGATGTGATGTGACGAGGAAGGTTACGGATAGCCAAACGGGTGAGACTGAGGTGGAGGGCGGGGTTCTTCTTGATGAATCCCTCTCGCTGCTTGTAGCTCTCCTCGCGCATCTTGATCTCGGAGGGAGAAAGCTTCTTGTAGAGAGGGGAGTTGGAGGGGATGGTACCCTCGGACAGCAGGTAGAGACGACGCTTATCCTTGTCACGCACCAAACGGCGTGAAACACCCTCTTCATTCAGCTTGGCAGCTTCGTTCTTGTTGACGGCACGGGCGACCTGTAGAACTCGGCCGTCCAAGGTGTAACGACCAGTAGGGTCGGAATTCTCGTGCTGAAGAATTGACTGTTTCATGGCCGGTTTGGAGCGTTCCTTTTCGGCGACCACTGTGTCGGGCTTGGGGGCTTCACGGACGCAGGTCATGCAGTCCTCGACCTTCCAGAAGCACACGAATCCAGTTCCGCGAGGGCGTTCGGTCTCGCGGTCAAGCACAATTCGCGCATATCGAAGGGGGCCGAATTGGGTGAAGTGCTCATAGAGCGTATCGTTGGTACATGTGAATGGCAGGTTGCGGAGAAAGACGGTGCAGTCGTTACGGTCGTCTTCGACTGGTTCCTTGCGGGCCTCCTCGTCCAAATCCTCGAGGTCGTCCAGATCTTCATCGTCTTCGTCCTCATCATCCTCTTCGTCATCATCCTCGTCGGATGAAGTCTCATCATCGTCCTCCTTCGCGGCCTTGTCCTCCATATCGACATCCTCGCCCCCCCTTGGACCCCTTCTCCTCCTCATCGTCATCCTTCTTAACATTCTCCCATTGTTCCCTGTCCACGGCCCAATCAACAGCCAATGTGCGACCATCGATTTCCTTTCCGTTCACGCATTGAACAGCCTTCTCGGCGTTCTTCTTTCCGCGCAGAATGACGAAGCCGAAACCACGAAGCTTGTTGTTTTGCTTGGGGAGATCGGCCCACTTGACCTTTCCGTAACTGCGGAAGAGAGCTGACAGGTCCTCGATCGTCTTGATGCTCCACGGCAGGTTGCGAATGATCAGCTTAGGGGGGCTGGTTTGAGGCATGCTCGTCTTCGCGGTCTTGCTTGATTTGTTGCGATTTCGCCGCGGGCTTGCTCTTTCCAAGTTTCTCGTCAATCTCACGGTGACGCTGTTGGGCGTATTCGACTCGAATCTTCTTTCCCTCAAAGTCGGCTCCATTGAGCTCCTTCAGGGCGCTCTGGGCGTCCTCGAGGTCGGCGAAGGTCACGAAACCATAACCCTTGCATTGTTTTTCCGAGTTGTTGACAGTGACAGCGTGCTTGAGAACGTAGGATTGCGAAAAGAACTCGGCGAGGCTGTCTTTCGTGGCTGTGGCTGGTAGCGATCGAACGAACAGGGTGTGATTGGGTTTGGCGGCCGTTGAGGTCTTAGCTTCGGCCTTTGTAGGTTCTTCCATCTTGACGTCGGTATCTTGGGCAATACCTTCGTCGGAGAAGCGTCGTTTCCTGTTTGGCTCAGCCATTGTGAATCGTTGACACTGGGACTTTTTTCTGCTGCAAAAAATAGCCAGCAGAAAAAAGATGGACGGCAATGGAGGCGGTGAGGCACCCCGATAAGCAGTTTTCCTTATCGCATCACTTACCTTCCTTCCGGGCCGGGGCCGAGCTACCTTGCCTTTCCCCAATACTCTACAGCAACACTCTGCACTGTTGCACACACTCTCAAGCATCCGCCATGGACGCTCAATCAAATGAAGCCTCAAGGTCGCAGTCCATGGGCCCCGCGACTCCAGCCACCCCCCTCAACAAGTCAATCCAAGGTGCAGCAACCCAAACCACAGGCCCTTGCAAACCGCCCTGGCCCATCTGCGATCCTCGTGTCAACGCGACAGAAAGGCAATCCAATCCTGAATAATATTAAACTTCTTCCATGGGAATACGCAGACATCCCAGCCGATTATGTAGTTGGCGTGACAACATGCGCCCTCTTTCTCTCACTAAAATACCACCGTCTCCACCCCGAGTACATCTACTCCCGAGTCCGGCTGTTAGCAGGAAAATACAACCTACGCATCGTGCTAGTCATGGTCGACATTCCAAACCACGAAGACCCACTAAAAGAACTCTCCAAAACATCCATTATCAACAACCTCACCCTGATCCTCTGTTGGTCCGCCCCCGAAGCAGCGCAATACCTCGAGCTCTTCAAGTCATCCGAATACGCCCAACCGACCGCAATTCGCTCCCAACAAGCTCAAACATATAAAGAGTCCATCGAAGAATTCGTCACAGCCCCACGCGCGATCAACAAATCAGACACGGCAAGCTTGATATCCACATTCGGCAGTCTTCAAAATGCGGTCAATGCTCAGCCCGAGCAGATTAGCGCGGTTCCGGGCTGGGGTGAGAAGAAGGTTCAACAATGGTGCAGCGCCGTACGGGAAGATTTCCGGGTTGGAAGCACAAAGAAAACCACTCTGCCTCGGACCCAGGCTCCAAGCAAGCCAAAACCACCAGTGGTACCAAAACCTCGCCAGTCCCATCAAGACATGGATGAGGATGAACAAATCCTCCGAGCTGTTATGGAAGAGAGCCGCAGAACGGCGGAACTGGAATCTTTAGCCTCCGCGCCTGCTCAGGAGTCTTCAAAAGAGAAACAGCCTGCCGAGGAGCTAAGTGAAGGCGTCATGGCTGCCTTGGCTAAGCTGCGGGATAACGGCGGATGAGCTGTGTCACTCAAGTCTCCGTCTTGTACTACTAGACTGCATTCACCTTGCGGACACATTACATCGCATGGGTTTGTGAAAAATGGACTGTGCATATCGCCCATGCTCAATATGACCTGAGCGGTCTGAGGACATGCATGGTGCGTGATACTGCGCTATCAAATTGCGAGTCCCACCAGGCTCTCTCGACCTACCACAGGTTTGAAGATCGCGAAATGAAGTTATACCAACTATCGACCGTGGATTGCGGCTTCGAAATATCTATCGGATATGGTCGAGCATCAGCTATGTTCTATGCCCATCCGCTCCCATATATGCGAGACCTATCTTCGGTTTGAACCATACGGGATGAAAGCGAACTGATTCCCGAGCATGCTAACTACGGTGGGAGCAGAAAAATTTGGGGGATTTCCAATTCGCCATTGCTCGAGACATACAGAACTCCAATCAAGACCTCCAAGAAATTGTACTCTAATTTGGTGCAAGTTATTAGATCGCTACCAACTAGTCTGCCACTCCCCACCATATAGTTAGAAGAATTGCAAATGGTATCTATTAATCTCAAGATGTCCACTTTTCCCACTTTCCCACTTCCCCGCTCCCCACTTCTGAGGCACTAAAGAGCCCCCACTGTAAAGACCGCGAGAGTCCATTAAATATTATCAGTAGATTTTAATTCCGAGAGTTTTCCAAGGGAATTCCATTGTCTTTTCTTGAACCCTTTGGCCTACGCGTGCGGAAGATGTCGCCACTCGTCCACAATTCAACACCGGACGAAGAAGTCCCAATCCTCATTATTGGGGGTGGACCATCAGGTCTTCTACTCGCTTTCCTGCTTGAACAACTGAACGGTAGCTCTACCCCTCTCAAAGACTACAAGCCGTCGTCTAAATTGAACTAGTCCGTTGCTTGATCATCGAGCGATACCCAACAAGATTGGCAGCCCCTAAAGCCCACGCCCTCTCTCCAAGATCTCTCGAATTTTGCCGTCAAGCCGGACTAGATGTGAATGAAATCCGCAGCATTGGAAGTCCTCGTGAGGATGCGCACTGGGTGAACTTTATTACCAGCTTAACTGGTAAGCAAGTTGGTCGGCTTCCATACGAAAGAATGGACAAGGAGGTTCTTAATGACACCCCGACGGCAAGTCTTCTTCAACTAGCATATAATTAAAATTATGATATTAATTGGCGTTAGATGATCCATAATATTCCGCAGCCTGCATTTGAGGATATTATATCGAAGAGATTGTCCAAGACTGGTTTTGTTGAGGTTCGAAAGAATCATTCGTTTGTGAGCTTGGAGCAGGGAAGTTACATGCATGCTGATAACTTCTTTGTCTTCATTACTAATGTATACTAGAATGACGATGAAGTGATAACGACTATCGAGGACCGTGCCGCTCAGAAGGAGTATAGGATCAAATCCCGACATGTCATCGCGTGCGATGGTGCCAAAAGTGCTGTGAGGAAGCATCTCTGCATCACAAGCGAGGGCGAAGAAGCCAGTCAGTTTACCATGCATAGTTAAATGTATGTTTCTAAATATGGCAAGCAATATACTGATCATAATAACCAGCGGAAACTATGATGACGATTCACATCAATGCTGATCTCAGACCTGTGATCAAAGAGCGAGTCGGTATGCTTCATTGGGTTATGGATCCACAAGTATCCGGGTTTATAATCGGCTATCAGCTGTCCGGTAATCAAGTTCTGATTTGCAATTTTGATGTGAGTATCCTCACCCCAGATATAGCTATATGGATGCAAACACATACTGACCCATGCATATGTAGTCCGAGAAACACCCCGTGGACTCATGGAATGAAGAACATTGCCGAAAAGTTGTAGATGCCGCATTTGGCGTCAAGATACCATACGATGTGCTCAGTTTCCGTCCATGGCTCCTAAGTCGGAAAGTAGCACATTCATATCGCGCTGGTAACGTCTTCCTGTGAGTATCAACCTTGCTATGGAGATGAATACAAAACAACTTCTCTAACCCACCCTTCTAGAGCTGGTGATGCTGCACATTCATTCCCGCCTACAGGCGGTCTAGGTCTGAATTCTGGCCTGGGTGACGTGCACAATCTTGCATATAAACTTGCCGCAGTCCATCAAGGATGGGGCGGAGATAATCTACTTGATACCTACCAGGTCGAACGTCGCCAAGTCGCTCTCATCAACGCAGAGCAAAGTGTGAAGAATGGCAAGCAGATATTTGGCTTGCTCAAGGCACTTGGTACTACAGATCCAGATGTGGAGGTTTCCAGAAAAAATCTCTATCGGAATATTCAGGATCCTGAGGCCATGGTCGAGATCAGCAAGGGAATTGAAGGTCAGCGTGAGCATTTCGATAACCTGGGTGTCCATATCGGTTATGTGTATGGCGACACGCAAGTTCCGAAAAATGTTTCGCTATTCAGGTCTTCGTGTGTCCCAGGGGCTCGACTTCCACATGCCTGGATCGAAGTGTTTACTGAGCAGTTTCCACTGTCTGCCATTGACTCTTCGTATGTGAGGGAGCTATCGATTGAGCAAATCTCTCGGAAGCGATTCTCTACGTTAGACCTATGTCGTCTTGATTCTTTCACTCTCCTAGTTAATGAGGGAAATTCCGCCCATTTCAAGTCGTCTGTCAAACGACTCTTCGAGATTCTACCTGCACATGTAGCTAGTGTTTTATCACTGCGAGTTGTTGTGTATGGAGTTGATTTTGCGCTTCAGCCTGGGTTGGAGAATTCTCAGTGGCTCGACTTGATGGGATTAAGGGAACATGCGGTACTAGTTCGCCCAGATCAACATATCTTGACTTGTCTTCCAACAAATTCAGGGTCAGAAGAGCTGCTACAATCGTTGAAGGCTCATTTGTCGTGGTGAAGAGCATATTTTGGAGATAAAAAATACCTAGACGTTGCATTAAAGAGACTTTTGTTACTGGAACGGATGCTCGGTTAGATATTACCCTTGTAAAACAACATTGCCGACAAGCTGTTGCACAAATCTCATTGTCGTCCTCAGCTAGCTACTAATTTCTACCCCAAATCTCTGACACCGATGATCAATCGTAATTATGTCATTAGAAACCGCGGCATTCCGCGATGTAGTTATTCCCCACATACTCACTTCCCCACACTGACAGCTCGCTTCGCTATTTAAAAGACCGAATCAGACATCGCTAGATGAAATGAAATTGAATAACTACTAGGACTCACCCAATAAACCGTCGAACCCCTCACTATCCTCTCTTCCACTATGAGTAAATCGGTCCCACCCCCAGGCCTCGCCCTCAAGGATGCCAAACTCCTCCTCGAACATCCTTATCTCCCAATGGAGGCAGGAGTGGCTCATACTGAAGACGGCATGACCCATATTGCCGCGTCAACCTACATGAAGTCCTGCACAGGGGCAATGATAGACTGGTGGTTCGGATGGATCCACAACACAGAGCAGTACAAGATCTGGCACCCTCGCGACCACGTCCTTTCTGACTGGGAGGGCCCGCGTGAGAACAACAGCACCTATATCGGCGGTCATCATCTAGTCCATGAGTATATTGGGAGTGAGCTTCAGAAACTGAAAATATCTTTCAAAGACCCGTGCGAGTACTTCGGACCTGACTGGAAGGCCGCGTTCCAGAATGAGGGATATTCGACGGCCGTTTGTGGAAGAACGGGGATGTGGGATGATGAGAACGATGATGTTACTTATATGGGACATTTGATTCATTTGATTAAGAATGAACCAGATGGGGTCAGAATGCGCTCTAGGTTTTGGCTGGGTGATGTGGACGGTGTTACCGATCCGGAGATTAGGAAGGCAAATGTGCCGGATGAATTTGCAAAGGGGTTATTAAAGCATGCTACGGAAGAGATGGCTATACTTGCTACTGTTCTTCCTGATATGCATCATAAGTTTTCTGGGGTGGGTGCGGAGAAACTTTGAGATTTTTTACTAGTAGTACTAGTTTTCAGTCAAATGTCAAACGTATCCTCATGCCAGCAGGCCAGTTAGACTAGTAGTCTGGTCATTTGGATTTTTAATTTCGTGATTAGTATTCTTAGGCTTATTCCTGCTTTAATTTAATACACTCTGGCCATGATTCTCACGGGCAATATCTGCCAATCTTCCAATAATATCGTTCATCTGAGCGGATACACCCCATCTCGACGCGACAGTTTTTAGGATTATTTGCAGTGAATTGATCTCGCCCAAGAGGTTTATCGAAACCATGACCTTTTCGTTGTTTGGATTTAGTCCTCCCAAGAATTCTTCAATAGTTTCATGATTTGGCGAAGCAGATTCCCCGTGGAGTTGAGAGGTCCAAACATCCGACCATGCGTAGCTTTCCGGAACTTCGATAACTTTCCGGTTGAGAAGACACATGGCGGTCATTACAACCGCCGATGTAAATACCGCCGTGGGTATATGCATAGTGTATGCCTGGCTGAGAGGCAAGTTATCCAGAATCCTAGTAACTGAGATTGCATGAAGAGTTGCTCGAAGAGCATCCGCCTTCGCAGCCCAAGAGTGAAGATCGAATTCTCCAAGATGGCCTTTGGCATGTACACCACCAAGTACCTGGGGTAAATTGAATTGACTACACAGCCATCGATATATTGATATCGATGGTGCAGTCGCTTCGATGAACACAGAATGCCATCGGATGAATACCTGAAGATGATGCACATTAGAAGCCTCGGACCTAGACATAATATTTCCTTCGAAAATATTCAGCATCGCTTGGATGATCTGTTTCTTTGATACAGTGCCAAAAACCTGTCCTTTTGCTTCATATAAGTCAGATATCAAGGATTGCAACCCCTCAATGATAACAAATATTGAGAAGTGAGAGAGTTGCAGCGGATTGGTAGCATAATTAGACGAGAAAACGCGAGCAAAAGCTTCCGACATTGGATTTCCCTTGGCTGATTTTTGCATTTCAACAATCCATTCATCAGCAGTTGGCGCTTCAAATGCTTCATCGGAGCAGGCTGTTCCGATCCTATTAATCAGATGCCTTGCGCTAGCTGGAGAGCCAGATGCTTGCGATATGAGACCATCAAGAACATAGTGGCCAAGTATAGCCCGTCGTTGAACCTCTATTGCAGCCCAGCTTCTCCATGCGGTATTCTTCTCCTCGTCCGACATCTGCAGAGTTGGTAGATCTTCCGGTAAGACCTCACTGACATTGTACATTCCTGACGTCCTCGCCCAATAGAAGCCTAGGCCATGGAACACAGATGCTGTTGTCCGTATATTGGAATTGCTAGAAAGCAACGCATATGTCTGTCCCAGTAATGCGGTGAGCACAAGTTGAACTCCGTCATACGCATCCCATGGCCCTCTGGTTTCAATCAATGTTTGCCATGAGGTGGCGACTGCCGTATGACCAAGGCGCCAAAGCATCTCTCCTTTCTCCAATGCGCCCGTCTCGAAAACGAATAAAGACCCCAGGGCGACCATGTTCAAAAGAAGAGGCGGTATTGACTTTTGCAGAGTAAATGTCTGTTCGTGAATGACTGGAAAACTTGGCGATACCCGTTTAAAGAACTCGTCGAGACAGGCATCTAAAAATGACGAGGTAAATCCTGAATGATGAACCTCGGAATTTAATCTTCGAGATAGATCATCGATGAGCTTGTATATCTGGCTCAGCGCCATATTTCCAGGGCCCTGTGGTGCTTGTGCTAATTCCAAGTCTCCGGGCACTGGCAAGCCTATATACTCGCTTGCGCTAGATGCCCCTGGGAAGTCTACCAATGGTAGCGGTATGGTAGAGTTTCCGTTCGTATCAGACATCAACCATTCAAGTAGGTTGTCAGAATCTAGCCAATTATGCGGCTCTGGAAAATTTGACAGGCCAGCCGGTTCAACCTGTGAGAGACAGGTCATGGCTACAGGAGTAGGCGTCCCTTGAGCTTGGCCTTGATCATGCTGTAGAGTTCCAGTCTCGGGCGTTGGATTCTGGTACTGTGTCGAGCTACTACTGCCCGTGTGTAATCTCAAATGTCTGCCCAGAACATCCTGGCGGCCAAAGGATCTTCCACATTGACGACATTGAAATGGCTTTGAATTTGAATCTGTATATCGATGAGCGAAGCTCATTCTGTCAGATTGTTTTTACTCACGTGTTCGCTCGTGCCTCTAATATTCTTAGTCAATCCATGTGCGCCGGTTGTAGGAAATGGACAAGACCAACTGTGAGGTGTTCTAATTTTGTGTACTTCTTGCTACATTGGCGGCAATGGAAGCGCTTAGGAGTAGCGGTGTCGGGTGCCTTCTCCGGTCTAGAAGATCTCATCTCGATTGAATCTCTTGAAATGTCTCGACGAGAAATGAAGCCGGGGTGAGAGTGGGAAAGGAGTGGGGAAACCAAAGGTGGGGATTTCACCAACAACAGTGAGCGATGACGGGGGTTTACACGTCAGCAAATGGACGCGCAAAGTCTTGGCGGTTTCAGCAGGTATTTGCCTTTCTTTCAAACCTTTTGATTCGTTTTGTTGAACTATATCCTCACTTTGCCAAGGTCTATTCGCTTGCAATACATGTAAGCTCCCAAAATTACGCGGGGCAAGATTGGACAATTGATGCTTGTTCCCGAAATTGAGTAATAGGGTACCGAAAAGGGTCACTGTGAATGTGGGGGGAATCGGGAGTTATCCATTTGCTCAGATATAAAGACTAGTAAACATCTAGCTCGCCATTTTTTCAGACATGTCCATTCTCAATTGCTTTCCAGCCGAATAGGATATCACCCGTTCCAACTACTCAGCACCCATCACAAAAACAACTCGATTAAAGATGGCGCCCTCACTGTCACTGAAGGAATTTCTGAACTACATCAAAGCGTTCAACGCCAAGGATTATGCAGCTCAGCACGGATTTTACGATAAGGATGTCACTTTAACGATCCCAGATCCTGAGATTGGAACTCTTGTTGGGTCGAAGGGGGTAATGGACCATTATTCTATCGTGCACGCCGAAGCAAAGGAGACTGTTGTCCCAATGATTGCCATGGTCGACGAAAATAGAATCTTCTTCAGCATGGAGGCGTACTTCTACTACCTCAGAGCTACTGAAAACGCCGTTCATAGCCACAAAGTGAAGCCCGGGGACGTCATTCGAGTCAAGGTCTGGGCTCTCTACGATATGAAGAATGGGAAAATGGCGAAGATTGTTTGCAATGCTCTCGGCGACGAATTATTAGGACAGATAAATGTGGACGATGCGATCCAGGAGAGCTGGAATCGGGTTGATGATAATATCAAGGCGGCATGGACGGATTGAACTCCCTACAGAGATGTGTGTCATCGTTTAGTTTTTTAATATTTTGGATGGATATTCATATCGAATCTCTACAACACTACTTTCTAGCAAGGATAATTATCATGCATTCAATTTTGATTAATTTATAAGGTGCAGCTCAGCGTCGAGATAAAGAATATTGTAACATTTACCTAGTATCGTCTTGTTACTTTTAGGGAGATTGAAATCTTGGGCATCCATCAACACTCAGCTCCGGAACGAAACGTGACAACAAAAAAGGCAGCCAATCCGAATATACACGCGAAGGAGAAACTTATCCCGTTGTGTTTGTAAGGTATCCTACTAGGGTTAGTATGGAATGCAGATCTGCAAGTCACGGTTCAAGCACCACTGGATCACAAGAATGCGTAAAAGCCCAAGGGATGGATGAAAAATAATTTTTCTGAGTTCAACTGGTACTCGTCTATCGTATAGTTAAGTTTAGATTGTTCACATACGTGCCAGTGGTGATCATAAAGAGCTGTGAAGTTGTTGACGCGATACTTCGAAGGATATGCTCCTCTTGCCAGAGAAATTCACCGTCATGGTCCGGAACTTCCTGTATCCAACATCTTAACGCACACATTCGTTAGACTCAGCACAATGCGCTTTTCAAAATCACTCGCTCTCTTTTCCTCACTAATCCCCTCAATCCTCGGAACCCCAGTCCCCAACATCATTCATGACCTATCAACCCTTGAAACACGAGACTCTCCAGGAACAATCGAGATCCTCGAAAATGCACTTCTGGGCTTCTTCAGCCTCGACAAAGGAACCATACAAGAAATAACCCTCCTCGAATCCGCCCTAAAAGACGTCCAAGCCGGAAAAATAAACCCAGTCACTACCCTCGAAGAAGCCCTTGCATCTCTCGCCGAAATAGCCCCCTCTTCCAAGGAGGAACACAACATCCTGACAATTGCAACAAACCTAGTCCTAAACGGTCTAGCACCACAAAACACCCTTGACCTCATCGCCGGTATCATAGATCAGGATATCAACTCAAGCAACAATAACAACACCGTGAATCCGTCGAAACCTATCTACCCCAAAAAAGAGACCAAAGATGCACCATACAGCCAAAACGAAAAGGATCTCCGCTCAGCAATCTTCATCCCAGAAACATTCGAATACGGCGCCAACAATAAAACCCCCGTCCTCCTCGTTCCTGGAACCGCCGATCCAGCCGGAAGTACCTATCATTTCAGTTACGCGAAGCTCCTCGCCGAGTCCGACTTTGCAGATCCAGTATGGATAAACATACCAGGAAATTCACTGGGCGATATCCAAGTCAACGCCGAATATGTCGCCTACGCAATGAACTACGTCTCCGCCATCTCTAGCGCTAGCTCCAATTCCACCTCCAGCGGCCGTAAAATCGGCGCGATATCCTGGTCGCAGGGTGGAATCGACGTACAATGGGCACTGAAATACTGGCCGTCGACCCGGGATATTGTAGACGATTTCATGGCATTGAGTGCAGATTTCCACGGCACGCTTTTTGCTGCTGTCTGCCTTACGTCGTCGTCGCCATTGTGCACGCCGAGTATCAAACAGCAGTACTACAATTCGAATCTCATCCAAGCTCTTCGGGGTGGGGATGAAGGAGGGGATTCGGCATTTGTTCCTACAACGAGTGTCTATTCCGGCCTTGATGAAGTCGTTCAACCTCAGATTGGCACGAATGCGTCGGCGTATTTGCTCAATGAACGGGGCGTGGGCGTGAGTAATGTTCAGATTCAGGTTGGGTGTCCTGGGTTGCCAGCTGGTGGGTTTTATCTTCATGAGACGATGCTGGTTAATCCGCTTGCTTTTGCGCTTTTTGCGGATGCTCTTACGCATGATGGGCCCGGGAGCTTGTCGCGGGTTGACTTGGATACTGTTTGTAATCAGTTGGTTCCGCCAGGGCTCGGGCTTGATGATTTGCTGGGCACGGAGGTTATGGCGCTTGTTTATGGGAGCCTTGATACTTTGACTTATGGGTATGTTGGGGATAATGAGCCGCCGGTCAAAGATTACGCTGCGCAGTAGTGGATGTAATGATTATGCATAGTTTACTTCTTCTGTATACTAGCTCTGTGATATACTACTAGTACTAGTAGCCATTACCATGAATGTCATGACAGCGTGGGTGCTTTTATGAATATAAGGAATATCATGGGGCAGGTTGAAATACCCCATACATATATGGCTGAGATACACGTGTTACGACGACCGTAATGCCAATGATACCAAACTACTATACAAAACATCAAGGAAAGTGGGTCACTCGGTAGCATAATCCCCGTCCAGGCGACGAGTTATCGCTCCATATCTCAACAGAATACTTGGGAGCTTAACCGTTCAAGAGGGTCGAATTGGCTGCAGGCTTATGAATGACCTCGATTACTCCTTTCACAGCTTGCCCCCATTAAAGGCTTCCGTGTTGGACAGGGTCGCATTACCGAAGAAAGAGCGCAAGTCATCGATTAGCACCAGAGGCGTCTCAATGGAAGCGAAATGCGATCCTCGGTCGTGTACGGTTCTTCTAACCACGTTCCCGCTACGCTGAGCCCAGTCCATTGGCTAATGATAACAAGGGTCAGTTTGATTTTGCACTTCAATGGGGAGTCTGAAATGGAACTCACGGTTCTGTACCAAAGGTCCGCAGGGAATTCTGAAATGGCGACGGGCTGGTGGACATATGGAAATGAAGACGTATTGATTGCTAGGCCGTTTTCGAAAATATGGTCCTAGGGTTGCGCCGTGTCAGTGAAATACAACTTGCTGGGGTATACGAAATATAAATAGTAAATTCACTCACGGTAACGTGTTCTTTATAATATCGAAATGAAGAGTACGGACCCTGGATCCAGTACATCATGGTCCAAGTAACGATCTCCAAGGGAGTCCAGACATGGAATTGGACGAACTCATGCATTAAACTGTAAATCCACATAGCAAGCCCGACTGGGCTATCGGTCATGCCGGTTGCAAGTGACAATGGCTTAGTCTGCATGATCAGGCGGTAACCGGAGCCGACATGCTCAAAATCCATGATCTTGTTAATGACGAACTCCTCATCAGGGGTAGATAATCCAGCGTGGAAACGCTCTAGATCGGTGCTGTTAGGCTGGACCACCCAAAAATTGGAGAGGGCGGAGAGGACAGATTCGGGGTGGCGTCCTGCTTGCTCATGGAGGACGAAACCTCCTAGGTCGCCTCCTTGAAGGCAGTATTTCGAGTAGTTGAGCTTGTTAACCATAAGGTCGTTGTATGCGTCTGCAAGGGCAATTGGGCCCAAACCTGGTACTGAGGGCGCAGGCGAGAAACCGAATCCGGGCATGCTGGGAGCGACAACGTGGAAGGCGGGAGTCGATTCATTGGGAGGGTTGGTGAGACCGTCGATTATTTCGCCCACCTCGAGGAAGCTGCCCGGCCAACCATGAAGAAAGAGGAGGGGGATTGCATTAGGGCGTGCAGACCGGTGATGTACGAAATGTAGAGGTATAGGATGCGTGAAAATGTCACCCGCCGACACTGTGGTTGTAAATTGCTTGTATCTAGAATTTTGACATATCAGCTCTAACATTCCACTTCTCATCGAGGCCGTGAAAAGAAATTGTCTTGACGTACTTCTTATTTAGATTTTCTTGGACTTGGAACCAGTCAAACTCATTGACCCAAAAGTCCCTTACTGTGGTCGCATTATGATGCGGTGGCCCATCAGTAAAGTCAGGTTGTTGCAGGTCATCAGTGAAGCGGGTCAATGATGCCTTCAATGTGGTTCTCTTAATAAAATCAGGTTTGACGTCAATCTGGAAAGGAGCTACGGTGTCTCCGAAAGTACCCTTGAATTCCAGGAGCTGACATGAAGCAATCGATGATAGAATGAGAATGAGGAGGTTAGCCCGATAATGGGCAGCAAGATTTCGGTGGTTTTCATTGTCATAAACTTGATAAGCGCCAATTGAAAAGTTCTTATTTGATTGATGAAGTTGAAGAAGTGAGAGAAATGGTCGTCCTTTATAGTAGCACCAGGATAGTAGTCGTCAGGATAGCTGTTTCCTAAGACGCTAGTTATCTTCTCACTGAACCTGGACTTAATCCCCGAGAACCCTAGAAGCTTCCAACATGGATTTCAAATCGACACTGAATCACCGTGACGGCCCCGGGGTCACGGTGCATGAGTTTACCTTGTTGCCCGTGCCGGGATTGCTGACCACGGAGGACGGAGCCGTCGGACGGCCCGCTCCGCGATTATGGCATCCCGAAAATGGAAGTATATAATCGCTAGTAGAAAGCACCTTGACAGCGAACACAACTGACTCCCTATCAACAAACTTCATTTGATACTCAAGCTTCATTACTCCTATCAAAAAGACTTCTACAAAGATGGCTCCCATCCACATTGGCTGCCCGCTCTACGATTACCAGACGATCGACGTCATTGGACCATGCGATCTGCTCAATTCCGCGAGTAAGATGCTCTTGGAGGGTATCAATTACTACGCCCCCGTTGATGCGAAACTTCTAGAAAAGGCACCCGAATTCGTCTTCCACCACATTGGAGAGACCTTGGAGCCAGTGCACCTGCTTACGAGCGCTGTAACAGTGGTGCCTACGATCGCGGTGGACGATGCCCCCGAATTGGATATCCTCATCGTCGGTGGGGATATCCCTGCAAAGACCAATCTTCCGCCGAAATTGCAGGACCTCATTCGCCGCCATGCTGCCTCTGGAAAGTTAATATTCACCACCTGCACCGGAGCCGCAGTTGTTGCAGCCACCGGCGCTCTAGACGGCAGGAGGGCCACGGTCAATAACATCGAGTACAATTGGGTTAAGAAGAGATACCCGAATGTCAAGTGGACAATGGAGAAGAAGTGGATTGTTGATGGCAATATTTGGACTGGGAGTGGAGCTGTGGCGGGGATGGATATGGTCGCCCACTGGATCAAAGAGACTTATGGGCTGGACCTTCTTGTCCAGGCGGCATTGTCGCTTGATTATGAACCGCGGGATGCTGATGGAATTTTCAATGTTCTGCCCCAGCGATACGATCCGACTGGAAAAAAGCTTTCCACCCATGTATTTCCCAACGAGATCTAAGGCATTTTTATGCTGAACCAGTCCCAGGGTAGTCAAGCAGATTTGAGGTCTGGGGTATAGATAGCTTATCAGAAACCGGTAGATGATGAATCTGTCGTGATAGGGAAAGTATCCATCAACAATACATCGTCCCAAAGCTGCTCATATTCTATCCTCTGGACTTCTGTGGCAATAGCACTTTGTAGCATAGGTTGATCCGGAGGCCGAGCAACATGACGGCTCGAATACCGCAATGCAGGGCAGCGGTGCAGATTTTGCATAGATGAGGCTTTGCTAATCGATACCAGAAGCTCGTGATGGGCCTTTCGACTATCGCGATCCTGCGTGGTGTTCTCTTTTGCTGATGTATAGGAAGTTTTTACACTTCCTATGATCTCGGGCAGCTTTGAAAAGAGGCTTTTTGTAGGTACTTGCCTATCTGTCGATGGCTTAAGAGTCTGTAGATGAGTCAACAGTGTATCAAGGTAATCTTGTAGATCAACAGTGTGCTGTGCGATCTCCACGTTCCATTCGGGCACTTCCGGTAGCCCAACGGACAACCTGTAGAGCACGAACACTGTCAAAATAAGCTGATACCATGCGGAAAATGGCAGGCTGTGGAGCTCTGCAGTGGGAAGGGTGAAAAAATAATCGAGATATTCTTTCGCAGAATTGACGCATTTGATCAAATTGCTGATGACCATTGGATGTGCAGATAACATGGTGGAATCTTCCTGTTCCTTTGGAGATGGAGGCCTTCTCTGCCCATAGCAATAAACCAAGCCCATTTCTTGAATCCGAATCTTGACTGCGTAGTAACCGTTGATTGGCAATACTAGGGATTTTCAATCAGCTAAATAGGGGGCCCAGAGCTTGAGAGGTTCCTACCCGCGTTACGAAGATCCGCTGATAAAGAAGACCACCATTCTTCTAACCGCATCGTGAATCGTTCAGCATGAATGTACAGCCGAGGCCCACAGATGCCTTCTGATCGGTAGGTCTCGCAAACTTCCCCGGCAAATTGAATCACTTTCATCACTGGGTATATTAAGAGGTCTGTCTCGAACTCTGGTTGTTGTTCCAGCATCATGGCGCATTGAAGCATGTTTTGGTGGAATTGGAGATTGTTGGGCTTTCCCGATGACATTGCTATTCTAATAAGGTCAGTTCAAGCCCATTGCCTGTTATCTGCCAGAGGATAGGTAATGGCATCTTACATGCTAGACATGTAATAGCAGCCTAAATAAGCACGACATGCTTCCCGGATATACGTGTCACCCAGCTCGATTTGCTGCCCAAGCAAGTCGGCAGTCTCTTGGTCGAGGCGAAGGTCAATTACCAAGCTGATTGCGATTTGTAAGTATTTGTAGGTTTGCTGACTGCCTGGAACAAAGTCGAAGTGGAACCTGACATCAATTAGTTTGCTAGTGCCCCCAACAACGACAAGATAAAAGGCATTCTGGGAACTGGGATCCTACCAGGCGATGTGGACAAGTAATCCCTGGAGCAAATCTAGATCTTGCTCGCCAGCTATGAGAACACGCTGACTGAGGGATTCCTTAAACTGTTTAATCAGAGCATCTTGAAGGTGACAGTGATTTGAAGAAGCAACAGCAGCAGCCGCAAGTAATAGAAATGGGCGATCTTCAGCCATTGATGCAGCAGTCCAGGCATCTGAGAGCCGCACGAATGGAAAATAGGATCCCATGCTGCGGAACCTGTCTAGAAGATGCCCAATAACGACAGGACCGAGTCCTAGATCGGCGATCCAGGCCGTGTCCGTAGCTGTGGATGAATTCTGCGGATTTTCTAGGCTATCTTTGGTGGCATTATTTTTCTCGCTCAACTCCAGGCCTTCGTTCAATTGTGCATTATCCAGGTACCCTTGGCTCATCCATTCGGACGTTGGGTGTGGACTGTCGCTGAAAATGTCCGGATTTGCAGGCAGTCCAAAATCCGGATCAACGGGGGCTTGGATGGCACCAAGGGTGCGCTCGAGTGCGAAAGAAGACCGATGATATTGGTGAGCTTGGACTCAAGGTCAACCAGTCGCCTTCATTCTCCCCTGTCAGCAACACTGATCTATTGAGTGAAGGGCCCTCCAGGGTCACTTACGGTTTCGCTCGTTCTGAAACTCGAGCTCGCTGTCTCAGCTCTGGGAATACGCATTGGGAGTTTGATCTGGCACATCTACTCAAATTAGCCCGAGGGGAAGTATGTGCCAGTGGTCAGGAAATTAACGCGCACTTGGTACAAGGCTGTCCCTCCTCGGGTCGAATACATTTCACCTTGAGGACACGGCATTTTTGGCACGCAGGTGCCGCTTTCTTCGGCTGACGAGGTAGGTTCGTCGGAATTGTGTTATCCATCATCAATATATTTTGCGTGATCTCAAAATTGTAGGCTAAAAAAATTGAAATGAGGAGCTTGTTTGCGCTAAGATAGTTTCAGGCCGGCAAATATAACGTTCCAGCTGACAAATCCACACCCTGGCCCCTATTAAACAAAGTACGAGCCCAGAGAGTAGTAAGTACGGAGCTGCACAATGATAGTGGTAATCGGGCAAGAGCGAAGCTATCTAGAGCTAGCCATCGGATCATGGTAAGTGATCAGCCTAGGCCGGCCAGTGGCGTGCTCAATTCTACTCAAGGTTATCCGGTACATTTGCACCCTAGTATTAGCAGTAGTTAGTATAAGCAAACGCCAATCCCTAAGAATCAAAAATCAAATGCATCCATTGGGTATTCAAGTTATCATCTGGACCTCTAACCATTTGAGGAAAACAAACAAAGCCCATAAAACGAAAAGCGGTAACTTGAACGGCATATACCCGAACGAAACCTCCCATCCGTTTGAAAACCCCCTAAAGAAAATGAAAAGATATACCGGAGAGATAGAGAGAAACTAGCCCACCCCACACCCCTCCGAAACGAAACAAAACAAAACAATAGAAAAACAACCTGGAACACAGCACAACGAAAAAGCAGGGATATAATGGGACTTGCTTGCGTGATAGACAGAATCCGAGCAGAGTCATCAATCAGGGATGGCCTAAGCCCGTGCCCCGCATAAAAAAAAACTAGAAAGTTTTGGAAGACGGCAAATTTGGAAATCGTTAAGGTCGAACACTTCATTTCATTAGCAGCGCGATCATAATTCCTATCCAAGAAATCCTCCCATCACCACACCGAACAAAAACAGATTTGTGTATGATTGAGGGACGAGGACGACTAGACAGGACAGGCTATAGGATAAAATCCGGCTGCAGCAAGATTGGGCGTCACGGCATGCCAGGAGAAAAATATGGGACTCGAAGTGGATTCGTCATAATGCGAGGATTCGTGTTGATGTTCGAGAAAAAAAAGAGGAAAAATAGATAAGAAAGGGGGAAGAAAAAAGGAAAATAACAAAATCGAAGAACGGGAAGATCGAGAGAAAAAAAAGCATACACAGAGAGGAAGAGGATATTCTGCTTTCTTCTAGGTAGGCTTCTCGCATCCGATTCGTCCTAGTAGAGCTTTGCGATCACTCTGGTCGAAAGGAACACGGCCACGACCCCGGGCACGAACCGACGTGGACCCATTCGACCGGCGACGGTCCAAGCCGGGGGCAGTGTCGACAGCGACGGGGGTAGGGTTAACGCCATCCTTCGCGGCCAGCCGCACGGTGCCGTTCGCAGTAGCTTCGGGGTCGACCTCGGCCTCGTCTTCCTCGTCGCTGCGGCTGTCCTCTGCGGCGCCGGTGGCAATGGTTGTGTAGGCGACACGGACGATCATGGTGAACCAGACGACGGAGAGAAGTTGAATGGAGACGAGGAAGGCTAAGAAGATGAACTTGATGGTGGGGTTCATGCAAACGGGGTTCTCCAGGTTGAAGAATGGAGCAAAGAGGTACATGAAGGCGTCTGGGTAGGGGTTGGTGCTGGTCATTTTGCCGTACTGGTAGGTTCCGAAGGCCATTCTGGCGGGGACGTTCTTGTAGATGTTCCAGCAAAGCATATTATACAGAACGTGCCGTGTGATGAACCAGGTCGACATGAAAATGCCGAACCCGACATTGCAGGCGTTCTGGTAGTGGAGGTACTTGAGGATTTTGGCGGACTGTGGGGTAGTTGTCAGTAAATGTACCGCCGAGGGGAGGGCCAGGGATTGAAACGTACCGGAAGGAGGAAGTCCACGATGTCCATCAGACAAAGTACCACGTTGGACACATTGTAAAAACCGTAAATATAGGCGGAGGTAAGGAGGGTGCTAGTGATGACGTGGTGGGCGAACATTTGGTAGTGGTCCTTCCGTCTCTCCTCGACATGAATGATGAAGATGGACTGGATGAGAAAGGCCAATTCGACAAGCAAATACCACTTCATCAGACCGGACATGGGACGAGCTGGCCATTCATCCCAGATAGCACTGAAATCAAACCAGTAGTTCGAGTTCTTCCACAGGTACTGTCGAATCTAGCATTAGTTTACTCAACAACCCAACGAGTTTCACTCATGTCGCCGCGGAAAAGGACAAGACATACCAATCCCGTCGCCCAGACAAAGCTGTAGTACATAACTTGCCAGCCCTGCTCGGCAATGCGAACTGATGCCTTTCGTTTCACGCCAGACTGGCGAGCCAATGGCTGTAGAATCCATTCAATTGAAATGGCGCGGACCGCGGTAAGAGCGAGGGCCGCACTGAAAACGAAGTAGACATCGTCCCAGCCCTGAACGTATTTACCGGAGGCGGGGTTATAGTAGGACAATTCGAAAAAGGGCTGAGTATAGGGACGCAAGGAAGGGTAGAGGTTATGAAGTGCCAGCAACATTGCCAGAATGGTCAGGGAGATACCTGCGCAGCGCCAAGAGCGTTAGTGGAAATCTTGTCAGAAGGCCGCGATAGGGGAACCAGCGTTTATTTGCACTGGCCATGGCATAGGAGGTTCTATGCCACAGCGAAAAAAGCGAATTGGCCAGGATATTCAGGGAATCAATAGCGTACCAATTTGGTTGTTGACCACCCATTCGCGGAACGTGGTCTCCTTGGTTCGGGAGCCATTCGGGGAGGAGACATAGACATTGAGCTCCGAGGCAGCTGTCTCCTTGTCCATGGCGGCAGTCGCAACTGGAATAATACCAGCTGGGGGAGGTATGTTCAGGTTGATGGGTGGAGACGGGGTAAAAAGGGAGGAGAAGAGGAGCCCAAAAAAGGCGGGCTGAGGGTGAGTCGAGTCGAGTCGAGACTCTTTCGTGGGCCGCGGTCACTTTTTGGGTGGGACAAGGTTGAGTGGGAGCGTTTGTTTGTTGCTGTTTTTTTATATTGCCATAAACACCAAAACGAGGGAATAGCGAGAGAGTAGAGATCCGAGGGGACAAGGACTCAGGGCAAAAAAAAGAAAAGAAAAAGAAAAAACCCAGGATTGCCAGAATCCAAACGGGAGAGAGGAAAAGAGGTGGAGGGGAAAGTGGTTGAGTCTCGTTTCGTTTCACTTGATGATCGACGCTCCACACCGCCTCATCATTTTGATCGAATGAGCGGAGGGCAATTGTGTACAACAGAGGACAGGTGGAGGACAGGGAACAGGAGACTGTGATTCTATTCTATATACTTGGACAGATTATGAATTGTACACTCTACACCGTACACTGCACACTCCTAGTCCAGCCCGTCCGTCGCCCCGCGAACAAACTCCTGCGCATTCATCCCCAACTGTGCTAGATCCACGCCGCCATGACCAGTAAGTGCCCCTAGACATGGCCTGCACCACCTCCGGCTCTTCCCAGATATTGTTAACCACCGTACTCGGACCCGTCCCCGTGCCTGCACCTGCGCCTGTACCTCCTTGCCCCGAACCTGCGCTCGTCCCCCCCACTTCGAGTCCGGTCCTCCACCGCCGCGATGGCCTGCCAGTATGCGTCATCACGCTGCTTGAGCGACCGATCCCGCACAATCGCGTTGCGGGTAACACTTGTGGCGTGGAGCTTGGACTGGACGCCATTCAACATCTTGAGGGCCGAGGAGACCCCTTGGTCCAACTGTTCTGAAGACGACGGTTGTTTGAAGAAGAATCGGTGCGTCGAGGAGAGGTAGATGATGGCCGCACAGCCCAGGTCGAACACACCGAAGACGAAGGGCCGAGCCAAGGTAGAAATGTAGTAATAGCCATAACTGACGGGGGCATTCTTGGCTGCTCTGTCCAGAGTTGACCCCCCGGTCAGGGCATCATGAGTGGCCGCAATGTAGATATCACAGAATGCCACCAAAGACGCAACGAGTGTGAACTTGCCTCGCCAGCGAGCGCATTCGGAGCCGGAGAGGGCCTTCGATGTCACGATCAACAAGATCAGAATATGTACCAGGTGCGGCAGAAGGACCTGGAATGGGAGGTAAAAGAAGAGGTAAGTGGACGGCGAATTGATCGAGCAGAACTCGCACTTGGTGATGGTATCCGGTCCGAAGGCGAGGTAGATCTTGCGGGCGCTTATCGAGGTGAGGCTTTGTTTGAGGAGCTCATCGGCTGCGGTCAAGGTCTCGCTGGGCCGAAGTCGTGCGAGGCGAGTGAAGAGTACATCGGTGGAGGTTGTGATGCGCGATTTAGTGAGTTGGAAGATATTTTTTTTCGGGCGCGTAAGGTATGAAGGGGAAGCTGAGGGCGATGTAGAGACAGATGGCAATGAAGAGGAGGTTCAACGCTCGTTCAGCACCCTGGGGGATTGGGCGTGGTGGTGGACGAGAGGCGACGGATGCATTGAATGAACGGTATGCTACTAAAAGGCGTGGGAGAACAATCGGGGCGAAGAAGATGACGATCGATTTGATGCTGAGGCCAGCGGTCATGGTTAGAGAAGCACACGCGGGTGAGGGTGAGGATGAGGATAAGGACAGTTCAGCTTTCAACTCACGTCGACCAAGATGGGATATCTATTCCAGCCATAGTGGCGGCAATTAAACACAGACTGCTATTTCATGGGATGCGAAGAAAGGGAAGGGGGTATTGAGAAGAAAGGCATTGATGTCAAAGAGAGGCCAGCGGCCAAACATGAAGTTGGCCCCGGGTCCAAAAGCGGTCTTGGCGCTCCACCGCTATACTTCCACTCCTAGTTACTTGCCATCATGGAATACTCTAGCCGTTATATACAGAATATAATATATTTTACAAGGTAAAAGGTTTAGCTTTACTAACAGGATATATCATGTCTATGTCTATGCTAGTCGTAGCAGTGCAAACACTTATGTGTTAGTAGAGCAAAAAATCACAAAGAATCGAGTGTTAAGCAGACCCAAGCAAAGAAGTGAAAGACAGAGCAATCAATCTAGTGCGGATGGTTTTAGATAGCAGCAGCAGTAAGATACTCTATAAATACTATTATCCCACTTTCTCTGAATTAAAACAGTATTTTCAAGGTTAAAATAACCACTTTATGAAATTCTCCATTATAATGTAGTATCTATATCATATATGGCGTCAGTCGCAGGGAAGGTGCGACCCAGAGTAATTATATCGACTACTAGTACTACTACTAGTAGTACTAATACTATGGGAGCAATGGTACTCTTATACCCTGCTGCCTTCCCTACTTTCTACTATCCTATTTTATACCTTCTCCTACCCGATAAAAGTGATCCCTACAATGATGGCCACCAAAGAGGCCCCATCACTCACAATGCCTGAGGGATAGGCGACTGCCAACAAAGGTGCGAGAGTGCCTTCAAGGTGAAAGTTTTTTTTTTTGTTTGTTTTTGGACGAAAAGGGCACCGCAACTTTTACCTATGATGCTCACTCCTACTTCAAGTACTATTCGGGTCCGGGCTGGCGGGTGCCTAGAGGTGCCTGGGATGATCCGTAGGGAAGGGACCATTGGAAGTATACTACTAGTACTGCTAGTACTAGTACTAGTAGCGTACCTACTTTAGTCCTACTTTAGTCTTCTTACTCTTCTTCCTACTGTCATCCCTCCTACTTCTACTACCACGTCTTCCCTGAGTGAATTGTCTTATGTCTAGCTTTGCCAGGGAGCCAGTATGAGCGTCGAAATGAGAGAAGGAAAATATCTGGGAGAGGAGATAACTATGGAGGAGGTTGAGGAGATCAAGTAGCTTTGAGATTTCTTATTGCTTAACTGAGATCATTGTCTAGCTCTAATGCTACTATTCCTAGTACCGAAGTGCCTGGTAGTTTCTATCTCGCATCCTGATAGCTTCTTACCATGCCCCCCCCCCCCGGCTTTGACATGCGATCGTATCTGTAGCAAATTACATATGTTGTTTGATGCAATGCCTTAGGCATTCGGGATTGGGTGTATTTAAATGATTCCCTTTGTTGTCCTGATTTTCCCCTCCATGGTGAATATTGAATGTTACTGCTATTACTCGATTATCTCCATATACGTGAGCTGTTGCAGGATTTAGACATTTAGTTTTGGAAGGCGACAGCGTCCAAAATCACCAGTGCTTCCCATATTCGCAAAGTTTTATATCTACAGTAGCGAAGATATTGTTCAAGGCAATAGCGTTTCAACTGATTATAGACAATCCGGGTGTCGGATATTAGTTATTTCCCGTCATATTCAACGCATATTACGAGGGTCAATACCCGCGCCTACTGGAACTTGAATGTGTGATAGTTTCAATCTCCCAACATGTTCGAGTCTCAGGTTTCTTCTTCCAATTTCTGAATAGATCCATGGATATTTATCTCTTCCGAGATCTAAGGGTACCTTTACCTACAGGCAAGCTATGTGATTACCCGGTGGCGACGGCCTCGGAATGCGGATAGCCTATCCAACCTTAATCTGTCGACCCCAACATGCCAACATTTCTTCTCCGCCCAAACAACAGACTACAGCCATTGAAACAAGGCTTAGTGGGGAGTTGAAACCTTAGAATAGCCTACTCGGAAGCCGATTGTACCAGTGGCCTTATACACTTCACCGCTACTAGTACTACTAGTACTGGTAGTACTACGACCGTGACGTAGTTCAACAAATTGGGGCCAGCCGGTAATTCCGCTTGATATAGATTTTCCTATAAGATTCGCGCCCCCGTCCATATTGGACGTTCAAGAAATCAACCTCGGCCTACAGTTTCAAGTTCAATCCCATTCTCCAGCCCTGAACCCTCAAATCAAACCCTTGACATCATGCAAGAGCCGACCTACGATTCGACGTATGTACCATATTCAACTTGAGATAATCAACTACCACAGTACGGATGAACCTCACCATGACTCGGAGCTAACGAAGACTTCAGCCGCCCGATGCCGGCCATCGAACTCGTCTCTCAGTACAAACTGAATGCTACCGGTATCACCGGAAAGACCGTCTGTGCCCTACGCGTCGTCTTCCCTCCCAATGGATCAACTCCTCCTCACAGACATGGCGGCTGTGCCGTGTCGGCATTCGTTATATCGGGCACACTATTGAACAAAATGAACGACGACCCGATGAAGGTGATTGAGTCCGGCGGTACCTGGTACGAGGCTCCTGGTTGCCACCATCGAATCAGCGACAATGCAAGCAAGACTGAGGAAGCTGTTCTTCTGGCTACTATGATCGTCGACACTGAGGCGTTGGAGCGGGATGGAATGGGCGCGCTTATTCAAATTGATGAGGAATATCGTTGAGTGACCCTCATTGTAGGTAGAGAGGTGGAATTAGAATCAGTCTATATGCCAGTGGCATAACTTAGATACTATGGAAAAGGAAACAATGATGAATGAGACAATGGAAATTTTAAGTAGAGAGTGTAAAGTAATGTCTGCAATCAATCAAATCAAATCAAGCAATGCACCACACCAAACTCCACTCCAACTCTAACTCCAACCGTGCCCCATAATAAACGCCGAACGCTCCCAGAAACAATCATGTCATCAAACGGGATAGCCCACAAAACCACATGCACATGAGCATACTACGAGACTACTACTACCCTCATCCCCTTCCCATCTAGACCATATTAGCCGCATTAGTCTGCCGCATAGAAGGATGATACGCCTCCTCAGGAAATGGCACTCCCTCCGAATTCCGCGAATAATGCGACGATGCCGCATCATCGTTGTTCAGCGGCGGTTGGAGATGAGCATGGTCCGCAGCGTCATTGCTCCGCATCATGGGTCCGGAGATCTTGATCGGGAATCGGCCAGTGAATCGCTTTGTTGCTCGCTTCAGGGCATTCTCGCGTGCGGGTTCGGGAGGAGTGTAGGTTGGTGGGTGAGGGTATTCTTCGCGCTTGATTCCTTAGTTGTAACGAGCGTTGGCTGCTTGTTCGGCTTATTACTTGGTCTTTGGCGCCGGCGCCGTAGATTCGGACTTGGCGGGCGCTGACGTGGGGTTTGCGGTGGCTGAAGATGAAGGTCTGGGGGAGATTGTTAGTATTTGGGGCAAGGCTGGACGGGACTGAACTGGGGGCGGAATGAATGTGAAGTACGTACCGCCAGGATGTTTATCACGCTCATGACCATGGCCAGGATTCCCGCTGAGATGACGATGCGCCAAAATGCGAGGCCGAGGGACTTTTGACTCATTGCTTCGGTGTTCAGATTGCCTAGTACGGCGACGCCGAGGATCATCATGGCTAATGCTAGACCGAGGAAGCCTGCCTCGTCTCCGAAGAGTGGCCAGTTGCGATTGAAGTAGTTCCGGAGGATCGGGAGCTCAGTGATGATCAAAACGACTAAGGGATATGGTTGTCAGGAAATCAGTCTGCAGGACATGGTGAGATGAATAATACTCACTGCTAATCAAAGCCATGACAGCATGAGTCACGGCTTGGAAGAAGAAGAAGCCATTCCGCATATCGATTTTTACCTCCATCACCACGCAGGAGGCGATGATATCGAGGAAGACAATGATATTGAGGGCGCGGATGGTGTTCAGAATCACATACCCTGGACCAGCCAAGGATTCCTTGAGTTTCACCATCATAACAGCGGAGTCGGTGGATAAAACTGCACCGAGTAAAAAAATGAAAATAAAGGTGAGTCCAAGAACTCAAAGATGTATAACACGAGCGAGACTTGGCTCGCGGGGTTCAAGTTGGGAGGAAGACTTTTATGGGAAGGAAGCAACTGGCCAGCCGGAAGCTTGTCGTCCCATAAAGGAGAAAGAGACAAAAGAAAGACGAGATCAACTCGAGAAATTTGGAACGGAATGAGACAGAAGGGAAAGAAGAAGAAGAGAAGAAGAAACCGAGCTGACGAAGGGGAATATCTAGTGTTCATCAACCATGTCATTCACCCTCATTCACTCCCGTCGCCATTGAGGCATTCAGGGCGGCTATTGTCTCGTTTCTAATGCAGGCGACAATGGAGCCTGAAAATAGAACCTGAAACAATTGAGACAAGTCCCGGAGGTTATTTTCGGAAGTGAAAGGATTTGCCTTGTTAGGCGGGTTGGTTTGTTTCATCCGGGGGGAGAGCTAGGGCAGGGCTGTCAGATCTCAAATATGATCGGAAGGAAGGATTGGCGGAGAGTTTCCGATGGTCTGCGAGATGAAACTGCGAGTGCCCTGGGTATTTGGGTATTGGGGATATTGGGGATATTGGGGATATTGGGTGTTGGGTGTTGAGGTTAGACTGTAGTTCTCTGGTGGTTATCACAGCCCTAAGTCAGGCATCTCGTGTTCCCAAACAAGCATCTTCAGCCCGTAGACAACCACCACGCAAACAAGGACACCTCTGATGGTATTCCCCCAATTTCTGATTACAGGGAATAGCATTTCCCTGCAGGATCCAATCGATCCAGTCGAAACAGTGCGGCTCTACGCGCCCAATCAGACCAACAGCCCAAGCGCCAGGAGTTCGCGCTGCAGAGTAACTAGCTCCTTCATTTCGGCAATCAAAACCACAAACACCTTGCAAATTCAGATAATAATTAAATCACCCTAGAATTCATCGGCCATGGCGCAAGTTGACCTTGACTCTGACCCTAACCCTGAGTCCATGTGGTTGGTTCCAGTGAAACCTCGAAAGATGATTCGCCCCTCCAAAAGCTCACGATAAACGCCGCCCCCCGCCCCTCCTTCTTTTCCCTTTTTTTCTCTCCTCTTTCTCCTCTACCTGTCTCCGTTCTCCAAGCTCCAGTCCCTCCCCTCCACTAACACTCCCCTCTTCTCTATCCACAATCTTTTTTTTTGAATCCACCATGACGCGGGGTAACCAGCGCGACTCCGATCGGGCCAAGGCCCAAAAGAAGGCCAACGCCACGGTTCGTCTTCCCCCGATGCAATCAATATCTATACTCCCTATTTCCCCCTGCTGACTCCTCCCAGAAAGGAAAGAACACCATGAGCGGAACTGAGTACCAAAAGACCAAGGAGGATGCCGCGACCATCATGCGCGAGAAGCAGAAGAAGGGTGAGTCTTCCCAATCCGTGGCCGAGCCTCAACAAAGAAATGGAAATAGAATCTAACCTGGTTTCTACTCACCCAGCCGACGAGAAAAGAGCAGCTGAAGCAGCTGGTGGGAACAAGAAATAACCCGTCCTAAACCTCCCCCTCTACGCCTTGTCGTCGCCTATCCCATCCTCCCTCTGCACCATCCCCCGGTTCGCATCGCACACTCCAGTTTTGGAAGACTGGCCCCGGACGAATAAACATGCGCATTACATTGAACAGTTCGCTCACTCCGAATGCGCAGGACAGGAAAGGCGACGAGCGTAATCGTGTTGATATCCATTGGCACCCTTCTTTGGCTTCATGCCTGCGACTAGCGAGGAGTTAGCAACGGCGTTTTACATACCAGCATACACCATACTTTTTACCCCCAAACACATAGCGAATATACTGTTCATACGAGTCACGAATATTGTGAAATAGATTTGTTTTCTTTTTATATATCTACATATTTTTGACATTTCCAAGAACTATCGAGTGGAGGATGTCGATCAGGGTTGATCATCTCTTGCGCCAGATGCTGCTGCTGCCCAGTATGCTTGTGCTTGTGAGAGTCGGTTGCGCCATGGCCATTTTGGCAAAGACCGCGAGGGCCTTGTTTCATCGGACATGATCTTGTCCGATTCATCGGAGAAAGTCTCACTAATCACAGACTCCAGACCGAATTGTCGAGTCGCCTGATCAATAAACGTCCACAGACTCTCCCCTTCCCACCCAATCTTCAGCGCGAATTGAAGAACCCGTCTCACTGTGCCGGAACGAAGATCTGCATCTTCACTCTGATCTAGCAAGTACATTGCGAACATCCAGCCGGATATATCCCGCGGGTGAGACAGACACCATGTCAGCGTCGGGTCCACCAAACTCGCCGCTGCGCGATCCATCTGGCCCGCATTGCCTTGGTCTTTGCTGACATCTGCAATATACGAATGCAGCTTCCGCATATATGTAAAAGCATAAAAGTTCTTTGGATGTAACATCCCCGCACGAAGCACAATATCGAGCTCTGCCCGTTCGAGATTTAACAGAGTCGATATCGTAGGCCTGCGCATCCTAGTCAAGACATCTAGCACCCATAACCGGTGAGACCAAAGGGTGGGAGATTTGGTATGTCGACTTAATGGCGAACCTTGATATGTTTGCATGAGTGTGAGCTCGGTCTCCAACATCTTTTCCGATGAAGAGGTAGCCTGGTTGGTCTCATTGTAGCGCGAGATAGCTGCCAGCAGCCATTTCTTGCGCCAGTTGCACGCAGTGAGATGTTCAGAATCAAATAGTAACATGATCTCTGTGATTATATGCTTCGGCACCTTTGATTCGGTGCTCTGGTTCGAATTCGAAACCTCTGCGTCGAAGTCGTTCGAGGTCATGGGCATCAAACGCTTGATGAAGAGCTGTCGGGCGACTGTAAAGGCCTGCACCAGGTATTTCTTGGTGACTCCGATCGAGGTGCCATGTTTTATGAATGGCGATTCTAGAGTTGAGGGGATGATGTCAATGTCTAGGACCTCGTTACCTCTTGAAGTGAAAAGGTCGGCGAGTAGGTGGAATGCGTCCTCGGGAGTCGTCATTGGGGAGTCATGTATTGGTAGATATTGTTATGGTTCATGATCTGCTCTCTTTGTTATGTATCCCAGTCGAGGTGAACAAGAAAGAGAAAGGCGAGCGAGCGGTGGTGGAAGGGGAAAGAGGAAGCTGTGATGTGATGATGTCTGGGAGGAACCATCCAAGGCGGAAACCCACTACGGCCACCGCGGAGTGTCAACTGTCCATCATTAACCCCTCGCCGAACCCATCATCCTACTTGCAACCTACCACCACACAACACCCACGCCCTCTGCGACGCCGCGCCCTCACCTCCGGCTTCTTCAGCCACTCCGATCGACTTTGCATCCCGGTCCGCTGTCCCCGCAACCCCCGCCGCCATGCTGTCGCTCATCTTCACGGTGCTCTTCGTGCACGTCGCAATCTACCTGGTCAACACGATCGGCGCAACCACAATCGACAGTCTGGTACGTCTACATGGAACGAGAGTAGGAGAGTTCAAATCTTCTCTACTCATCAACGTTCACTCTCCTCATCGTACCGCCGCCCCGAAAGCTTCTCCAGGCTAACTAACACCCTTCGCATAGCTATGGCACCTCTACCTCAAACTCCCAACCTCGACCTCGAGAAAGGCCCGCGAACAGCAGCGCAAGAAGCAAGAGGCCGTCCAGCTCAAGCGCGAGATGAACAATACCAGCTCACAGGACGAGTTTGCCAAGTGGGCCAAGCTCCGAAGAAGACATGACAAGAGCATGGAGGAGTACGAAGCGATGAGTACGTGTTCTCTATTCAATCCCAACTCCCGGGAGAATTAAATCAAACATTTGCACCGACAAGAAAGGAAATAAAGAGGGAAGAGAAATATTCCAAAAAGCTAACAACGCTCTCCAATAGACAAAGCAGTTTCGTCCCAAAAATCCTCCTTCGATTGGGCTGTCAAAATCGCCCGCTGGCTCAGCACAACCGGCCTCAAGATCTTTCTCCAATTCTGGTACTCCAAGACCCCCGTCTTCGCCCTGCCGCCGGACTGGTTCCCTTACTACGTTGAATGGGTGCTCTCGTTTCCGCGCGCTCCGATCGGTCATGTCAGTATTCAGGTTTGGAGCAATGTGTGCGCCAGCACGATTGCGGTTGTGGGTGAGATTCTTGGGGCTGTGATTGCGCGGGCTCTGGCGCCGAAACAACGGAAGCAAGAGGCTGCTGCCGGTGCGGAATCAAACTTGAAGGCGGAGGAACTGGATTAAAGGTGGCGGAGATGATGCAGTAAGTACCAGTGGGTTATGATTTCTATTCTATGTATGGGTGTACGGTGTACTTGTATTGGGAATGAACTCCGAGTCGGGGAGTGACTCTCAAATTCTACGTTATTATGAGTATTGCATAGCTATTGCATTTAAGAATAATTTGATTCTAAGCATCATGAAAATTCAATTGGTATAAACTAGTAGTATATAAACTCCAGACAGATCAAATGTCTCTTCACAAGAAGTGAGTTGTAGATGTTCATCAGATATTTTTAAATCGTTTCTCGTCAAGGATCCCTCTTTTGGGGATCTCGGGGCTTGACTCTATGATTGATATATCATCCCGCGAACAAAAACAAAACAAAGCTCATGACGAAGACTCTCTTCAAGAGAGAGCGAGAAGACAAAAGGAGTGTTGAAAAAAGTCCGACCCCTTCGACAGGGTTTCTGCACCGAGACCAACATCAATCTCAGCACCGCTTTGCCATAAGCTACAGACTTAAAAGATATCGGAACTCCTCGCCTCAAGAATGAGCCCCATTGAGTTACCCCCATAACACCGAAGTGAAAACAAGGGGCAATCGCATGACTATCGAACCACGACGAAAGGCAACCCGATACAAGAGAGATCGAAATCCCCCTTCCCCCCCTCCGACACGAGCCCACCGCCCCATTATAGCCAGTAACCCTCGCAATCGAGAGAACCGTCGGACGGTGGACGCAGTCGGGATGGGATAGGGCAATAAGCCGCTATCGAATTGCTTCTATGGCGGCGCGTTTCCGCAATGCCTGGCTTGGACTAACTCCGATCCGAAAATCAAAGTGCAGGTTGTCCGGGGACTTTCCCCAAAGCGAGTTTTTGTGTGAAAAAGGAAGAGAGTATCTTCCTTTTTGTGTGTGAGCTTTGAATGCGATCCTTTGAGCGAGGAGTTGAGAGGAAGGAGAAGCTTTGAGAGGTTCCGCCATATTTTTTTTTCTTATGTGCTATCTGTCATGTGATCGCTAGCACTACTTAGGTTAGCTTGAATCCCGTCACATGACTGGGTACACTGTTCTTCGGCTCAATTGCCTCAGTGTCGTGAGATCAAAAAATCATTCACAACGTCACGCACGGGCTTGTGGTTTAGGGGTATAATGCTCGCTTCGCATGCGAGAGGTCCCGGGTTCGATTCCCGGCGAGTCCATGCTTTTTTTCGTTGCCAGCGAGTGGTGGAGATCGATTGTCATTCACTTTGCTCTCGAAGTGGATGTCCAGGGTTGCCTGAGTCACGTGTTTAATATCACGCGGCCCACCACACCGCCTACTACTAACACCATAGCGATCGTGAGACGCCCTCTCTTCTTTTTTCGCAGCTTTATTACTTTTGGTCAATACTACATGACATTTTCTATTCATCTCGAGTCCTTACATGAAGTGAATATACGTACTATTCTCATAATCTATAGCTGAATTCGAGAGGCTCATGTTGGTTGACGTCTTTCCTGGTTTTTGATGATGGCGATATCAATGAACATGTATTGGGCTGCATGGCTCCCACTGCAGCAACTCCAGCTGCCTCTTGCGAGCTTCTCTTTACAATCGCTAGCAGGAGGAAAATACAATTAAAGAAAAATCATTTTAATGATATCTCCCAGTGGATCAGACTGCACAGATGCTCTCTATATCCTTCATATGTACGGTCAACAGGTACACATACATAACTTCCAAGGCTCCGCTGTTGGATCCTTCACTACTTGTAGTACTACTATTTTATTGTAGTACAAGTACAAACGGAACATAGAAAGTCTTGATCTAAAGATAGTCGAATTCCAGATAAATATATTGATGATCATTGACCCTAACGATGCATGAACAGGTTATTGAAAAGAGATACATGAGAAAAAACATTTTTGTACACCGATTACGCCTTGGTCTTAGTCTTGCCAGCCTTCTTGGCCTTCTTCTTGGGCTCAGCAGCAGGTGATTCTGTCACAGCCTCCTTAGCCTCTTGCTCCACCTTCTTGCCCTTCTTAGCCTTCTTGGGGGTATCTTCTTTGGCGGCAGGGGCGGGCTCAACAGCCTTCACAGGCTCCTCAGCGACAGCGGGAGTCTCAGTGGTCTCGGTGGTCTCAGCAGCCTCGACAGCCTTGGGCTCCTGAATGGGAACATCCTCCACAGCCTTGAGCTGGGGCAGGTTGAACTCGTAACCAAGCTCCTTGAGCTTCTTGGCCTTGGAAAGACGCTTCTTCTGCTCCTTGGCAATGCGGTCGGTCCACTGCTCACGGGTCTTGCCACGCTCGAGGCGCTTCTTCTCGATGCGGTTCCAGGGGGGTCTTCTTGAAGCGGCGGTTGGCGCCCTTCCAGATCTCGGGGTGGAGGGACTCGGCAGGAACGAACTTGCACTTCAGGATGTGGCCGTACATGAGGTAGTTGTCCATGGTCTCGGCGACGATCTTGGCGACGGTGACAGAGTTGAACTCAACGAAGGCGTAGTGCTTGGAGCGACCGGTGATACGGTTGCGAGAGAGACGGAGACGGGTGATCTGGCCGAATTGGGTGAAGTAGGCGCGCATTTCGTGCTCGTAGAAACCGTGAGGAATGCGACTGGAAGACGAGGCTATTAGTGGTTGTTCGTAGATACAGGTGCAGATTGACAACTTACCCAATGTAGACGGTACCAGGCTCCTCGTTGGTGCCGGCGTTCTTCTTCTGCTTCTTCAGAAGCTTCTGCTTGACCTTTTTGGAGTCTGGGATCTTGGGGACCGGCTTGCCGGACTCGAAGCCCTCGTCTCCAGACTCGTCCTCGTCACCACTGCTCTCGAAGCCCTTGATAAGGGCAGCAGTCTGGTCATCCTCGGCCTCATCATCCTCCTCGTCATCCTCCTCAATGTCCTCCTCTTCCTCCTCGCTGTCGTCGGAGGCGGCAGGATCGATAGAGAAATCCTCATCGGCAGACTCGTCAGACTCTTCAACCACTGCCTCGACCTTCTTGGCCTTGGAAGTGCCCTTCTTGGCGGCAGCAGAGACGGGCTCCTCCTTCTTGGACTTCTTGTTACCGGCGGCCTTCTTCTCAGCGGGGGCGGGGGCGGTCTCCTCGTTGTCGCTCAGGAAATCAGCAGCGCGCTTGCGAGGCTTGGCCTGGCGAACGGATTGGCCATTGGTCTTCGGGGCGGCGTCGACGGTGGTCTTCTTAGTCTTATCGGCAGCCTTCTTCTCGTTCTTCTTCAGAATCGACTTGGGGGTATCATCCTTGGAAGCCTCGGTGGGTTTGGCCTCGACCTTCTTGGTCTTTTTGGTAGGCGGCTCGCTGACGGCGGGGGCTGTTTGACATGTTAGGGGGGGAGCAGAAAAGGGAAATTGTATTCATTGAAGAATCAGACATACCCTTGCGCTTCTTATCCTTCTTATCGGGGGCCATTTTTGGGGAGATGTGATGAGAATTGAAGACTAGAAACAATCGCCGTCTGGCCGAACTTTTTTTTTTTCGCTGATTTGCGCCAAGGCGGTCAGCCCCCACAGCCATCGCATTCGCATCGCCCTACAGCGTCCCAAGCTCTCTCTTCCCTTTGCGATGCTCTAATTTCCAGGTAATCGGCCATGGGGAAGTCTAAGAATGATTCATTGAGCCACGAGGAGATATGGGATGATTCTGCCCTTGTACGGTCTTGGGATGAGGCCGTTGAAGAGTACCAGGTGTGTTTTGCTCTCCAACTCACGTGATCTTTATCTGACCAGGAGGACAGCTCTATCACAGCATCCACGCCAAAGGGGAGAACGTGGATGATGTCCTAAGAGAGGCTGAGGATGCTGGTATCACCAAAGATGTCAACATGAACGAAGATGAAACTATGGAGGGAATGGAGGGTGCAGCACCGACCCTCGAAGCCGAAGCCGAATATGAGCCTCAGGTATGTACAGATCTGCGATGCTTGGTCTCTATTTGCGGTTGCTGAATTTTATTCTCTCCAGGATACACAGGATCAATCGATTGGCCCTCAGAAACCTGCTGATGCCGGGCCAACCTCAGCTATGGCTCCAAACCCGGCACCTCTAGCTGGTCCTACTATGCCAATGCCAGAAGCGGTCATGACTAATGGTTAGTATCGTATTGAATATTTACTCCATGGATCAATATGCTAACCAAGTTTCTAGTTCAAGATGAAAATTTGAAACGCCTGATGATGTCTTGGTACTTTGCCGGCTATTATACCGGACTCTACGAAGGACAGCAGAAGGCTGGGCAAGGAAAGAACTGATCCCTCAGAAAGGGTTTATGGATGGTGCTTCCCATCTCGGACCATTATCTCGTTGATTTGCATTTATGCGAATGGATTAGCTGATTTAATATACCCATGAATTGATTAAATAGTGACAGAAATCCAAGTGCACTTCGGCCAAGCATTCGGACGCAAATAGATATTACAAAATTTTTGGACAATATTTCAGTTGGACTATCGAGTACTTCATTATTCATTCGAAAGTTGAATATGAATTCATAATAGCAGGGTGGGCCCGCTACCCAGCTCAAGACCAGCTCACGATGTACTATCAAAGGTCCGAGACAACAAAGTACAGAACATAAATAAAAGCAAAGCCACCCCGTCTCGTGTTCGCCGAATATAGTAGTATTGCAGACCCTGGGATCTAGACTCTTTCTTTCATCGTAAATTCACGAGACTATAGCCTTGGTGATCTATAGAGTAGCGCCGGTACCGCCCAGAAGACCACCAACAACGGGGAGAGCGCCGAGGGCATTGGGCTTCGAGGTCGGGTGGACAGAGCTCTTCGGAGTGGCGCTAGCGAAGTTGCCGGAGTAGAGGTTCTTATCAGTGGGAGTAGGGACTGGGTCCTTAGCGACCTTCTCCTCATTTCCAGCAGCAGTGGGGTTCTGTTCCTTGGTCTTTTCCTCTGCCTTGGCCTCCTCCTCTGTCTTCTCGTTGTTGTCAACAGCAGGGGGCTTAGCGGCCTCTTTCTGCTTGCCGTTGGCGACTTTGTTGTCAAGACCCTCCATGATCTTGGGGATGGCCTGAAACTTATTGTCAGTGGACCGATATAAATTGACTTTGAAGAAGTTCATACCTCCAGGCCGTCAAGGGCCTTAGTAAGTCCGAAGCCGTGGCCCTCGTCACGCTTGGTGCCAGTGGGCGCAGACACAGCGCAGGTAGCCAGGACCAAGAAGGCGGCGACGAAAGACAGGTTGAGACGAGTCATTGTGTATGAGGTATGTGTTTGAAAATGTAGATCCAGAGAAAGATAGTATGTTCAGGTGAGGATTTAAACGAGTGTATAGCCCGATAAGTGATGATCTTCAAGGATAGAAAGAAGAATAGAATCAGAGCAAAGACCAGAAAACGCAGGCGACAGAGGAAGGCATGGCAGGTTTATATCCAACCCCTTCTCTCCCTGTTGTCGCAGTTTTGAACAGGAATGGAACATAGTTACAGGGGGGCGGGATGAGGGAGTCCAGGGTGCGAGGAGCATTTGGGTGCCGTCTTGCGTCTTTCCGCGGTATTTTTGCTATGGACCGCGTAAACATTGCATTGCCTTTCCCCATGATTCGCGAAGAAAAATGGTCCTTCGGGAGATGAGGGCCAATCTTGTTCTACGTGTGCATCTTTGCGCTTAAGCCAGGTACCGACTTGGGTAGCCTTAGCCTATACACATTAATCGATCTGCCGCGCAAGGGGGGGGCATGATCCAGTCAAAACCGCCAGGGTGAGGGAACAGATCCAATGGGAAGGATTAGAGACTGGATTCGTGGATGTCACATTCCAATCGGAGGTTCTGCCCGTATCTATCTTTACTTGATCAACATCATAATCGGGCTTGGGGATCAAGTCAACAATACTCAGTTACGAAACATTTGAACGCCACTCTACTACAGAAGCAATACATACGAGAATCAATATTCAGTTCAGAGAAATGGTTTGATATTGTCTATGTAAAAGTCGAGCAAGGCCTCAAGACCAATGTCGATCTCAATTCTATCTGCATTCCACACCCCTCGGGGGAATGCGAGCTTGGCCTCGTATATCACGAGGGACCGAGTGGTCAGGAACACGTTTCTAACCACATCGTAGAATTATTGAAGGAATGTACCTCCCTTCTTTGGCACGCACAGCCCCATATAGAGGAGCGGACGTAACACGAGGGAGTCTCCAGATGGATCTTGTCCAACTGTGAGGTCTCGCTTTTGGCAAGATTTTGACCTCAACTATCATTGAGAAATAGATGGACAAGGCTTCGAATCTGCCAAGAAAATGAAAATGCGCAGGCGGAGGGGGACGGCTGGGGTGCAGATGTCGGCGACGAGGGCTACGGTGGCGAGGACCTGTGTTAGTCAAGTCATACGAGTACTAGCATGGTGCTTTGTGGTTCTGTATGCAGCTTCCCTCTCCGAGGGAGTTGCTGTGCATCAAGCGGAAAAAAACATCACATTCTGCAAGAGCACGACAAATGACTCAGAGAGAGAAGGGGCGCCAATGGCGGGGTTGATTATTGCAAGCATGTATAACCATGTCAACAATCAGCCCAATGGTTGCTCAATCCCAAAAAAAACTCAAGGCTCATGACCTCCAGTTTGATTGGAATGAACAACCTTGGAAGTTTCCCAAAAAGGGGTGTATGCTCCAAAGCGAACCCAACCATTGTATAGGGGAAGGCAGAACCATCCCAGATCAAGAGTCGGGATTAGTACGAGCACGTCGTTCTGGGTCTCGTTCTAAAATTTGCTGGATGGAATAATGTCCAAGCGCAAGGGTATGATGGAGACCGTGTTTTGTAAGTAAGTTGGAGAAGAGAAAGGACGAGAAAGGCTGTGCGACGAGAAAACTCGGCGGGTCGTTAATCGATTAGTCATCCGGATTATGTCATGTTTTTTTTTTACATTTCGGTGGGTCGAGTAATACGAATACGAATATCATAGAAGTGAACACACCTACAGGCGGTTTTTTTTTTTCATTTCTGTTTTTTTTTTTTGTTTTCAAAATCAATGATGGGGGGAAAATAACAAGAAAGAACGGAGGGTCGCAGGCTCCCCATGGGAATAGAACTAATACACAACTTGGACGTGGCCACTCTTGTAGCAGTAGTATCGCGAGGCATGCCAGACTAAATCAGCAACCAATGGGGAAAGGCTCCTCAAAGCATATTCTGTGACAGAACATCCTTTAATTAACTGGAAAGCCAAAAATAACATCCTCGGATATATTCATTGTGTGGTAGGTAGTAGGCGAACTGGGGCCCAAGGCAGCATAATCATTTAACCAAGCCGCTTGGCATCATGTGGCCCGTATTGTTGCCGTGCTAGTATCCGTCAACTCCTCGTATTACAACTTTTACAACTGTCAGGGGCCACAATGCTCAATCTCGCTAGCCTCCCAAATGAGATTCTTATTGATATCATTCAATATCTGTACTACGCATCCGATGTGAATTCCATCTCACAGGCATGCCATCGTCTCTGGCAAGTGGCAGATCCCTGGCTCTACGACCGCTACGCATTGGACTGTTCTCCTCGTGGCCTAGAACGGATCACAGCAAATGGAAATACCGACGCTTTGCGCAGGCTGTTCGCCGCAGGAGCGGGCTTTCCCCATGGGAAGGAATCCACACTACCACATCGGCCACGAAATCAGTTCGTACCTTTTGACGTTGCTACGGCCAATGGGCACTTGAATATTGCTCGCCTCCTCGTTGAAGTCTACGGTAGCTCGGGGGTGGATATTTCGCTATCTTTCACCAATAATTCACCCTTTTTTAATGCAATCCAAGGGGGCCATTGTGATGTTATCCGATACCTTCTTGATGTCGCCGCCCCACCAAACAGACTCGGGTATATTTGGCCCTCGAATTCGGCTGTTATCCCTCAGATATCTCGAAATTGCCCACCTTCTTTCTTGAAATCCATCGTTGAAGGACCGGAATGTGATATCAATGCGCCAAGCGAATTTGGGATTCCCTTACTTTGGCGCATGGTCGAACACTGGTCACCAGACGCAGTTGAGGTATTGCTTGATGCGGGCGCCGATCCCATGGTAGAGCATCGATGTGCAGGATATTACCCTTATCAAACTTGGATGTCTACCCATTTGACTCCATTATACAATGCCGTTTTTCACAATCGAGAGGAGATGGTTCGTCGTCTGCTCAAAAGAGGAACAAAAGAGTATCTCAAAACCGGCCTCAAACCCGAATTTCTGGCTCGAATGTTGGAGACACACGGCCCCTCCGTGCCTTGCCTTATACTTGAGGATATATTTGAGCCCTGGAGACTTTGTGATAGCGAAAGCGATCTATTGTACATGCTAAATCTCGCTGCTGCCAATGGTGACGCACAGCTCGTTCGCCAGATTCTCGATATGTCTTCCACAAAGGCAAGTAATAGCATCGATATTGCCCTAGGATATGCTGCCCAGAATGGACACATTAATGTCGTTGAAATCCTTCTTCCGTCTGAGTTGTCCGAGAATGGCCAAGTCCCCCAAACATACTTAATGGCAATTTCTAAGGCCTGCAAAGGCAAGCAGTCTCATGTCATCGATCTATTATTGGAACGTGTCGGTCCCGAGCTATGGACCCTGTCCAAGGAATTGACCCGTGACGGTCTTGCTAAATCTGGAGAAGATATAAAATTCACGCGGTATCTCCTAGAAAAGAATGCTTTTGCATTATCTGGACCTATGGACCGCGAAATATTGTGCCACGGAGCTATGGAACATGAGAATTTTGCCCTGCTCGAATACTTCTTGAATGAACTTGGGATCCCTTCCTTCAAATACCAGACAAAAGGAATCGGTGGCTCATGCAGATTTGAGGCGATATTCCGAGAGGCAGTAATTACAGGCAGCATTGATGTCTTCAAATTTCTGCTAGACAGGGAGCCTGTTCTTGATCCGAATAATCCAAATTGGGGGAATATTCTTGTTGAAGCTACAAGCTATAACCACCTCGATATTGTGAACCTCTTTCTGGATAATGGCTTTGATGTCAATACGCGTTACCGAATATCTGGCACGCCGGAGGATTCTGGGTGGAGGTCGGATTCGGAATCGAACGCAGATCCACCTGGAAACGCAGAATTAACAACAGATATGGTAGTTGCTTCGTCAGAATTTCCGCCCATACGGTATGCTACCATCCTAGAGGCGGCAATTTTCTATGTCATTTGGCCGGCTTGCATGTTTGATATTGGAGAAGATGATCCACCGAAGATAGGGATGGTCCGGTTACTTCTAGACCGGGGGGCTGACATTTACACCGTCAATTCCAAGGGTCAATATCTTTTTGAATGCCATACTCAAAAGGGTCAATCTGCTGTCATTCTTCAAGAATTCCTCTCTCGAGGTGTCAGCCCTCTCATGCCAATCCGAGGTACACATGAAAGTCTTTGGTCATATGCATTCAAAACTGCCATCGAGGTTAGCAGTCCTGGTCATTGGGAAAACGCAAGCCTCTTATCCCAATGTATCATGGATCAAGGTCTGCCTTGTGAGGTTTTCAGATCTTTGATTCCCTGCGACGACAGAATCCCTGTGAATATGAATCAACTTGCGGGAGAACCGCTAGGGGGGTTGGGAGAAATTCCATATCGTAAAGAGTATGTGGAGGCATTACTGGAGAGTGAGGTACCCTGTGTCGGAGTGTAACCCGAAGACAATAAAGGAGGAGGACACATGAATGTGTCAAGCGAGCAAATTAAGCTTACACTGATCTATGTTTACTTTATTGGCATATTAAATGCTAGCAGTACTCGTTACAAAGGAAAATGATAATTCAAAGGGGTAGAAACAACCCTTAAATTGTGGAATGTAACTTAATATATCGTTAGCATATTCCTAGAATCTCGATGCTGCGGTTTTTGCTTACTTCCTAAGTGCGATAAGTCGAAGAAGTGGTTTAAATTTGCAAAGCGGGTAAAAGCTGAACCTGTTCAATGAGAGCGATAATTTCACTCAGCATACGAATGACCGTGGTACCGGCAGCTGCTGCCTTAATATATTCCCCCACCTCAACAAGCGCCAGGATTATTTCTTTCAATCGGGCGTATAATTCACGAGAGTTCACAGCTCCTGGTAAAGCCTCAGAGCACATAGTAAATGTAAATCTCCATATATCCACACTTGTAGCTAACGATCTGATGAGATCGGAATGGGGAAAAGGATCATCGGATAAGATCTCTATCCACCTATTTGCGAGCACTGTAAACTCCCTACAGGCTTTCCTGAAATCGGAAACCTGAAAGTGAGACATGATTTAAGAATAGAAGAAGTCGATATCGAAGACCAATGGAGCGTTGGAACCCCTTGAAGGTCGATAGACTAATAATGATATTGTTCAAGACAGAAGCTGATATTTATATGTTTTTGGAATAGGTATCCTTGGAAGACCTTCGATGATCCGACGCGGAGCAAGCAGCTTGAAGACTCGGGAGTAAAAAGATCTTTATTGAATCTATGAAGACAATAAAAGTTTAATCTTGCCTATGGTAATTAATCCATGGGAGCTACAGACTTTGTTGCAGATTCTTTTGTTCCAAATCCAGCTTGAAACAAGCTCCTCCATAAATAGAAACCCTAAGAATGAAAACCAAAAGGCCAAGAAAAGAACAAAAGGCTCGACATCCGTCCGAGTCTATCACACAAACCATTGTCAATTTGGTTGGATACAATAAGACCAAGTGCTAGTTAGACATTTCTTCTCTTAGAACAATTTCGCCTTCTCCATTCGGTCTTTCGAAGCCAGCAAGGTACCGTTCAAGCACCTCCTCCGTTACCAAAAATGCCGAATCGCCATCCTTATCCTCCAACAAGTTCCTGGCTCTCACTCGTCGGCGCAGCTCATCAGCTTCGACGTCAAGGTAAACTAGAACCCAGCGAGCTCCATTAGATTCGGCGATTAGTTTCCATTCGTCTCGTGTTTCGCGGAACGCAAAAGAAAAGTCCAGTATCACGTTATGAACTCCTTCTCGAAGCAAGGAAATGAACTCAGATCGTAGCGCAACTTCTGCTTCCTCTTGATAGGCGTTGTACTTTTCGGCGGCGTAATCCTTGCCCCAGAGGCCATTATTTTTGTAAATCCAGGCGTCGATTGAAAGGCGCTGGAAGGACTGGTAGTTGGAGATAATCCATTTAGAAAGGGTAGATTTGCCAGATCCTAGCAATAATCATCGAGAGTTAAAATAATAAAAATGGTTCCTGTCTTCATGCCAAGAAATGCTTAAATCACATAACATACCTGCGATCCCACATGTCATCACAACTATTGGACGAGGATCTGTTGTGGAGCGACTAAGCTGGGAGACTACCGCCTTGGGTGGGTCAAAGAGGATGGTGGAAGCCATATTTTATCATCCAGGGGAAAGGAAGAGAATTTATCAAAATGACACAGAGAGTGCAAATCAAGATCCTTAAATGTAGATAAATGACTCACACGTACAGCAGCAACAGAAACTCCAGGGCCACCAGAATGGTTCGCCACGTGCAGAAAAGGTACCAGTACCGGAGATTCCAACCAACCCCACATCCAAAACCAAAATGCCGGCTCTTCCGTGTTTTCTTATTCTTTTCCCTGGTCAAATCCGATCTCGAACGAAAATCTCAAAAAAAACATCCTCAAAATGAGACCGAGGGCCCGGAGAGCCCTAGTACAACTCTTCATCTTCGCCTTCTTCCTGAATATAATCCTAATCCTGAACTGGCCCCAATCAAAGGCTAAATCCTTCCCATGGGCTAAAATCCGATATCAAACCCGCGCCACCACCTTCCCGTCTCAGCGCGGCATATGTCCAAATCTCTCAACCTCGAAAAAACCCGCACTGGTCGTCTCTCGGGTGGAATCAGATGGCACTGCATTCTGGTTAGACAAACTTGCTGATAAATACACATTATGTATCTACGATGTCGATATTGCGGGACAAGAAACATCCGCGCATGGAAGTTCCGACTCATCCTCTGGATATCTTCAAGTCCCTGCAAACCGAGGCCATGAAGCAATGGCCTACTTGACATTTCTGATTGACAACTATGAGAACTTCCCTTCCGCCGGCGCAGTATTCATTCACGGCTCACGCTGGGCCTGGCATAATGATGCGCCGGATTACGACAATGCGGCGCTACTGCGTGATTTGGATATTCCCGCCGCTTTGGCGCCTTCGGGCTACCACAATTTGCGCTGCGACTGGAGCGCAGGTACTTGTTCATCTACAGTTCCGGCCCAGGGTAGTCTAGAGATGAGACTACAGTCAGCCGTGACGCCGTGGAGCGCGCGTGCGGCATCGGATATGGCGCTGCCCGGAGCACTAGCATCGCTTTTCGGAGGCATGGATGGATGGAAGCTGGCTAAGCTGGGGAGGAATGATGCAGTGAGGGCCCAGTGCTGTGCGCAGTTTGTTGTTTCCCGTCAACGAGTTTGGCAACACACCAAGGCGGAGTATGTCGCCTTGCGCCAGTGGCTATTAGATGGAAGTGCGAGGACAACCTCGAGGAGAAATCAGAATGGGGCGGTTGCGCCTGCGGATGACAAAGTTGCTGGTCGAATCTTGTCTTATCTCTGGCATATTCTGTTTGCGGAACCTGGGGCTGATGGGCTTATTGGACTAGAGTCTTTGAATAAGGCTTCGTGCCCGAGTGCACAAGAGTGCTATTGTCGATTGTACGGGCGATGCAAGCTTCAATGTACTAATCCAGGAAGTTGTCGGGGGCAATATTCGGTGCCGCAGTACTATAAACTGCCGGATGACTGGGCTGAAACGCATTCATGAACATAAGCATCTACTATAAAGGCGCATTGGGGATATTTCTTTGTACATAGACGTAGGTCGGCCCGCAGATATGCTGGTGGAACATCCAACTGAAGTGCTAGTTCAACGATTTAGATGCCATTTTTCTACTTAATCCATGGATAATTTCGCGGGATGAATGTTTTTATTCTCCTGGACAGACAGATTGTTGATTTTGCTTTATAGAAAGGCATGGGAAGTTGTTTAATCATCCTATTTTCTTCATGCAAAAACTACATAGAATATCGAAAACAGTGGCATTTTTCCTTCAACTGCACCAACTCCATGTGAAAAACAATAGGATGTGGTGGGAAATGCCAGCGACCAAAGCGTCAGGGAGAGGAGGCGCAGGCAATTCTTTCTCGGCCGCTCAACCCCACTCCTTCGCTTTAGTGCTCAAAATAAAGCCAAGTTCAAACACGATTGGACTGCATCTCGTATTTCGTTCGACCAGGGCCACCTTGGTAGTCAGGTCTCCGTTTAAGATGAGTTCAGCCTCGCTATGATTTGTTTAAAAAGGAAACCTACTGCCACCTCCCCTTCGCCGCCAAGTATCCCAAGAGTTCAGCCAAGCACCAAGAATTTACCCAAGTAGTGAAGCATGGATCCCCTCTCCATCGCTAGTGCATCGGGAAGTCTGGCGGTACTTTGTGTTCGGGTTAGTCTGCGCATTTCGTACCTGCGTGTGTCTGGAAAGAAACTTATCACATTAAATAAATTTCACAGGTTGCAACGGCAATTTATGATATTACCAGCAGCATCCAGAATGTGGATGAGAATCTTTCAAGTCTTCGCCAAGAGCTACTCGGTTTATCTGGAGTCTTGGAGGGCGTTGAGAATACGTGGAAGAAAAACCACAGTCATCTTGTCGCGTACTCAGGTGCGGACGCTAGTCTGTGGTCAAGCATCAGCGACAATGTCAGCAGCGGAAGAGAAACAGTCGCGAAGCTGGAGAAAGCTTTCGCAAAAGTGACCAAGACAGGCTCATTCAGCAACAGCTTTCTGCGAAAACCAGTTAAGGCGTTCAAGTTAAGCTTATCGTCGGACGACATTACTCAATATCGCCAGCGCATCAACTCGCACCAATTGGCAATGCAGAGTGGACTGCAGATGATCATCTTGTGTCTTCAAATACAGGAAACCACATCTACACAGAACATGGATACATCTTTATCCACCCTGGGAATTATGATCAATGCAATAACTGAACGATTGGAAACTCTTACAACAAAAATGAATGGGCCTGGCGCATCGAGCATTTCTCTAGGGTCTACTGGAAGGGATGGGGTTATTTTTAGTCTCCAAAATATGGCGCAGGCCGCAAAATCTCTCTACTCAAGTGCTAGCACGGTAATTGAAGGAAAGAGATCTACTGTCTACGATGGAAGCATTCTAGGTGACCCCTTGACGGAAGAACAGTCCAAGTATATCAGCGACTGGATACCACCGACCAAAGACGATATTCCGGAGAAGGATACACCAAGCGATGCTGCCCCTGTTGCCGTGACCAACAATGATACGATTACACGAAGTGAGCCAAAGGCCAACACCAATACCACCACCAATCTTGATTTCCTCAGCAGAGCCATCGACACAGTTAAGAGAGCAATCGAGTACGATACTAAGGGCGAATACGAGAGCGCATATAAGAATTACTACGCGGCACTAGAGCTCTTCATGTTGGCGGTGAAATGGGAAAAGAATCCTCAGACAAAAGAAAAGATTCGCAACAAGGTGGGAGAATATATGGCGCGTGCTGAGAAGTTAAAGAGTTTTCTCGACTCGCAGAAATCTTCGAGAAATTCTTCTACTGTCACAGCATCGACCTCAACAGCAGCCAGCAGCAACAGTAGTACTACTACGGCCATTACAGCTAGTACTACCACCCTCGTTGCGACTCGTCTTCCCTTCAACCCGGGAACTCCCCATGTCCTGCCCACTGAGATGAGCAGCAAGTTGTTTGTCAATTACATTGCGGAAGCAGAGGACATCTCCGGGGCCGAAAATGTCCAAATCGTCACTTCCAACGACACGCTTTGCCGTAATATTTCGAAAGCCCTGGACACTTTGTGCATTCCACCGCGCGCGAATCTATTTCTTTCGGCGGTCATCGCTCCCCGTACTGTTGAGGATGTTCAGGGACTACTTCGCCTATTCCATCGAGTCAAAATAGCCGTGTGGCCATTCTACTCTACTGAAGAAGAGGATCTTCGGCATGTTATTCCACGGGTCCCGGGGAGTATGGGTTTGGATCTTGCGAAGTATATGAATAAAATTGTCGAGGTGAACGAGGATCAGCTTTATGCTATTGTCGAACCGGGGGTCTCATACGCTGCTCTGGCTCGTGATATCTCACAGCGTGGACTCGATGACCGGGTTTCGATCGATTGGCCCTCCTCATCGAGGGAGCTTATCATCGATCACGTTCTTGAGTCAGAGTCCGCAGCGGGATCATGTGGCATGGAAATTATCCTGCCGAAGGGTGATGTCTTACAAACCGGAGTTTTGAATCCTCACAAGGAACGTGGGCTACCAAAGGTTGCATCATGGAGGTCTTTGATGAAAATGCAAGAAAACTAACCATGTTTCTACAGGATCGAACGCTTGAACGGGGCCTTGTAAATGGATTGGTCCCAGTGCAGTGTCTTGGAGTTATTTCGAAGATAGTAAGAGTCCACATTCATGATAGATTGTTGAGCAATCGCTGACACGCATTTTAAAGGCTATAGAGGTCTGTTAAGGCCAACCCTACTATATTACACGCGCTACAGTACTAATGTGGAATATAGCTACGTCCAAAAGCATCAGAATGTCAGCCATTCCTCATAACCTTTAGCAGGAGTGATCACCTCCTACAAGTCATCGATGTCGCTCGACAGCTTCACCTTAGCGGGTTGATCCATCACGACCTCCGTCTCCGTCATATTTTCCTGGAATCAGAAGTGCTTTCTCGAGTATCATCGCCAAAACCATCCTCACTCGCACATGAACTGCACCTCGATTATTGGAATCTCTACGGCGTGATCAGCCAGCCAGAACCTCTACATGCTTTAACCTGGGAGACCATCAAAAAATCATTCGAGGACGAAGGAATGGAAGCAACAAAATTCCACCTTCCAGATAAAGATTTCCCCGCGAACCTCCGAGTCTATATCCAAGAACGAGCGTGCCCTCGCTTCTCGGCATTGACGGATACACAAGATCTCAGATCAAGTACAACCGACGCGAGCGCATTACAGAGAACTCATACAATGTGCAGCCGAACATCGCGAATAGTAACCGGATCAACGGCACAAGAAATGCTCGATACATCATCGAAGCGAGGCCAAGAATCAGACTACGAGCTCATGAATGAATTCGTCCTCACTCGGAACCGATTAATCCACAATATCCACATCCTATCTCCAACCCACGACTCGAAAGCCCCCCAAAGAGTTCAAACTCTTGTAAGAGATCTCTTAAAGGATACTCTTACCCACCGGTGGGAGGATTTTCGAACACACTCCGTTCTCATGGATCAGATCATTTCTCACGGTGCTAATGCTGAGAGTAACTTTTGGCAGTGGGCTATGATCACCTCTGCGAAGGATGCGATTGATAGTAGCGGAATTCTGGCGCCAGGAAAACATGGCATTTGGCCTAAGCAGGCTTCTTCGGGGGCTTGGGAGGCGGTTATTGAGGACTTTTAAGAAGTTTTTTTGTTCTCATTTAATCTCTTGTTTCATGTTATGGCGAAGGCAGTTTCATTCAACTAACTAGCAACGTCAATCTACGCTAACCAACGGGCCAAAGGCAGGGGCTGATCTACGTTCTAGATAAGATGCTAGATCCGATTCATCATAATCCTTGAAGCAAATTGTGTATCGTTATCATGCTACAAAATACAAAACTATTTACAGGACAAACAAAGGACCACCGTCCATTCGCTCAGAAACGAGCCAGGACCCGCTCCTGCGCATCAGAAACAGCGTACTCACTGCTATGCTTCTGGCTAACCACAGACTTGGCCTGCGCAGCAGTGAACCCACGAGCCTCAACAGCAGGGTTATAACCCAGCTTATTAAACTTACCCACAACATCCGAAGGAACAGCCGCAGCGACCTTACCATCAGCACGCTTGTAAACAGTCACGACGACCGCACCGCCCAGACCGAGATTATGTTGCAGAGCCGCATCAGTACCGTCGATCAGACGATTATTCGCCCAACCACGCAAATGCCAGACCAACTCGGCGCACTGAGCAATACCTGTCGCGCCGAGTGGGTGACCCTTGGAAATGAGGCCGCCGGAGGGGTTAATGACCATTTTACCTCCGTAAGTGATATCGCCCTTGCGGACCATCTCGTGAGCCTTGCCCGGCTCGGAGAGTTCAAGCGCATCGATGGTAATCATCTCGTTGGCGGAGAAACAGTCATGCAGCTCGCAGACCTTGATGTCCTTGACGTTGACGCCTGCTTCGGCGATGGCCGTGCGGGCTGCGTAGCGGGACATGCCGAAACCCATCAGGTCAATGGAGCTCTGATTGTAGACTTGGTCTGTGTCGGAGGCGAGGGTTTGGCCGGCGATTAAGATGGCGTTTTCCTTGAGGTGTGGGCGGGCGTCAAGGAATTCTTGGGAGACGATTACGGCTGCGGCGCCGCCGTCGGAGGTTGGGCAGCATTGAAGCTTTGTGAGGGGTTCGTGGATCATGGGGGATTTGAGGACTTGGTCCAGGGTGTATTCTTGTTGGAACTGGGAGTAGGGGTTGCGCTTGGAATGTTCGTGGTTGATCCGGGCAATTTCCGCGAAGTCTTCGTTTGTTGCGCCGTACCTGGTGGATCGTGACGTTAGCATATTGTCCAACAAGGTATTCTCTCTCCTTGTTTGGGGGAAAGAAGCTCACTTCTCCTTGTATTCAACGCCAGCATTGCCGAACATCTGGGCGGCGCCGGGGGCATTGGTGACACCACGAGTCTCGGCCATCATCGTACCGAACAGACCGGTCGGGTTGGTGCGGTCATTGTACATGGACTGCAAGCTACCGGGGTTCATCTTCTCGAAGCCCACGACGAGCACACAGTCGGCGGCACCGTGGGAGACCATGGTGCGGGCCATGGCCAGGCCAGTCGAGCCGGTGGAGCAGTTGTTGTTGACATTGTAGATGGGGATCTGGGTGAGACCGAACTGGTAGAAGACGCGCTGGCCGCAGGTGCTGTCGCCGTAGACGTAGCAGGCGACACCTTGGTCGACGTCGTCGTAGGTGATTTGAGCATCGAGCATGGCCTTGATACCGGCCTCGTAGCCTAGCTCATTGTAGTCGACCTTGCCGCGAGGTTTGATGAACTTGGTCATTCCCACGCCTAGGACGTAGGCGGGGCTGGTAGCTTTCTTGACCATGGTGGCGGTGAGGTGACGGTGAAGGTGACGGTGAAGATGAAGGTTAAGGCGAATGTGGGGTGTATTAATCTGGGGTATGGTGGATGTGGAGGGATGAGGAAGAGAAGGAGGCACTTAATAAATAGGATCGATGCATTGTCACAGGTGCAGCTGGGGCCAGTGGAGAAGCTGATTTGCGGGGGGAGCAAAGGGAGAGGAAGAAGGAGAGAGCAGAAAGGCCGAGGTCCCGAGGATGCTGGCCCGAGGAAATGCCGGTTGCACAAATCAGCTCTGCATAAATCTCCGACCTGTGGTGTAGTAGTAACTATTCACTCGATCCAAGTCGGCTACATGATATTCAAATATTTCATATTTACTTCTGAATAGTTACGAGCACTCACGTTACTACTCGTAGTACTCTTGTTAGTTTCTTACTACTCTCATCACGTGCCCCCACGCGCCCGTGAGAGCACGTGAACTCCCACCATCAGAATATCTTCATCTTCATCTTCATCTTCATCACTCTCCCTTTTCCCACCACTCTTCTCTTTTCACTCTATTATCCAGGAAGCTAGAGAATTCACCTCTCGAGTGTAGAAACGTGACGAAATATATCCACATTCCATCCTTCCCAAAGAGGCAATCAACCAGGTGCCAGGGCTGTGCCCTCCACAAGTACCACCGTCCAGAGTCCAATCCGCAGGTACTAAGATTCTAGTTACTATCATATGGCACTTCCAGATGGACTAATACCCGGACTCATCAAAACTCTGGGGAACATCTATCATTCGATTTCATTCAGTGATAACTGATTCGAGGACGAAATAGCACACAGACCTCTCCTCCGGACCTTCTGCATGATCTGCACTCTAACAAAGGCCTGGAATTTGAGAGTATCATTCCAAGGTTTAAACCCCGCAAAGACAAGTTTTTTGGACTCCGAATGCAGTGTTCGACATGGCGTGAGCCATCAGTCATCCAACCCATGACCAGCCGGCATCCCCCCGGAGAACTGTCCCCCCAGCAGTTGAAAAAAGGTCTGGGGATCATGACGGGGAGACCCATGGGTGCCCATCTGTGGGCGATCAATACCAAAGAAGCAAGAAGCTTTCGGCCTCATTTTGCTGCGGCCTTCGGATGCACCCATGCATGCGACCGGGCCAGCAAAGCAAATATCGTAGATCCACCAGTCAAGCCATAGTTCCTGTAGATGGTAGAAGAATGGTAGAAAGCAACGTATATCCATCTTCATATCCATTCAATAATCCAATGTACATGGGTGCTAGTCGGTATCCCCCGATTATCTTCTCACGACGACGTCACTGGTTCGCCCTAAACCGAATCGAGGCGATTGCAAAAGCTCGGTCCACATGCCATTGAATTGTCCCTCCTTCTCCTCTTCACAGCACTGCGGGCTCGATTGGGCCTTGTGTTGAAATCCCGTTAGAGAGAAAGAGAGAACCAGAGAACCAGAGAACCAGAGAGGTTTGGTCTCACGGTGAGTTTGAATGTCTCCATCCAGTTCGAACTTCCCCGCGTTTCACCACTTCGTCACTAACTCCAGCCCAACCTCAAGCTCCTCCCAGCTTCCTTTCATTGCGACCGACGACCCCTCAACACGCCTATACTCGGCCTGTCCGCCACTGAAACCCTGTGACGAGTGTTCCTCAGATCTCCCAATCGCCCCAAAGTCGCTGGCACCAGCTTCTTTCATCTTCGTCGGGTTCAAATTGCCCGCATCTTATCGTCACGCCCGAATCCCCCACCTTTATCTCGATCTCCGAGCATCGCCCTCTTCCGCCTCCCCGATACCTCCCAGTACCCCTTCAAGATCCTTTCTGGATCTTATATAAACATCTGGAGGAGACCGGGCTACAGCAGTCCGCCGAATGGATAATTGTGGGACGCCGAACGGTCGACTCTGAAGCTTGAGAGGCCGCTTTGCGTTCCATAGGGTTCCCCAGCCTATCCATCGCCCCATTCGACGTATACACCAAGGTCACCACTATTTACATTTTGTCGGCATCTAGATCAATCATTCAAAGACCGGGAAATCAATCTTCAGCAAGCGCTGCCTTATCCGTCCCTGTTACGTTCACTCCGTTGGCCCCAATGGAAAACTTTCAGGCATGACTATAGATAAACGCACTGAACATGCTCCGTTTTCTCCACCTTCTACACAAATCCCCGCCACCATGCCGTCACAAAATGCATGGATCATGGATGATCCCACCCGAAACAGACTGTTGAAAAAATACAAGACCCAGGTAGCTTCGGGAATATCAACCGTCTGCGCGACCTTGGCGGTGGTATGTGTTTTCTCCCCCAGCAGCTAAGATCCTCTACTGGGCTGCTGGAAATATGGTCGCTGACTGTAATGGATTGTTGTTTAGACTCCTCTGGAGAACGTCAAAACTCGCATGCAAACGTGAGTCCATTTCCAGGACAGCCGGGGGAATAATGACTTGACCTTCTTTGTACTAAATATCGATATGTCTAGCCATAACTTTAAAAACATCTTCCAATGCGTCCGCTATCTCTGGCGGACTGAAGGCCCACGTGGCTATGTGGCTGGTTAGTTGACCCCGGACCCTGGGATTTGCTATTGTTCATCTACATTGGCCATGCTAATACCGCTCAGGTTGTCTGCCGCCGCTAGCCAGCGTAACCGCTGTCCGAGTCGTCAATTTTACCACCTACAATTGGGCCAAACATGCCATCTCCGACACCTTCCAAAGTATCACCGGAGAATCGCCATTGGAAGAATACAAAAAGCCCGGCAGCAGCCCGACAGTCGCCGGAATTCTCACCTTCACCGGTGCCGGTCTCCTGGCCGGACTGGTGACCTCTCCACTTGCCTGTAAGATCCCATCGGCATGGACGGCGCCATGGACGGAGAGAATCTAGAAGCATACTAATAAAACTCTCCCTCTTTGCAGGTCCATTCGAACTAGCCAAGAACGTCGTCCAAACCTCGGTCCTCGTATCTAACCGTGCGATGGCCGCGCCCGACGCAGCCCGAGACCCTTCACTACGCCGTAAACCGCGTTTGAGTACTATCCAGGCCATCCAGCAGATCATCAAGCGCCATGGATTCCGCGGCCTGTATACCGGATTCCGTCTGCACGCGATGCGCGACACGGTCGGGTCTGCACTGTACTTCAGCGTCTACGAGACCGTCAAACAAGTCGCAGCCAAAGAACTAGGCTCGGATAAGTCTCCATTCGGAGCGCCCATGATAGCCGGTGCGATTTGCAGCACCGTCCCGTGGTTTTGCGTACGTCCCTTTTCCCCACCCCACTCACTTGGTGACCTTGATACTACGATGTATCATAGAGCGGGGGCTGGTCTCTAACATGTTGCAGACTTATCCACTCGACACCCGCAAGACTCGCGCGCAGAGCGTCCTTCTTGGTAAAACGAAAGAAATCGGCGAAGCCTCTGTGGCCGTGGCCAAGTCGAGCATGTACAAAGGCCTATCCATCATTCTTATTCGGACTGGTGTCAACAACATGATTCTTCTTAGCATGTTTGAGTACATCAAGGCGCACATCGACGGGTTGCCGGCGTAAATTTTGTGTGTTGTGGTTGTGTTTGTGCCGCGGGTGCATGATGGAAGGGAACTTGGAGATCTTCGCCAGCCAGACTTGTTTTTTGATTTGTTTTGTCATACTGCCATCTTCTCTTTCACGTACATACCATGGATGAGCTTGATGCTTGTCATTTATCAATATGAATATGAGTTGGAGTTCCAATCATGATCATGATGTTATAGGCCCCGTGCTAGAGAGTGTAGTGCTAGTACTAGTAATGTAGCTCCGGCCCCGCAGTATATATAGTACCATCGGGTCATTGTGAATAAACAACTTGCACCTTGGAACCTTTGTGGAAACCTTCAAGGTTGGAATAAATAACCAAATACTTCTGCTGTCAAGCTTGATTTTCTATACTATTTCTAGTATTTATTAGCAGTAGGTCAAGTGTAAACCTTGGAATAACGCGTTGTATACAAAGATGATAGTGGGCCCCACGTCATTCGGTTGCCCCGGTGGTGGGGGAAGAAGCAACTTCGTCTGGAACCTTCAAGTTGGAACAACATGAACCTCTCCAGTTCCCAGCGCTTCAGGTTGCCTGCCCACCCCCGCAACAATGGCTTCGTGAGTCCTCAGCTTACTAGGCAGTTTGAATCTGGTATTCACTAACACCCTCTCAGCAATATTCTAGAGCTCCCGTTCCGCCGCTCGCACACCGTCTCGCTGTCGGATGCCATCACCCAATACATCTCGTCCAAATATGATCAGCGCCCCGATATGTTCGCCGATGATTTGATGATTATCGATCGCCTCCGTTCAGAAGCTGTGAATGTCCAGGAACCCCACGTCAGCGGTATCAGCAGGCTGGTCACCTATGCGGCCCAGCTCAAGTGGCTCGGTGGGAAGTTTCCGATTGATGTGCGCGGGCTTGCACCCACCCCCTCCTCTCTATACTGCCTTGGGTCTTGATTGACGGGTGATACTTTTTTAGATCGGAGTCGACTTCTCTTGGTATCCTGCGTTAGGATTTAATGCCTCGCGACCTGGTGAGTTTTTCTTTGTTACGAGAGCTTGGAGATACTTCCTCGGGCCGTCCGTTTGGGCTCAAGTTGGATCAAACTCGAATACAGTGCTAACAATGTCCCCCTTCTCTCAATGCATTAGTCTCCCAGAATAACCTACGGTTCGAACTCGCAAATATCCTTTTCAACCTAGCCGCCCTCTACTCCCAACTCGCATACGCTCTCAACAGGACAAACGCAGATGGCCTTAAGCAGGCCTGCAACTACTCCTGCCAGGCCGCGGGCGTCCTTCACCACCTTCGAACCGACATAATTCCCGACCTCCGCTCCTCCCCACCAGAAGACATGGACGAAATGACCCTGTTAAGTCTAGAGGAGCTCCTGCTAGCCCAGGGCCAGGAATGCTTCTGGCAAAAGGCCGTCAAGGATGGACTGAAGGATGCATCGATCGCACGACTCGCGGCGAAGGTATCGGATTTCTACGGCGACGCCGGCGACTCGGCTGTCAAGTCTAATGCGATTAGCACGGAGTGGATTCACCACATGACAGCGAAGAATCACCACTTCGCGGCCGCGGCACAGTACAGGCAGTCGCTGGATTGCATGGAGAAGCGCAAGTATGGCGAGGAAGTGGCACGGTTGCAGGATAGTTTGAATTGCGTCAATGAGGGACTTAAGGAGTCTCGATGGATCAATCGCACCGTGCTGGGTGATTTGAATGGGTTGAAGGGTCGGGTTGCGGATGATCTCAAGCGCGCTGAGAAGGATAATGATGTCATTTATCTAAGTCCTGTGCCGCCGAAGTCTGAGTTGAAACCGCTTGATAGGGCTAGCATGGTTGCTGCGAAGGCTCCCTCGCAGGTTACGGATGCTATTTCTATGCTCGGTGATAATGGGCCTCTGGGCCAGCCTTTGTTTGCGAAACTGGTTCCTTATGCGGTGCATATTGCTGCGAGCATTTATTCGGATCGGAGGGATCGATTGGTGAATGAGTCGCTCATTGGTGAGCTCGAGTCTATGACAGATAAGTTGCGAGAGTATGTGGTTTGATGATACCCCCGGATTTGATACGAAGAACTGCTCAGCTAACCATTTTTATCAGTCTTTTGTCTTCTTTGAACCTGCCAGGATCTCTACAGGCGCTCGAGAAGCCCCTGGGCCTTCCACCGACATTGGTCTCCCATGCCGAGGAGATGCGTCAGCAAGATGGGTTAAACCGTCTTCGCCGTTCTGTCCAGGATACAGCGAAAGTCAAGAGTAATGACCATGCCATCTACAACGAGGGAGTCGAGTTGTTGGCGGCGGAGAAAGCCGAAGATGACGCTGCTCGTTGGAAGTATGGCACGGACCGATGGTCGCGCGAGAAGTCTGAAGCGGCCGGGCCTAAGATCTACAACAGCCAAACTGAGATCAGCGGCTATTTCACATCGGCACAGAGCAGTGATGATCTTGTGGACCGAAAAATGCGAGATTTCGAGTCCGTGTTCCTTGTTCTGACGGGCTCGAACCGGGATCTCGAATCATATGTCCCCAGCAGTCGTAGAGCTGCTATCCCTCCAGAGGTGGAGCGTGAGACAGTTAAGCTGCGTGGTTGTCTCAGTGAGGTAAGTCGGTTGGAGAACCGTCGGAGACGACGAACCCAGGGATGGAAGGACAAATGTCGTGCAGATGATATCCGTATGTATTCGGTGCCTACCCGGTTGAGTAGCTATTTCGTTTACTTACAGTCTCCATAGATCCGGCTCTTCTGAAGGAGACAGCCAGGCTCGAACGGGAGTTCCCCATGCAGACCATCCAGGCGAGCCAATTTGAGGATCTCTTCGAAGAGCAATTGCGCCTGTATGATTCGGACCGGGATATGCTCGACCAGGAACGGAAGGATCAGGATCAGATTGCTGATCAGGTTCGCGAGGCGAACAAAGCGTTCACACGGGCGCACACAGGCGATGCATCGACTAAAGAGCGGGAGACGGCGTTGCAGGACCTGGAGAATGGATATTTGAAGTACAAGGAGATTCTGTCGAACCTGGACGTCGGGCGCAAATTCTACAATGATCTTGCGAAGATCGTTGGCCGATTTCGCGACGATGCGAAGGCCTTTGTGCATCAGCGACGAATGGAGGCCAGTCAATTAGAAGCGTATGTCCCTCGCGTCGATCATCCATCGATCATAATCTTACTGACGTATTGCGTTCCAGGGATATCTCGAATGTCACAGCGATGTCTTCATTGCACATCTCGCAGCCGCACCTGCGCCAGCCAACCCACCAGCCAGCTCGCCAGGTTCACTCCCCAACCTACTCTGCGGCACCCTCGCAGCCCCCCCTCGCAGCCTCCTCCGCCTATTCATGCCCACCGAACCGCTGAGGCAGCAGCCCCTCTGACCGCGCCGCAGCCGATGCGGGCCGCGGTTCCCCCGGCCGTACAATCCCCAGGTAGCATGTGGTCACCAGAGATGGGCATTCGCTTCAACTCTGCTGCCGCTGTGCCTCCTGGCGGCAATGCAGGACAGAGCGGTGCGGCATCAAACCCGCAAGCCCGTGGACCAACCAAGACGTGGGACCCAAGTCAGGGAGTGCGATTTTCCTAGGCAGAGCGCCGCGGACATTAAATTCTTTGCATGCATACATATTACATTGTCAGCATCCAGACCAAGGACACATACATAGCAACACCTGATACATATACACGAAACAATCACAATATGATTCAAGACATTCCAGTCAATTAAACTATCAACCAACTATTCTCTAACGGACCAGCTCCACGAGACTTTGCTCAATAAAGCGATCAGACTCCTCCTCTTGCACAGCCATGCCCCCACATCGAACCACCACAACACAACCCCAGGGGCGAGCCCCCTCACACTGCCAGTGGACTAGCCACTTGGAGGACTTGACGTCTCGCCCCCATGAGCCCTGAAGAGAGAAAAGGAAGTGTGACATTGGCTTGGCCCCCTCCACCCCTCTCTAAAAATTGCTCACCAAATTTCCCGAACCACTACATGTGTTGCTCGAGAACGGTAAGAGAACGAATTGTCCCTGGATTGAGTGGAACCGCTGAGCTCACCAACTCCACATGGGATCCGCCTTTGACCCACCTTTGAACGCACATCAACCATTAACAATGCAGTCCAGGAATCACGAAATCACTGGACTCGTCAGCGGGGGAGGGTCCCGGGTGAGCCGGACCCTTTACATGTACGCCACTGGACCGGGTTGCACTGTTACACGAATACGCCGGACGCTTACTCGTATGGCTTACAGTTTGCCAGCATGCTTCTCTACAGTACAATCAATATTGTTCTGTGATTGCTGGCAGCCTAGAAGAATCTTTGCACACTTAATCTTGATCTTGGCGCTATGCTTCATGTTGCGTGTGTGGGGGGTGTAGTGTGGAGACTTCAGGATGGACACACAAGGATGCGATGGATATGCCGCGCGGTGGTTCGCTCCAGAAGCTGCGTCATTGACCCTCTAGTACCGATTCCCATTTCTTCTTCTGAAGGAAGGCGAAAGGCATTGGATTGCGTATTGGGTCACATAGAGAGGCATGATTTTCCTACTCGCCCGTGTTTGAAGGCTGGGCATGAACCCAGTCTGGAGGAGAGAGTGGGTGGATGAGAGTGGGAGAAGATTGGATGGATTGGAGAGAGCCAAGAAAAGGTACGAGCGGGCAAGCTTTTTATGCTCGGAATGTTCGCAACGCATGCCACATGGGGGGAAGATGGACGCAGTGTACAGCCTTGAAGTACATACAGTATGTAGTCCGTTGGTGGGAGTCGTCTTTATACACAACGTCTCTGCCTTGTGTCATCCACACCCACATTCTCTCTAGTACGGAGAAGGTGGAATCTGTTCTATTTTAACTCGAACCGCAACATGCACGAACTTTGCCCCACAATGAAATGATAGGATCGTACATCTGAAACAGGGCTCAGTGGCAGTGTCAGGCTGGGCCATACTGGGCCATGCGGAGGACACGCCCTGATCGACCCCGGGCCCCATTTCTTTTTCGTTAAAATCTTACTGCCTGAGGTGCCTGATGGGTCCCCCCCCTGGCTCGATCATGCTTATGTGGAAGAGTAGTAGTAGGTGAATCTCGACCTCCCTGAGACTCTTCTTTCTCGTCTTAGTCTTGACCCCGACTCCCCGACACCCCCCCCCCAACCTTTGATCTTGACTTCGACCACGACCACGACCCCTTCTCGTCCTTCCTTCTACTCCCACTACCTCTCCTTTTATCGCCATTTCTTTTGGCTGCCACTCGTTTTCCCCCCCCCCACGATGAAACTCGTGCCAGGCCTGCTGGCTGGCCTCTTCGCTTTCGCTCATCTCGCCCTGCCGGTCTGCGCAGAGAAACTCTTACAAGCGAATTATGTCACCTCCTGTTCCGACGATAGTGCCATTAAGACAAATGAGATCAAGGTCAAACTGTTACCAGACGAAAGTCAGGTCTGGCTGGAATACGATGGAACACTTAACTACGATGGCTATGTCATGTTCAATGTCGACATTTTCGCCTATGGATACAATATCACCCGCCAAACCATCAATCCATGCGAGTTGAATATCGCCAACCTTTGCCCCATGACAAGCGGGAAAATGCCTGTTCCATGGAATCCGATGGAGGTTTCAAAAAACACCATCAGCAGCTTCGTTCCGAGTAAGTCCCGCCGGCCGTTCGCTATCGCGCATCACAGATGACATCCCCCAATGCGCACCCCCACCGTCGCTAATACTCTATCAGCCATTGCCTACTACGTCCCCGACATCGATCTCCTTATCCGAGTTACCGTCGTCGCAAAGAAAACCGGCGAACAGGTCTCCTGCATCGAAGCCCCCGTCACCAATGGCTACTCCGTCTATGTATCAGGGGTTGGCTGGGCCCTGGGTGTCATCACTGGTCTTGGTCTTCTGATCACCGTCATTCTCTCGATTCTAGGCTATTCGAATATCGCAACTCACGTCTCCTTCCGAACAATGCTTTTACTGGGCTTCATGCAAAGTCAGGCCATGTACGGAATGCTTGCGCTTCACTTCCGACCTCTCGCTCGCAACTGGACCCAGGATTTCCAATGGACCGTAGGTATTGTACATGCTGGATTCCTCGAGACAATTGCCACTTGGTTCCAGCGCGCAACAGGAGGTACACCTTCAACAGTCATTTCGCAAAACAGCGATGTCTCGGTCGCGGTTCTGAAACGTTCCGTCGGAAATCTTGCAAAGCGAACCCTCCCCACGACCGGCGGAGGTAACGAACTTCTCGTCAAGGGTATCGAGCGAATGGGCTACCGAGCGCAGATCGAACCATCGAACATCTGGATGACTTCATACCTGGTTTTCTACTTCGTCACCATCCTCATGATGATCACTCTCATGGTGCTCAAATTCGCCCTCCCCGCCATCTCCAAGAAGGCGAACAACGCCAAGTTGAACAACGCTCTCAGTGGAGGTACTGAATGGAAGGGTTTCCTGCGTGGCAGCATCTACCGCCTTGCCATGCTCTCCTACCCTCAATTCTGCTCGCTCGGCCTCTGGGAAATCTACCAGCGTGACTCGGCTGCTGAGATCATCCTGGCGATCGTTATGTTCTTGACAACCACTGCAGCCCTGGGCTTCGCTACATTCAAGGTTTTCCAACGCGCACGCGCATCCAAGGCATTGAACGAAAACCCGACCTACACCTTGTATTCCGACCCGGCCTGTCTGACAAAATGGGGCTTCCTCTACGTGCACTATAAAGCGCAATGCTACTACTTCATCGCTCCGATGATCGCCTATATCCTGATCAAGGGTATCATCGTTGCTTTCGTCCAAGCTAGCGCCACAGCGCAAGCCGTCCTGACCCTGATCGTCGAAGCGGCCTTCATGATCGCGACCTGCGTGATCAGACCCTACATGGACAAGAAAGCCAACAGTTTCAGCATCGCCGCGTCAGTCATCAACTTCGTCAGCGCAATCTGCCTCCTCATCTTCTCCGACGTCTTCAACCAACCCGATCTCGCCTCTGGCGTTGTCACCGTCATTTTCTTCTTCATGAACGCAATCTTCACACTCACTCTCGTCGTCTTCCTCCTCATCTCCTTCTACTACGCCATCCGCCTCAAAGAGCCAACGGCAAAATACCACCGTCTTTCCGACAACCGCGAGTCCTTCCGCATGTCGCAAACAGACAACCGTCTCAATACCGAGCTCCTCCCGCTCGAAAAGGCCATCCGCCCCATCGGCGACGAACCCCGCCCTTCCTCCCCCTGGGCCCCAAGCAACAACGGCAGCGTCCGTTCCCGCTGGGATCCCGGCCACGCTGGCGGGGGCTTTAACCACCACGACGAACAACCGCCTCGATCACCATTCGCGGATCAACCGCCCCGATCACCTTTCGCGGACCCAGTTGAGCCCACTCTACCGTTAATACCCAGTAGTGGTGGTCATGACGCTGGGCGGCGGGTATAAGCCTAAAGGCCGGCGTTGGCCTTTTTGTCACCATTCTTCTTTTCTTTTCTGTTTTTTTTTTTTTGAAACCACTCTCGGTGGTGGCTCGCTAGGATCGGGCCATCCTGCTATGAACATATGTCCTTCCTTGTCATTTTCTTCGGTTATATTCCCTTTCCCTCCCCTGATGACTGTTCGAAACCTTCGTGTTTCATCTCCCTGACATCTCGTCCCTCTCCTTCTCTCTCTCTCTGTGTGTGTGTGTGGATTTTTCTCTTTTTGATCAAAGAGGCTACATATTCGGCTTCGGCGTCGTGCAAAATTGGCGTTTCTCAGCAACCCTTTCCCTTAAGATTTCCTCTTTTTTTCACATTTTTTCTTCTGTATATAATGCCCACCTGTTTTTCACTTCCAGTCTCAAAGCCTGTTCCTTGTGCATTGATTCTCGTGTTAGCTGGGACTCTTGGGTGCGGTCTTTTGATTTGATCTGGGGTTCAAGGTTCGAGTTCTTTCAATGTGGTTTATATACTTGTACTAGTACTTTATACTATACATACATACACTTGGACGAAGAAGAGGCAGGTGTGTGAATTCGGATTCACATTCAACTGCCCTCGGCCTTTGCAAATATTCAAGTTGATTGATATCATACATTTCATTGGATAACATTATTATATTTTGAGTAATATACATGGTAGGCAAGCATATGTGCAAGCATATGTGCAAGCGATACCTCGACAAGTGTAAGTTCAAGTTCAAGTTTAACACTGTCTTGACTATGTTTTGCATGCCTTTCTCCAGGCTAGCATCTTAGATTTCATCCTCGACTGAGTCCTTTTGAAGAACTTGAAGCCATCTATTCTACTGCTTCTTTACCTGTTTCCCACCATTCTTCTGATCCGCAACCATCTCAGACTCAGTTTCATCCTCCGATCGATCGTCTTTCTTGACGCCATAAACGACGAACTTCCATGCACTCCGCATCAGACAGTAGAGCCAGAATAAATTCAGACTTTGCAGCATGGCTAGCAGTGCAAAGGTGATGATGTTCGAGATCCAGCACTTGTACTGCTGCGTCTCCCAGTTCAATTCGTAGGGACCGATGGTTTGGAACTCGGTTAGGAGGGACCAGAGAATGTGTAGGTTCAAGTAGTGACGGAGGTAAATCCATGACACGACACTTGTGGCGTAGAATGGGATAATCAAGTCCGAGTCTGTATAGTGGAATGTTTTCGAAAGCTGGGGAATAAAATTAGCAAAACAGTCCCCCACCCTCCTTCGCGAAATGCCAAACTCACAGCAAGAAAGAAATCGCTCACGTCATGCGTGATATAAACCGCAATCCCAATATGCGTAAAATGAAACCGATAACTCAACCCAATCAAAGCCAAAGTAACAACATGATGCGCAACCAATTCCCGAAAATCCTTCCTAGGCTTCTCAAGCCCCAGAATCATAACCAAAGCCTGTTGAGCCCAATAAGCCGCTTCAAAGAGATAATAAAACTTAAACGCCGCGAAATGCGTATAATGCGGGAATTGCTCATACATTCCCGCAGTACGGAAATACCATACCGGCGTCTGTCGCATCACATATAAACCCGCCGGCCCCGTGACGCCAAAGTATATCGCCGTATACATCTGCTCCATGCAGCGCAGCTGTTTTCCGCGGGACTTGATGCCCGCGAAACGCGAGCGCGCAAAGGGGCGGAGGATCTCTTGCATGATGAATTCGCGTGTGAAGGTTAGGACTAAGGCGTAGAAGGCTACGAAGGCGATGTCCCATGGTCCCTTGCCGTATTGGACCGCGGCGTCGGGGTCGGTTGGGTCGGCATCTTGTGCATAAGCGAGGAAGATGAAGTTGTGGAGGATGTTGGATTCGGTGGGGTTGATGGCGTATAGGGAGAGGAGGGTTATTAGGAGGGCGAGGGGGATTGACCAGGTGTGTTTTATTGCGCGACGTTTTAGTCGGCGGAGGAGGGAGCGTTGTTTGCGTTTGGGGACGCCGTTTGCTTGTGGTTGTGGTTTGCCGTTGGTGGTGGTGGTGATCGCGTGGCCGTTTCCGTTGGCATTTCCGTTCGATTTGGAGTGGCCATTGGCGTTTCCATTGGCGCTTCCATTGGTTTGCTTATCTACCTTGCGTTGGCGAGTATTCATAGCTGGCGACGACATCGTACTCGTTGGGCGGTGCTCTGCTGCCGAGGTATCGACGCGCGCCATGAGGTAGTATCTGGCGGCGCCGGTGATGATGGTGTCTAGTTTCTTGCTGGCTAGTTCATGAGTTGGAACTACCCTGCTAAAATGGAACTAGAGAACAGGGTTGTGGTGGTGTGGGAAAAAACAACGTGCTGGCTGAGTTTCCAAACGAAGCGGCCGTTGAACCCCCTTTTCCATTTCAATAATGACTGGAATTTTTGGCTTTCAGAAAGGCTCGGCGAAAGACAACCAACACCTCCGTTTTTTCCTAATTTGGTTAGGAGTTATTGGGGCTGAACTACGAATGAGAGGCCGGGGTCGGGAGATCGGGTACACCGGAGGATATGTGGGGGGGCCATAATCCATATTCATACATAATACGAGTACGGATAATCGTAGTAGCATTTGTTTAGTCATGGCTTCTTCATATCCGAACAACTGTCTTACCGAGACTTGAAATGCTATTCGAATCAATCAAGTAGTTACTACATACAAAATGTGGGAGACCTGCCGAGGGGACTGACCTATTGAACATACCTGAGCACTGGCAGTTTTAAGACTTAAGGTTAGTAGTAGATTTGAACCAAAGTCAGATGCAACATCCGCCCAAAGGCATTCTTTAGGTTTGTCAACACGACTCGAGTAATGAATTTGTCAGATGAGGATTCTCTATTATGCCGCGGTGGGACAGCTTCACCCAGTCGCCGGAATTAATTGCCAGAAGGAACATAATCCAAAAATACAAATGTCTGCCGTGTGCATCTAATGTGTCGCCGTCGCTCAACATGAACTAACCCAATCAAAATTTAATAAGCCTTCGTAACCCCTGAGAAACCGAGCCGGACGAAGACCGACTGACACGGTTAAAACACTGGCGCCGCCAGTTGTCTTGTGCCACCCAATATCCCGAGGATCGATGGGCTGTACCCAGAACTGGTCGCCAAAATTCATGCTTGCCATGGAGTTCGGGTGGTTTAAACCTCATTCCCTCTTGAAGCAAATCTTTATTGCCGATTTCGGTCATTTTTCTAGCAGTCTCGTAGAAGACATCTTCCAGGTAAATCTGAAGTCGTCGAAACTGCAGACTCATCTTAGGTATGAGATTATCGAAGACCTCCAGTGCTCGTTGTGTCTGTTTATCTGCCTGTCTGGCGAGGGTAGACTCTTGCCCCGACAAATCAATGATTTTCACATTTAACTCCTGTAGGCTTTGAAACAACCCCGAGCCAACAATTGAAGCTATCAGCTCAAGCTCCCCAACACTAAAAGCATGGGTTGATTTGTTACCAACACCATGACGATTATCGGATTCGATTCCCACTGGATTAAGGATTAATCCTTTCATGCAGGCAAGATTGTATCGAGGGACTAGCTGAGTAAAGTCTCGGAGAGGAGCATTCCCTGCGAAATGGAACGTGTTCGAATAAATTATCTCGACTGCTTCAACGTAACTGCGATATGAACTTGAAATCAGTAAAATATAGGGTTACGAGCCTTATATTTGGGTCACATACGCTTGTCGGCAGCTTAGTAGCCAACCCATCACACCAATGGTCGTCATTTTCGACGGCGTAGCTTGATCGATAATATAATGGGCACCGTTGATATCGGTACACATTTTATTTTCCAGATGACCTGATTTTGAGTGTTTGCAAGCGCTTCCCCACCAATATCTGTCATGACATCTCGCCGTGTTCGATGGTAACTCTTTGATTTGAGTGCTTGCTGCATTCCGCGATCCATCTCTGACTCTCCAGCAGTCGGCTACACAGACATGCAAGTTAACATGGAAAACCCGATCGCCAAATGCTTGCTGGTAAATCTGACTCCGGATTTCCGCTGGTAGCTTTGTGAAAAAGCGACTCCTGGAACTGGGCACTTGTCGATATCCCCAAGCTAGAGCCGCCAAGGGACGCGCTTCTGCTGGAAGCTGCGCATTCTGCGAAGAACAGCTCGTTTCCATTTGCTCTGGAGTCGTGTCTGCCATAATTTTCGCTTTCTCTGCTGGAGTTGCAAAGCTGTAAAGCTGAAGAAAAGAAATATCAGCTGAAGGTCGAATAAACAATTTAGGCGCGATGCCCGTCCCCACATTTAGACATCAAACATCGTGCTGGCTCCAATCAAGTGTCGGTCAAGAATGGTGCCTGGAAGTGATAGATCGAAAAGCCACTAAGCCCACCGTACTATAATGAAGATCATAGATCACACAAAAAGTGGGTTTGGGCCGTCTTTAATAAGCGAGTACAACAAATGTACCCAAAAAAAAGCCATATCTTATCACTGAAAATCTTTCAAATAAGGCATCAAACAATTGATTCGCATGGTTTCACCCCCCCCCCCCCCGGCTCTTCTTGTACCAAAGTGCCATCGATGCGCTGGCGAGTAGAATATACTAGTGAAGACAAGGAAGTGCGAAACATGCGGCCGGTAAACACGTTCACCATATATAATCTAAGTTCCAGTTTTGAGCGAAATGATCTCACTTCGGTGAAACGAGACCTTAGCCCTGGGGACCGCTTTCTGTTTCACATTTCTAGTTTAATATCGGCCCATCAGGTTACCAATCTCTTACCACACGAAATTAACCATGAGAAAATCTTGAGAGTATCTGGTACTATTGGATTGTTCGAATTCTATTTAGATCTTGTTGTTTTCCAAATCCAGAACGAGCTTTCGCACAAATAACCCAACCTCATCAATATGAACGCCAAGCCATTCTTGAAACCCATAGTCTCTAGTCTTGTCACTTTCAAAACTTTGAAGGGTTGATTCCCCGTCAGGACCAAAGCGCATGAATCTTTGCTCTTTGGAATAGGGCTCCCAAGGCTGCTTTCTATGCGCAAAAGCTGTCCAGATTCTAGCAGCTTCTCTCGAGACATTTTGTGTAGAAGGTGGGCAAATATCGAATTCGTTCATATGCAAAAGCATTGCACACAGGCCGTGATATGAGAGACCACGCGTTGGTCCTGGGAAGGGAGAAGGTTCCTCGAAATGGTAAAGGTAAACTTTGTCTCCCCAAGCCTCCGAATTCTGAGAGGACTTGGCAATGCCGAGATGGGAGTAGTTGAATAGCGTATTCCCGACAAGTAACCTGAAAGCTTTACGGAAGTCTTCTTCCGATTGGGGGTCACGACTAAATCCAAATTTGGAATAGAGCTCCTGGGCAACCTGTGAGGTGAATGAGTCATTCACCAATTGCTGGAAACGCTCTTGTGGTAGACGTTTAATCAAGCCGTCAAAAATGATCGCCTCAATGTTTGTATCTCCAATAATGAATTCTTTGCAACGCTTATTTGGGGCATCGTCTTCATATTTCCAGTTTTCGTTCAAGAGCTTGCCATCTGCGACCGGCCCCATGACACCTGGGCTTGAAAGCTTGAGAATATCAGACACCTCCAGCTGGCGAAGCTGCTCTAGCCGCTCCTGGGGCGACGATGCGTCAATGCCTGCATTGTGGCAAAGGGTGATCCATTCGTTTTGATACCACTCCATGGGTAGAGGGCTCAATACGGGTGCTGCGCCGGACATCATGATGGCTCTATCAAATAGCGCATGCCCTGCAAGTAGGTGCAAGTGGATACTGACGCTACCTGCGCTCACACCAAAGACTGTAATATTTGACGGGTCACCGCCGAAATCTTGAATATGGCGATTTACCCATTCAAGAGCGTTGCGTTGGTCAATAAGTCCATAATTTCCAACGGGACGCGTCTTGCTCCCACCGTTGACCTCTTCGGCGAGATCTTGGGAAGCTGAAAATCCCAACGCACCTAGGCGATAGTTTATCGAAACCAGGATGACAGGCGTATTGTTATTGCGCGCATGTGCAACGAGAGCTTGAGGACGATACCGCGAGACTGAATTTGCACCGAAGGCGAAACCACCCCTTCCAAGAGGAATTCTGTTAGTTGACCTCGATGATAAGAATAAGGTTGGAAGAAACATACCCATGAATCCATACCATCACTGGGAGAGACTTCGGCCCTTGGACTCCTAGCGATTCTTTCGGAACTGCAATATTGAGGTTGAGACATTTGAATTCGTCATCACCAGGAAGGGGATCGTTTGTTCCTCCTGAGACAAGAACCATTCCACTAAGCTGGCTACAGCGGTATCCGAGCCGAGTGGCATCGAAGGGGCTTTCTAGCTTGTTTCTCGTCTCGCTATGCGTCCATCGTTTGGTCAAAGTCGCATAAGGAATTCCTCGAAATAGTGCAATATTCTGCTCACTATCCAAAGTTCCTACTAACTCCGAGCCAAGAGATGGCGCAATGAGAGAAATTCTGTCATGCTCTGCCATTTTAGCACACAACCTTGGAATTCGACTGCTTGGGAAAGCACGGGCAGGGCAGTTGATGCAGAAGTTATAAACTGTCGGATAAACCGGGCTGCGGGGTCGTTGAATGTGGAGAGAAAATGTTTTAGCCACGGGCTAAGCTTTTTTCTGAGAGCTGATCCTGCTTTGTTGTTCCAATTCTACAGCGTCTGGAGACGTGAAAAATTGCTCCACTATAACCTCAATTAATCTTTCGTCCTCTGCTCTTTTCGTCTATCACTATTCATCTCGTAATGGCCACAATAACCGATAGCAGCAAAAGATGTCAATATTGGAGGATGAACGCTTTCCCCCTTTACCTTGACCCCGTGGTAGTTCCGAGGCTTTGGGTGAGCAAAAAGCCGAATCCACTACCGGTAGCAGACTTTAGCTAGACTTAAAGGTTTTAGCGTCAACGAAATCGATCTAGACTGGGTTCCGGGGCCCCGGATACCTGCATGTCGGGTAAATTTCGGTTTCAACCCCAGCCCAAAAGGCGGGGGAGGCCAACGATTGGGGAGTGATTAGCGAGCTATGCTAGCCTTGTTTAGTTACTTCTATAGCCATGTCGCTTGTATATAGGGCGGTTAATCGGTATGCCGCTATGGAGATGCGACTAGAATGGAGCCCGAATTGCTTTCAGTAGTTCGTAGATAGAGCCCCTCTTTTTGATCCGGCAGTTAAATGCACGGCAGTTTCTCTTGAGTCCCGGGGAAATCCCCAGATTCTTCATATTCCCCACAGGATTTTCGCAATTCAAAGCCACCCTTGGGTTCTGAGCCAAGTCATGCCTACCAATACGCGCAAGGATGGCCTGGAAGCCATTGAGATGGAGAATGCACCAGCTCCCCAGCCAGTATTTCTTGCAGAAAAGCTGCAGGGAGGAGACGAGGCTTTAGAAATTCTCCAAACCCAATTCGTGGAGTATTCTCCCGGGGAAGAAAGGAGTTTGAGATGGAAGATAGATTTGCGTTTGGTGACTATCATGTTGATTGTCAATGGAATTCAATTTGTTGACAAGCTTGTCAGTATATGGCCGTTCATCATGAATTCTTGAGGCTAACCCATGACCAGACGATCAGTTATGCGGCGACATATGGCATCATCACGGAGGCACATTTGGTGGGACAGGAATATAGTCTTCTCATAACCATTTTCTACATCGGTTATCTTGTAAGTTTCAAAGAGAGTTGAAATTTCCCGCTTTGCATTTTGTTTGATGGTCAAATGAACTATTCCTAAGACGTTGAGAAACAATAGGTTGCGCAGTACCCTACCAACTACTTCATGCAAAAGTTTCCGACTGGAAAATATTTGACGATCAACTTCATACTATGGGGTATGTTCCTACAAGCAACACCAAGCGTGAAGGTTATTCTGATGAATCATCCATAGGCGTCGTTCTGGCAGCCACTGGTAGCGCAACAAATTTCTCCTCGTTGGCAGCAGCTCGATTTTTCTTAGGTGTTTTTGAGTCATGCTTGAACCCCGGCTTTGTTTTGATCTCGTCTTCTTGGTGGAAGCGTGAAGAACAAGCTTCCCGTATCGGTCTTTGGTATAGTGCAAATGGACTTGCCTCGATTCCGGCGGGTGTTCTTTTCTGGGCAATCGCGCACATTGATGTAAGCCCAACCCAAGCCCCTCATGGTTTGATATACTAATACAATGATTAGGTCGATAATATGTTTCCCTACCAATGGATGTTCATTATATTCGGCGCACTGACCGTGCTAATTGGTTCCGGTCTTTGGTGGCTGCTTCCTGATAGCCCCATAAAATGCACATGGCTCAGCGAACGTGAGCGAGTCATTGCTGTGCAACGCCTAAAGGACAACAGAACCGGTGTCAAGAACAGCGAGCATAAGAAAGATCAAGTCATCGAGGCACTCACTGACTATCGTGTGTGGATGCTCCTGCTCGCTGTCTTCTGTCACAATATGACGAACAGCTTGCAAACAAATTTTACCGGAATAATTATCAAAGGATTTGGCTATACCACCTACCAGGCTGTTTTGTTGCAGATTCCGGTCGGCGCCGTCATGGCGGTGTCGATCATTATCGTCGGCTTTTTCCTCTCATCCAAATACGGCCAGGGTAAGCTGATACTGACCATGGCCAGCTGCTACATCCCGGGCATCATCGCGTGTGGAATGCTCTACGGAGTTCCTGTGAACTCTTCCACACTGGGAGCTCACCTAGCCGCCATATATTTGATCCCAATGGTCGCTGCAGTGGGAGGCTTGATGTATACTGTGTTGGCCTCCAACATTGCAGGATATACCAAAAAGACTGTGACAGGAACCTTGTTCTTTTCTGCATACTGCGTGGCAAATATTATCTCGCCCCAGACCTTTCTCTCGTCTGAAGCACCTAAATATACCACTGGTGTCTTCGTGACCTTGGCTGCTTTCATCGTCAACATCATCCTCTTCTCGATACTATATATCGTCTACACCAGAGATAATGCAGCCCGGGTCCGTGAGAATGAGGCAGCTGGGCATATGGATGATGCGAGCGATTTGGCTAACGCCTTTTCCGATCTGACAGACCGACAAAACAGAATGTTGCTCTACAGAGTCTAAGCGGAAGATCGGAAACGGGTTGAAAATCACAACTTTATTGATTTGGCGTGAAGTGTGACTATGTTTAAGCAATCATTACCGGTCTCCCGGACAAACTTGAAGCAGTGTCGGGATATTGATTTGCAACTAGCCGTTGATCTCCAGCAAAGGCAGCCGCATTATCTCGTTCAATCCTCTCTCTTGTCGAAGCCGGTAGCTCAAAGTGTTTAGTGATGTCCATGTAGTCTTTGAGGTCTTGTCCATAAGGCTCATTTAATATGTTTACTGTCGCACGTGGGCTGACAGGTTGAGTTATGGGTTCAAGTTGTTCTATGAGAAATGTTAGCCATGTACATTCTAGTTTAGTTTGGTAATAACTTTTAAGAAGATGTATTTACCTGGACTGAAGCTAGCTTCGAGTAGAAGATGAGGCTGGCCTCGGCGGTCACCTTCCTCTTCTTTCTCCCCCTTGCCGCGAAGATCCCATCGCCGTTTCGAAGGGGGTGGAATGAACTCCTTGACGGGCTTCTCTGCCCCATTGTACCGACCTCGAGAAGCGATGCCGGCACCCCAACGAAGTCGAATTTCATAACCTTCGCATGTGAGTCCTCGTGTAATGCATTTTTGACAACCGGGTCGAGCCTCGTCGCACTGAATGCGTTTCTTTTTGCAAGTCCAACAACCTCTGTGCGAGCGGTGGCGGGAGCTGGCCGAGTCTTTTCTCCTATTATCTGAGGACGCCATCGTTGGAAGATGCAGGGAAAGGAATGAACGGAATTCTGGTGCGACCGAAGGTTCGATCACTCATGCTGTTCATATAGGTTCTTTGCGAGTATAGCACCACGAGCTGTACGGGCGCTGATTGGTGAATCAATCTTCTCAAATGTAGAACAAATAACGCGCTCTAGTCCTTCTTAGGGAATGCGTCCCGGTTTAGTTGCAATGGAGAAGATTATATTTGGCCCTCAAATTCCCTCGCAATCATCAACTATTTTTGAGTCGACTTGTCCTCACCTCTCCTTCCCCCCGTCACGTTATATCCCCCAGTCGGTCCGAGTTGAGCTTCGGACCTCCCCCCCCCCCCAGAGTGGAGACATCGGCACCTTTTTTGCCTCAAACCCTTTCCGGCAGGTACAAGCAAGCGCCATCGATCGCCAAAACGGCCCACCGTTGACATGCAGATTAGGCATATGTTTTGTGTCATATCCTACCGGGGGTACCTTGATATTCCAGGCTAAATTGAATCGGGTAGGTCAAAACGCATCTGAGCCTCCCGAACCGAAGCGCGAACTTTCTTTTCGCCTGCAACTACTATGAAGATGATATTGTGTGGGACTCGCCACATCGGAAACCACGAATCGAACCGTGGATGTGTCGGTGTGTCAAGGATTCGGGAGAAACAGCCATTCGCGCTCCGTGAGGTTTCTCCACGGGGAACCCGGCCTTCGTGACGAGATCCATCGATGCCGGAGATCGTCATCCTGGATGATTTCATTCAAGAAAATTCACCGCCAGACACCCGCATCTACCTTCCCCTCTAGGAAGATCCAGCCTGCGCAAAGCTTTGGTGGAGATAGTTGTCGTGGATGGCTGAAGAAATGCCGATGCCTTTTCGCCTATTCTCCAAGACGTAACCAGGTTCTTGCAGCGCCAAGTGGGCCAGTCTCGGTGAAGTCAGGGCCAGTTCGAGGGGTAGGACCACACAACCCGAGACCCGTGGGGTTCCCCAGAAAAAAAAAAAGAAAAGCCCGGGTCGTTGGGGAATGGGGTTGATTATCCCCGCCCTCTATATCCTATATCCTTCTCCAGCAATCTCGATCACGAACATTCAGACCGAGCACATTCTTGTTGCAGTATCCAATCTTCGACGAGAATCCCCAACCACGCTCTATATCGACATACGGAAATGACCCCCATCTATCTTATCTGAGACGCTTAACATCGTTATACTCGACCTAGTTATGGACGTGGATTCCGAAACCTGGAAACCGAGTGAGCAACAAATCCAAGATGCACAGGATCTTGCAGAATTCGGCCATGGCCAGACTCTCGAACGAAAGTTCAACCTCTGGAGCATGCTAGCCCTTGCATTCTGTGTTCTGGGAACCTGGTCAACCTTCGCACAAGATCTGTCCGATGGTCTCATCAATGGCGGGCCGGTCTCCATCCTTTGGGGCCTTTCCTTGGTGACCTTCTGCAACACGTGTGTGGCAATCTCTCTAGGAGAAATCTGCAGTAGCATGCCAACAGCATTGGGTCAGGCTTACTGGATCTACCGCTTATGGAGCACCCCCTTGGGTCGCTTTGCCTCCTATATCTGCGCCTGGATCAATGTCTTTGGATGGTGGACTCTTGCCGCATCCCAAGTTGCATTCATGACGAACTTCATTCTTGGCATGAAAGTCATGTTCGATGAAGATTGGACTGGCGCATCTCAGGGATGGTTAGAGTTCGTTGTCTATCTTGGATGCGTTTTTATCCTTACCTTGATCAATGTCGTGGGCTGCCGGCGAGACAAGTTTCTTCCCTGGCTCAATAATTTCGTTGGAATCTGGTTTTTTGGACTATTCTTCGTCTTCTGCCTTGCTCTTCTCATTTCCGTCGGCATCAAAAGAGGCCTATCTTTCCAGCCTGCTTCTTTCGTCTTCGGAAAGTGGATCAATGAGACAGGCTGGTCGGATGGAGTTGTGTGGTTTATGGGACTGGTTCAAGCAGCGTACGTACAGACATCTTTCCATCGTTTCCGAACCCCTCTCATCCGACTAACAATAAAACAGTTATGGTCTCACTGCATTTGATGCTGTCATCCACATGGTGGAGGAGATCCCTGCGCCGCGAAAGAATGCCCCCAAGGTCATCTATTTTGCCGTCATCTCGGGTGCGATTAGTGGCTTCATCTTGATGATGGTCTGCCTGTTCTGTATCCAGGAGGTGAGAAGCGTTATTGACGCACCAAGTGGCTTGCCGTTCATGTCGCTGGTTCAGGAAACCGTGGGCCTGAACGGAGCTGCTGTGCTTATCGCACTCTTCATTATGAACGGCCTCGGCCAGAGCGTCAGTATTGTGACTACTGCATCTCGCCTTACATGGGGATTTGCGCGTGACGGTGGCCTGCCATTCAGTCGATACCTTTGCCATGTTGACCCCATCTGGAAGGCCCCCGTTCGCGCTCTATGGTTCCAAGGAGTCTTGATTTCTCTGGTCGGCATTCTTTTCCTTTTCGCCGAGACCGTCTTGAATGCGATTTTGAGCGTTAGCACTATCGCCTTAACCATTTCCTACGGTCTGCCTATTCTGACCGTGCTTGTGGTTGGGCGCGATAAGCTTCCACCAGGAGGAGAATTCCATCTTGGAAAGCTTGGTGTCCCAGCTTATTGTGTCAGTCTGGTTTACTGCGCCATTACCTCGGTTTTCTTCTTCTTCCCAACCGTTCCGAACCCGAAGGGCGGAGAGATGAACTACGCCATCGCTGTCTTTGGTGTGATGCTGGTGATTGCAATGTCATTCTGGTTTATACAGGGTAGTCGAACCTACCTAAACACTGAGGAGTCTTCGATTGCGATGATCATCCAGGCGACGGAGGCAGCGAACAATGAGGTTCCAATTCCCGAAGCAAAGAAGGACGAACGCTGAGAGCGGGCGTGGTGATAGTCGTCGATTATTGTGAAGGTTCGTGAAAGAGTGAAGCTTCCCGAAATTCATTGAAGGGGGCTTGGTTTAAAATAGCTGTTGGATAGGTAGCAGTGGTGAGCTGCTTGCTGTATATAACTTGGTGGGACCAGATGGAGATCCATAGGTCATGGTGTATAGACATAGAGTACATAGATGGCGAGGTCAGGAATTCACATATACAACTTGGAATTGAAGTTTTATCCATCCCGCTTCCAAGGTTGTAAAGGGGTCTAAAATACGATATCCAGAACGAAAGTATTCAATAAACGTAGCAACCATGCACATACCACAAACCCTGACAACCTTGGAAGAGCATAAAGTGGTAGTAGCTACCAGTACTAGGTAAGTACTAGACTACCTAGGTAGTACCTAGCCTAGGTGGCTAGTATGCTAGATAGCCATCAACCTTGAAAGATGCTAATAGTAGGTCATTGGCTAGTAAGATATATTTATGCCCGGGTGGTAACGTGATTGCGTTCCACGCTCGAATAATATTGGTAGAGTTGAAGGAATTTGAACCGTATTCAACTTGAATGGTAGCTCAGACTTAGGTTTCAGTGCTATGGACTCATGAACATCGCGAATCCAAATTGATGGTGCCAGTGTTCTATCACATCATTGGTTTCTTCGAGGTGATTCGCCTTCAGCCTTGTGTCCGATCATTTCCCAAAACGCCCGGGCGTCAATCGACTCTGCTGCCTAGCCAAACTTGAAGGTGGAAGAAAGAAAACCAAACGCAGAACAAACCATCTCCTAGTATATCAGCACCCGAAAACTCGTTATATATCCATGTTATACGATGGCGAATTCACTCACACTTTTCCCCAGACTACCTCCTGAAATACGAATTCTCATCTGGGAGCAAGCGTTAGCACAACAATGGAGCTATACCAATTTCCACCGCGTGAAGAAGCGCATCAAAATTAGCGGAAAATGCCACCAAAAGCAAATCAGTCGCGTGTGCCGTGAAGCTCGTTGGGCCATGGAAAGAAGGGCGACAAAAGTTGAAGGGCTTGGCTGGTTCGACTTCGAACGACACCTCTTCTTCTTCCGAGACCTTGAATCCAGTCGCCTGTTGATGTTGTCTCTTTTCGTCCACGTCGAGCTACACCAAATTCAACACGTTCTCATAAACCCTCGGGATGCATCTGAACTCATGCATACGATGGATTTCCTGTCCACCCATTTCAGATCAATCCGTACTATCGTCGCTGTTGGACCTTGGTTTACGCCGCCAGACAGGACCGGTCCGTTCGACCCTGATCAAGACTTCATCTGCACCATGGACAACGACTGGTCGCGAGTGATATCTAAATCGCCGACAGAGATAAATCTAGTGCCGCTCCTAGACGCGATTCAGAACGGACGCGAGGACAACAAAGCTCATCTGGCACAATACAGAAGCGCGCTCAGTCATGATGTGGACAGGCTACCGGACCAGCTACCGCCGAATTTGCAGCTCCTGGACCATTGTTCATGGCGCTATCGAACATGGCTAGATAAAATGCACGGATATTGTCAAAATTCTATCGCACCGCATCCACCTGGGCTTTTCTTGAGAACCCGGGAAGAATTACGCAACCCTTTTACCATAAATTCCCTCTGGGCAGGCCGTGTCAATCCCTGAACAGACATTGCATGAGAAGACATTGTGTGAGCAGGCAATAATACAGCAAAAAACAAAAACAAATCGATTATGTTCTAGAAGAGTCTTTTCAATTCAAACGTAATACTAGTAATGTACATATTTTGGTTTAGAGCTTGGACTTCATATTGACGTGAATAGCCTTCACAGAAGAGTAGGCATCCAGGCCAGCCTCACCCAGTTCGCGGCCAATACCACTCTGCTTAATACCACCGAACGGAATGCGCCAGTCACTATCATTGCTGGAATTGATCCATACCATACCAGCCTGGATCTGCTTTGCGACACGGTGAGCCCGAGTGAGATTGGTGGTGAAGATGGCGCTGCCCAGGCCATAGGTAGTATCATTGGCCATCTGAACAGCCTCGTCCTCAGTGCTGAAGCGGGTAATAACGCAGAAAGGACCGAAGACCTCCTCTTGATAGATGCGCATCTTGGGATCAACGTCCGTGAAGACAGTTGGTTCGAAGAAGAAGCCCTTGCCATTGCCAACTCCCTTGAAGGGCTTGCCGCCAACTGCAAGAGTAGCATTCTCCGACTTGCCAATATCAACGTATGACATGATGCGCTCGTATTGAGCTTGGGTCACCTGAGGGCCCTGGAAGGTAGCCTCATCGAAGGGATCGCCGACCTTGGAGACATTCTTGATCTGAGCCTTGAAGGCTGCCAGGAACTTGTCGTAGATCTTATCCTGGACGAGGATTCGAGAGGTCGCTGTGCAGATTTGGCCTTGGTTGTACATGATTCCGATGTGTGCCCATTCGACGGCCTGCTCGAGATCCGCATCATTGAAGACGACCAGAGGACTCTTACCACCGGTTTCCAAAGTGATGTTTTTCAGGTTCACACTAGCCATCTTCATGATGTGCTTGGCGGTAGCGGTGCTACCGGTAAATGCGATTTTGTCCACATCCAGATGCGAAGCGAGGGCCGCACCAGCAACGGCACCGTGACCGTTAACAATATTCACAACACCGGGAGGGAAGCCAGCTTCCACGACGAGATTGGCGAAGAACAGGATTGAGAGAGGGGTCTGCTCGGCAGGCTTCAGGACGACAGTGTTGCCGCAAGCAAGAGCAGGTCCAAGCTTCCAGGCCGCCATGGAGAGAGGGAAGTTCCATCTGGGACTGTTAGCTTCTGAGATTGGAATTTCGCCGAGTAGATGAAGCTTACGGGATGATCTGGCCGCAAACACCGACTGGCTCGCGCACAGTGTAGGCAAACTTGTCTGGGGTAGTACCGATAACCTGTCCGAAGATCTTGTCGGCATATCCGCTGTAGTAGCGGATGGTTTCGGCAGTCTCAGTCAGGTCATCGTCGCGCGAAACGGTATAAGGCTTTCCGTTGTCACAGGTCTCGATCGTCGCAAGGGTCTCGCGGTTATCTTCGATGAGCTGCGCCAGGCGGTTCATCAACTTACCGCGCTCAACTCCAGGGAGATCTCTCCAGGTTGGGTTGTTGAGTGCGGCGCGTGCAGCCTTCACAGCGGTGTCCACATCCTGCTCGGAAGCCGCGTAGACGGAGGTGATCTCGTTGGCATTTCTATAGCCCAACAGAACGTTAGCACAGTAGAACTGGTGAATGCGAGAGGGAGATCTGATTGACATACGCAGGGTTGATGCTGGCAATCGTTTCGCCTGTTGACGACTTCACCCATTGATTGTTGATGAAAAGACCAGTGGGCTGGGTCCAGACACGGCCGTTGGGGGCCGTACACTGCACAGATAATGAAGCCATTGTGTGATTGAGGAGATGCTGAATGAATCTTCAGAAGATTTGACTTGAGAGGAAAGAACAGGCGATCTAACACAGCTGGAGTCAGTTCTTACTTAAAATCCACTAAAGTACCACTTCAACTCCACGCTGCAGCTACATCACCGATAGGCGACATTGATAAGACATTCGGCACGACATGCCCAAAGGAGAAGGTCGAATGGCCCCGCCTTACGGATGTCTGGAGAAGAAGACCCACACGGCATCTCCAGACGATCAAATTCGATCCCGACTCGGGGCACGGGGGGCGCACGGGGAGGTTAAGCCTAATGAGGGAGGTCCACGCAACCAACCAGACCGCGGGACACCGAGGAAGTCCTGCAGGATGGCAAACTCAGACAGATGCCCAGATGGGATGGTAGATGCTGAATTTGCTGTAGAATAGACAGGTGTATGATATTATCAGTATCGATAGATCACTTGCCATATAACTAGTCAAATATACTACAAAAATACTTCAGAATATGCTTAATCTAACTATTCACGTGTCCGCCGTGTGGCAACTTCCCGTCACGTGGCTTCCCCGCGAAATGATAAGCTTGACTGCACCTAGGATACACTTGGCAGTTACACGCAGATAGACACACGGACAATAATGTAGTGGCATTAGGCTATAGCTATTGGTCTGAATTATACAATAGGGTCAACCTGCCCTATCGGCGAAAGTAGCGTGGCACCCCTGCATGACACACGGGTCCTCCCTGTTAATTGGCCAACACTTCCGCCAAAATGCCAGTTTACGCAAGAGATATTACCTGACAGGAAAGGGAGAAAGATGCAGCAGAAATGCCCTTCACCTTCTCCAGGCTTTCGCCAAACTGAGCCAGATCCACTCGCCTACCGTCGGGAAGAGTCGCGAGATACGCGCGACCCAGCCAGATGCTCCTGGTCTACCTAATCGGGTAGGTACATGCGGATATCGATGGATCTGTTCCAAAGTGCCACCGTCTATATAAGGGTCCGCCATGGGCGAACTTCATGTTTCTCCAGCTTCTCAAGTTCTTCTCATACAACATTCTACACCATGGCTTCTGCCCCTGATACCACTTCCATCCCGGGTTACACCATCTTCCGGGAGGGAGACTATGACAGCGTTGCTGCCACTGCCATGCTCCCCCAGGGCACTCCCCACCCCCTCGGTATGTGAATGTGATAAGATAAGAGGAAAAAAAATTATATCCCAAGATTTATTTTCAGCAAGACTAACATTGAACTCCACAGATCAACTCTCCATTAAGGAAATCCCCCAGGTCGCGAAGCTTGTCCGCGATTACTGCAACCCTAGGACCGTCAAGTTCAACTGCATTACTCTCCGTGAGCCCCGCAAGGCCGAATATGCTTCCTTCAAGGCCGGCAAGATCCCCGCTCCGGATCGCCGTGGCTTCGCCATTATCATCATCCGCGAGACTGAACAGGTTGCCGAGGTCGTTGTCAACCTGAAGACCTCCAAGGTCGAGGAATACAAGGAGATTCAAAATGCCATGCCCACTCTCACTCTGGAGGATCTCGATGTTATGGAGCGCATTGCTCGCAAGGATGCTCGTGTCATTCGTGCCTGTAACGATATCGGCATCACTGATATGTCCAAGATTTTCCTGGACGCCTGGGCCATCGGTATCGACGAGCGATGGGGCTTCGACCGCCGTCTCCAGCAGGGTCTGGTCTACTACCGCAACTCCGAGTTCGACAACCAGTACGCTCACCCTCTGGATTTCAGCGTTGTTGCCGATACCGAAAAGGAAGAGGTCCTGAGTGTCGATGTCCGCCTCGTCAACGGCGAGCGCACTGCTCCTCCCCTTCAGGAGCACAACTTCCTCCCCGACTTTGTCGGCGACAAGTACAACCACGATCGCCTCAAGCCCATCGATATCACCCAGCCTGAGGGTGTCTCCTTCAAGGTCCGCGGCAACGAGCTGTCTTGGGCTAACTTCAAGATGCACATCGGCTTCAACTACCGCGAGGGTATCGTCATCTCCGACGTCCGCTCCCACGATATGTACGAGGATCGTGAGCGCACCTTGTTCAACCGTATCTCCGTCGTCGAGATGGTTGTCCCCTACGGCTGCCCCGAGAAGCCTCACCACAAGAAGCACGCCTTCGATGTCGGTGAGTATGGCTCCGGCCTCATGACCAACTCCCTCAAGCTGGGATGTGATTGCAAGGGTGCCATCCACTACATGGATGGTGTTATGTCCACTGGAAATGGCGAGGCGGCCGTCATTAAGAACGCCATCTGCATTCACGAGGAGGACAACGGTCTTCTGTACAAGCACACCGACTACCGTGATGGTACCGTCATCTCTGCCCGTGACCGCAAGCTCATCGTCTCTCAAATCATCACTGCCGCCAACTACGAGTACGGCTTCTACCACACCTTCACCCTGGACGGCACCTACAAGCTTGAGATGAAGCTCACCGGTATGCTGAACACCTACTGCATGCACCCCACTGAGACCGCCGCCCCCTACGGTACTCAGGTCGCCGCCGATATCACCGCCCACAACCACCAGCACATCTTCTCTCTCCGTGTCGACCCCGAGATCGACGGTGTCAACAACTCCGTTGTTCAAAGCGACGCCGTCTCCTCCGACCACGCTGTCGGCTCTCCCGAAAACCCCTACGGCAACGCATTCCTCAGCAAGAAGACCCCCCCTCCGCACATCCCTCGAAGGCGCCGCCGACTACTGCTACGAGACCCAGCGCTCTTGGGACATCATCAACCCCAACCGCATGAACGAGATCGCCAAGAAGCCCATCGGCTACAAGATCCTCAACAACAACTGCCCCCCTCTCCTTGCCAAGCCTGGCAGCACCGTCTACAACCGCGCTGCCTTCGCCCGCAAGCCTCTCTGGGTCACTCCCTACAAGGACTACGAGCTCTTCCCTGCCGGTGACTACGTCTGCCAGTCTACTGGTGAAGAGAACCACCCCCACAACTCGTCCATCCTGGACTGGGCCAAGCGCAACGAGAACATCGAGAACACCGATATTGTCTGCTACATTCAATTCGGTCTCACCCACTTCCCCCGCACAGAAGACTTCCCGATCATGCCCGCCGAGCCTGTCAGCGTCATGCTGCGTGCCTCTAACTTCTCCGTGAAGAACCCCGGTCTTTGGGTGCCTCCCAGCGCTATCTGTGTGGATACCATGTCCAAGAATGCCTTCGCATCTTCGTGCTGCGCGGCCAATGCCCCTGCAAGCTCGTCCAGACTGTAAAATAAGCATTGACATTGGGTAATGGTGTTCTATGAAAAATTGTTCTTGGGTTTCAGCTTGCGATGATACACTGTACATAGCTATTGGTAGATTTTCTGTTGATATGAAATATTTCTTTTTTCATTCGAAACTTATTTCCAAGCCTTTCCTCGTACTAGTAGTATATACCGCCATGTAATTCATTGACGCCACCTCTGATATCTAATGCTCACAGAGACTGAAATGGCCCTCTTGAAACTCCTTATTCTGCAAAGCAGATGTGAGGCCACGCTCTTTCATAAGCTCAAGTCGGTACGCCTTGGCTTCTTCCAAAGACATAGCTGGACAGTCCACCGTTTCAGTTTCAGCATCCCCAACCTTCTGCCGTTTCACAGGCCGATCAGAGCTCTGACTCTCGGCAGATGTATTATTCTCAGTAGAAGTTTCCTTGCTCTCTTTCCAATCCTCTCGTTGCGGCGGCACATTAGCCGAAGAAATAACTCGTCGGTGTGGATCAACCAAGAACAATGCAAGAATCTTACGATGACCAGGCTTGGCCCGGTCCTCTAGTGAAAACGGACTTACGCAGTGCTGAAGCGTATTGGGGAAGGTGATGAGTCTGCCCTCCTTGGAGACCACGCTGCCGAGATCTTGTGTCGTCAGGCAGGGGCTGTTGTTTTCCAAGTCGATGGAATAGCCATATACCTGTTGCATGAATTGGTGTTGATCTTGGTCGTAGTCGAGGTCGTCCATGTAATGATCCATTCCGCGATGGCGGAAAGCGAGTGAGCTAGTGGTAATATTTTCGCTATCGTAGTAGTAGATTGCTGATGCGGCGATGCGCTCGTTCTGTGAGATACAAGGTTAGATATAATTCAGGACATAGAGGGAATGGGGAATGGGAAATAGAATAGACTCACGAGTTGGCCCTCAATATGCCAGCTTCCACCCTCGTAGTCGGGTTTCTCGGGTGTCAGCTCAATATTCGCCAACTTGACAATGACCTGCAGTTTGCGATGGCAGAAGTCTGTTCGGAAATTGATGGGCTGCACCCGGTTATTGTCTGGCACAGGGATTTTGAACTCCCCAGGCTCGGGAATTTTGACCTTGCGAGTAGCCTCATATTTTTTCTGGCGCTTGTAATGGTCTTCGTTGCGCTTCATGTATTCCTGATAGTCACCTTTTCCGTCATAATGTTCCTCCTCTTCGTCCCATTCCGGAAACTCTCCATCTCCAAAGCCTTCTTCCCATTCGACCTGGTTGTACGAGATTCTCTGGGGGTGATCCTTTTCAGTAAGAGATGCCTCCCACAGGGGCACAGTTCGTGACATGATCTTTTCAATGACTTGGTATAGCGCGTGATGCTTAACTGGGTGGGCGTTGTTGATGTAGGACAAGATGCGGCACTCTCCATCCTTTGAGAGGCCTATATCACACGGCATCCATTGGAATTTCATGCTCAGCACCGGTAGGTCGGAGAATCTTCTCCTGTTGAGCCGGTCACTAGAATTGGCCTTTGCCTCCCCATCCGGAGGAGTAGGAAGGGCTTCACCTTCCCCGATGTAATCAAGGCAGTCTTCAAGGCCGAGAATCTTATCCGGGAGAACTCGAGTCTTGCCGTAGAGAACCGGGAAGAGTGATGGGTGCACGAGGTCGAGTACCTTGTCATCAGAGCCGGGGTGGTAGTCTTTCTGGTCCTCGGGAACATCCTCGAGAGGCTTCACTGCCTCTTTCAGCGCACCCTGAAGCTCTTTGGAAACGGCAGTATCAGACTTGATCACATTTTCAAAGACTTCGAGGTATCCATCTTTTTTGAGGAAAGAAGTCTTCCACTGCAGCTCTTTGATAATCCAGTCCATCATTTTGGGCGTAACATCTTGCCCACTCTGGGCAATTTCTTCGCGCCATTTGTTGGTAATGATTTCGTCAAAGACTTTTCGTTCCCAGTCGGGCTTGTCGGTGATAGTATTCATTACTTGCATCATAACGATTTCTCTTTTGACAAGGAGCTTGCTAGCAGAACGAAGAAATAGAATGTCAATACGAATGAGCGCATGTAAGCTGAATGTTCGTGATCAACGCACTCGAGTCTATCATCTTTCAGATGATTCGGATCTAGCGCATTGTAGAAGCCCGTGGAAATGTCAGTCAAGGTGGTCCCCCTCTTCAACATGTCGCTAGACAAGATAGTATATCAGCATCATCGGTTATCTATAGACATCCAAAGATGATCGACACCTACTCAATACTGCTTTCAAAATCAATTGGGTACCACCACCGGCGCAGCTCGTTGATGTTTGGCTGGATCAGTTAGCATTTGTTAGTGAATGTGGCATGGGATATTATAGAGCTCACAGCCGGTGCAGCATCCAAGGGCACATTGAACCCAGGCATTTGGGTTTGGAACCATTCGTGGGTAGGATCCATTGTTGAATATTGAAGCTCGGATGTTGGAATTTTGCTAAAACCCCGGATATTGCGGCCGCGGTGGCTTTTATCTCCAATTGTCTTACAATAGCGCCCAGGCAACGATTAGGCCGCGACTGGGGGCCAAAAAGACCACGGAAGATTGGTGAGAGAGGTGATTGGTACGGGTGTCTGCCAAGAAGAGATGGTGGGACTATTGACTTTAATTGCCTTGGCGCTGTTGAGATGGGGAGATTAGGAACTTGAAAGAAAGCCTGAGCGGGAGAGGTGCAGTATTTTGATATCTTACTGGTGAGCTAACTCTGTACGGCACAGCTATTTGTCAACTTTCATGCTTGGAATATGAAAGTTCTTTCAGGCTTGACGAAGGTAAAGAAGTCAGCGGTTAGCGGAGTTTGAATATGGAGTATTTCATACATCCATATACGGGGATACCATGTTATGCTTCTTGATAGTTTCGATGCCCGCCAAATCTTTAATAACATTTGTCTTTTGAAGCCAGGCTTCGCTCTCGTAGTCAGAGTGGAGTGCTCCTACGGGCGGAGTGAGGAGGAAATCTGAAGCGGAAAACGAGATTCCGATCTGCAGGATACGATTTCCTGGCCTCGAAAGCTGAGGCAGGCTGGGCAGCAGATCTCTGATACTTGTGCGAGAGATGGCGAGAGATGATGCAGTATCTTATTCCATTTCGAAGGGGTCTTGGTCAATGTGATGAGGAGGAGGAGGGAGGAGGAGGAGGAGGAGAAGGAGGAAGATATACCAAAGCAAGTGCAAGGAAAGATGTCACTAAGATCTTGTTATCTTCATGCTCGCCATGAGAGAGGCGGGGAGTAGATAGTAGTACCTAGAGAAGGATTGTTTCAATCCTTCTCTTTTCACTAATGAGTTGCTCACGCTAAAGACTGACCAAGTTGGTCATGCACATACAGAGTACAAAACCGTCACCAAAGGAGGGTGGTGACATGGTTATATTTGTAAGAAGTCTCTACTCTGTCACGTAGACCCTTATGGTCTAGAGGAACAATTGGTTCCTCTAGGAAAGCCCATATGCGGGATAGGAGAAGCTGAATTGGGGCTGATCTTTTTGCCTTTTTGCAGAATTTCCAGGTCGACAGATCGACTCCGTCCCATAGCGATCACCTCTCTCTTTCCCCCCCTTCTTTTTATCCTGTGCAAACGCTTTTTGTTGACGTTTGTTTATGTTGTTAATGTTGGGTTTAGTTAGGCCAGAATGCCTTAGGCATCAGGTGTCAATTCACTCTTTCAGCCGCATCGGCTTGGCCCCCACAACATTGACTCAGTCCAGTCCCGCTTACACTTGTGTGCCCTCATGCTTCACTTGTCTACTTTTGGACCCCGCATCTACTTTTGGACGCATCTACTGAAAGTGAGTCATCCAGTCACATATGGGTATAAATACCCCCTCAAAAAGCCACAGACAATACTCTTGTCGTGCATTGAAAGTTACAGGCTGACTAGCTTTATCAGCAACCATGGAGAAAGTAAGAAAGACCTTCTTCAATCCACTCGCCACTTCCAAGGCCAAGGTGGTAGAGATCCTTGAAGCTCTTCCAGTCGGCTCGGCGCACCCTTTCAGCCCGGAACAGATTCTTCTTTGTCGGACAGAGGATGGGATCACCGAGATCGACATCTCGTCTTATCCAGAAGACTTCTTCTTCAATGCCGTCGACTTGGGGGAAATGGGAGAAGTTCTTTTGAGGCGAATGACCAAGTTTAGTGAGCTGGCTAAGTTCTTCTGACTACTCCTCTCGGGAAAATCTTCATGCTAACATTTAAACAGACATCTTCAAAGACTTCCAGATCATGCAAGCGCCGGATACGACATTCAAGATCCCCATCGTCTCAGATCAAATAACTATTCTTGCGGTTTCTGAGAGGACCCCGACGTACTGGGACTTTTGCTTCGCGGACGAGGATTGCAATGCATGCTGCTGGCTGGAAAGGAAGACATTTAGCGGAATCACCCACAGTGGGGATATTCTCCAGGGTAAAGATCTCCTCGATTTTGTTTGGATCAACAAGGACTCTTTAACGGAGAAAGAGATATGCGTGTTCATATCTGGCTATGTGAACACACGGATTTCGCGTTTCATGGGGACATACCCTGCGATGCTTGTTGCCGACCATATGGACAAGGTATGTTCAAAGACCGAGTGCTCCATTGCTCATTCTCGACTAGATAGCTGACTGTGAAACTACAGATTCTCTATATCATTCCAGTACCGTTGGATGCAGCGACGATCGGAGACGCCACCATCTGTTGTCCACTGGTAGTCAAACGCGATGAGGATTCGTTGATTTGCTCAATACTGCCAACGGCGACCACAGACCGAGACATGCACTGCCACAGCAAGAGACTAGACAGCCCTGCCTTCCCGGAAGCCATCAAGCGCGCCAACTTTACCATCTCAGCGAAAGAGCCAACGAAACGATGTGAGCATGACATGGAAGAAACTACCAGAACTTCAAAAAGAAGAAAGCTTACGGAGACAGACCCATTAGATGATTTGGCGGATGCGGATGCGGCAACGACTTCAAGAAACATAGAAAATATCGTCAACCACAGGAATGCTGTTTTTACCACCTATTCGGCCACCATCCCCTCATTCCTCGACCAAGGGGAAGCCCAGGTCATACGATTCGGTACGGGTCTCGAATTTGAGTCGTCCAGCAACGAGATATTGAGACAAGCCAAATCTTCCGGTGTCGTTCTTCCATGCATCTTTGGCTCTGAACTACAAGGCCCGACTCTACTGGCAACGGGAACGGCTCCCTTCAACGTTCCCTTCTTCAACGAAAATTCGCTCCGAGGATACTACAAGAAACTGAAAAGCGCCGTGGTGATCGTCGACGAAAAAAATGACGGACAATGCTCGCAACCTCGCATCTCACTACCGAATCAATGCACTTTTCATTGTGCAGCTCATCCCTGAAACAGAGCCTAAGAATCCAGATGCTGTTCTTTCATTGATGAACTCCGCAAACATCAATGCAGTAACTGCTCTTGCAGGACCGCAGTCCTTGGTCTTAGTTCAAATCTGCGAGAAATTATACTTCTACAGAGGCATTGCTAACCTCGCACACCTTGATACGTCTGGACTGGAATTCGGCACCGATTTGACATCTCTTCTCCACACAGTTGGAATGGAATCCATACTTGACCCCCGGATTCCCCGGATAGTCAGACTCGACAAAGAAAATTCAATTCTTCTCCCCGCGTCTGGCCAATTCGTTCAACCCCAGGCTCTGCAAAATTTACTCGAAGAAATATCGATTGAGCAGATCCAAAAACTAGAGCAAGATATCTCAGCAGCCGTGCCACAACTACAGATGCTTCTCAACCAGAAAGACTTACAAGAACTCTCAAAGTCCCTGGTAGCGACCCTATCTGCCAAGGTCAGCAATGTAGCAGCTCCTCTGCGAGACAGATACACTCGCTTTTTGACAGCCGAATACAATGTCGACGATCGAGGCTCCGTGTTGATGAAGAACAATCTACTCGGAGAATTGAGAAAGGTTACGAAGGATATGCAAAAGACTCTCGAGCCGATAATTTCTTGCTTGGCTAATATGATATCGTCCCAAACGACCTCCAAGCGAACGCACGATTTGAAGCGACTTGTCCGTCAGACGACCATTCAGAATAATGTCGAGGCCGCGAAGTCCATGACCTTTGATGCTCTGTCCGGATATCTCGAGGAGTATGCGGAGGATATGGGAGTTATGCTACTAAATATCGACACGGAAACCTTCCGAGAGCTATTGGGTAACTTGAAAAACAATTTGATTGATGCTAGGTACGTGGCAAGCCTCTCTGCAGTGGACAGCTTAAGTTTTCAATTTCCCATTGCCCACCGTTATTGACCCCCTTCCGAGTCACGAATGAAACTAACAACCTTCTCAGCCCGTGTTGCGCTCTAGATTCTCGAATCCTCCACCTACAAGGCTTTGACGCCGGAATTCTCATCGAACAGTCCCAGTCAAAACACGATGGTCCCCTTCGAAGCATAGCCGGAGCCTCCCAGCCTATTCTCGCTCTACCCTACTTAAGCCAGCTATCAGGACGAGGGTCAATGTTAGCATGGGTGTGTTGGGACGAATTTGTCAACCTCAAAAGTCCCTACAAAGTGCGATGGATGGAAAAGTGCAACGAACCACACATCGCCGCCCTACGAATCATTATTAGAAACACCCTAAGCCAAGCCGTCGCATCAAGAGAATACAATCTACAACCAGGCTCCAATGAAACAGGCGCACTGATGAGCGCTCTCTTAATGGCATCCATGTCCAAGCTCGCAGCAATGCGCACATCTAAGCCCACAGAAATAGTCGGAAAAGCCGAAGACACCGTTACAAGACTCATGCGCGGACTTTTCGGCAATCTCTTGACAATCGCTGGGTCTGGACTCCGTCCTCTCAGTATGGTCTGGCAATTATTCGGTCAACACCCCCAGTACGATGTCCCTGCCACAAGGGGCGACTGGGTCTGGTACGAGACAGTTGTCAAACTGTATCCGTACACGGGGTGGCCACTTGCTCAGTTCCACTCCAATCTGGAAAAACTACTGGACAAGGCCGTAATCCGGGTCGTGACCAAGAATGAAAACATCGCGCAGATCAAAGCATCTCGCACGGAAGAGATGACTAAATTCTGCAAATTACGGAATATTCACCTCGCCCATTGCCGAACAATATTAACTGTTTTCATGCGTATGCTCACAGCCAACATCAACAACGGTACAGAAATTGACATCGCCGCTGTTGCAACCCGCCTACTAGCACACATCCCCCCAACGCTGGAAAAAGAAGTCGAAAGCTACAGAAGAATGATCTTCTACCTCACCCATCTAGCAGAAGGAAAGCCGAGAATCGCTGAATGCGATAGTATCCCCATGAACCTATACACAAGGCGATCCGGGGCATTCGCAGAATTAAAGCTCCAAGTCCGCGAAGCATGCAAAGAAAAGAACTGGGAACAAGTCAAGAAGTCCTGCCAGGATATTCAAACGAAGAAAAACGAAATAGCGACACTCTGGAACGTTGCGCCTGATTCGGTGAAAGTGCATAATATCAAGGCATACAAGGCTCTACTGGCGGCGGATTTTAGCGAAAATATTGACCAAGAAATCGCGCGTGCAAATCAAAAGATCGCGGCGCAGATTGCCGGAGATGCGGAGATTGAGCTTGTTCCGTGGCGTGTTGGGAAGAAAGGTCAATATGGGGATATTGAGCCTTTGGATGAGAGTGTTGTTCATGAAATATTGACTGGGAAAGCAGATAGTAGGGGTCAGGAACATGGAGGAGAAGCTAATGAGGTAACGGAAATGACCGCAGAAAAGAAAGTCGTGAAGCTCGGAGATGAATTTGTTCGGTTCGAGAAATCTTTCACTGCGGATTTCATCCAGATAATGCAACAGGAGTTCTCCATTGAAGCAGTTTGTGAGGTTATGATGGTTCCTGTCTCCGCGATGCGTGTTTTCGTCGACGCACTGAATCCGGAATTCGATTGGGGGAAGTTCGGAGTAAATTTCCAAGGTGTTATCTTGGATTTGATGAGGAATCGGTCTGGTCGGGAGGATAGTCGGCCTGTGAGGAAGTTGTTGCTGCTTGAGAAGGGGCTGCTGCTGGCAGACTAAAGGGTCATGTTTCGCGGTGCTGATGGAGGAGTAATCACCTGGCGTTTTATATCAATTATTCAGACAGACAGTAATCAAGAAAAGGATTTGTTTTGACTTTGAAGGTTGATTCCACTATCAACCAGTACAGATATTATCTTCATCTTCCAAATCAAATGGTATCAATTATCAATCGCTAAACAAGACAAGAATCCAATCCATGCACACAATCCAAGTAGCACCAATCATATATACAAGTTCGAACACCCCACAGCACTACCATCAGCTTCCCAAAATTGGACCCTAACCCTGACCAAGTAAACTAACTATACATCTGTACAACGAGCGCAGCCAAACCAATTCAAACTCAGCTGAATTCAATTCAGCTCACAACTCCTCCTTCTCCCCTCATCGACCCCCAAAAAGAAATCAAGTTCACTCGGACCACCCTGCGAATTCTCATTCTCAGCAAGTTGTTCCAATAAACTCAAAAACGGATCCTTCTCCACGGGACCCGTCTCACTACCCGCTGTATGCGATCCAGAAGTCTGGCTCTGCGCACCCGGCGTAGCAGCCGCGCCTCCGCCGGACGCATTCGCCGCGTCGAAGGGGAAGGTCGCGTACTGCGGGTTTGAGGGTGGTGTGGGTGCTATGAAGCCGTCTGCTAGGTTGAAGGCGGGTGGGGAGAGACCGAAAGCTGAGGGGGAGAATGATGTTGGTAGGGACAAGTGGTCTGATGAGGATTGTTGTTGTGTGGGGTCTGGGTTTAGGGATACGGGGAAGAGGGATTGGAGGGATGGGGAGGGGTGGAAGTGTAGGGCTGGTGAGAGGTCTTTTGCGGAGGGGTGTGTTGAATCGGGAGTTTGGGTTTGGGTTTTGAGCGTTGGTGGGCGTGGTTGGTAGAAAGGGTTGGAATTGAAGCCTGAGGGTGGTGCCATTGGTCGTTGGTAGTATTCTTGTCCGAAGGTATTTGAGCTGGGTGAGGTGTTAATGGGTGGATGTTCCATTTTGCGTTGTGTTGGGAAGGGAAGAAGGGGTCATACAATGAGACGAGCTCGTCGCCTGTATCTATTAATCTGACATGTGCGCCGTCCGCAGCTAGGCTCGGGTATCGATCGAGGAAGTCCTCTAAGTGGAAGACCGGGGAGAATCGCATCGGGCTAGTAGCCAGATTACGGACCAACTCTGAGTGGCAGGTGTAAATTGCTTGGAGAAGCTCCCGTTGGTGCTGGACGCCGGCCCAGGAATTGCGTAGCCAAGCCAGCTGGTGCATCTCACGAGTGAGGAACTCTGCGCTCGAGGAGAAGACCTCTCCTTCTTGGCCCTTATAGTGTACACCGTGGACATGCACAGTACCGGCTGTGCACACGCAGTATCCGACAAAGGCAGGCCACTCGATCAAGGGAGAGTTGCGACCTAGCTCCACTAGCTCTGCGATTGCATTGGAATGCGAGAAACAGAGGTTGGTGGCTTCGATCTGCCATGACTGGTGTTGACCCGTTCCGCGGAGTTCTACCAAGTCAATTGGTAGGAAGGGGCGATAAATCAGACAATGGACGAGATGGTAGATTAATTTGCTTAGTAGCAGTGTCGTGCTCTCTGGGTGACCGAATAGAGCCTCAATCGAGGAAAAGACGTCCTGCGTCCCGGCGGCCCAGATGTCCAACTCTTGTCGAATTTTGGACAGATTTGATAACGCGTGCCAAGGGAAATGTGAATCGCCCTTGACGCCACCCGCTGCCAAGTAGCGGTTCGTCACACCTAGAATACGAGTAATATCAATCAAAAGAGAGGCGGCGCTGGGTGATTTGCGCCGGGAATCAGCGGAGTATTGGATGTTGGGGCCGACGTGGAACAGCTCCCCTTCGACGGTGAGACCGGGAGTATGGGAAGACCAAACGGGTAAACGTAGGACAATGGAGTGATCGGCAATGAGACAGGGGCGAGGAGATCCGCAGGTAATGAAGCGATCCATGAGATAGACAGACCAGAAGAGTCGTCGCCTCATTTCTCTCTCGGGGGGTGCTAGGTTGCTCTTGGAGGGTGCCTCGCGGAGAAGATCCAATGCAACCACCATGGCGGCGCAATTTGCTAGTCTTGTTAGAGGTGAACTGTAATCACTGGATAGCCGAGAACATACAGAATGTCATATATGCCTTTTTCCCTAATCCATAAGCGAAAAACGCCTGCGAGAGCAGCAGGAGAGTCTGCAGTCCCTCAACCGTGGGGTTATCTACATCAACCATCCGTCGCGCCTGTAGGGCAGCATCTAGACCCATCCGCAGAGACTGATCTGGCTGACCGACCGCATGTACATATCTGTGGCGATTTAGTTAGCAGACTGGCTGGTTCAAAGGCGGCAAAAAGCCCACCTCGCGGTCATGGCCGATATCGCCATAGACAAGGGCGCGGATAGCTGTTTTAGTTGGTGCATCTGTCGTGTGCTCGTTTCGTCGAGGACGAAAAAGGGTTTGCCGTGTAGGCGCCCGAAAATATGCATCCAGCAGGATATCTGACAAGATGGCATTGTGGGGCTGTGGTTGCGACTGGGAATGTGATGACTGTGGCTGCGAGAGGGCCGGAGCTAGGGCCTGGTCGGTCGCGCGAGGAAAAGACTCGGCTGGCTGAGAGAGAGATGTGGATAGCGACGGTCGGCGATCGTTCGAGGAGTATGAATGAAACGAGGCATCTATGGTGTTGCGTCGGGATTGGTTGCCGAGGGGGAGATCCTCTGGGGGATCGGGCGAAGTGGGCGAGATGGGGTTTTTCTCATCCTGAAGTCTTTTTTCGAGGCCATCGACGCGTTTGAGAAGGGCCTCGAGGACGTCAGTCTTGGGGCCGCGTTTCTTGGGGATGGCATCTAGAAGAGGCGAGGCGAAATGTGTCAGAGGTGATCGGCATGGGTGAGACAGCTGTAGGTGGGCTCATCCACTCACCATAGACGCAGGCACATTGGAAGACTTTGCAGGCTTCACAGCTCGGGCGCAGACGGTTACATTTGATCTGGCATCGCATTAGCATTTGTATTCGCATTGGCATTGGCATTGGCATTGCCGGGTTAGCATTGCGGTGCCGGCATCGGCATTGAGCGTGGGACGAGATGGGGTGAATTTTGACGATACCTTTCTTTTGCGGCAGGACTTGCAGTTCATCGCCTCGCGCTGTTCTAATGTTGCGCGACGCGGTGTCAACCGGTCTATGCTGACCTGTGGACGAGACATGGTGGTGAGGAAGAGGAATGAGGGAGTAGGGAAATAAAAAGGTGGAGGCGAAATGCGGAGAAGCCGAGCCCACCGGAGTTTGGTCTGGTACAGGATAGTACTATGTATACCAGTAGTAGTAGTCTTGACTAGACTATTACTAGTTTGGACTAGGGTAGACTAGGGTAGACTGAGGTAAGGCGTAATTATTATTATTATTATGATTATTATATAATATCCAGCTAGGGCTTTCTTGCCGAACTGCGACTAGTCCAGGCTAAATGCCAAATGCCAAATGCTAAATGTCTCGGTAAATGTCCATCCTTGTAACATCCCCGAGCCCTACAACACTGACTAGTACCCTAGGGTAATACTTAGCACTGTTTAACTAGTACACCACCATTACTACTACTATCACATGCCTTGACATTTCCTGCAGATACCTGCATGCCTGCAGCTGCCACTGGATATCCCCACTCACATTCCCATCAACCCTCCACGTGAAACATGCAAGATGAAAGGAACATCTAAGCGCCGGCGGGCATTCCCCATTCGTAAGAACCCTTACTATAGTGATAAATTAACTACTCCGTATACTATACTCTTTTGGAGACGGATTCAATAGTACTAGTACGAAATGACATGCATTGAGTTTACTCGTATACCTACAAGTTCTCGTATACCTACTCGTATAGGTCTCCATATGCAAATCTATTCGTTTCTATACCCATATCTCTAAATAGCCTCATTCTAGACTCACTCTCTATTTACTTAACTACTAGTAGGACCTTCAGGCTACCCCCTAGGTACACCACCAGACATATCCCTCACAAAACCAGCCATCTCCTTCGCCCTCGAACCCCCCCATCTCTTCCAACCCACCAATAACACCCTCTCGATCTAAGACGCCTTTCTCCTGACTCCCCTTAAACCTTCCCTCCACCCGCGTGATCTCCACTTCCATCCCCACGATCCCCTTCTTCAGCATCGAAATATACTCTGCCGGCGCATCAGCAATCCTCCACGGAGATCGCCCCTGCCCTAATTCAGATCCAGCTTTGCCACCCCCAGCATTGCTGCTGCCATCCTTGCCATACCCCATAATCCCCACCTCCCCAACCCTCGCCAAATCCCCCAATTGCCGAGTAAGAAACTCCCCCCGTCGCCTCCTCCTTTACAGAATGGTACACAACCATTCGTCCGTACACCTGCACCGCGGCGTAATTCCACGTTGGCGCGACTTTCCCACTCCCACTCCCCACCGACGCTGTATAGAACTGCGGCGTGATGTAGTGATCCACTGGACTGGTAAATACAATCAAGACTTCGCCAGGAAGGACCTGCCCTTGTCCTTCAAGTTTTCCCTGCTCTTGGTCCTCATCCTCGTCCTGACTCTGACCCTCTCGATCTCCCTGCTGCTTCTGCTGCTGCTGCTGCCTCACAACCGAATTAGGACCGGTCTCTGTCCCCGCCCCCGCCTCCGTAACGGCTTCGATTAAAGCCTTTGTATGCGGATTTGCGCGCGCAATGTGGCCGCGTAGTGTGCCAAGTCTCTTTCTGTTTCTGTTGCCGTTTGGGCCTTTGCTTGTGCATTGCTTGTTGGTTTCATCGCTGTGACTTAGACCGAGACCGTCGGGTAAATTCCTAGCCGAGCCCTCAACCTTAACCCCCCTCATTCCCATCTAACCCCGCGCTCCCGGCCCCGTCCACACCGTCCAATACCCACGGAATATGACTACACTGTAACGTAGGAAAGTTCTCCGATGGTAGTGAGGTGGTTAGGACGCCGAGGGGGTGTGTGCGGATGAAGGTGTGCAGGGTGGGGAGGTCAGTGACGGCGTGTTCAGCGCGTAGGTGCATGGTGCGTGTGATGATGGTGATTCTTGGATTAAGTCTTCCCAGGGTGATGTTTAGGTTTCGGCCTTGGAGGAGCAGAGTTTTTACCATTGGTAGAGGTGAGCGAATTTGAAGTGAGGGCCCGAGGTGAGTGGTGGAAGGGAGGGTTGTTTCCAGTTTAGTTGCCAGTGTATGCCACAGGCTCAAGGTCCCCGGGGCGTAGGGTCGGCCTCCCCGGATTTTGATAAGCTTATCAGGGCAGCGCGGGGAAATTCCACCAGCCCCGGACGGGGAGTCAGAATGGGATGCACCAGGCCTAGCTATAGCTAATTACAGAGATAAAAACAGACTTCAATGCTATTTATTTCAATTCCAATTCCAATCCCATGCACACCAAACACCACCGCAACAATATCTACTGTAAGCGGTTCAAAATCGCATCGCATCGCATCGCACCATGGGGGCCTGGGGGCAAAGAGACAGAGATAAACACAAAAGAAAAAAAGGGTACATAAAAATCGCCTCAACAAACAATGACCCCCAATGCTACATACTTGACATGGAATAAATAAAAGGGGCCACAAGGCACGGCACAATGCCCGAGTCAAGTGGCAAAACAAAGTACTGCGCCGCACCGCGCCGAGCCGACCCAAAGCCACGCTCCGAAGCTAAACCAACCCGGCTAATTGGCTAACCCAAGCTAACCTAAAACAAAGACCTCCCGCTCGCCATCCTAACAAAATCAAACGGCACATTCTGACCAACAAGCAACCTCAACGTCTCAACAGTCGTCCAAGCCGTAACATCCTCAGCCCCATACGCCGTCCACCCAGCCGCCCGAGCCACAGCAAGCGGATCACCCTTTCTCGCACCGGAGGTAAGATCAAGATAAACCTTGCCCCGAGTACTCGTCGGCGAAGCACGGCCATTAGATCTATAATGACGCAGCAAAGGCTGAACAAGCAGCGATTTCTCCGGCGGCAGAGCACTGACAATAACGAAAGGCGATTCGACCAGTTTCACCGACTGGATCGATGTAAATGGTTCCAGGCCTGCGGCTAGTGGACCATGCGCCTTAAACCCGACTGTGTAGATTGATCCGACGCCCAAACTGCGCAGGGCGAAGATTGTTGCCGAGGCGTCGGACTCGGTTCCCGAGAGGATTATTGCGGCGCGGTTTTTGTATGCGGATGGGACGTAGTCGCGTGTTAGGGTGGCGCGGATGCCCTTCCATGCGGCATTTTCGCCGATGAAGGTCGTTCTCGGAGTGGAGGGGGGAGGCCATTGGGTTTGAGGGTAGGGGCGCTGGAGGCGGGGATGGGGATGATGAGCTTGGATTGGATGTTGCGGCGATTGTGTCTATGAGACCGATTGCGCGGGCTGCGTCGCTGATGGATGGGATGTATGATGTTGAGGCTGGGACGGGGGGGGTTTAAAGAGGCACCGCCGAATTGAGGGTGTAAGAGGACGGATTCCATTGAGCCCTTTGGGCCGCGGTCGATGCAGGTGAATGAGTGCGGGAGACCAAGTTCGTTCATGCATTTTTCCATAAACATTGATTGGGGGGTGGAGCGAAACGAGCCGATGGCGTACAGGTCGCGTTTTGGCAGCTGGCCCATTATGTGCAGGGCTTCGTTGATTTCCGCAGCGGTTAGTTGGCCCGGCGCGGCGATCATGGGCAGGAGTGGGTGGGTTATTGGGGAGAAGACTGTGTTTAGGGCCCGGGATAGTTGGCCCATTTGACCCATGTTCACGGCGGAGAGGAGAGGGTGGCCTGCGCCGCGTGATTTGATTGTTGAGCGGAAGTATTCGAGCTCGTAGTTCTCTTCGATGGTCTCGACCATCGCGATCATCTTCACGATGTCGCTGTATTTGGCGCTCTCGTTAAAGATTTCCACCGCGGAGGCTGAGGTCCATTTCCAGCTTCCGGAGAAGTCGTGGAAGGCAGACATTATGATGCTGTTCCCCTTCACCTCCGCGAGTGCTCGTCGGATATCCTCTGGAAGCCACAATTCCACATCCACATACTCCACCCCCCACCGTATCGCCCGCCGAAGATACTTGAAGAACAGCGCGGGGTCGTCCATGGGAAATTTCCCATTCTCCTTTATACAGCGAGTCGTGAAGATAATCGGCAACTCGGTATGCTGCCGAAGGAGCATCAATTGTTGACCAACATACTTCAAGCTCGGCACCTTGCCCTCACACCCCGGCTCAACGAGCAGATCCACGCGAATCTCAACCGCATCCGAGCCCACGGAGAGAATATCCAGGTTCGGGAGCGCGGCGTGCACATCGGGAAAAGTCGTCGAGATAAAATTGGTGCGAGTCTTCGTCCGCAAATCCTCGTGCGGCCTCGTCTGGCCCAGAATCAACGATAAGAATCGCGTCAGATCGCGCCGTAGGAATGGGGTGCGCGTGTATAGAAATTCATAGTCGCAGCGTTCGCTCAGCGCGTCGTCTGGGGCGGACCCGTCCTCTACGCTGTGCGTGTTCACTAGTACGACTGCCGCCCTGTCGCATCCTTCTAGGCTGCGCTCCAAATTATCCCTGACCACGCCTGCCACGACCACGTCTGCTTTGGAGAGGGTCGAGAGTACGATTTCTGTTATCCAGGGCTTGCCTAGGACTTCCGCCACCAGATGCACGATGTGTTCCTGGCCGGGCTGGTAGACGATTACCACGGTGCCGGAGGGAGCCTCTGGTGCGGGCGCAGTGTAGGAGGCATGGTGGAGGCTAGATGGTGAGGGCGCGCTCGCGTGTGCAGGGCCCGGATTGGAGGCGATGGATTTGACGTTCAGGGAGGAGGAGACTAAGGGCAAAGACGAAGAATTGGTGGACGTGGGGGCAGGCGGATTGCGGAGGACGTTGGAGACGGGCGTCTCGTCGAGGAGAGGCGTCGCCATGGGCGTGAGGGCTGTGGGCATCATCGCATAGCAGAATTCCTCGTGTTCATAGTTGGGAGAGGCGGAGAGGTAGGTAGTACTTCAGTTTAGAAGGCGAAGGCGAAGTAGACAGAGAACTTGGAAAGTAATACCCGCGCATAGACCGAGCGGGCTTTGACCGAAGGCACGAGCGCAGGAAGTATGCGGAGTGGATGGGTTGGAGTAGGTGTAGGTGTGGTCCCAGTACAAGATCTGGGCACTGGGGGGTGGTAGTGGTAGTCCTGGTACGGGAGAGCAGGTCAATTGGACTAAGATAGAGTTTAATATGGCGAAAATGGGAGCGATGGAGTGCTGAGATGCCGGGGTCGGGCAAAAAGAGAAGGGCAGAAAAGGCATGGCGAGGATCCGGGGGGCGCGGGGGAGTTGGACGGGGATGCATTCTTCCGCCAATCACAGCGAAGTAAAAAGTGGATGAGCAGATCGGATAGGGAGATAAGTCGGAAAAGCACAATACAGCATAGTATAGTATAGTATAGACATTCAGGATATACTGGAGTAAGTATCACTAGATTAGTATATCTATAGGGTACTACTATATCTATATCTCCCACCTTAGTATACCCTAATCTGCGATTATTACTGTACTAGTATACTATTAGTAGTATACATACAGTCATCCGGCTATAGTTACTACTATCCCCGGCTGAACAGCTCCCCCTGATACGGGGAAAATCTCTCCTGCCACTGGACGGATAGAGACACGGCAGAACCAAGCACCAATAACCAATCGAGGGATTACCCAGGGGTAATCCACTATCTTCAGCCTAATTCAGCACTACTAGTACCACCTACTACTATACCACTGACTACAGCCTGAGTGAGAATGCTACCTAGCCTCAGGCTAATATCCAGCTCCACACAATCACTGCTATAAGCTATACAGAATCAAGGGTCCCAAGGCTGTTGTTGTTGGGTAACATTGCATGAAAGAGGGTGTATATTGTGTATCCATCCAGTCCATTACTAGTATCACTTCATTGTCACAGTCCCATCCAGTCAACATTGGAAACTTGAATACATCATGAAATAGGTACGGAGCATCCTCCCTCCCTCCCTCCCTTCCCGCCACAGCTTGCACATTAAACGAAACATATATGCATCCGTAGATGCGAATGCAAAACAGATAGATCAATGGTATCTAGGGTTGGCAGATCAAATGAAATCAAGGCAAATCAAGTCAAGGAGGCCAGGCAAAGTCAGGTGGTGTCTCATGGTCACATTACACGGCAGAGCCAGGAGCAATAGGTAGATAGATAAATAGTCGCCCCACTGTACGAGGCAGAGGTCGGAGAGAGGTCCAAAACGACGAAAACAAGGTCGGAAACATGGTGTATGGCAAAAAGATGAAAACGAGGGGAAAATACCAAGGGGGGGGGGGAATGGGTATTGAGTAAATTGAGAAGAAAAAACAGAAGATAGAAAATAGTCAAACAGTCTCCATCGCAATGGAGATCTTTCGAGATGCTGTGAAAATGGATCTTTTTCCGGGAGATCAAATCAAATCAAAATGCCCAGGTCCATGGCCATCACGATCGCCATGACAGGTTCATGTTCCGGGCTCCGGTTCAGGTCGGCCATCTTGCGCCTTTTTATTTTTTGTTCATTCCGCGGGCTTCAAGCCCGGTAGCGGTACGTGACGCTATGTACGAGAAAATAGTCAACCAGATAATAGATATCGGGCCAACACATAGGTGGATAAGGTGAGGAGGGGGTGAGAAGGTGCGAGGTTTCAGCGCAAGGATGAGCCGTGCGCCCTGGGGAAAAGTCTGTGGTAGTGACAGTCTGTAAGCAACAGAAATTGATGCTCGTTCCACCGCTGCTTTCACTGCCACCACCACTGCCAGATTGTCGATACGGCCCTGTCGCAGACTCTGTTATAATCAGGACAGTCGTATATATATACAAGACTGAAAAGAAGAAAGAAAAGGTCGAGGCGAAGTATCAGCCCGCCAGCGGCCTGTATCTCGTCATAGAGTATGTGTGCTCCACCCGTCAAGGGCGAAACCTCGGAGCCTAAGCAAGGACACTGGCACTCTGTCATCCTGCCCGGCCGGTACGTTTCAGAAAGCGGCACAATGGTGAGCCAATTTCAGCAAAGTAGGAAGGAAGAGCCTCGGCCCACAGGACTAGCTGGGGAGGGATGGATGATCGGACGATCTACAGACGAATTCACACCAATTAACTCGGTGGAGAGATTGCCAGACCATTCATGAGCTTGGGCAGCGGCTTCCTTCGGGCAGTATTTGCCGTCTTGGACACCCGAGGCGCTCCGTGAATCATGCGGGGTTCTGCCATCAGGCTTGTGTCTAATTTTGCCGGCGCTATTATGTTGTGGTTAGTATCGGGCGTAGCTGGGGAGATAGATAGCATCCTGGTAGATGGAGGGTTAGAACTCACCTCTTTGGGCTACCCGGCTGTAGTCACTGGCGAGGTTGTTCTGGCTGCGACTGCTTGGGGCGAAGAACGTTGCGCTGGCGGTTCGCCACAGGTGATTCGAGGTATCTGACAAAAAGTCCGTTGTGGATCGACCGGAGAAAATGGATGTTCTGCCACGGTTCCGCTTTGAGAGAACGATCTCGTCGAACAGTGCCATCTTGGAGTCCTTGGCTTTGGGGCTCGTTCGTTCGCGTTCACTAATGAACTCCATGAATCCTATACCATGTCAGACTTGAAATTCAACTTGTGTGGGGAGGTAGGTGATGGGGGTACTAACCTTGCGTCTGGGATAGGTGGGCAACGTATTCGGCGTGATCATGCGGCAAACTCTTCATGAATGCCTCCATGTTGAAGGAGTAGTAAAGACCTGCTTTCTTCTTGTCGCCAGTGGCTGGGGTAAGGAACTTCTTGTATGTGTAGAGCAAACTGGCGAAGCATCTGACAAAGGCAGCCCGGATCTGATCAGGGTGGAAGGCCGCATCGCAGACCAGGCAAACTTGGGACGCACACCGGTTGTGAACGGTCAGTTTGCACGATGAGCACTTGTACATGCCATCTTCAGCCCGGTCATCACAGATGGCACACGTCAACTTGTCATCCCATGGCTGTGTTTGGAAATAGTGTCCTTCAACCCAGCAAGTTCCCTCGGTAGTGTTGACATACTGTGCGGAAGCTTGTGGCACGATAGTCGAAGCGGCAATCGTCGACTGGGCATACACGGATGGAGCATATGTTGATCCTCCATGTTCGGTGTTGAGGGTGGTGACCGATAGGTTAGATGCGTGGCCGAGGAATGGCGCACTGGGACGGCGGGTCATACCAAACGATGAGCTTCTCCGAGATGCAGCATCGAAGTGGCCGGATCGTTTCTCGCGCAGCGAAGCCTGAAGAGCCATACCGGAATCATTTCGCGAAGAAGGAGTAGGCGGAGGCGGAGGGAAATGGCCAGAAGTGGGAGAGCTTTCTCTAGGGGAAGGAGGAGAAGCTCCTGCCCTGGCGGTAGAGCTAGTACCTGGACGATCGTTGCTCCTAGACGAGGAATACCCACGGGAAGAGACCTGCTCATGACGGGCATGCAGGAAGGCGTTGAAGATGGGGGGGTTGGTAAGAATTGGGGACTACGGCAGTTGAACCGAACGCATTTGAATTCAGACCGACATATTTGGCAAGATTGGTGGGTGCTGCCTTGGAGGAATATGTAGCACTGCTTTCTGACAAGAATGTGTCCCATGGGTATGTCTCAATCGCATACGCTGGAGGCCCGGTTGGGACTCCACAGCGGCTGTGGTGAGGAGCTGCCATTTGCAAGAGTGACAAGAGCTTCCTGCGCTGGTGTCGTGGGAGAGGGGTTGGTTGCAAGGTACTTTCGATCATGTCGTTATCCAAGTCCACCAGCACGAAATCGTCTGTCGGCAGTTCCACCTTCTCATAACGACGCTCGATACCCACGATATAAGGGCAAGGAGCCTCGATAGCTTGAACCAAGCGAGCTGGGAGAACTGGGATCAAAACACCGGTCCACTGGATGGGGAACAGAAGGTCGACCAGGGCTCTCGTCGCAAGGTAGAGCATCGAGGTGTGTGATGACAGGAAAATGATGCGCGACTCGGTCAAGGCGTACTCGAAGAGGATAATGATATTAGGCACGGAGAGAGCGCGGAACAAGGCATAGAGATCCGTGTTTCGGGAGCCCGGCAGCTCATTGGACGCCTCCTGTCGGGCGAACAGCCGCAGCTCACGAATTGCGAGTTCGACCTGAGTTTTCGAAGAGACGGGACAGAATGCCTCGGTGCAAAGGTTCATGACATAGCGTTCTATCGGCTGCCACACGCCCATCCGGGGCGAGCTCGGCGGAACGCGCTGGATCCCACCTTCTGTCATAGGCACCACGATCGCCTTCAACCACTCTTTCCAGAAGCTGGTCATGTTGGCTTCGCGGCCCAGAATGCCGTAAGCACGGGGGATCCAAAAGCCAGTGTCACCATCCGTAAGACCCTCGATCTTTGAGGCTGCACCATGTCGGACCGGTCGCAGAAGATCATTCATCAGTCCAATCTTCTCCTCTACTGCGCTGATCTCGTCCTCCAGTTGTTCTCGAGATTCGGATCCTGATGGCACGTTCGGTAGCTTGGCCAGAAGTTGAGAGAGCTTGGCCCGCTCCTGTGCAAGTCGTTCGCCCAGACTCGCAGCCAGCTCCCGTTCCTCGTCCGTCATGTTATCCTTCCGCCATTCCTCACAGCGTTTTTCTAATTCGTCCGCAGCTTGCGAATTCAACGGAATCCAGATAATTACACAGATAGCGTGCAGCTTCGAGCCATTCTCTGTTGTCATGGCAAACCCGTGCCAAGTCGAACGCGGCCGTTGATCGGAGGAAACAATGTTGATATCGTTGGGGAACGCAAACATGGGGATATAGTCCGGGAAGTTCCCGCGCTGCTTTAATTCATCGGTCATTCCTCGGTGGGGGGTATCGGTCGAGCAGAACGGGTTCGAAGCGGCGTTTCAACGGGTGCATTGTAGGTGAAATTTCGAGAGGTTGGGGAACGGGAATGACCGAGTTGTAGTTACTGAGTCGTCGCGAGGTGCGCACCGAAGCTAGGCAAAGAAGTCAGAAAATAAAGTTGAGGAAGGTAAATAATACCATAGTAGACACAAGAGCTCGGGAGTACTCACCATGTCGCGCAATTGACGGCTGTCTCTTCATACTATTCATATCGCGAAAGGCCATATGACGGCGAACACTCCCAATGCCGGAACGAAGCAGATTCGCCCCTTGAGATGGCGAATCCTCCGCAACAATCTTCTGGGTGCGCACGCGCGACCGCGGGCGGGAATTATTGGTAATGGCGCCCGCACTCAGACTCAAATCCGTCAAGAAGGTATCTCGCTCCGAAGCAAACTTTACTAGCGCCTGGTCGAAATCAAAATCGTCGCCGAAGAGAGTCGAGCCGCGCGCAGGCGACGAGCCCCCTTTAACCGTCATACTGCTCCGGTTGCTGGCGGTGCCATTGGCGTGGCCTTCGGAGTCGCGGGACAGTGTAGAAAGACGTTGCGACGAGCCGCGACGACCTGTGCTGTTCCCGGTAAACAGCGTGGAGCTGGGCCGTGAGGTGCCGGGGGGCATGTGTTCTTCTTCTGCGTCGGCATCCTCCTGAATGGCATCTGTGAAGGCGGGGCTGGGGGAAGCAGCGCCGTTGATGCGGTAGTCATCACCGAGGCGGCGATAGGTGTCCAGGACCTCAGATCCGTCCACGCCGGCTATCCAGAAGTAGTCGGCTAGCGGGGCGGCCTCGGGCACACTGGTTGATGGCATTGCGGGAGGTGGTGGGCTGGACGTCTCTTATCTCCCCAATTACCCAGGGTTGGCTTCAATTCCGGACGAGTGATTACCGCATGGATTGCTGGAACTTTGGGGTGCCGGCGATGAGGGGCGGGCAGAAAGGAATTGGCAAGACTGTACAGACGCGGAAAGGGGAGAAGAAGTGAGGTGTGTAGGTGAGAAGTGACGTGAGGTCGGGGGCGGGATAGGAAGAGGGACAGGAGAGTCAGGGCGGGATCGGAGAAGGGAATGTATGTAGAGGAGAGAGTCAAAGAGGAGGGGTTCAGGAGTGAAGATCAATTTTGGGGGTGGGTTTGATGGTGGTAAGAGGTAAGAACTGTACGGAGTATCTCCATGTATAGTACTGTCATGGTTTGTGCGGTCGGCTTTTACCCCAGTGCCTACAGTGCCATTGGTGTATAGTTTGGCGGATTTTTGCTTTTTTCTGTCATTACTGATGTTTGTTTATAATAATAATTATAGTTATTATTATTACTATTACTGTTCTCCTTTTCTCTATCCCTCCGCCTTATACTGCTAATACTCCTATCTACTCGGATGCTTGCGTATACACGGTATTGCCTTTTCAGTACCCTCCCGCTTGTGTAGTTTAACCTACTCCAGAGTAGTTCAAGTTTGCCCAGCAACTCTTCCCCACTCTAATTATATTTCTGCTCTCCTCATCAAATAGCACTTCCTGGAACAATCATTCCTAGCCTTAGGGCTCTTTTGTTCAGTCATCCTTTAGGACTGCCTACTACGTATACGTATAGTACCACACTAGGCCAGGACCGTTGGAGTTGGTTCCCGGGGAGCCCTAATGCCTCGGAATGTCCAGATGTCCAAAGTACTGTGCATATCATATGGTATTTCCACGATCCTCTTTCTTTTACCAACTTCTAGTCCTTGGTTGTAATAGAGACCATTCCCCTCGTTCCTGGTTATCTACAGATACAGATCTGATCTCCTCTCCACCTCCCCACCAAATCTCCCCTACTTCTGGTAGCTCTCAAGGTTCGGTGGAGCGCAAGCACTCACCGATCCCACTCATCCGACCATGGTGAATGGTTCGCGCCCACCGGCTTATGCAGTTCCCACCCGCGTTCCAGGGGTACTGGGCACAAAAGCACAACCACAACTGGGTACAACCAACTCTGGGTACCAAACAACCTGTGCGTGGTCGGTCCATGGTTCTGTGTCCATCTCGGCCATCGCTCCCGTTTTAGGGCTCAGGGGGATCCTTCAACGGTGTCTGCGCTCGGGGCATCACGGCGCAAAATGGCGGGCAAGATCGTCGAGGATTTGCGTCGCTCCGTGAGACATGGCTTGTATTTGTATTCCGACACGAATATCGTGACAGCAACAATGGCAGTGACACTGATACTGCCCTAAGTTAGCGCTAGACTCGGAGGTCTCGAGTGAATGACCAAGCGGGACTATCCGGGCAAGTTTTGTCCGGCTGTAACCTCAGCTCGTTTTTCAGTTTTCAGTTTCCAGCCGTGGCCTTTTTTTGCGTTCTTTTCCTTCTTGTCCTGGAAGGGGAAGAATGGGTCGGAGGCTGCCGAACGGAGCTGTCTTGCATGTCTTCTGCACAATTTGATTCCGTCCTTTGTCGCAGTATGGAGTATAGAGTACTAGTACACGATTCTCATCACATGTCATATAAAATAATTGGCCCCAATTCTTTGTCCTGAATTTTGCCGAGATCACGACAGGCGAGGCAATGTGCTCGACAAACGGATAAGGGATTCTGCCTCGCCCTTTTGGCGGGGGGGATTTCAGCAGGAGTCAGGAGGTGGTCTGTCCTTCTAGTGGGGGGGGCGGAAGAGATGATCAATGCCTAACTGGATACTGGTAGTGGAGATGGGTCGTATGTATTCGAGTACTGCTGTGTACTGAGGAATTATGGCCAGTTATCATTGTTTTCAAGAGGGTACGAGTATGGAGGACTAACTAATTAACTATAGGCATACTATGTACAGTGGTGTACATACACACTCCAGTACTAACTACAATACTACAGTAGTGGATGCCCACTCTTGTCCTCCATCCTCGGTACAACTTTGAATGTATAGACTCCTTACCGCTGGGAACTGCAGTGTATCACCATTGGCCTCGATTTGAAATGGCCAGCCCGCCACATTCAGCACGGGGCTGCAGCCCAGTAGCCCGTTCGGTGCATCTGCAGGGCTAAAAGCCAAGGCTCCAGCAAGGTTATCGCGACCTGCATGCACCTACAAGCCAGACTTCTTGAGAATAAGCGGTGGAGGGTGGTTCAGCTTATTCAAGTTACTACATAGGAAGCGTATAAGAAAATGGTGTAGGCACTGATAATAAATCATCAGACGAAGACGAATCAATACCGAAATGTATCGGAACTGTTTGTTACTGCACACGCGTCTTGTCACATTATTCTTCCCCATCAGTGACCACCATTGATGCTGGGCTGCAGTGACAAGGAAATACCCGTCACGTCTAGATGCTTCTCGGCCCGGCCAGCTGAGCTGAAAATCCCACTGCGGCGGTTCTGGATTTATCGATTGGTCTAGACTCCCGTCCATACTTGCTGTTAATTGGAACTGGTTCAATGTACTTTATGTATATATGCCCAATCTGATAACAAACTCAGACTCTCGGGAGCATCTACATACCAAGGTGCTCTATGCTGGACACTCGCATCATTCGGCAACTGTAAACTTGGAAGTTCAAGTTTTTTTTTTAAAGAATCTTCTGAAATTCTTTAGAATCCTTTTTTTGAAAAATCTATTGTCGCCTAATCCGTCTATGCCCTTCTTCATACGACATAAAACAGCGTACAGAGTACCATACAGTCACCTTCCATTGCCCTGGATAGGATTCTCGATTCTTCGTACATATGGGTAAATCAGCCACGTCGCGTGTAACACCTCCACTTAAGCATGGGCTGCATGGCCACGCCGGTTGCCGAACCCCATGCCCCTGGCGCCAGGATTCAGGCCCGCCCTACTAGGGTACTGCGGCTCGGCAGGACCTTAAGCAGACCGTCGTACAAGGAGGAGTTGGCAGGGGGGTTGGGTGGGGGGGAAGGGGATTGAGTTAAAGACCAGGCCAGATCAGATCAGACGAGACCAGCGAGAGAATCCAAAACAACTCAGATCAAAGCTCCACTATTTATCTCGATGCACATCAAATCAAAATCAAATCAAATCATAACCGCTGAATATGTAGAAATGGCAGGGGTTTTTGTGTATAGGTAAGGTATGCACAACCACGACTGCAACGATATGTATGTACAAAGCACCACGCACGGCACGATGCCGACTCCTGTTCTTTTTTCCCAATCGCTGCGCTGCGCTAGTCTGCGTTGTGTTGTGCTGTGCTGTGTTGCGCTACGCCCAACACTCGCGTCTGTTCTGTTCTGTTCTGTTCTGCTCTGTCTGCAACCCAAGGCGGCTCCATGCACCGGGGATTTGGGGATTCGTCGCCGCGCATGCCGTGCCACGCAATGGGCTCACACCGTGTTTCAGGTGCGTTTCCGACTCATCAAGTTGCCCGTAGTCAGGAAGCCCTTGTCGCCCATCGCACCGCGCCATTCAATCGATAATTGGCCCAACGTCGCCCGCCCCTCCTTCCGTAAATCTTTCTGCAGAGCTTCTAGCCCTTCATGCCGGTTTTCTTCCTGCTCCACCAAAAACGCGACTTGTAGTACGTCACGCGGGTTGAGCGTTGGTGGCCCAATTTCCGAGACGTCTGATGAGGCGTCCCAGTTCAGTGACATGGATTTGAATGGTGGTTTTGGGTTTAGTCTCGTTTGCTGGGGTCGTTAGCTTTTGTTGGATTTGGGATTTGAAGGGGGATTGGTAGGTGAAATGTAAGTCTCCGTTCTGGTGCGGTAATTGCTAGGCAGGACATGACATGACATGGCATGACGGGAGAAGAGAGAGTGCTATGCTATACTGTGATATGCTCACCTTAACAACGACCGCGCCATCCCCAACATTCTCCAGTTGTGCCTCCAGGGCAAACCGGAGCAGACGGGTCTTCCCATACGGACCCAGCGACTTATTATCCACCTCCAGCGGCGGTAATTCAGATGCTTTCGTCCTGACGCTCAGACAAGGCTGCGCGACAAATTGATACAGCTTGCGGAAGGTCCGAACTCGACCGCTAGCAGCCTGGGCGTCCTGGCCGATTCTCGTCTCCGTATAACTCACGCTGACGGCGAGAATATGGTTTCCTTCTTCTTTAAGATCATACCGGACGATCTTCTGTAATGAGTCGCCAGTCGCGAGACCCTCCACCTGGGCCGAGTCGCTGGCTGGTTCCAAATCTAGTGAGGCGACGGATGAAGGTGTTTGCATCTCAGCTACGATCCGCACAGATGTGACCACTTTATCTATCTCGTCGTCTGTTATCTCGTTATTCGCGCTTAGGGTGCAAGCGAAGGTTTCGCCAACATAGACTGATCCAAAAGCTGGGGGGGAGGGTGAGCTGGTATGCAGCGTTAGTGCTGGGTCATACTTTGTAGGTTGAAGATAAGGACCAGTTCAGGAAGGAAGGAGCCAACTGACATTGGGCGTGAGAATGAATTGGTCGTCGGAGTCTGTGGACGGGAAACTCAACGGCGCCTTGTTCGATATCTTGGTATTTGCGATGGGTAGGGGGGATTGGTGAGCTAGTGACGGTCGCGAAAGACTAGAGGGACGTCAGGGATCGTGCAGGTAGGATAGCGAGGAGTGTGACTAGATTTACCGTAGGACTATGTTGTAAATCAAGAGTTAGCTGCTCAAGTTCATCCCCGCATTTGAGCTTGCCTACCTTTCAGAGAGACCGCATGGGGTTCCTTGGGGGCGTCGGCCCCCGACGCAGCTCGTGGGCGGGCCATGTTAGAGGTTTGTAGGGCAGATAGATTGGTTCGATAGGATTCTTGTTGTCCCGTGCGGCATTGCGGGACTCAGCGAGTCATCTTGTGGTGAGGAAGTGGTGTGTTGCCGGTCAAGCTCTCCCATGCAAGTGGATGGTTGTCGAGCTGATAGCATCGCCTATCAATGCAGCCCCACCGCTGCCCCGGGTCCATGCATGACTAATCCATACATTAGCAGTTCGTTATAGTTAACTAGTTCATTGCTGTTGGCAATGAGTCAGAATGAGTAGATAGTCGATTAATTATCAAACATTTCCGATGAAGCAGAAATATGCAATCTATTTGAAGTTCAATAGCTAGCAAATTCCCATCTGTATGGCTTTTCCTGGGCGCTCGTTTGGTTCATGCCAGTTTATCTCCGGGATAATCCAATGACAGAAACAGTACTATCATAGTTTTCATAGGAAATACAAGAAGGCTCTTTGCAGATCTAGAATCTTCTCGTCAATTCATCCAGGGGCTGATAAATTCTTCAAAGTTTCCCAGTGCATGTTGGGGGCCTGAATCATGATTAATGATTAACTTAAAAACGCCCACATTCCAAATGCGGGGGATGAGTTCCTTGCTATTTAGTACTCAATCCTGAATAACTCGAACCTCTCCGAGGTCTCCGAGGTCATTTTCAATTCAGAATTTTATCTAGGACTTGCCATCTTCATGCCTAACATCATTACCGGCAGCTGCGTCTGCGAAAAAGTTCGCTACGAACTCACCGGATCGCCCATCACCAACATCATCTGCCACTGCGACACCTGCCGCAAAATCACCGGATCTGTCTTCATGGCGAACAGCGCATACACGAGAGAGGTAAGTTCGAAATCCATTCATACATCCAAAATAATCCCCATGGCACTAACACAAGTCAGAACTTCAAAATCATTACTGGAGAAGACGTACTCAAAGTCTACGACGATAAGCCCCCCCGACTCAAAAAATACGATCCACCGCCACTTCTGCTCAAACTGCGGCTCTCCGGTCTATACAACCTCGACCGGAACCCCAGGATATGAAAATATGCTTACCGTTACGGCCGGTACTATGGATATTGGGAACAACTCCTGGAAACCTTCGCTCGAGGTGTTCTGCTTGAGGCGAAGAGGGTTTCTTAACCCCTTCGAAGGCACGGATAAGCATGAGAGGAGCCCCGAATCATTCTAGGAACTCTATGGATGTGTTACGTGCATTGCTGTGGCTTATACTTTGACTTGATGGGGAGAAATTCTTGCGCGCACTTGGTGCGTTCAATCTAAGCGACCTACGAAATACCAATGAGTGGTCGGCTACGCACAATTTTTGGCCTAGAATATCAATTGTTCTCATATAAGCGGCTATATCAACCCAGGCTCAGTTATAGATGTCAAAATGGGGTTATAATCCGTTATTAGGTCAATAGTCATACGAGGCATAACGATCCACCTAGGCAAGTGATACCTAGGTAGTTTGATCCCTGATTCATATGGGCGTTGTGCCGCGGGCCAAACATTTGGTACCTACTAGTACTAGGCATCTACTAACTACCCAGTAGGCACCCATTTATATCTAGTTGCTGTCTTCTCGCATCTCCTCCGAGGTCCTCTTCTTCTTTTTACAGGCTTAGAATTCTCGTCGAACGCTACTACATATTGCTTTATATTCCTATCTCAACCTGTTATATCTCGGTTCTCCACATTATACTAAGCCTTTCTGTATCTAGCCACCAATCCAATGGCCCTGACAGTGGGCCTGGAAATCTCTATATTTCATGCGAGCCGAGACTTCCTGTTTAGAGACGCAAAGTATTCGAGTCTATCAATATCTAGACGAAAGAGAACGGAGAAGAGTATATTTCCATTCTTAAGGTCAGCAAAACTGTAGACTGCAATGATTTTAATGGTGAACCATCTATTTTGTCCATCTTAAGTTGGATATGCAAAATGTTGGTCTTGGGCCTGCCTTGCTTGACCGGGGGTGGGGCCGCCAATTAACTTGGCGAAAATTAGAACGTGGACTTGGTAGGTATTCCGGAGAATTCTTCTAGCTGGGGCTCAGACAGCAAAAAATGGGTGTCTACGCCACCAAATTAAATCTAGAAGGCATAATTCAAAGCTAGGAAACCTCTGAGGTGGTCTCATTCGGGGGTGGGTCCACTCTAGTAGCTCAACCAGGAATTCATCTTAGGCATCAAGAATATTTCATACATTTACAGCAATGATCACCTCTATGTTCATTCCAAAAGCAAAGACCCTTAATACCTGTTTTCATTTTTGCAGCAAGACAACCAACAGCTGCTCCGGAATGGCGGGTTAGTTCCTTTCCACTTACCTTAGATCATTACATCCCAATTCGCCTGATTCCTAACGGAATGAAGCAATAGTTCATTGGAGTATCGAAAAGCTTAATGCCTTCCTTAATTTCCTTTTTCCTTTTGCAGCCAGGGGTACGGAAAATCCGTGTCTGTCTCTGACAGCACGGGAGTACGATCCACTTCATCTAACAGCAAAACAAAGCATTGCCACGAGGTCTGGAAATATAATCTCATTGGACAGAATCTCAAAATGTTTTGATAGAACCGATATAACTAGTTTATGGCAAACAAGACATTGACATGGAATTTGGGGTGAGGAATACACAGCACGTGTTGACATACGGACGGACACACGCTATAAAACTGACTGGCCCCGGAGGTTATTCATGCTACTTGTGCAGCATCATTTTTGTTCGGTTCACGAAATAATTGCAGATTTCGCCATGTCAACCGTCAAACGCATTGTTTTGGCTTTCGCTGCAGCGGCCAGTGCCGCCGCCTCCTTGGACTCGAAGTCTCACGCAGGAAGTGATGTACTCACCGTCGGTGTTCTTGGTGGTATTGTTATCATTCCCAACTAGCTGCTCCCTGAGCCGACTTGACTAACGTGGGCAACTTTTTAGATTACGGCTGGACTGGCTGGGAGCCCGCTTCATTGAACTTCTGCAACAATGTGATGCCTCGCCTGATCGCTAATAACATCACCATTCCTCGAGAGCTCCAGAATGACTGCGATGCTGGTGACCGTGGAAACATCGTCAATGCCACCGCGGAGCAGAGTAGGTCTTTATTTACTCCGCTTTCTCATATGAACGTGCTCGGCTAAATGAATGGGCAGCTTCCACCGCATCTTACATTGGCAAGGTTTGCGCTATGAAGAACTGCAGCGCCATCGTCTCCGTCGGTGATAACTTCTACTCCAGCGCCATTGACTTCTCTACTGGCGGAGTCAATCGCTTTGAGAAAGCTTGGTCCTCCATGTACGAAGGTGGAATCTTTAATAACACCCGCTGGTATCAAACATTGGGTAACCACGATATTGTTAAGGGTCAAGCTGGCGTGGACTTTCAGACCAAAATAGCCCCCCTGTACGACAGCAGATGGTACTTCGGCACAGAGGGACTTCCCTATTATACTTATGACCTGGCGGGCAAGGACTGGAAGGCCACCTTTGCAGTTGTGGACTCTGATTGCTTTATCAACAAATACCAAAAGGACACCTCGGTCTACCAAAACGAATACACCCTATCCTGTTACAAAGATAAGCAGGTCCAGGTCGACTTTGTTGAGCAGGCCTTCGCCAAGTCTGATGCTCAATGGAAGTTCCTGCAAATTCACCACGGCTATATGTCTTCCAGCACCAACTTCACTGAGCTTGCTCCCTTTGTTGAAATCGTTGAGAAGTACAAGGGCATTGTTGTTAATGGTCACGATCACTGCCTCGCTCACTATTACTCCAACAATACCAACTTCATCTTGACTGGTGGTTCTGGATACGCTGAGCCCGGAGACTGCAACTATGGCGTCGCCTTGGGCCCCTATGCCAAGTTCCTTGGTGCCAACTCCCAGGGCGCTGGTAACGGTTTCGTGACCATAGACATTAGCAAGAAGTCCGTCAACGTTGAGTACTACGCTCGGGACATGTCCTACAAAGGTGGTGACCTGTATCCTGTCAAGAACCCGATGAAGCCTATCTACTCGTTCGAGGTAGACGCTAAAAATTGAGCTCATCTAGCTTGACGATGGGTTTTATAATATTGTGGCCTCTGGGCTATTAGTCAGTCTTTGATTATTACTTAGCGCTATTGCTTTCATATACCTCTCAACACTGTGAACCATAGTCTTGGTAGTAAAATCATGAGCTCTTCGTAGATGCCGGGGCAATTAACCGTTCCGATAAATAGTTGTGCTTCAACACCTGTGATAACTACACTGGTGTAGCCTCTCCCGCCACCTTGACCCTACTAGCACTCAGTCATTCCACTTTGCTTTCCCTTTTACTAGCCATATCTTCGAACTAGATCCTAACCTTTTGGTACAAGAATCCTATGTAAATCTAATCCTTGGGTTTCTTCTCCCGCTTGTTTTGACCCTCGACATGCCGATAGAGTAAGCAACCGCAACCCCTCTCGATTAAAACCTCCTTTCCTTAGATTCGAGTACTTGAGCTGGATAATCCACTATGTGACTGGAATTCTTGTGGCTGCCTGTAACGAACTAAATCGTCACCATATTTGATGCCTTACGTATGTGGCACCCACTTAGGCATCCACTGCCTACACCTGTACCTAGCTTCCGTCTCAGCTTCCTTCTTCCTCAAGCTATTACTTCGTCGAACCGCTACTGCTACAATTGCTCGGTATCACTACGTCGTATCCTGATCTCTGTGAGTATCTGAGCATCCCCATAATAGCGGAGAAAGAGTGCAAAGTTTAAGTTCTGGAGATGTAAACTTCTCCATCTATCTCCACGGACTAAACTATAATTTTCATACACACAAATTAGCCATGATAAGCAGAATTAATATCAATGACAAAAGGGAGAAGGTCCACTTAAATCCAGTTCAGAGTTTCTATGAAAAGTCGGTCCGTTTCCTCAAGAAATCGAGATGTAATGGTGTGTGTGATGGTAATTACCCCGCACCATTCTTTTTCAGAGGTCTAGATCACAAGACAGGCCTCTACCTCCCACCAAATAGACGTCATACTACCCCAATCTAACTCTGTTTGACGTACAAATTGAACTTCATCCATGGTTACAACAATTTCAATGTAGAACCTATGATAAGATGATGTCAAAGAGTGTTCGGTACTTAAAGCTCTCTTCGCCCCACAATAGCTTCATATCAACGCCGCCGAAAAAATTTTCTTCGGGATTCAGCAACAGATACCCAGAACCATAACTACCAAAATGCATTTAATGGTAAGCTTGAGATGCTGAAATTAGTATTCGCGACCAACACTCATCGTGAAAGTCTGCTAGTGTCCGCTTTGCTAGCGTGGAAGAATGGGAGGACTTCAGCAAGAACGACGATGAAAAGGCGTATGTTCTTTCGTTTCACTATCCATTTAGCTCAACACTAAAACCGAAATTACTGTATTAATACCCCTTTCAGACTTGAAAAGATGTTCACTGGCAAGGGAGCGACCGTCCAGAAGCCAATCAATTCCACCCATGGATTGCCTCCAATCCATGATGTGAGGTAGGCATCTTCAATTCCGTTGCTATATTTTCACGACTTGCTAATATTTCTTCTCTATTATATAGACTTGAGGCGCCAGATGATATGGAAGTCGAAGATCTGCAAAGCTCTGAATTTCCAGCGGGTGTTCTGGTTTATATTGAGGAGGACCTTTGAGGACTTTTGAATATCAGACGTCCGTGCTACACATATGGCTTTTTTGGTTTTCTCAACGAACATTTTAAGGATATCAGAGAGGCTTATAATCAGGAAAAGCAACGGTACGAGGTTTTCCTGCGGAATATGGGGGAGTCTGTACGCGATTTTGATGTTCTTCAAGTGGTCTTTTTCATCAGATAATAGGGACCTACTAGCCTTTTGTCTTACAAAAATAATAAATTGGTTAATCCGCTGTGGAGTTATCCACACCCCCACTCTGCTTCACACACGCCGCGTCTTTCACGATATTCAGCCTCGGAGTGACGCTGAGCTAGAATCCAGGGATAGATGATTTTCCCAGGAACATCCTCTACACGAATCGGAGTAGTCTCGGATCTGGGATCGGCCGAGTCATTGACAGGATGGAGGCTAGTTATTGAGCGATGCACTAGACAATAAAACCATCGACAATTAAATTGGCTGAGAAGCAAAATAGGCCTTGTGGATTGGTCTCTTTCGTGTCGGTAGCACAGAATTCTAACTATACAAAATCTGATTTCTCTAAGCCACATTTTTCCTCCCCCCGAAAGTTAATCCTCATGGCCCTAGGCATTTAAGGCTAATCATTGTCCAATGAAACTTTTAGGACAAAAGGCAGATCAGTCGAGGAAGGTAAAAAACGAAAAAGACATCAATCAAAACTGATCAACAACTTGAAGAAGCTCGGGCTTATGTATTCCGAAAACTTACCAACGGATGCCGGTCCTCCCACAAATCTTCCAGTCCTCGGGTCGCGATTCGAGTGACGCCCATTTCGTGATCTGGCTCGAGATTCATCGTCGGGGAAAGATGCTTGAGAATTGGCCATTGCTTGAATGCATGTCTTATCAGGCCGTTGGTGATGGCATCCAGAAGTTTGCTGATTTTTCCACCAGGATATCGATCATTTTGCTGATTGTGTCAAACTTCAGGACCTTCCAGCCAATTAGATCCATAATATCTGGGAATTTTCAGCCTCGATTTTCAGGAGGGCACTGAGCCAGTCCTCTCCACCTCGTTTAACGATCTGGTTGAAGTCGTGGGCCTCCGTGATCAAGGGACTGCACCTACACATTAGCATCAATGCAAATCAGCTATACAGTATAACTCACCCTCGAGGCTCCGAGTAAAGAGGGGCAATGTTGGGAGAAGGAAGGAAACTGGGTTGTGCGAGGAGGCGATGAGAGGATGAAAAGGATAAGAAGATGGCGATACGAGGAGAGAACCTCTTTGATTGTGTACCTGCGTAACTATCTAGATACGGAAGGAACGGGACGAGCTGAACGGCTGCCAATGAGCCGGGAAGGCACGCACATTCATGGATGACATACATCGACATTGGCACTTTGCCTGTGGAAGACTCGGATAAGGCGGATGGAGCCAGCGTCACTATTTATTACTAGTAAATGTATATGCTACCTAGTAGTTATAATTAAAGTCACAAGTTATAGCTGCATTTTGGCTGATAAAAATAGTGTACACTCAGGCTATTTAAAAGCATCTCATCCGCATGAACGGGTCGCAGGGCATATATTTCATCACGAGGGTCCACTCAAGTTCTCGCTGAGAAAGAGTAGGTCATCACTATCCTGCCAATTCACATTAAATTCCATTGAATTCCATATCGAGAAGTCGAGATCAAAATGTGGCTCCACCTCCGGCGGAAGGACTGTCGTCGCTACTTCACGTTCGGCTTGTGCAGCCGCATGCCGTAGATTTGCCTTGATCATGCCCCTGGCCGCAACATCTGCGACAAAGTTATTAGCCATAAAGGACCGTGCTTTGCCCACGAACGGCGTGTCTTTGTTCCAGTCTTCGTAGTCAATCATGTTCTCGATAATTCTGCAGACTCGCATGCATTGATTTCGTCGGTCATTGGCCGTTTGAGATATGTCCCTCATGAGGGTAAAAGTCTGTCGTATAATGTTTCTGATACCCGTTTCATCGATGAATTGACTGGGTGCTGTTCCGAGTATGCGCAAGAGGAAGAAGATTGCGTAGCTTGCGGCGCGAAATACGTGGAATGTCCCCTTTCTCAGTGCGTCAGGGAACGTTGCCAGCACTGCTAGAAGCTGCCTCGCCGTGATGCTGCTCCGGGTGATTATTTCATTCTCCGAATGAATATCTTTCAGGGGCTCAGCTTTTTCTTGGTCGAGAACGTAAGAGTATAGGCTGAGCCGAGCATCAAGGAATGACACTTCGTCTGCCGGTGACCATTCGGACGCATATTTGTCTTGTATCATGGAAAGCTCGGTTTCAAACATCCGTACGAATGGAAGCGGATCTGCCGCAAGTCCGGTGGTCGAGGTCTCACATTCCCCCAGCGCAGCTGAAACTTTTGAGGTGACAATAGCGATATGTAATTTAATCCTCATAGTCGTCGATATCCCAGGCATGGGGACATTCACAGCATGAAGAATTGAGTGGTCGGTTCTGATGGAACCTGGCACTCCGAATCTCGCGGTATGCCTATAAAGTAATCAGCGGGCTTCAAGACAGGCCCAGGGGCAATATTACCATTGATCCACGATGAAACAAGATAACCAGGTTATCCTCCGAGTTTCCACGGTTCCGATCTCCGATGCCTTTGCAGCAAATAAAATGTACGGATATTGTGGACGATGCAAGCCAAGAGACCGTGCCATCGAAATTGCGACTGCAGAGTACATTGAGAACGGCTCCCTGTTCATGTCTTCATGGGGAAAGGACCAAACACAAAGTAGAAGTAAAGCTTGAACAAGATAGATGGATTTAGTACCAATGAGAATGATGTCTGCTATCAATTGCCTTGAAAGAATTTGCAACCGACTGTAATCAGATGCATACTTCTCGGAGTCTTTGCTTGCAATGGCCAATACGACCCAGAACAACAACGGTGATTTCTCGTAGCTATCCATTATGGCCACAGGGTCAAGTAATAGCGGAAACCTTGGGTGTATATTGGAATAGTACCTAATAGATTGTGAGCAAATAGAAGAAAAAGAAAACAGCAACGATGGGTCCTACTCTTCTAATAGTTCTGCCACAACACTGGATGTGAGGTGAACGCCGGTAGCTTCATGACTAAACCGAGCAGATCTTTTCTTGCCAACGCGCAACTCGGCAATTATACTTGCAAGGGAAGCATCCAAACCAGGTAAAGGTGCTTCTGGTCTCGGGGGCAAATCAGTCGGCCTAGTACCTGATCCCTCGGATTGGGGTGTCCCGTATGCAGGCTCATCTCCGGTATATCCATGGCGGGGTTTTAGACTATGTTCGATTGGAGTGAATATTCGGCATAGAAGGAGGGCGACTGGGTGGGTTTTACCTCCTTTTGTGTGTCCTTTTAAATGTAGGATCAACAGAGCACCGCTCATCCGCTTTTGCACAAGCCGAGCAAGATGCAGGGAATCTTTGACTGGCATTACATTTTACCTGAAGGCATGGTTAACTTTCAATCTACGGCCCCTGTTCCCAGGATGAAGGGCCAGTGAGGAAACAGAATTTCACCTTCATCTGGCGACATCGCACACAAGGCACTCCGGCCCGGCGCGGCTTGATGCGAGAGGCCGAATTTCCATGCGATCGAGCCGGTGCGGATTGGATATTCTCCATTCCGATAACCAATAATGAATGTCCAAGATCAACTCGTTGCTAAGCCACGAAAAAAAGACTCGATCAGTCCGTCATCCGGCGAGTGAATGTTCATTGAAACATTGATAACAACATGGATGCCTACTTCTTGCTCCTTGACACGATGTGGTTGTGGGCCGATCAGCATCGTATCCGGCGAGTTTCGCCGGATGTAGCGTGATATCGCTGCCACTTCTTATTCGTCGTTCGAATCAGGCCCCCCACCCGCCTTGTCTTGGCTACATAGTGCCAGTATAGTATAGCTGGTGCCAAGAATCATCTTGTAAAGTCTGGTTGTCGATAGCTGTTGAAAAATTACAGATCTTCGCTGGATTATTGCTGGGCGCTTCTTAGAAACCGCTCATAACAAAGACTGTTGCCTATAGCATGATGAAATTGGATGTGGGTGGGGCTGAAGAAAAGCGCCGCATTTCGCCTTATCTCGTCTCCGAAGCATTGAAAATCGGCGCTGGTGAGACTTTTGTGCTCATTTTGTTTTCTTTTTTTTATACAGAATAATCTATGGCATACTTGAAGTCTGGCGCTTTCTCCTTGAGTTTACAATTTACTGGATTCTGCCCGCCGAGCCGAGCAGATCCTCTTACCTACCGAGGTAGGTACTAGTATAGTACAACACCCACGGGCATACTTACTTCAAGTTATATATACTAGTATATACTAGTATATCCGGTTTCTTCTGTCACCTGGACACAATTCAATTTCGACCCCGAGAACCTTCGATAGTATTTTGCGCTGATTGAGCTTCTCACCCCATTTCGTCCTCTTACAAGCCGATAACTCCTCTGATTGCTTCCCACGCGCTTTGCGATCATTTGCTCAACTAAATGAAGATGTTAACACGAGCTGCCTACGAAACGCTTCTCTTCGTGTCTCTTGCGATGGCTCATGATAACGATGGATCAACGGACATCGACACGACAATGAATATGGATATGCACGCAAGTTCCATTATCGCAACCCCAACAGCTCCCGTCTCACGCAATGGCCAAGACCCAGGTCCTACGAGCTACTTTTCCTATGGCGGGTACTCGAGCCCTATCCTGGCGCATATTGTGCTGATGATCATAGGATGGTGCTTTATTCTTCCTTCAGGTGCGCTAAACTCTAGTTCTGTCAAGTTTTGAAATCTCGACTAATTCCACGGCAGCCGTTCTACTTAGTACTGGCCGTTCGCGCCTTGCGCTGCCGTTGCATTTCCTATTCCTAGTTATCAATGCCCTCGGTCTACTTTTCGGAATCGTCTATAACAGTCAGACCCCCGATTTGTATGAATATAACGCCCACCACAAGATCGGCTGGATTGTGTCATGTGTTATGACTGCACAGGTTGTCCTGGCCTTGATATTTGTGTACAATTGTCGTGGCGAGTCCAAGCAGTCGCAATGGAGATCTTTTAATGGCTTTGCGTTTCTCCCAGTCGCTACAGATGGACAACAATACCACTCGTCCGGCGAAAGTAGCCAGGGAGTTGAATCAAGTTCGTCGATTCGCAGCCCTTCACGGTCAGACTCCGAGTCGCAAGCCGAGTATGACGGCTTCGAAAACCCCGAAAAGCTTCATTCGCTATGTCACTGGCTTAGCATTTCTGTTGTCGATCGATTCCTCATAAAACGCATGTCTGGAATAGCTTCAGACAGTGTCCTACGCTTTTCCAATAACCTATATGATGTGGTCGATCGCATCATTCTTCCATTTGGCTTTATTGCTATTGTCACTGGGGCTGTTACTTATGGTGGCATATTCAAAGGCGACGAGATATTCAATGGTCTAGCGCACTTTATAAAAGGCGGAATCTTCTTCTGGTATGGCATTCTCACTCTTGGACGTTTTATCGGAGCTTGGGCAGATCTAGGGTGGGCTTGGAACAAGAAACCCCCAGCAAGTGTTGTTGGCTGGAAAGCCAAAGTCCCATCAGGCGAGTTTGTGGAGTCATTTGTTATCTGGCTGTACGGCGTCGTCAATGTCTTCTTGGAGCACCTGGCTGGCTGGGGAAAGAGTGGACGGTATCTGATATGCAGCACGTCTCTATCTCTATCATGTTCTTCGGTGGTGGTCTTGTCGGTATGCTCTTTGAATCCCACCGTATTCGAGACATGTTGGGCAACACCCTGTTACGTTTACGACCCCTCTCTTGTGAATCCTATGACGAGTCCTGGCAGCCTCCTAATTCACAGAGTATTTCCCTTAACCCAATGCCAGCTCTTATCATCATGCTGCTAGGCACGATGATGGGATCACACCACCAGGACAGCATGACTTCGACTATGGTACATAAACAATGGGGTAATATGCTCATGGGATTTGCAATTGCTCGCGGAATGACATATGTCCTGCTATTCCTGCGTCCGTCAACCTCGTACCTCCCGGCACGTCCCCCCACTGAAATCGTGGCTTCATTTTGCCTTATATCCGGAGGACTCATATTCATGCTCAGTGTAAGTGATTACTGGAAATTCAATAGGGTCACCTCATTAACAGTGAATAGGCCCGCCAAGTGATCGAAGCCATGGAGTTCTATGAGTTGGACGCCATGTTTACCTTCACCGTTGGAATGGGCTTCACAGCATTTATTATGTCGCTGGTGGTTCTTAATATCGCAATCAAGGCGTGGGCATTGAAGCATGAGGGAGAAGAAAACAGACAGCTATCCTAGAGATAATGAAAGCTTGAAGAGGTCATTGAAAGATACATGGGCGTCATTGGGATGTGAAGGTATGGGACTGGATGGTACATAAAAAATGGAATTTAAAAAGGCAAATAAACCAAGGGCAGAAGTGGGCACAGAATAGAATAATATATCATTGAACTGATTATTTACCAAGAACTAATTGATTGCGAGAGTCTAAACACACTCGCTGAGTACACACATTGACATAGCTATTTCAGGATACGTCCTGTGTAGATGGAAAGCCGCCGGTCCTGCTGCAGAGTCATATCAGTGTGACATTCTTTGTAATCAACCAATAAATAGAATCATGCCAGGAAAAGCATACTGTTTGAATTTAGAAGCCCTATTCAGGTTTAGTGAAAAAGACCTTCTTGATCACCTCGGAAAACACCTGGTTGATGGAGGCGCAGCTAGCCCGGCCCATATATGCGCGCATGATATAGTTTCTTAAGATCTTCAAGATGTTCTTTCAGAAGATATAGCGAAAATAGAATAGTTACCACGACTATCAGTGCAGTCCACATGCCATTATGCATGATGAAGATAGAACCGCGAATTCAAGTCGCAGTTGAACACTGCCAGTGCGACCGTCTCAATAAAATGTTCTAAGCTATCGGTATCGTAGCATGCGTAGTGATTTAATGAATAAATAGGCAGCAAGATAAGAAATTCGAGAAAAAGCAGTTTATATGGATGGGGCGGCTGCTAACCACTGTGGCTGTGGAACGCATTACTGGTAATCCAGCGATCATCCAGCGAAAACCCGGCGCACATCCAGCGAAAGTTCACTGAACATCGAGTGAGCATCCAGTGAAGCAAATTTTCTATTTCAGCATTGCTTTTTTCTATTATCTTTTTCTATTCGTAATATACGGCGTCTTTTTACCCTTCGGAATCCATTTTGCTCTCCATCTAGTCATTCTTCCTTATTTATTCCAAGGTTCTATTTTCTATTTTCTCTGTCAGAATTGAGGCACGGCTCTAAAATATTCATCTCCTTTTCGACCCAATATCCCGAAGCTGAAAACGAAGTATCGCCCTCTACGCAAATCTCGAGATCTTCAAACCTGGGAGATACGGGATACTACCTTGCTGGGACGATTTGATGATCCAAACTTGTGGTTTAATTGACTAGTCGCAATCGTCTCCCAATTTGAACACCCTCAATCATCATCATGCGGCGCGGTCTTTCGATATCTCTCCTCGCCTGCCTCATTGTTATCGTTCTCCTGATTCGCAACATCTGGATACTTTTATCGCTTCTTGTCGAAGATGCTGCCGCTGACGCGATCCACCGTGCCGAGTTGCCTTCTCTGAACTCCAGCCTGATCGACCAACGCCCCCCAGATCATCCCTAAAATTATTCACCAAACCTATAAAGACGAGAATATTCCTGAGGTCTGGTTTGGGGCCCAGAAAAGCTGTATTGACCTGCACCCGGACTACGAGTATATTGTACGACTCCCATTTGACCCGACCGGAATCGGTGCTAATGACTGTTGTAGTTGTGGACGGATGAGAAGGCGCGTAACTTTATCGCTGCCAAATATCCCTGGTTCCTTGAGACCTTTGATGGCTATAAATACCCTATCCAGCGCGCAGACTCGATTCGCTATTTCGTTCTGGCCTACTATGGCGGAACTTACATTGATTTGGACGACGTATGTTTACCCGGCAATAATCATTCCCTATACATTTAACCTGACTCGCACTAGGGCTGTAATCGTCGATTGGATCCCCTGCTGGCTTACCCAGCGTGGCTACGCCGCACTGTACCAACTGGGATCTCCAATGATGCAATGGGCTCTGCGCCCCAGCACCCCTTCTTCCTGCGCGTAATCGAATTGCTCCAGCAGTACGATCGTGACTGGCCTCTCCCTTATATTACTGTCATGTACTCTACCGGGCCACTCTTCCTATCAGTTATCTGGGAAGAGTATATACAAGATCCCCCGTCCGAAACGAACCGTATCCGTGTTCTTATGCAGGATGAGTACAAGAACCACCTTTGGAGTTTCTTCACCCACCACACAGGAAACAGCTGGCACGGCAAGGATGCACAGTTCATTTTCTGGGTAAATTTATCCCGAGCCCCTTTTCCGTCTAATAATCATGGCTTACAAACATAGATGGGCCAACACTGGATGCTTCTCACTTTCTGCGGCGTCCTCCTCGCTTTCGCCGTCGGCTCCTGCCTCTTTTGGGCCTATTATCGAATCGTACTACGACGAAATCAGTATCGATACAGCTATACCAGTGTCCCTTCAGGGATTTTCCTTTCCAGTATATCACTCTCGCCTCTGCAGCGTGCGCGTCGCGGGGTTTCCACGCTACTGCCAGTGGGGAGGGTAAGCTTCGAAGAAAGCAAGGCTACCGATGTTTCGTGCGAACTCGGTCGCAACGAAGACTAAGATATCTGCGATCTACTTCTCTTTTTCCTGTATTGATACAGCCTTCGACATAATCTACGCCCGACTAATGCCAGTTCATATATGTCTTTTTTCAGAGCGCTATATGCATGATGTCTCGTCATGTGAGATCTCCAGGGCTTGAATATGTACTAGTATAGTATCTGCGAATTAAATTGGCGGAATATCGGTTTTCATAGAAATATTGGAAAAAAGAAGAACCGTACCTACACAATTTATTACCACTCCAGTAACTGATTAACTACTAGCACCTACTAGTATGTATTAAAGAAAAGATTCACATTCTGTCTGGGACTGCAAGCTTGACTAGACCTCCTTCGGATTCTTTCTCCAATTAAGCATTTGGGCGGAAGATAACCTTCTCCCCAGATACACCATCCTTGTTCAACTTCAAAGCTGCCTCCACCGCCTCAATACCACCATCAACGACTCGCACCCGGTTAGGGACAAGCAGTCCCTTAGCAACACATCCATCCGCGCCGCCAAGGTAACGCGCCATAGGCTCACTCAGATGCCGTAGAGCTGGGCTGCTTCCAATACCCAGAATCATCTTGATATTGACTTGAGGTGTCTTAGACAGACCCAATTTCTTCGCCTCCTCATTAGCACTCTGCACCACAACCACATTTTCCCCAACCCCGCTCGCCTCGACGATCTGAACACCCAGCGCCTGTGTTTCTGGACCCGAAATTGCGTCAAACACATAACGCAGCGGCAGATCTCCACTCGCAGCCTTGAACTCATCCGCCGTCGCCGCCTTGCGATCCAGGACAACGTGCGCACCCAGGCTCTTCAAAAACCCATGGTGCGTCACACTGGCATTGGTAATAATCCGCGTGAAGCCGGATAGGCGCGCAAACTGGATAGCGTACTGTCCCACGCTGGAGGAACCGCCGATGATGGCGATCGCTTGATCCTTTCCAGCATTGCTGCCGTTGGGCGCCCAAGGCGGGGTGATTCCGTGACCCGTCTGGTCGTAGAAGCCAGTGACGACTGCCACGGTCGCGAGACTAATACCAGCTGCTTGGTCGTCGGTTATATTGGAAGGGGTCTTCGAAACCAACTCCGCGGGCATAGAGCAGTACTGCTGGAAGGTTGAGGCGTCGTAGTTGCCGATGATTCCCTGGAAGAAGACACGCTCGCCGACCTTGAGGCTGGTAACCTCTGATCCTACGGCAACGACTTCGCCGGCAGCATCGGATCCGAGGACAGCCGGGTACTCCTTGATGAAGGCATTGTAGTCGCGAATCTTCCAGTCGACGGGGTTGATGGCGGTGGCGGTGATCTTGATCGCCACATGGGTGGGTTGAAGGGGTTGAAGTGATCGGTTTTCGATATTGTGTTGCGCAAATGGTTCAGGGACCACGGCGGCTTTGAATGACGCGGGGATACTCATTTTTATTTTCGTTCAATTTTGTGATGTTGGAGAGGTAAATTGGAGAAGAATTCTTCATGGCGTCACACTGAGTGGGGACCTCAAATACCCCACACCTCGCCACTGTGGTTTATAATCGTTAAATCGTTTGATATTGACCAAGGTGACGGTATGTATATAATAGATGAAATGATAGACTGATGATGACAGGCTTTGCCTTCTCATGTCTTGGTCTTTTTTTTTAAAAAAAAAAAGAATAATCCCTTAGTCGGTGGGATGCTGTTCGGTAGTAATTTCACTTAAAACCCCACTCGACCTGTCATATATTCAGCGGATGCCCTATTATCTACCACCTTATTTGATCTTTTGCTGTCGCACGTTATGCCATTCTCCGAGTCCATCTCAATCACTAAGTCACAACGATATTTAGATTTATATAGCATTTAGGCATTAAAAGCCTTCAATTTAATGCCGTAGTTTACAAGCATCTAGTCATTTTAAAAGTGGCTAATTCGATCCCACATTCTGGAAGGCCCCCGTCTCATTAAACAGGCGTCTTCGAATGATTCTCCGGGCTCATTTCTTCCATCTCATTATCTCCCATCGACCGCGGCAGACGCTGCGCCACCCACACCGAGTCCCAAATACTAGAAGACTTGATAAAAATCTGATCAACTTCTTCTAGGCTCCTCCCACCCGTTTCCGGGAAAAGAAAATATACCACAACCACGATCAAGGCATTTAACCCGGCAAAAATGATGAAGAAGCGCCACTGGATAAAGCCAATGGCGATCGGAGTCACTTCCACAATCAAAACGCAAAATGCCCAGAATGTACCAATGGCCAACGCATTGATCGTGGCTCGGAGATGTAATGGAGCAATTTCGGTTGCATAGAGGAATGACACCCCACCAAATCCACCAACGAATATCATATGATAAATGAAAACAAAGACCACCGCGCCGTGCATCGCCTTGGGATTCTCCGGCTGGGAACCAAGTGCAGCAATTAATGCCATACAGATGCAGTTTCCTGCTGCACTCCCAAGGAGTAAGGTCCGGCGACCCAGTCCTTCAATGGTGAAGATGCAGATCGTGCCCGTGATGAGGCTAGTGAGCTGATACACCGCTGCCAGGATCCTCGACTTGACTGAGTCCAGATGCAGATAGGTTTCAAAGATCGTAGTTGCTAGATGAAAAAGGGAGAAATCAGACCATCAACCTGGCAAACGAGAGGTTATCCAACTCACCGTAAAATGTCATGGCGTTGAACCCGGTGAGCTGCATGAACATCATCACCATCACAGCCAACGCTGCCCGGTGGATCACCCGCTGGGGGCCCATGTGAAGGATCTGCCCTAGTGATCCCCCACCAGCCAATTGAAGAGAAGATTTAACTTGTTTAATTTCCCCTTCGATTTTCCCATTGCCAATGCTCATCTCATCCAACGCTGTAAGGATCACGCGAGCTTCGGCGATGCGATCCTTACGAATCAACCATCGCGGTGATTCAGGTAGGAAGTAAATAAATCCCAGAATGATGAGGGAAAACAGCACAGGAATTGCAGCAGGGAAACGCCAGCCGACACCACCAGACGCAAACGACAGTCCAAAATCCACCAAAAGAGCAATAGTTGCTCCCAGACCGGCGGAAAGCCCGGCTGTGGACACATTAGCACCACGCCTTTTGGACGAGGATATCTCCGAAAGCCAGACAGGCGCTGTGGCCATCAGTCCGCCTGTTCCGAGCCCGAGAATGATACGAGAAATGATGAGTTGTTCGAAGGCAAACGCGCCTGTCAACAAGACCGCTCCGATCAGCTGGACCACGGCGGAAGCCATAATAACTCGGCGACGACCAAAGACGTCTCCGAGACCAATACAGCCGAGAGCTCCGAATAGACCACCCATGGCATAAAGGGCTACCACAGTGCCTTGAATGGCTGATGTGCGGCCCTTCTCTTGGGGTGCGGCATCAACCACGCTGATCTCTGGGTATTGTTTCTCAAATGCATTTAATGTCAAGACTCCACCCAGCAGAGCCTGATTATAGCCCAAAGCTATGAAAGATGGCATCATCACGCCGAAAAGCCCGGCGAGGTTAAGGCGACTTCCTCGTAGACCAAAGAATGGTGCCATTTTGCGAAGATCGAGGACAAAAGGTTGACTCTGGTTGGTTTAAATTGCCTGATCTCTCATCAGTCCTCGAACCCCTTTTTAAATGTCTTTATTCTGGCTTTAGCACGATGGTAGTCTTCTCTTTTCAAAGACTGGCCTCTGTTACTGGTCTGTGGCTCCCACATTCCATTCCGTCATACTCGCTCTCCAGCCCGCAGATCCCTACGCGAACTATCGTTTCGCGTGTAACTCCGATGCCGAGTTATAATCGAGAGAATAACATGCAATGCAGTGATAGAATTGATTGTGGGTAAGTTTAAGATTCCAAGCTAAAGGCAAATCCCTCGATGATTGCCGGCCTCGCAATCTTGGGCTGGTCCATCAATGGCAAGAAAGGGGCTGCATTAATGGGTCGTTCAATATGCCCAACCTCGCCCTTTTTGTAACTTTGTTCAATTTAGGCCCGCACATTACCCGGACCGCCTCCGCAATTCCAGAAATGAAATCATGAACTATGGGCTGAAGCCTACGGGGTTATGGGGTGGCGGTGCAAAATCCGATCTGAATTGTTGGATCAGAAACACTCCGACGACGTTGCATTCACATTATACACCGTCCCCGACCTCGTAGAACTTGTTCCATCGCTGGTAGAAAATATTAGTGCGATGCTCAATGCACATAAACAAAAGACAGGAGGCCACCTACCGTGTCAAATGGCTTCGACGAGTCAACAAATCTCAAGTCAGTAGCTAGGCGAATGACTCGATCGGGATCATTATTGATGGTGGAAGCGTGGATCTGAACGCGAGACAATTAGCATACCAGGTTCCGGGCCGTGCAAAGGGGTGTCAAGTCTATCATACAGTATGTGGCTTATGCAGAACGATATCCCCGGCCTCATAATCGGCCACTAACCAAGCCCGTTGATGTTCCTGTGCAAAGGCGAGGGGGGTTTTCTGACAGCAAGCCAGTGGTCATCATGTTTGTGTTGAATGCGTCCTTGGCTTCTTCACCCGTGAGGCCGGAGGCCTTTGCCTTGCTGGTAAAATCCTCTTCAATGTGCTGACCAAGGGGTTCACCTGGAAATTGTCAGCTGGAGTTGATTGTGGTTGACACGGGAGGTACAGACTGTTTTGTAGATAGATGAGGCCGCCACCAGTTAATTTGATATCCCCGATCGGCACCCACGCGGTCACACTCGTCGGCTCGCCATGGCGCAAGAAGATTTGATCATAGTGGACTCCAATAGGTTTGGTTCCGGGAATGTTGTTTCGCAGAAGCGACCGTCGCAAACCCAGCGTATTCGAGTCCCACCCGGTGAATCGAGCAATAAAGCTGATCAAGGCTGGGTGACGACAAAAGTCCTCCGCATACCAGTCTCGGTAGTGAGCATCGATAGCTATATCGACGAACTGTGCGGCTTTCGAACCTCCTGGCCGACCGTTTTTTCCGGCAGCCCCAGCACCGATACCTGGGAATTCCTCACATGATTTGAGAGGATTGAAGATGCCTTGGACCGGTTGGGTACCCTCTTTCAGAACCCCTGTTGGCTGCATCATGGCGAAGTATTCACTTCGCGCCTTTAAGACATCTTCCCGCGGAATCAGACCTTTGAGGAAGAGATAGCCATCTTTCTCATAGCGTTGGCGTAGCTCTTCAAAAGGCTCATCGGGTCGCGAGGAGTGGAGGAGCTGAACATTCTCGGGCTGCAGTGCGCCATCGTTGACGGCCAGCAATCCTGGTTGGCATTCGAGCGACAGCTGCATATCTCGGTCAGTGAAGAGACTAATTGATTGGTCGTGATTTTGAGTACAATCTAAGTGTATAGAGTTGTTGTATTTATACTCACTGCGTTGTATACAGAATCAGATCTGTCATCCAATAGTGACCCCGTCCTCTTGGATGAATTAGTTATGGAATCATGGGATCCGCCATAGTGGAGACCCAAACGATTAAAAATCATTGAATTCTTATCAAGTCGCCCATGCGCGGACTTTAAAAGTCTCGCAATGAACCCGACGAGTTCTAACTGAGGAAGATTCCCCCGCAGCGCAACGAGGCACGGACGGGCCGACGCGCCTGCGGGTGATTCTTCCCTTTTTCAACCTTTTCAAGGCAAGGATCGCCCGCAAGGGTCAGAGTCACCCCAGATTTGATGTGTGACGGGCAATTCCTCCCGCCGTCTTAGTTCCTCCCCCATCCCCTCTTTGATATTGAGACTCGGAGTGGCACCGAGCTGGAATCCGGGGATGGATTTCCCCAGGAATATCCCCCACACGAGTCGGAACGGCCTCGGCTCTGGACTCAGTCGCTTCATCGACAAGCTATATAACATGTCACCCAGGTACCAGCTCTTGGGCGATTCGGTCCAACCTCCAGCCGCCATGTTCTCTCTCAAGCAAACCAAACTCATTCGACCACCCTCAGACATTGATCCGTCACAGCCACGGCCAGGGAGCACATACTATCTCTATGCTGTCACGGTCTTTGTCTCCCTTGGCGCTTTCCTCTTTGGATATGACCAGGGGGTCATGGGTGTGATCGTTGCAGACCAACGATGGATTGACTTGATGCAGCCCGCCAACTCCTGTAGGTAGATTCTCCTACAATGAGGAGTGTTGTCAGTGGTGCTGATTTAAAGCAGGGGTCACAGGGACTGTCGTGTCTCTCTACGATGTCGGATGTTTCATCGGTGCAATGTCTTTGGGATATTTGGCCGATCCACTTGGTCGCGAACGTACACTGTCGATTGCCTGTATGGTCTTTATAGTGGGTGCCATTATCCAAGCAGCGTCTTATACGATCACGCAAATTGTATGTTCTCAACCATGCAAGATATCAATGCTTCACTAACGAGCTCGAAGACAATTGGTCGTGTGATACTAGGGTTTGGTGTCGGGGCATGCGCTGGGGGCGTACCTCTTTATGTTGCTGAACTGTCACCCCCAGCAATCCGAGGTCGCATTGTCGCCATCGAGCAGATGATCCTTTGCTTCGGCGAACTGGTTGCTTTCTGGTTGAATTATGGTTTCAATTTTCTAGAGATGGATGACTGGTGGCGCATCCCTCTCGCCATTCAAATTCTGCCCGCGTTGGTCCTGGCCATTGGCTGCTGGTACTGGGTACCACCCAGTCCACGTTGGCTAGCCAGCCAGGATCGTCATGAATGTGCACGGGAAGTCCTAATCCGTTTACATGGGACCGAAGCTGCAGAAATCGAGATGCAGGAGATCATGGGCTCTATTGAGTTTGAGCACACGGTAAGTGAAGCCTCGTGGGGCGACATGTTTAAGATGCCGGTGCTACGCGTAACTCTTCTGGGAATGGGCGTGCAATTCCTGCAGCAAATCACGGGCACCAATTCAATCCTTTACTATACGGTAAGTAAGCCTCTGGATATTCAATGAAAGCTCCGCTCTGGTCAAAGCTCGGAATCATAACTAATGCCGATTTAGCCATCTCTCTTCGAGCGTGGCGGTATTACAAACCCACGGACAGCCAATCTTGCTACCGGCGGCGTTGGAGTTGTTCTTTTTGTTTTCTCCTGGGTACCGATCTTCTACTTTGATCGGCTGGGTCGAAAGACCTGGCTTCAAATCGGAACCGTAGGCATGATGGGAGCTATGATCGGGATCACTGTGTTGCAGTGGCACGCCGAGCACAACCCGGGTGACAGTGCCAACTACACGATCATCATATTCCCGTACCTGTTCTACGTTTTCTTCAATATCAGTTGGGGTGTTGGGTCATGGACCTACGCGGCTGAAATTTTCCCCGTTTCGATGCGAGCCAAGGGTAATGCTCTCACGACGGCGTCACTATGGGCAGCCTGTTATATCGTTGCTCAAGCGAGTCCTCCAATTGCTGATGCGATTGGCTGGGGCTTATATATCATTTACACTGGGATCTGTGTGGTTGCATTCTTCTTTGTTCGATACTGTCTAGGTTCGTGTGGTGTCAATATGGCAACGTCCCGAGTGAAGAAGCAAATGAAGCTAACGAGGCTAACGTGTGACTACAACAGTGGAAACTCGTGGACGAACCCTGGAGGAAATGTCGCGCCTCTTCGGCATCGAAAGTAGTCTGGCGGAGCGTAGTGGTGTTAAATTAGCGACTGAAGAGCATATAGAGGATACACATGCATCTACGTCTAACTTGTGAATAGTATGGAGAATGATGAGTCTACTGGACCGCAATTAAACTTCCACGGTTTCGACCTCACCATATGTTTATACCAAACTAGAACTTGAATTTGCTCACTGCTTGCTCATGTTGCTATCGCGAATTCGCCAGCAGTTGGTGGGGGTGGAGCGTAGATCGTTGGGTGGTGGGGCGGCGGGGTGAAGCTGCAGAGCGATCTTGATGTCGTGGAGTTGGATGAAAAAGTAGATAGAGGCAGGAAGATCAATGGGGACTGTAGAGCTCTGCATTATGAATGAGAAATCAAGTACATATCGTAAATAAGCCGGAGTACCGGTGCGAACTTGACATGCCGAGGGTTGACCCGAACACCAGAATAGCCAAGGAATAATTAGTTGACCTAATTAGTCCATCGGTTCGCGGAATCAACAGTGGCTTGCAAATTTTGATTTTGAATTTTTGAAAATTTCAAATCTTTTTTTTTCTCTCTATCTCTCTATCCTCCCTCTTTCATTCTCTCTCCCCTTGCAAGTGTGACAATAACCAGCCCTATGCGCGGATCATCCTACCGATCACGATATACAACTCAACACTGTTGTCTCTTGTGATTCCCTTGCCCAGCCTTTTGGCGACTGTAGCGGTGTGCGCTGTGTAGTGCGTGCACTCGTGCGTGCTCGGTCCACATGTCAGGGGTGCAGACCGCCGATTGCCCCGCTATCGGGCACGGTTCACCGAGGGGCACACACAGACATTATAATCCTGGGGGTAGAAGCCGATTTGTTCGGGTTAGGTTTTTTTCCCTCTGTGGCTGTATAAGGGTCAAGGGAGGTTATCCTGCGCCATTGGACATGAGAGATGACAATTGCAGTATCAATGGCCAGGCCGTCAACTCCAGTGGGAGATCGGGGAAACTAGGGTAGTAGACTGAGCCAGGCACCACCACCGGAAGCGGAGAGGATCCATCGACTCCATGGGGAATGGAATGGGCCATTCTGGCAGGCCTCAACCAATGATTGGTCCACTTCGACAGGCACCACAGTCGGCAGTCGTTTGTCCCCCGACTAAAATGATCCACACCGGAACGATGGGCGAATGGATCTCCTATGCAGAGGTGCGAATAGGCACCGGATGTCCGTCGCCCGGAGGACCTCGAAAATAATCCAAATTATGATCACAAGCGAAGAGGTGATTGGCGGAAGTCAATCATGGAATTGATCGTCTAACCCTATAGCCTAAAGAGTAAAAGATAATAAAAAAAGGGGGAAAGCAAGAGAGGAGAGGGAAGAGGGGAGAATCTACTGGGAACCCCCAGAGCCAGGCGGAGCTCACGTGTCTTTCTTTTTATTTAAAGCAACCCCCCATTACTCCTTCCTCTCCTTTCCTTTTCTTCAGTTACCAACATTGCTCAGTATCACTTCAACCTTCGGTTCGTAATTAAGCCTTGTCAGCAGGTTCGATCACTCTCTTGGGACGTGATCACTTACAACCGTCACCATTTTCTCCACACATCTTAACTCGTGAGTTTCCTTGTCCTTGTCCTTCTCCTAGTCTTCCCCGAGACCCCATGGCTAACGTATTCCTTTCCAGGCGGCACCACCCGTTTAACGGCCGACGCACTTCCAGCCGTGGAGGAGCGCCGGATAACGCATTACACATTCTGTAAACGTCCAGCTACTAGCTACATTTTCAATTCCTCGCCTCCGCTATGGCTCCTCACGCTAGCTCGGACGCCAACGCCCTAAACGGGTCGGTTCGCCAAGAATCCTCGCCTCTCTTCACCGTCCAGTCTCCCAATGTGGAGTATACCGCCGACGAGATCAAGAGTCGCTATGCCTATCAAACTACCGAAGTCACCCGCACTGCGGACAACAAACTGGTTGCTACCCCCAAGGCTTCCAACTACCACTTCAAGGTCGACCGCAAGGTCGGCAAGGTTGGTATGATGCTCGTCGGCTGGGGTGGAAACAATGGTTCCACTGTCACTGCCGGTATCCTCGCCAACCGCCGCAACCTCACCTGGGACACCCGGGAAGGTCAGCAAAAGGCCAACTACTACGGTTCGATTGTCATGAGCTCCACTGTCAAGTTGGGCACGGATGCCAAGACCGCCGAGGAGATCAACATCCCCTTCCGTGACATGCTTCCGATGGCTCACCCCAACGATCTGGCCATTGGTGGTTGGGACATCAGCGGGATGGACCTGGCAGCCTCTATGGACCGTGCCCAGGTTCTCGAGCCCACTCTCAAGTCTCTGGTTCGCAAGGAGATGGCTGAGATGAAGCCCCTGCCCAGTATCTACTACCCTGATTTCATTGCCGCCAACCAGGAAGGTCGTGCCGACAATGTCCTTGAGGGTAGCAAGGCCTGCTGGGAACACGTCGAGAAGATCCAGAAGGATATCCGGTAAGTGAAAGCCAATACTCAATTATCAGAAGCAGAAGCACATGGATCTTGGATACTAACTCTTCATAAAGTGATTTCAAGGCTCAAAACGGTCTGGACAAGGTGATCGTCATGTGGACTGCCAACACTGAGCGGTACGCCGACGTCGTTCCCGGCGTCAACGACACCGCTGAGAACCTTCTCAACTCGATCAAGAGCGGTCACGCCGAGGTGTCTCCCTCCACCGTCTTCGCAGTGGCTTCCATCCTGGACAATGTTCCCTTCATCAACGGATCTCCCCAGAACACCTTCGTTCCCGGTGCTCTCCAGTTGGCTGAGCAGCGCAATGCTTTCATCGGCGGTGATGACTTCAAGTCCGGTCAGACCAAGATGAAGTCTGCTCTGGTTGACTTCCTGATCAACGCTGGTATCAAGGTCACCTCCATTGCCAGCTACAACCACCTGGGCAACAACGACGGCAAGAACCTGAGCTCGCAGAAGCAGTTCCGCTCCAAGGAGATCTCCAAGTCCAACGTCGTTGACGACATGGTTGCTGCCAACAGCATCCTTTACGAGAAGGACGAGCACCCTGACCACACCGTCGTCATCAAGTACATGCCGGCCGTTGGTGACAACAAGCGTGCTCTGGACGAGTACTACGCTGAGATCTTCATGGGTGGCCATCAGACCATCAGTCTGTTCAACATCTGCGAGGACTCTCTCCTGGCATCTCCCCTGATCATCGATCTGGTCGTGCTCGCCGAGATGATGACTCGTGTTAGCTGGAAGGAGGACACCGAGGGTGCCGAGTACAAGGGCTTCCACAGCGTGCTGAGCGTGCTCAGCTACATGCTCAAGGCCCCCCTGACTCCCCCGGGTACCCCCGTAGTCAACGCTCTGGGTAAGCAGCGTTCCGCTCTGATCAACATCTTCCGCGCTTGCGTTGGTCTCCAGCCCGAGTCGGAGATGACTCTCGAGCACAAGCTGCTGTAAGCACACCATTCATCTTGAACGATGATAGTGTCTACCTAGCTCTGTTGAGCTACTCTCGGTTATTTTTGTCCCGAACTACCAACTAGTTGTCACTCATTAATCAATGCGTTCGATATTCATATCCTACTCAAGGAAACCTTCCAAAGTAGAAAAGTATCTTCATAATTCTGCTATAACAATCGTACGAGTACTAGTAGTAACAAACTGTCTATTTGGTGGCACCCAGCTCCGAATACGCATTCAAAGCAAGCTGTCCACCAAGATGCGCATACAAAATATTTCCACCCTTGATCTCACCCTTCTTAATCATATCAACCATCCCCGCAAAGCTCTTCCCTTCATAAACGGGGTCAGTAATAAACGCCTCCATTTTAGCCGCATACTCAATAGCATCCCAAGTCTGCTGATCCGGAATCCCATAAATACCAGCATGATACCTGTCATCGAGAATAACATCCTCGTCCGTAATATCCTCCTCCTTAAGCCCAATCTTAGCAGCCGTATTCCGCGCAATACGCAACACCTGAACCCGCGTCGCTTCCACCGTCGCCGAAGCATCAATCCCAATAACCTTCCGCTTGGGATCATCCGGATACAACCGTTCAAGCAACTTAAATCCAGCAATCATGCCGGCAAAAGTCGACCCCGTCACCGCACAGACGAGAACAGTATCAAAAAATATACCCTGCTCCTGCTCCTGCTGTCGTACTTCGAACGCCCACCGCGCAAATCCCAATCCACCAAGCGGGTGGTCCGATGCACCAGCCGGGATGTAGTAAGGCCGATCACCATTAGCCTTACACTCCTCCACGACAGCGGCGGCGGTATTCTTATGCTCGATGCCAAATCCCGACGGATCGAGACGGACATCTGCGCCCATTAATCGGGATAATTGGATATTGCCGACAGAGTCATAGCCCTTGTCTACCCAATCGACCCAATGTTCCTGGACCAGTTTGGCTTTTAGACCGGATCGGGCTGCGACTGCTGCGACCTGGCGCGTGTGGTTGGACTGGACGCCGCCGATTGAGACGAGCGTGTCGCAGTTCTGGGCCAGGGCGTCGGCGAGTAGATATTCTAGCTTGCGGGTCTTGTTGCCGCCATAGGCGAATGCGGAGTTGAGGTCGTCGCGCTTGGCGTAGATGTTTACTTTGGCGTGTGGGGTGGTTGAGGCGAGATCGGCGGTTATGCGGGGGAGGAGGTGTATCGGCGAGGGGCCGAGGAGAAGGGGGGTGCGTGGAATTGAGGAGAAGGGGGCTGGGAGGGGGGAGGTCTTGGTTTAGGTTCGAGTTGGACATGACGAATATAGAGGGGTTTGAGATGTCAATGGCAATAACAATTTCTATATTTTGGTCTCTCTATCGTCCCATCTCTGCGCTCTTTATACCCGCGGTTCAGGAGGGGGTGTATCATCACTCTGGTAGGGGAGAAAGCCATACGCCTTAATGATATCCATATTGAGTTAGGTGTCGGGCTATCTTTGGAGAACATACTACATGCTCCGGAATGGCCCCGAAGTCGGTCTTCTCCCTGCGGAGACGGTGGAGTCGTCGAGATAGTGTCCGCTGCATTGGGGTACCCTAAGGTTTGTGGCATGATGGTCGAGATAACGTGCTAACTATCTGGTGGCTGATGTGGTGGGTCCCCGAGCAGGGGGTCTTAAGCTCTTCAGGAACAGACAGATATGAACAGTTCCATAGATATGGAGTTTTGGTTTTAGGATTCGTGACACAGGGCTCGCTTATCGAGTATAGTCCAGCATCGTAGCCTTAGATCTGCTCAACACCATACACCCACAAGGTGCTGCGGGGTGAGTACCTTGGAAGAACCTTGCCAACCTACAAAGATGGCTTGGGCCCCCGATCCTCGCGACTAAATGATATAATACCTACTAATTATACGTTTGCACAACACAACACTAAACGGAAGAAGGCCCGGGTGGACATCACAAAAGAGATTCATATTATTTCACATCGAGCCTTTTGGGGGATCATCATCAACATCAAGCATCAAATAGCTATCAAGCAATTTATTTCATATCAACAACGCAGCGAACGCAGTCACCCTGCTTCATCTGCTCGAAGGCAGTGTTGATGTTGTCCAGGGGCTCGCGGTGAGTAATAAACTCGTCCACCTTCAGCTCGCCGTTGAGGTAATCGTCGACAAGACCGGGCAGCTGGCTGCGGCCCTTGATACCACCGAAGGCACATCCCTTCCACACACGACCGGTGACCAATTGGAAGGCTGGAGACAGTTAGCAAAGGCACAAAAGGAAAGATCCGGGAAAACTTACGGCGAGTGGAGATCTCTTGACCAGCGGCGGCGACACCGATGACAATGCTCTCACCCCAGCCCTTGTGGCAGGCCTCGAGGGCAGCACGCATGACACCAACGTTACCAGTGCAGTCGAAAGTGTAGTCGCAACCACCGTCGGTCATCTCAATCAGGTGCTCCTGGATGGTCTTGCCGGACAGCTTGGTAGGGTTGACGAAGTGGGTGGCACCGAACTTGCGAGCCCAGACCTCCTTGCCGTCGTTGACATCGACAGCAATGATCTTGCCAGCCTTGTTCTTGACAGCACCCTGCATGACGGACAGACCGACACAGCCAGCGCCGAAGACAGCGACATTGGAACCCTCCTCAACCTTGGCGGTCACGACGGCAGCACCGTAGCCGGTGGTGATACCGCAACCCAGCAGGCATGAGCGGTCGGTAGTGATCTTCGGTGTGACGGCAACAACGGAGATGTCGGCAACGACGGTGTACTGGGAGAAGGTGGAGGTACCCATGAAGTGAAGCAGGTCCTTACCGCGGGCCTTGAAGCGCGAGGTGCCATCGGGCATGACGCCCTTGCCCTGAGTAGCACGGATCTTGCCGCACAGGTTGGTCTTGCCAGACTTGCAGAACTTGCACTCACCGCACTCGGGGGTGCTAGAGGTCAAGGTTAGTTCGAATGAATTCGCTGGCATGAATGAACGGCGAATGGAACATACTAGAGAGCGACGACATAGTCGCCGGGCTTGACGGTGGTCACGCCCTCGCCGACGGACTCGACGATACCAGCACCCTCGTGTCCAAGGACGATGGGGAAAGCACCCTCGGGATCCTTGCCAGACAGAGTGTAGGCATCTAATTGGGGTCAGATCTTGCTTTTCATATATTTTCTTGCTTTTGTCTTTCTCTGGGAGCTTACCGGTGTGGCAGACACCGGTGTGGTGAATCTGGATGCGCACCTCGTGGGCGCGGGGAGGAGCAACCTCGATATCCTCAATGGAGAGGGGCTCAGTCGCAGCCCAGGCGACGGCGGCCTATGATATTTGTTAATCAAACAGTCGAGAGACAATGGCAGGGAAGACGTCGGAGGTGGGTGTTTGGCCCGACGCGGGGCACTCCGACGTCATCCGCGTAGCGGGGTGTGTTTCGGATGGTTTGGTGCTTACCTTGCAAGTGATGGTCTACAAACATTGCAAGTCAGTATATAATTGCGCGATGGGAAGGCACTTCGGATTTTTGGGAGACAAAACATACCTTTCCTACTGTGCTAGCCATTGTGTTCTGACAGTCTGGGAGATATGGTCAGGATGGGGCAGGGTGGGGGTGGAGGGGGGGGAAGAACACAGATGCCCAGGTGGTAGACTCACGAGATTTGCAGATGACGGGAGAAGATGAGGGAACAAGAGGTTTTTGAATGGAAAACTTCCCAGTGGAGCCGAGCCTCTTGGAGCTGTGAGGGGAGTGGGGGTGGGGGGGGAAGCAATGAGGAACTTGAATGAGGAGTCAAACGGAAAGAAGATGAGGGGCGGCCGGGTCGGCCGGTCTCCAACGGAGAAGCACCCGCGGGTTGTCCAGCGAAGTCGGGGAGATTGTTAACTATTGGCTTCCTTTTCTCTAGGTCTCCCCGCAATCAGACAGTACCAGCGGACTCCTAAAAAGGTAAAGCTTTCCGCCAGAGCTGCCGATTGCAGTCTTCTCGATCTTACAGTGGGCCGTGCTAGCCTGATGTCCAATCATCACCTCTAATAAGCTTAACTAGGGTTTGATAGCATGATAGCCTGAGGATAATAGCATCCTAGAATAACAGAAATTATGGTCCAAGCATATACAGTACACTGGCGAGGTCGCCGTTCTATTTTATATGTTTTGTATTTTATTAGGATCGGGAAGGGTACCGATGGAACACTTATCCCCTCCCGTCCGAATCACTATGGTACATAAAAGGAGCCCCGGTGTCCAAGCAAGCTATCCCCCCCATCCCACATGCAGGAAATTTAATTCCTTTCGTCATGCGAAGGGAAGGCAGCAAGGCAAACTTGGGCTTGACCCGGGACTCCGGAGTTGGGATTGCCCGGAAGGCACCCGGAACGCTCCCGGCCCCAGAGCAGATCTGCCCTCCGGCGCACTGTCTTCTCCCCAGTGCTCACACCCCGTCTCGGTATCCCGATGACGGGTTTCCAGGTATCTTCTTTAACGGCCCTGCTGCATCATAGCGGCGTTCTGTTCCTGGAAACGCTCGTTCAAGCGGGCGGATCCCTTCAGTTGCTTGTCGACGCAGCGCAGGACACATTGCTCTTCGCGGTTGATGAGGGACTTGGTGGTGAAATCGTTGACACAGTCATCAAAGCAGCGCTGAACCATCTTGGAGTACATCTGTAGATATATTAGATATGGAAACGAAAGGGGAACGCGATCGGGAGTTGTGATTGGAGTTTTATTGACTCCGATCCGAGGGTGCGTTGGCATTCGCGGTGCCACTGCACCTTGGCGGGAGATCAAAGATTCCATCAAGGGGCGGCTCGGGGAGGATTGAACGTACGGTCATGAACTCCTTCATCTGCTTGCGCTCCATGCGGGAGGCGAACTCGCGTTGCTCGGATTGGTTGAGGCTGCAGCGTGTCATTAGCATCGAGTTCGGGGGTAATCAAAACGATTGGCATTGGAATTGGCCATGGAGCGGAACTTATGGTTGCACATACCCGTCCATTATGTGTGATGATGAAGATGAAAGAAGAAAACGTCAAGATGGGAGAATCCTTAGATGATGAGTGAAGAGACGCTGGCGCGGAGCTCCGAAGCTGGTTCTGCGGCCCGCGCAACTACGTTTATCCGGGCTAGGTCACATGAGGTCATGTGACTCTCATCCGGCTGTGTGGATAATTTAGGATGGTATGAAGGAAAGTAAGTTGGAAGGTGATTAAATAAGTAGATAGATCATGGCATGTAGGGAATAAATGCAATGGAATCTTCAGAGATGCTCATAGAGGTGCTTTCCAGATCCCGGTACTGGTATCCTTGAATGGATATGCGTATACTCGTATACTCCGTATCTACTCCGTATTTGATGTGGGTTGGTACCTGAGGGTCCAGACCCTGAGTCCTGGCTATACGTAACTACTTCGAGTAACCGACCATACATAGTTTGTGTAGTTACTCATTAATTAAGGTATATTAACTATAGAAAATGATGTATATTATTGAGCGAATTCAGTATTCTCAATGATACTTCGTAAATACTATACTATACGTATAGTATACTAGTCGACTAGTACACTGTACTCACGCTGCCGAATCCAGCGATGCCCCCCAAGGAACTTCAACCTTGGGTCAGCCATCTATTCATAGCAATACCCTCCTCTAATTTCCCCTGGCACCTTTTTCCTCCTCTTCTCCCTCCTCTCTCCTTCCCTTTAGCCTCAGCCTCAACGTCAGCTACCATCGCCACCCTTTTGACTCGTCTATTCGCCTCCTGCCCAATCCCCGTTCTTCACTCGGACCTCTTCCTCTTTCTCGGCCTTGTCGCATCCCTTCTCTTCCTCTTTCTCGGCCTTGTCGCATCCCTTCTCTTCCCCTTTCTCTCTCCCCTTCCTCTCGCTCTCTCTCTCCCTGCCATCCTCTGAAATCTCCCTTTCAGCGACCCGTGTATCTGCCTGTGTCCCTGAAATTGAATTTCTGTCCTGTTCCTGGCATCCCGTGCTTTGGGGCCCAGCCTCCTCTCCCCCAGCATTTCCCACACGAGGGCGGTGACGCAGGTGGTGCCCATCGACCCGCGATTCCATCCCCCCCTCAACTTCGAGTCCCCTCCCAACCCAGCCACATCGTACCACTCGTTGTTACTCCGACTCTGGGAACACTATGGTGACCGGTAAATCGCAACCGGGCATCGAGCCGGTACAACTCCCACCAACCTCTCCCGACCCCGTCGCTTCCAACTCCCCACCCTCTCGACGAGACCTCGCCTCGTGGTGGAGACAGTTTAAACGGAATACTAGGAAAGAGGAACTGAAAGGTATGTTCCATGTCGCCAGAACCCTTCCAACGCATTGCGCCTAGTCGCGAGCCCCTCTCGTCCCTCGTGCCTCCGTGTCCTTCCTTTCTGCATCTCGCCGATCCCCAACTTTTCCCCCTGAACCTCCAAGAAAATCACTCGGTGCGCGGTACTAGTGGGACCTACCCCGCGGCCATACATTCCCGATGGGATGGTTGAGGCCGCCATCGATTCGGATAAATGGACACCCACGCTCTCTCTGTCTATCAGTCTTTCTTCCTGAACATGGCATGCTAATTCCTTTCTGGGCGCAGAACCCCCGCGCGGAATCTTCGGCATCCCACTCAATGTCAGCATCAAATATGCCAATGTGGCCATCTCCCTTTCCAACGAACATGGCGAGAGCTTCATTTATGGATACGTGCCGATAGTCGTGGCCAAGTGTGGCGTATTTCTCAAAGAAAAGGTGGGCACAATATAGCATCATCGCCGCCGCTGCCGCTCCCGAAATATGCGCTGACTGTTCTCTAGCTACGGACGTGGAAGGTATCTTCCGGCTCAATGGGTCCGCGAAGCGTATCAAAGACCTTCAAGAAGTATTCGACTCCCCCGAACGTTATGGAAAAGGCTTGGATTGGTCCGGATACACGGTACACGATGCGGCCAACGTCCTCCGCCGATACTTGAACCAGCTGCCGGAACCTATCGTCCCACTCGAATTCTATGAACGTTTCCGTGAACCCTTGCGCATTTATCAGATGCAGGTTCAAGCAGGAGTCGAGCCCGCAGAAGCCGAGAAATTCGATCACGCAAAGGCCGTGGAGACCTACCAACACCTGATCATCGCACTCCCGCCCCTGAACAAGCAACTGCTCCTCTACATCCTGGACCTTCTTGCTGTGTTTGCCTCCAAGTCGGACCAGAACCGAATGACCTCCGCCAACCTGTCCGCAATTTTCCAGCCTGGCATGCTGTCGCACCCGCAGCATGACATGTCACCAGAAGAATACAAGCTGAGCCAGGATGTTTTGATCTTCCTCATCGAGAATCAAGATCACTTCCTCGTGGGTATGAGTGGAACTGGAGCCGATGAACAGCAGGTCAAGGAGGTCGAAGCTGGCAATCAGTCCCGGCCCTCAACGACAGCTTCAAATATCCGCCGATCGGCATCCGGCGCCAGCAACAGCAATGAGAGCAACCGCAAGTTGGACACGCTGCGCCGCAATGTATCCGTCTCTTCCCGCAATTCACGTACTTCAAATACGGCTCCTAGCCCAGGCACTCCTACGTCTGGGGGCGGTGTTCACCGAAGCAATACCCTTCCGTCCAAAATGGGCCCAGTTTTGACATCTGCGCGTTTCGCGCGAGCAAATGAAAACAACAGCTCCACCCCATCTGGACTTTCGGTCTCCCATCAGAGCTCTCGCTCGGCCAGTCGAGCCCCGTCGCTGCAGGAGGAGATGGAACCAAAGGCCGAGCCCAAAGAAGAATCGAAACCAGAACCCACCACTGAACAAGGCAATCCCAGTCTAACTACCACCTCATCGAAGGGCACAACACTTGTTCACACCTCGACCCACGGTCCTGTCCCTATCGCTGCGGCTGAACGCCTGAGCATCAGCACTCCTTCTCAGTCGCAAAAAACTATACAGACTCCCGCTTCGCCGCCCTTTCAGGCTGTGACGCCAACACGCGAACGCACACTCTCGAGCATCTTCAGTAAATCCCCACCCCCAGACGGAGATCACAAGGAGCCGCGTCAGCCCAAACGTCTACAGAAGAGGCGGATACCAGGAAGCGCTAGCATTAGCGCACAGAGCTCGTCCAATTCACTCCACGGCACCCCATCGGATCTCAACATTGCGGAGATCGCTTTGGATACAAGGCGTGAGCCGCCACCCATGGATCTTGCTGTTGGTGACACGACTCCCAAACCCCCGAACACCGCGACCCTGAACAGGGAAGCTCATCCTTCGGAGTCCAACCCAGCACTCGTGGATGGCTCCATCCAACATGCTACGGAGGGCTCATTGCGACCACATCAATCACGTACCCCATCCATGAACTCTCGCTCCTCATTCACCGACGCGTCGGACTTGGAGCAAAACGAAGAAGGGACTCATTCCGAGCGTCGAGAGCAGAGGCGTAGCTGGCGATTCCACCGCACTGCTAAACGCAGTAGTGAGCACGTTGGTCTTGGGCTGGCATCTCCGCCCTTGGCAGCCACCAACCCGGGTGCTGAACATAGTACCACCTCTTTCGGCAGTGGGCATCAACAGAGCAATGATCCTTCCAGTCAACCCCTTAGCTTGGATGCTGGCATCTCGAGCAGCGGTACATCTGGCACCGAACCCGAGAAGAAAAGCCTGTTTGGCAAATTCAAGGCTAAAGTTGCGCAGGTTGTGAAGGATGATCGTGAGCGGGCCAAGAGCCCAAACCAAGACGTCGACACGCCGCCCAGCCAGCCATTGTCTCCTCCTTCCAGCGAGGCAGCGAGCAAGCCCTCCGTCGAAGTTCCCACTGAACAAGTCAAGGAAGACCCTCTCCGCTCACCGGTCTCCCCACTGCCTGGAGCGGGACTGCCTCCATCGATCCCGGAGGAGCCACACAGTCCAGAAGCTGTTACCGCGGTGCCAGTATCTGAGCAAAAAGAACCACTTCCTTCAAATACCCAACCGGTATCGACCGAGACCCCCACAGATGGGTCCGGCGTGTCAAAGGCAGAAGCTCAGGCAGATGCCCAGAAAGAATCGACAGTTTGAACCCCCGAAGCCGGATGATATTTGTCATTTCTCATCTTCCTTTTTTTCCACTACCTTCTACTTCCCTAGAGCCGTCATTGCCGAATATCCGGAGAATCCTCATGGTTCTTATATTTGCTTCTACAGGCGTTCTATTTCTCTAAAAGGTAACGGTTGACTTGTTGGTTGTGGGTTGAATCTTGACTTTGTTAGCGCGTGGTTTTCACATCACGAACAACTTTGCTTTTTCTCTCCTCCTCTCCACCTAGTGCTCTTGCTCTTGTTCTTGCTCTTGCGCTTTGCATCCATTGGGCATTCGAGAACTACTTTGCTCTCTTGCGAGATTCCCCTCCCCTTTTCCATTTGCCCCTCTTATCCCTACCCCCCTCCCCTTCGCTTCCCTGCGTCGCATCCTTGGAGCCCATATACTCCTTCATATTTCTTGGTCACGCTGATATGTGGTATGATTGTACGTCCCTATGTGATTGCAGCCGGTCTGTCTTTTGTTTTATTTGTCCCAACCCTTTCCCTCCCCCCCCCTTGTTACCTAGCTGGGTCTGTTTAGGGTGTTGCTGCGATTCCTCTTAAGATGGGGATCTGTCGAAAGAACGGCGCTTAAACTTTATTTTTCATTGATTGCTTGCAAGGGATCTTTTTCACAGTAACGAATGTATCATATCTTGTAAATTCAAGCTGCTGTACGATCTACGTGAAGGGAATAATGGTATACAGCTCAAGCTCCAACTTTGGTGACAGCTCCAGAAGCTCAGTTCAATAGTACAGTAAACCCTGACTGAAGACTAATATTACAACTAGCAACTTGAAGTCATAACCCGGCCGTGATATAATTAATTTCAAACTAATTTATACTACGTACTTCAAGTTCAAGTTCATACTTCGTAGGTCTGACCGCCAAGAATTAACCGCAACACGCCAAACCCGATCGGGCGCTTCCCTCCCTTTACTTCACATCACCTCTTCACTTCCGAGCCAACCGGGTCCTCTCAGGTTCAGAACAGCTGCGAGACTGTGTGTACCTGCGCCTGGTGAGCTTCAATGCGCGCATCATGGCTTCAACTACCTCGTCCCCCGCCGTGAACTCCGCCACCATGTCTCAACCCCCCCGCCGAGAAACCTTCTGCGCCTCCCGTCAATATACTGCCTTCGCAGCTGGCTCGAATCTACTCCTTCGTGCATCCCGCCCTCCTCCTGGTACTTGCGGCATCGCGCTTCGAAGCAGTGGTCACCAATCCCGTTCAGGAATTATTGAATGATCTGCCATGGCTGGCACTGTTGCAACTCTTCTACGTGATCCTTTGCGTTCCGCCAGCTGGCTCCCTCGAAACCGCTAGCTCCGGCGACAACGAAGAGAAGAAGAAGGCTTCCCCTCGCTCCCCTTCAGCTCCCCGTCCTGGAAAATCGGGCCATCGCCGAAAGCAAGCTTCTGGGAAGAATGTCTGGGCTGGTCTTTGGGCCAGATTGATGGTATGTCCACTTCTTTCCTCCGCGGCATTGCAAAGCAAGTGATACGCGTAGAGTATTTGTACTATGTGCTCACAATTATTGGTTTAGCCCGCACTCCTGTCTATCACTCTCACAACTTTCATCGCGACCCCTGTCCTCGCCGCTCTCCTGGTCTTGTTTGGCGCTCCCCTGACAACACACAACGCGGAGACCGTGCTCTGCGCTGCCCACATGGCATTCCTTTCTGCGTCTAGTTTGGTTTACGCTCACGGTGTTGACGGCTTGGTGTGGAAGGAGGTTTGGGGAATCGCTCGACCTGCTGATGCAGTTTGGGGTGGCGCCCTGGGTACCGGACTTGGTGCTTGGTTTGGTGCCATCCCGATCCCTCTGGACTGGTGAGTTGGGTTGATCTATTAGAGAAATATTCCCAAAGTATGGAATCATTTGGCTGACATCTCTGTAGGGACCGCCCCTGGCAAGCTTTCCCCATTACCATCCTTGCTGGTGCATACATCGGTTACGCAGCTGGGTCGTTGATCTCACGGACCCCATTCTTATATGGCAAGCGAGTCCAATTTGCGCCGGAGAACATTGAGGGCGAGGAAAAGAAGACAAACTGAATCTCCGACACCAGATTTGGAACAACCGGAATCCGTGAAGATTATAATGAATTAATCTCGCAAGATTCGCAGGTTATCATTTCCAATGGCCACAGCCATGATAGATAGACAAAGGACTCCACCGAGACCCGATACCACAGTTAATGTATACTAGCAATTTTCTTTTCAGTGCTTGTCCGTCTCTGTAAATCCAGGTATCACAACTTCCCAGACTCCTTGAAGCTGCCGTGTCTGCCCAACCCTCCACTGAACTTGGCCGCACCAGCAACGGCTTCTTTCGAGATGACTTTGCTGCCGTTCTGGAATTCGTACGAGAGCGCATCTTCCAAAGAAGATGCCTCATACGCGCTGTAATAGCATGAACGACGATCGGTATTGAGGCAAAGTTCAGGGAATGCGATGAGCTGCTTGGCGATGTCCAAAGCATGCTGCAATGATTCCCCCTTAGGCACAACCCGACTAGCCAGTCCCATCGCCAGGGCCTCTTTGGCTTCAACTGGCCGGCCAGTAAGAATCATATCGAGAGCTCGAGCAAGACCAACGATGGCTTGCAAGCGCACCGTTCCCCCGTCAATCAATGGGACGCCCCAACGGCGACAGAATACCCCAAAGATTGCATCTTCTTCCACCACCCGGATATCTGCTAGTAAACTCAGTTCAAGCCCTCCTGCAACTGCATATCCGGCGACTGCTCCAATTACTGGCTTTTGAATCGTCAATCTTGATGGACCCATAGGACCCAGGTTGCGCCCATTGACGGGCTGGAGATTCTGGCCAGGCTCGTCGTTATCTTTCTTTTGCGCTACTTGGTGGAGATCGGCCCCGGCGCAGAAAGTGCTGCCTGTGCCAGTCAACACGCAGACTTTCTGTAATGCATCGGCTTCGAAGGCGAGGATGGCATTGTAAAGCTCCTTGGCAGTTGCAGAGTCTACTGCATTCTTTCTATGAGGGCGATTAATCTGAATGATTGAGATGCCGGGGTGCGAGGCTGTATTGACGATGACTGAAATATCTGCCATTTCGTTGTTGTTGAGACTATGTGATAGCCATGGCATGTAGCTGTAGATGTAGTTGGAGTTGGAGTTGGCCGCGTTCAAGAGGAACCCGAGTGCCTCGGCTCAATCCCCACACTTTCTCCCCTCCAACCACCCCCGGGTCGACGACATGTCGTCTGCGTGCATCATTTGCCATAAACGAAAGGTCGGTGAAGGCCCCTGCGTCCTCTGCCCAACGAAACCTGATCATCCTGGATTGAACTGATCGAATCTCCCAGGTGCGCTGCGACCTAGCGACCCACAATCCCTGCACCAACTGCAAAAAGTCCGAGGTGGAGTGCAGGTGAGAAGACAGGACCCGCTTGACTCAAGCATTGAATTTGTTGGATCAAGCTCTAATCATCCAAGACCATATACACGCAAGCGCAAGCGTTTCACCAACAGTCTGTCGCCCAGTCGTGACGTGGATTCGGCAGACCCTTTGAGTCGGCGCAGCTCACAGCTTCCCGCCGACGACGCGCCCATCGACAGAGTCGCGCGTCTGTCATCGGCAAGTGCCTACGAAGACAATGTCTTGCCCAGGGAACCATTGACGCTTCCGGTAAACAATGGTGAACCCGTCATCAAAGAAGAAAGCTACCGCGGGCGGAGCGAGTATTTGGGTGGGAGTGTGCCGTTTGATGAGAACATGGTGAAACCTGGCCATGAGACGACGAGCCCCAAGACATCCGCTGCCGATTTACAGATGCTGCGTGACCAGGGTGCCTTCGAGTTACCCCCTGAATATGTGCAAAGAGAACTAATGGCCAGCTTCAATAAGTACTGCTTGCCTTGGACCCCCGTCATTGACCCGAAATGGTTGGACGAGGGTACGCCTCCCTCCATGCTTCTGTTGCAATCCATTTTTCTGGCTGGCAGTCGGGTTTCCAAAGCGCATTTGGACTATGCCTCCAGTGAGGTCTTTTACCGACGCGCGAAGCTACTCTTCTTCTTTGGCGGAGGCAACAACTCGCTCATATCCATCGTGGCCGCTTGCCTGCTACATTGGTATAACCCCGTGGGCCCAGAGGATGTCTCGACAGATACCAGTGGATTTTGGATCCGCACTGCTGGAGCGATGGCATTCCAGATTGGATTGCATAAGGAGCCACCGCCAAATGCGAAAGACCGCGGTCTTCGCCGGCGATTATGGTGGTCATTAGTTGTATGTGGCTTTCCTCGATTGCTTCTCGATACTTTCTATAAGGCAGGTACTAACTAACGGCTCCAGATTCGCGATAATGTAATCTCAGTCGGAGTAGGTCGACCGAGAACAATCAACTTGCGAGACAGCGACGTGCTCCCTCCGTCAATGAACGACTTCCCCGCTTGGAACTTCCAAGCTCAACTATTCCTCGCATATTGCACGATATCATGCCACCTGGGCGACACAGTAGAATGCTACCTCCGGCGGGAGATATCTCGGCAGCGAAGAGTCGATCTAGAAAATGCAGTGTACAGGTGGGCCAAGCAGGTCTTCCCTAAATTGCACTCCTCGGCCGCGATGCAAGAAGATGCCATTACTTCCCACCACGAGGTCCAACAGCTCTTAGTCATGTACTTCGTTGTCCTCACCATCATCCATCGATCGCCCACGCCGAACAGTGTTCCCCCAGCGGCGTCATTGATAGCGTCCTCTTTCATTGCCGGTATATATGAGGAGTTCCTACTACGTGACGAACTTCGCTATTTGGGGCCCGTTTTTGCATTTTACCCACTCTGCGCCGGGCTATCGCTACTATCATGTTGCCGCTACACCCAGCTACAAAGCACAGCAGAGCATGAACTAACCGTCATGAAACTGTCTCTCCAAAAACTTTCCGAAAGGTGGCTATCCGCCGTTGGACCGCTGCGAGCACTGAACAAATTGACCGAAAAGGTCCGGGAACAAGGTTCCCTCGACGCGCCCCCACCAGCCCTGGATACAGATACAGCTTCGTTCTTCGATGGCTTTGACATGAAACTCTGCAAACAGTGGAGCTTGATAGGACACACATCTGAGCCGGTGACAAATGCAAGAGCGGAACGCACTTGTACGTTGGCAGAAGTACAAGAAACCGACGACGCACTGCAACCGTTTGATGCTCGACCAGATGACACTGTTGATAGCTACAGTTTTCCTCCGCTTGACACGAATTTGGAGACATTCAGTACCAACTGGGAAGGCTCCGGCTTTGATTGGAGTGGGTCTTGGTTACTGAATATTTGATGACTATGATATCAGTGACGACAATAAGAATATCTCCCATCTAGTTATCCATTCCCTTTATAATCAAAGAGTCGCTACATAGCTGAAATCTACCCAAATCGTCGGTGCAAAATTGATTTCCGACTCTAAAATTCACATATATTTTAGCCCAACGAGGTAGGATGAGTCTACTTGGATATGGTTGGCGGCAAAGTACTAGCAGCCATCAACACAAATCGATCAATTGCCATCATTTGACTATCTATCTCTATGAAATCGGGAATTGTGCATTATCTATAGCTTCCCTCTCCTTTCTTTCGTCGTCTCGAGGTCATAGTACTGTATGAAGTCATTCAAACAGTCAGGGTTTGCCACAGTACTGCTAATAGTTGTTGGCAGCTTTCCAGACGAAATGACCTGTTTAACCAGAGTCTCTATCTTTTTTCCATTGACGGTCATTGGAACTTCCTTGACGCCGATGATGAAGCGAGGGACGTGCTTGCTACTCAACCCTTTCCGGATGGCATTTTTGAGCTCCAAAGCCAGTTGGCTAGTGAAGGACTTCCCAGATTGCATCACAACAAAGAGAAATACCTCCTCGTCAGTGTCATGCGGGCGGCGTCTTCCAATGCAGAGCGTGGCCGAAATGACTTTGTTAAACGGCGCTGGCTCGGTAATTGAGTAGATATCAGATGATCCGAATCGAATGCCTTGTGGGTTCAGCACACCGTCACTAAAATTTACTGTCAATAAAAAGAAATGTTGGGTTTATAGGGTATTTCACGTAGAACTTACCTCCTACCATGAATTTGCCATCCTTTCGTCAAAGGGTTGTAACTGGCCCAATCATGCTGAGCCCAGCAATTTTCGAATTTGTCGAAATAAGTATCCTTGTACTTGATCCCGTTCGTATCTCCCCAGAAAAATACTGGCATGGATGGAAATGGCTGGCGACAGACAAACTCGCCATGTTTGCCGGTAGACTTGACCGACTCGCCCGTGATAGGATCTGCAACATCTACATCCTGACCCAACATGGGCAACTGGATTTCACCAGGATAGAGTGGCCCAGCCGGATCGGTTCCAATCCACGAAGTGACCAGGTCTGTACCTCCTGTCACGCTGGTGAGGTGAACACGAGGAGGGAATGCCCGATAGAACCAGTGATATTGGTCTGCGCCCAGATGAGAACCACCCGTTTGTACCATTCTCAGAGATGAAAGATCAAACTCATCCTTGGGTATACATCTGGTCATCTCTAGCTCCTGCAGATAGCGAGGTGAGCATCCCCAATATGAGACACGATGGTATTCAGCGATACTCGCCATTCCCTTCGCACTGGGCCATAATGGCGAGCCGTCGTAAAGAATCAGAGTCGGCCCAACTGATAGGTGGCCGATCATGATATTCCAAAGTACCCATGAAGTACTACTATACTGGAATACAATGTCGTCTTCGGTTAAAGAGTTGTGAAGCACAGATGTCTTTTTGTGTTGTAGGATCACGCTGTGGCTATGTACCAAGCACTTTGGCTGGCCGGTAGTCCCACTGGTATAAAGGATGTAGAGTGGGTGAGAGAACGAAACTCTCTTGAATTCCAGCTCATGCTCTGGTCTCGATTCCGACAAGAAGTCATCAAGACTAGGAAACGCTGGCTCATGCATCCCAGTAATTGGGATTAGGAATACTCGGGGTTTGATCTTCAAGGCTTGCACGATATTGCGAATCTTGTCCACGTTGGATCGCATTTTGCCTTTATAGGTCGATTCCCCATCGGCAAGAAGGACTTTAGGCGTGACCTGTTGCAGGCGCGATAAACATCCCTAACGAATGATCAGATCACAAAATCCACCTTAACGGATAACTTCATCTCCGTATACTTACCTCTTCACCCAAATCCGGCGCAATACTCGTCCAAATAGCGCCGATACTCGCCGTAGCGAGAAAAAGGCCTACCGACCAAACACTGGTGGAAATCATCGCCGCAACTCGATCTCCCTCCTGAACGCCAAGCTGAAGCAGTGCACTTCTCGCTTTGCGCACATTCTCTCGCAAAGCAGCCCACGTCCACACCTCTCCGCTAAGATCTTGACCTTCGCGAACTCCGATCAGGGCTCTTTTCTCCAAATCACGACCGGAAAGTACATTCTCAGCATAATTGACCGTTGCACCCTGGAAAAATTTGGGAACTTTCTCCATAGGCGTGGCGGCATCGAATGCGGAGGTGATGTGAGAGGGCAAGGTTGGTATGATTCCAGTGTATTGATGGAGATCAACCCAGAAATCCTGTAGGTTTTCCACGGACCACTGGTGTAGCTCTTGCGAAGATTGGAGGTTTTGATGGAATTTGCGATTGATATGTGCGCGGTAGATATTCATCGGAATCTCATCTTGCGGTACTGAAGGCGTCCAGATGGGGCGAGGTTTCGAGACATCGCCCTCGGGCGTAGAGTTGGCCATTGTTGCTGAATTGGCTCTGAGTAAAGATTTATTTGAATTTGAATAGAGTTGGCGATGGGTGAAATCGTTGACTGGAAACCACTCTCTGAATTAATAGTACTATGCAGCACCGGAAAACGGCACCGGGCAGAGTGGAATTCCCCGCATTTTGCGACTCGCTAGGTCGGATAATAGCTTCAGGACCCATCCATCAGCACTCCGTCCGGTATTCTTCGGTGATTGTCGGTGGGCATCGGTGGGCATCGGTGTACCTGCTCGGCAAACCAGATGTCATCGTCGGCAGACAAAGCGTTAGAGAAGATCGGACCCCGCATATCAGGCCCGAGCAGGGTATAAGACAACTTGAAGAATGCGAAAGGAATTATGAGCGATACCACCCAACGGCTTTTTTTTTCTTTCTCTGTAACTCGCTATGGGAAAGCCAGTCTCACCCTCTACAGTAGATGGGGGTTTCATCCTATCGCCTGCTGCGCTGGAAAATCCAGGAACAAACGATCGAGTCTTCCACCGCATACTTCAATGTACGATCGGCCGTTGCGTTTGTGTGTTTTCTTTTACGATTTAAAGAGTTAACAGTTCCTTCTTAGGGCATCTTTCCAAAGAAGTTCTGGCAAAAATCGCCCCGGGACTGCAATCATTTGGCTCCGATGCAATTTCGGACGAGACCAATGATTTGATCGGAAATGCTGAATCACAGCAGCCATATGTCAAGTCCTACAATGTATGGGGCTCACGGTATGAAGCAGAGGGCTTGGTCACTAGTAAGGGCTGGAAGGAATTGGGGAAATGGGGGATTAAGCATGGGTGAGTCTGAATTACTGCGAGAAAACGGCCTTTACTATACCAATATACTGACTAGCCGGTAAATAGTGTGGTGGGACTTGGCTATGAGGATACGTTTGGTCCATATCGTCGCACCGTCCAGCACGCATTGTAAGGCATTGTTCTTTCCAGTCTCTCTGGTGAGGTACCCTGCTAATATCAATCAGCAACTATCTGTTCTCTGCTTCATCCGCCGCCTTCTCGTGTCCAGTCTCGATGACCTCTGGCGCTGCACGTTTAGTTCGAAGCCAACTCTCTGGGCTCCCAACAGACCATCCCTTTCATGAACTTTATGCTCGTCTCATTGCTCGGGAAAACAACTGGATCTCTGCGCAATGGATGACTGAGCGACCAGGGGGCAGTGATGTCCGTAACAGCGAGACTGTTGCCACATACTCTCCACTCTCTTCCAAGACCGGTCGCTTCGGCAACATGGAAGAAGGCGACTATCTACTTTCAGGCTTTAAATTCTTCTGCAGCGCGACCGATTGCGACACGGTATTGCTGCTAGCAAAAACCGAATCAGGGGAACTTTCGCTCTTCGTGGCTCCGACCACTATATCCAGGAAGGATACCGCTACCGGAAAATCGAAAAAGATATCCAATGGTATTCGCATTCATCGTCTCAAAAGCAAAATGGGCACAAAAGAACTACCCACAGCAGAAGTCGAGCTTCGTGATGTGCGAGCTCACCTGATAGGTCCCAAAGACCGCGGTATCCCAACAATTGCGCTATTGTTAAATGTCACTCGCACCCACAATTTCATCACGGCGTTGTCGTGTCTTCGTCGTGCCATGGATATCGCAAAGGCGTTTGCCAAATCTCGGACCACGATTGATCAGCCGCTCTGGACATTTCCAATGCACTTGAACGTGTTGGCGCAACTCGAAGTCAAGCACCGTGGCTGGATGCAGCTTGCTTTTTTTACTTCTTCGCTGTTGGGTTATGTGGACAATGGATTCCCTGTCGATGCGCCTGACGTCTTTTCGGTTCTTGCAAAGAATTCGAGCGCTGCGAATGTTGTTTTGCGCGCATTTACCTCTACTTCCAAGGCTGTTATATGCAAGTCAGCTACACTTGCCTTCCAGGAATGCCAGGAAGCTATGGGAGGCGTAGGTTATATTGGTAAGAGCATACATTTCTCTTTCTTTGATTGATTATATACTAATATTGAATCAAAAAAAGACGAGCCTGAAGAGCCCGAGTTCAATGTTAGCCGGCTATGGCGAGACACCGCGAGCAACAGCGTCTGGGAGGGCACTACCAATGTTCTCGCCAGTGAAACAGTGCGCCATCTGACTAAGGGACAGAATCTAGACCTCTTTGATGAATGGATGAGCAATGTCATTGGCCAAGTTTCCGACAGTGCCTACAGAGCCACTCTCCAAAATGTCTGGCGTCAACTTAAAGACCGACTGAACTTTGGCCGTGATGAGAGAGCACTCTCTCACCTTCTTGGAGTCGCCCGTCAAATCATCTTTACGCTTTCTTGGTTGGTGTGTGGAGTTCTCCTCTCTCTGGATTCTCAGCGAGATAATGATAAGGTTGCCCGTGAGGTGGCCAGAAGGTGGGTATTGGAAGGCCAGGGAGTGCCGGGGGGAATTTTCTTTCACTGAACTCATCTTCCAACGATCGGCTACAGCTCAAGACGAACAACCGACAGGTCGTGCGCGTACTGAACTGGACTGCCGTATAGTTTGGGACGTGGATCTGCCTCATGATGCCTCTTTGGGATACCGAGCAGCCAAGATTTAATCAACGATATGGTATTAAATCTTATGTATACAGTGACAATCAAGACAGTTGATCTGAGTTTGGGTCTGGCGCTGGCAGGACCACAAGATATCTACTATGGATAGGTAGTGGTATACAAAATTTTAGATCAATACTTTCAAGCTGCTATATACAAGATGCTCTGACTGAAGCTTAAGGGGCATTACAATTTGGAGTTGGCAGTTTGCAAGGAGCGATGACCAGAAGCTCGTTGAGCTGGTAGTTCGACACCCCATGCGATTCTGCAGTCCCACTGGAGGTGCTTTTCGCCATCTGAATCATTACTCTGGTCGTTCTGGACCGTGATAATGTCGTGGAAAACATTGTCCCCAACACCACCCTCCGCGTCCAGGACCCAGCGTCGGGCAATTTCCGTGGTAACAGGATCATTATCTCGCTCCGCATCAACAGCCAAGAGCGCACCGCACATAATCCAAGCAAGAGTAAACATATAGCGGCGTGCGTCGGCCAGAATAGCCGCAGGCGAACGGCTCTCCGGGGAAAATCTCGTCCGCAGTGCTGACCACGCACTGATCAAGGTAGACCGGAGACTCTGCGTACGGATCGACCCCAAGATTCGGTCAAGCCAAGCGGCAAAGATCTCTAGGTTATTTCCCTTGGTAAGGAATCGGACCGTTTCACTAGCCAGGACATTTGTAGTTCCTTCCCAGATAGAGTTGACTGCGGTGTTTCGGAGAATTCGCGAGATATTAAACTCAGGCTCATCTGCCTCATCCATATAACCTACGCCGCCCATGGCTTCTTGACATTCTTGGATTCCCAGAACGCACATTTTGCTCACCACAGCCTTTGCAGTGGCGGTCAAAGTGCGGAATACGACATTAGCTTCCTTACCTGGGCGGGGCAAATGTGCTAGCTCTGAAGGTTGAGAGACCTTGTTTTCCACCAATCCCATCACAGCAACGGTAAAAAAGGCAAGGTTCATACCACCGCGGTGCTTGACTTCTAAATCGGCCAATAGTCGCAGATGCATAGGAATGAGCCACAAGGGTTCTCCGACGGTAGATCGAGCCTTTGCGAAGCTTTTCGTGATGCTGAGAGCTCGGCGCCATCCGGATAGAGACCCGATAAACGTGTGAATCCGAGTCACGTTGAGAAGAGGTGCGATGGTGATGATACCTTGATCAACTTCACCGACCAGATGGGCTCTCATATCCTTCAACTCTAGCTCAGCGGTTGGCAGCTCTTTGGTACCAAGCTTATTCTTCAATCGATGGATTCTCACGCCATTTGAAACCTGGCGAGAAACGCCATCCTCTCCGATCACTGTTCGGCGTAGCGGGGCGAGGAATGTACTCAGTTTTCCTGATGGCGTCTTGGCCAAGAGAAGTGCGACATTGGCGTCTGTGGCAGAGGAGAAGAACTTGAATCCATTGATTAGGTATTCTCCCTCTCCCAATGTATCCACGCCCGCAGACTTTGTGAGTGGCGAATGGGTCGCCCAGGTCTCGGTATTCTGAACATCGCTTCCTCCAGCTCGCTCGGTCATCCACTGACCCGATGTCCAATGATCATTTGTTTCCGAGGTGAGTCCCTTGAAGACAGTGTGAAATGGATGTTTCGCGGGTAGTTCCTTCAGCCTAGGTGCAAGAATAAAAGCAGCACCATCGGTCATACTAATCGGGCAGGAGTATAGACCCGACGAAGGGGCATATAGGTAATTCCTAAAGGGACAATCAGTTACTGTACGAAAAACCTCAATCCCAAACCGGTCTTTCCCGGACAAGGCGATCATTCTTACAGCGCATATTGCACGGTTCGTCTTTCAAGTCCAAAGGTGGGATCATAACCGGCGGACACGATTTTATTACGAGCACCCCAGTGGCCCAGCTGCTTCCAGCCCTCAGTGGTCACAAGTCGGTCATAGTCGTATCGTTTACCCCAGACGTTGTGACTTTTGACGTAGGGCTGGTTGCGTTCGGCATCAGCAGTCCACTCACGCACCTGATCAGAGACAGCTTCGGCGCCAAGTTGAGTGAAGTGAGACTCCGTAGATCGTAATGTGTTCGATGGAAGATACCCTAGTATGGATCAGGATATGGAAGTTCTGTCAGAGTATACAAAAAAAACAGAAACCCACATTGTAACGACCGCTGGAGACTGGTATCGGATGTGTAGGTGTTGTCCAAGGCGGCCGGTTGAGTGATGGACCCGCTCTCCGCCGTGGCGGGCTGGGGAAGCTGGGAGGGCATCGTCGGGGAGGAAATAAAAGTGGTAGAAAGGTTTACTGCCAGACTATATTTTGGGAGATTCGGTGGAGAAGAAAGCAAGAATGAAAAGAAGAAACCTGGGGTGGAAAGGAGGGGAAGCTTGAAGTTGAAGGAGATTGGCACATTCTGGGGTTCCCAATGTGCCTCGGCGTTCGGCTGCGACGGCGAAGAGTGGACTGAGTGGACTGGTCCACAACACTCGGCCATGATGGAGATCCTGGAGATCCTGGCAGGCTGTAATCGCCGTGATATCACCGAACTAATAATTTATGCACTTACAATCACTATTATGCACTATCATGGCAGATCAGAGCAGCATCCAAGCCGCGGCCACACCATTACGCTAGCGATTATACATACACATTAAAAGCAGAAAAGCCTCCCATGCAAACGAAGAAGAAGAAGAAGAAGAGTCCGCAGCTGCGAGTGCAGCAGCTTGTGGTGAGAATGCGCCCAGTCATTCACTTTTCCAAATCCCATATTTCTGTCGTGTTTTGTTTTGATCATCAACCCCCAACCTATTCACATTTCATGCATGGTATTATATCCAGTCTCCAACAGACTGCGCGGTCCCCGTGAATCAGAGGCGATGTGCCAGTAGAAAAGTCCGCCCAGCTTCGATGAAGTAACAAACCCGGCCTTCTGCTGAACCGTCGCAGGGGTATCATACGTGACAAATCCGCCATCGCCACCGACGCAGTATGCAGCCCCAGCTCTTTCGTCGTATATTTCTTCTGTTCCCGGACGAGGAAGCTCACTATAATCGAATACGCCATCCTCTCCACCGTGACCAGCGTAGCGCTGGCCTGGTCCGGTGCATCCAAGGAACGAACGCCCGTAGACCGGAACACCGAGGATAATTTTCCGAGAGGGAACTCCCTGCATGAGTACGTAGTCCACCGACGAGTATCCGGAAATAGGTGAGCCGTGAAGCTGAGCCTGGTGGTTTGCTTCCGACTCCCAGGGTCCCGAAAAATCATAGGTCATGAGGTTGATCATATCCAAATGTTTCTGCGCAGCTCCCAGGTCGATATGGCGCAGGAACCACTGGCTTGCTGGAAGTGCGGTAGCTAGAACATATCGTGGAGCTGGCAACACTTCTCGCAATTTGGAGAGCAGACGAACGTAATCCTTGCCTTCCTTTGAATTGGCGGGATGTTCCCAGTCCACTATAGGTACAGGTTAGCATTCAAAGTGCTTGCAGTGGGGTAATTCGCCAGTAAAATAGAAGGAAGGGTAGGCTGATGGAATATTGTGAAGACTTACCATCGATACCGTCCAGACCATATTGATCAACCAGCTGCCGAGCACTACGGACAAATGTTTCCAACTTAGACCGACTGTGGGCTGTAGCGGCAAAGTTCTCACTTCCTTTCCCACCACCGCCGACAGAAAGGATAACACGCATTTGCGAATACTGTTGTTTCAATTGGACAAAGGCGCGCAGACAGCCCTCGGCTCCATCGACAGCCATCTGGGTATCAGCCCATTCGTCGCTCAACTATAACTCCGAGTTAGCCAAGAATGTCCCATATTTAGAAACAGAGTCAGCACGAAATCGGTGAGTGATCTTACGTAGACTGTGCCATCTTCTTTTACCCTGCAAGGATTCCAGATCGAGATTAGCGCCCTGGATCGAAGTATAGGATCGGATCGGGAGGTTTGGCCTACCAAGCAAACGCATAGAACACATGAGATACGAAGCCCAATCGCAGTGACGAGGGAGGCTGCTTGCGATAGATGCGCCAGTTGGGGTAGTAGGCGGCGTTTGTGTACAGCGGCACCTGGTATGAGGCGTCGGGCGCGGGGTCGACAGGCCGCCGGCGAAAGATGTTGCTGGCGGCGGAGAACATTCCCGAGAGGTCGACAGGAAATGATCTGGAGGCAAGAGACAATCGCTGGAATAAGTGGAAGAATGAAAAGAATTGAAGTGAAACGAGAGAAAGAAAAGAAAAAAAGAAAAACAATCCAAAAACACTTGCAGTTTCCCGTTCAGGAAGGCGTCACGTGTGGCAACTTTTTACTTCACGCGGGGGTTCGTCGGTTATTGTTGATTGTTGTTGATCCTGGGACTCCTCTTCATTTATTCATTTGGGATCTGATTTGATCTGATCTGATCGGAGCCACTCATTTAACCTAGGGCACATCTAACTTGGCCATGGCGGGGCATTCTCTGCCGGGTCCCCCTCTCTTAATCACGCGCGCACACAACACGCTCTCTCTCTCTCTGCCACTCTTCCCAGGAGGACCAATCGCCGCCATTGCCGATCCTAGTACTTCTCCTTACAAAGCTACCCAAGAACTCGTTTCACCTCCCGGCCAAACCGCAATTTCACCTGAAAATCTGGGGGAAGAACGCCCTGAGAGCCCAGAACACTGGGCACCGCCTCTCTTCCCCATATGACGTGGGGTGCCAATCCAGCGCAAAACCCACTCGTCAGCGCCATTCGGCGGCCGTCAATTCGCCCGCTGCAGTATGCATGTATTTAGCGCATGCAGCTGAGCCCCTTGTCTTTGGGGATTCGCGCGGATCAGACTGATCGGCACGCAGGCAACCTTTCCCGCAACGTGTGAATACCCCCTTCGAGCCGCGGATACTGCGTCAAAAAACCGCGTCGAGCAAACAACGCCGATCAAGGTTGCGATCCTGGAAATTGACCAGCTTCGGGCTAGACCCCCGAACGCCACGCTGCCCCGGTGTTATTTGCTTATTCCACGCTCAGTCCGCTCAGGGCGACTGGTGGATTGGCCGGCGCTATGTATTATTCAGAGTGAGGCGGTGCGCAGAGGGGTCACTCGACCGAGTGACCCCCTATTCCTTTCTCCTTGCTCCACGTCTTCTGATCAGTTGGACGAATAAGGTCGGTACTATAGTAATCACATCGCCTTCAAACTCCCAGTGTCTGGAGCTTCCAACCCCCTTTGTTCTTTTGTTGAGGGTGGGGATGGTGTACGATGCAAATTCTGAAACCATGACAGTCCTGTTGGCCAGCGAATGATATTCCAACCATACTAATCACAATGCCTTTTACCGGGCGCCGTGGGCATCTCGCCCCCTTTCGTGGGTTTGATAGAGACGGGATCAATGGAGTCCATCTGCCTATCCTTATTCCTCTGCCTAGTTTTACGAGCAGTTGAGTAACCAGGATCATAGCGAGCTCCATCAACGTGCATGCAACTAAAATTTCACTGAGCCCGGACAATGCTGGAACGATTCGGTTGACTTTCCAGTGGCCTCTTTGCCCCTGGCGACGAAGTACTTCCAGTGGAAATCCATGCCTTTAGCGGCAAGCATGGGCTGGTAATTTTGTCTGTCCTCGAGACGAGCCATGGAAGAGGCGGGCGACTTGATTTCGGATTGTGACTGCGGCAGATTTGGGGATCAATTGAAATGGACACGCCGTTTTGGCACGGCACATCTGTCAACTTTCTATGCGCTGAAGTCATGCGGGATTCCACATAGGTAGATGGTTGAAGCGTCACGATGCAGGTTGAGATGATGACGGCGAAGAAGACTTTCTCAAACTACTACACTGGCAAACTATGCAATGGTAGGCTCACAAGCAGTCTTCACTTGCAGGCAGTGTTCCAGTATGCGGGGAGATGCCCAATTTAAATCTGGGAAGACTTACTTGGTAGCTGTGTGTATCAGGTTTCCTGAAGCAATATCTCAATCCACCTGACTAAGAAGAGATTCCAAAGTACAGTACATACTACTGGTAGTAGTAGTGGGACAGATTCAAGCTCACGATCGGACACAGCAAATACGTTTGATCGCGAAATGATCGCACCATAGTCTTCGACAAAAAATAATCCACAAACTGCTATTTTCTCAGCGGAGAAATAGACAAATCGATTTCAGTTCCATGCTGACGATTGTCTGGTGGCTGCGGTTACTAATATGCTTAGGATGTACCGGATCGGAATGATAGCGTAATCCCAAAACCAAAAGCTATCCGACCGGCTGGATCATTTCATCCACACACACATACCAAAAAGTGAGCTGGCCACTATGATATTATTTACGAATATAAATATGTTCGAGACCGAGGCTATATTTTTGTGGCTACCAAATAAGACCATATTCATCATTCCGCAACATAATTTGTAATACAGGAATAGAAGCTTTTAGGGGAAGTATTTAAGGACTAGGAAGTCTGCAGTCCGCTCATTAATTCCATCCATCAATCTAGCAAAACAACATGGCAGGAGAACTAATTTTCATCACCGGTGCCACAGGCTTCATCGGGAGCGCCACTGCGCTGGCTGCGCTCAAGGCAGGATATCGACTGCGCATCTGCTTGCGAAAACCGTCGCAAGATCTTGAAGCACTCTTTGCCGAGTACAAGGAGCACATTGAATATGTCACGGTCGCAGATCTCACCGACGAAAGCGCCTTCAGTGGGAAGCTTGATGGAGCGGACTATGTTTTTCATCTAGCCTCCCCACTGCCCCATGGCACGAACAAGGATACCTACTTTGGTCCTGCGGTCAAAGGCACAACGGCTATCCTCCACGAAGCGGCGAAGGTACCCAGCATCAAGAAGGTGGTCGTGACAGCATCTATGGCTTCTCTGATCCCTATGGCCGGCGTCCCTGTTAATGGCGTCATCAAAGGTCAGTATCCACACCATATAAGGCTGTTCGAGGGATACCAAATCTAACACTTATTTAGAGGATAACGATTGGGATTTCAGCATCGATGAGACTGCTGACTTCAATGATCCTGCCGATCCAGTTGGAACAGCCTTTAAACTCTACCATGCGTCCAAGTTACTGGCCAACAACGCTGCGTGGGAATTCTGGAAAAATTCAAAGCCGCATTATTCCTTGGTGTCTCTTCATCCATCATTTGTCCTCGGACACAATCTAGTCCAGACTTCCGCCAAAGATATCGAAAAAGGGTCGAACGCTGGGCTGTGGAAGGGGATCATGGGAGGCGTGGCTACTCCTATGGTGACTGGAGTACATATCCAAGATGTTGCAGACGCCCACATCAAAGCCCTCAGCCCCAGTATTCCAGATGGCTCAAAATATCTTATTTCAGGAAAGAAAGCGAGTTGGAAGGAAATCGCGCAGATTGTGCGTCGTGACTATTCAAGCATAGGAGCGAAGATCACTACCGAGCTGGAAATTGAAGGGGAGTCTATGCCGATGGATACCAGCAAAGCAGAGAAAGAATTGGGTATTGAATGGCGTTCTTTTGAAGAGATTGTTCATGATCTGTTGGATCAGCAGCTTGGATTCAGCGAAAACTTGAATTAGTTCAAGTTGGAACTTTGCACTTCAAATATATTACTGTACACAGCCAGTGGCAATTTGCTTAGGGAGGGTTACTGAATCGTACTAATACTACAAATTTGACTTTAGAACACCTGAACCTTGGAATTCAGGAATTACGTAGGGCCTGAGTGGCCTAAGTAATTGATCCAGCTAAAATATCCAGAGGATTAATAATCAATAATATAATGTCCCAGTAGAAGTTTCTACTAACTAGTGGTCGCCTCTCGAGCGATTCCCGGGCGGGTGCAAACCGAACAAACACCCAGATCGGGCGAATTGCTCAGCTCTTTGGAAACTTGAAATCACGTCGATCCATCATCTCCTTCCCATTCACTGTCGCTGCACACCTTGCTTCACCACTTGCTGCTCGTGAGACGCCAAGGGGCTGTATTTCGTATACCACCGATACTATCGGACTCATCCTGCAAGATCCGCGAATCTGAGACACCGCATCTTTGAATCCCCGCAAACAACCTCCAGCTCTGCAGCTCTTTTGAGTTGGAATTACGATCACATTACATCACATCACATCATGTCAGCAGACGTCCAAAGTACAGCGGCGCAGATTCTTTCAGCTGAGCCAACGCGCGACCCAAGCTACAATGAATTCACCTTCTCCCCCTTCCTCCGCAAGAGCTTTGGCTTCGGTCTCGCCAGCGATGTCCCCGTTTGCAAGGCCTATAGTGAAGGCCATTGCCCCCTCGGACCGGCATGTCCTGATCGGCACCCGACTCCTTCACGAGTGACGACCTCTACAACGACTGCCTCCGGACTTGCTCCATCCACCACACATGGCTCGCTAGTCTGCAAACATTTCCTGAAGGGGCTATGTAAGAAGGGCGTGAAGTGCGAGTATCTGCACGAGTACAACCTTCGTCGCATGCCGGAGTGTCAATCCTTCTCACGATCCGGATACTGTCCCAACGGCGACGACTGTCTCTACCAGCATGTGCGCGAGGAGGCCCGCCTTCCACCGTGTGAGCACTACGATCGGGGCTTCTGCGAGTTGGGCCCCCTTTGCGCGAAACGACACGTCCGGCGCCGACTCTGCATGTTCTACCTAGCCGGGTTCTGCCCGGAAGGCAAGGCGTGCGCCAACGCGCATCCTCGGTGGACGGAGAACCTCCCGCGGCCGACGATGAAGACGGAGAAGACGGAGGAGGAGTTGGAACATGAGCGGGCGTTGATTCGGGAGGAGCAAGAGCGCGAAAAGGAGCGGGAGCGTGAATGGCGGAGTGAACGAGGCCGTGGTGGTGGGGGGTACATGCGGGGCCGGTATCGTGGACGAGGAAGGGGATAAGTCGGTGAAGCCACATTTTCTGCAGCCATGCATTTTGGAACGGTGCCAGAGGTGTTTCCTATTTTGGGTCTCAAGCTATGTTTTGCTTTTGTTTTCTCTTTATTATTCTGTTTCTGTCGGTCCATCGAGTACGATTCGACGGGCCTCGAGATACCCATATCCATATATCCATATGACTTATTTTACGAGGATCTACATGTCCATGTACATGTACCTCTCTACCAACACACGAAACACACACAACATACTCTATCTTTACTTAAGCGGTGGTCCGGTCGACTTCTAAAATTGGAGCAACACACACTAGGGTAGACAGTACAGTAGTACATAACTATTGCCCACAGTAAGCAGCCAGAGTTGCCCCACCGAAGCCAATTGGCCGGTCCCTGCATGCCACAATCTGGTACTCTGGTACGTGCCAGGTTGTTAGATGAGATCTAGATGTGGTATTCATCTCTCGATTCCAATGGTTGAGTCGTACGACTCGAGCTATGCCCCATGAAGTCATGACATCATGGTTTTTTTTTTGTATACGACATTGGGGCAACTAATTGCGAAAGTTGAGCTTCTCTCTGGCTCTGCTTCCTCCTCTCATCTCGCTGACTCGAGACTAAAAATTGCGCCGTTCATTGTAGGCGCGCGCCTTTAGCTTGGCAATCAGGGTCCCATTTGTCAGAGATCGGTCAGACTCGACAAAGCTGTTTTACTAGTCTAGTGTTACGAATCCGTGTAAATCCGGGTGGAGACCAGCATTTCCGAAGGGCCAATCATAAGATGCATTGACCTCTGTCATCGATTACTGATGCTGCTTTGGTGAAGCTTTGAAAGCCATAACTAATCTTTTCTGGCGTGAAGATGGCGTGTGCCAGTGGGAGGTTGTGTTCCCCCCGGTTGTTCTCTTCTGGCGGGGTTCCCTATTTAACTCCCCCTCCCCGCCGTCGTAGCATTTGGTCTTTTTTTATTATCTTCATCTCCTCCATTCTTCAACTCTATTCATCATGGCTCCCAAGGTTGCTATTGTCTTTGTATGTCTCGTCCCACTGCTTTCTTCTTGAAGCTCCCATTGAGCTAACTTGCCCTCCCCACAGTACTCCCTCTATGGCCACATCGTCCAGCTGGCCGAGGCCGAGAAGAAGGGCATTGAGTCCGCTGGCGGCAAAGTCGACATCTTCCAGTATGCTTCCCCTCATTGAGTATATCCGCAATGACGCAGCAATTGACCTTCTACCCCCCTTGCAGGATTGCTGAGACCCTTTCCGAGGATGTCCTGACCAAGATGCACGCCCCGGCCAAGAGTAGCTACCCCATCGCGGAGCCCAATGACCTCCTGCAGTACGATGCCGTCCTCTTCGGTATCCCCACTCGCTACGGCAACTTCCCCGCCCAATGGAAGACCTTCTGGGACAAGACCGGTGGTATCTGGGCCTCCGGTGGCTACTGGGGCAAGTATGCCGGTCTCTTCATCTCGACCGGTACTCCCGGTGGTGGCCAGGAGTCCACTGCCATTTCTGCCATGAGCACCCTTACTCACCACGGCTTCCTCTACGTCCCTCTGGGCTACAAGACCACCTTCTCCCAGCTGTCCAACCTCAGCGAGGTCCACGGTGGAAGCCCCTGGGGTGCCGGTACCTTCGCTGGTGCCGATGGTTCCCGTCAGCCCACCGCTCTCGAGCTCGAGATCGCTGAGGCTCAGGGCAAGGCCTTCTACGAGGCCGTCGCCAAGGTCAACCCCCAGTGACTGCATGGTAGTTCCGAGTCGAAGCCCGAGGACTCGGCTCCTGCTTCTGGCGCAGCTGCTCCGACACAGAAATCGCAACAGCCCGCTCAGCAACAGGAGGCTGGCCAGAAATCCAAGAAAGAGAAGGACAGTGAAGGACCGTGTGGTTTGCCCAAGAAGTGTACCATCCAGTGATGGGAGTATTCGGCTCGGCTCGGCTTTCCTTTTACCTGTTTCTTTTCCTTGCGGATTCCTGCGGCGTTCTCGCGGCGTTTAGATATTTCATGATTGATATGGGTTCATGATTATCCTCTTAGAGGATCTACTTAAATGAAATCTTAATAGATGAAGAATATAAACTTTTTTCTCGTCTAACAAAGTCCCAAATTCTCTCGTAAACCAAATGCATTGTATGACATTATAATCCTTTTGCTAGCTTTCGTCTGTATTTGAACAATTGAAGACTAAAGATATTAGTTGTAGACAAAGACGACCCTCCCTTCGACTGGGTTCTATAAGGTGCTGCGAATGGTAACCATATTACTAATAAAACACACTATGGAGGGTTTAATTCTGCTGAAGCGTATTGTCATTGCTTTACCATACCGCCCGCCCGCCTGTGACGTGCCTCGCAGGAAGCTCCGACGCCGCCAGCTTCACCACACCTCTGCTCTCCACTCTCTTTCCTTGCGCCATTAGTTGCTGGTAATCGTTGATCTACACCTTCAAATAATTCATCCCCTATATCTTCGTCGGATTCTTGTCCCCGATAGTGCCCGCCATGGCGTCACGACCGATTCTCCTGCGCTTTGAGAGTCGGAACGGTCAGTTTCGATTCACCGTCAATCCGGAGGACTCATTCCCTTCGCTCCAAGAAAAGGTAAAGAAAACAAATGACTGATCTGTGAAATACGCTATTTCAAGACGACCTCAAATCGGGGGATCTGAAGGCTAATGCGAGAGTCGTGTAGATTATTGAACATTTGCCCTCAAACGCCGAGCCAACTTCCATCACTCTGTCGAACAAGCCGATAGGAACCGGTGGAGAAGAACGAGAGCTCGAGGCTTTGAAGGGGGTCGCGATTAGTCAAGTTGGCCTAAAGTATGTACACCAGAGTGGGAACTGGAATCCTACCAGACGTAACTGACCAGCATGAACAAGACATGGAGATAAGCTCTTCATCGGGTACCACGAGCGTACTGCTCACCAGAATGGCCCGTCCAACGGAATCACACCTCCTACCGGCGAGCGTCGATTAAACGGTTCCGCCGTTCCCAAAGAACAGACTATCCCAATTCGCCCGCAACCAACCTCTCCTACAACAAATATTAAGAACCCATGGGATGTGGTCAAACAGTCGTCGCTAGATGATCTTTTGGATAAGAGGGATGGCAAGATTAAACGCACCCAAGACCAGAAGATGTGCAGACATGGACCTCGGGGCATGTGCGACTATTGCATGCCGCTGGAACCTTACGACAAGAAGTATATGGCCGAAAAAAAGATCAAGCATCTTTCATTCCACTCCTACTTGCGAAAGATCAATGCCGCCACCAACAAACCAGAGGCCGGAAGCTCTTTTATGCCACCACTCAACGAACCTTTCTACCGCGTACGCAGTGATTGCCCGTCCGGACACCCACAATGGCCCGAGGGCATTTGCACTAAATGTCAGCCTAGTGCAATTAGTCTGCAACCTCAAGAATACCGTATGGTTGACCACGTTGAATTTTCCTCTCCTGACTTGATCAACTCGCTCTTGGACTTCTGGCGAAAATCCGGCGCTCAACGTTTGGGGTTCCTTTACGGAACTTATGAGGAGTACACCGAAGTTCCCCTGGGTGTCAAGGCTGTTGTCCAGGCAATCTACGAACCTCCGCAGGTCGGAGAGGTGGACGGTGTTACACTGCATGAATGGCAGAACGAGAAAGAGGTGGATGAAGTCGCTCATCTCTGTGGCTTACAGAAAGTCGGAGTGATCTTCACTGATCTCCTCGATGCAGGCCAAGGGGATGGGTCCGTGGTTTGCAAACGACACATTGATTCCTACTACCTATCTTCGCTGGAAATCGCGTTTGCTTCACGCTTACAGGCTCAGAACCCCAAGGCCACCAAGTGGAGCCGCACAGGACGATTTGGTTCTGACTTCGTCACATGTGTGCTCAGCGGCGACGATACAGGCGCCATTTCCGTGAGCTCATACCAGGCCACAGTTTCGGCGGTGGAGATGACTCGAGCCAACATCACCGAACCATCCGCAGAGCCCTCCGTTATGCTGGTTCAATCAGAAGAGGATGACGATGAAGGCAGCAAGACACGGTACATCCCAGAGGTATTTTATCGTCGCATCAATGAATACGGCGCAAGCGTACAAGAAAACGCCAAGCCGAGCTTCCCCGTCGATTTCTTGCTTGTCACACTTACACACGGTTTCCCCACCGAGTCATCACCCCTTTTCACCAATAGTCGTTTCCCCATCGAAAACCGCGAGGTCATCGGCGAGAGTCAAGAACTACGTCACATCGCCCAGAAGCTCATGTCGCCCAGCGACCCCAACAAGGCCATCGAGGGCGTTTCCGATTTCCATCTCCTCTGCTTCTTGCACGGACTTTCGACTTTTAGCAAGGTTAGTCGAGCACTTTTTCAACATTTCCTCCCATCAACACTGCCTTGAAGCCAGTATCTCAATTAACATAACAAAATGATAGGACGAGGAGGCCCTTCTTTGCCGAGTCGCAAGAACCCACGCTGCGGCCGATGGAATGCAGCTGTTGAATACGTCCGGCTGGGCAACATTGATGACGATCCTTCAGGAGAGTGGTGAGCGGCCCCCTAAGCGCCCCTGGCCCACCGCGGTCGAATCTTTTCGTTCGGATTCCCCTAGCGGGAAGCGGCGGTATCCCTCCCCCGCTCCCCATCCCCCGCGCTCTATGTCTCCCAAGTCCGACAGTGATCAGCTTGCTAAGAGGTTTAAGGGAGCTAGTCTAGATTGACTGGCTTTTACCCCGTCCGTCGCTCGGTTGATCTTTCGAATACACGCCAATTTCTTTTTTCCTTTTCGATACCCCCCGCCGATTTTTATCACGCGCCCATTGGGGAACTGTTCAATGCAGACAGACCCGTTCGATTCGATTTGAGGAGCAATCCGCCATGATTCTTTCTTTATTATAGCTCGGGATGGACCTACGATGGATGGCGTTGGGAGTCAATCGGTAGTATGGGGTGTTATGGATCATGGGAGACGGGGTGGGCTGGCGGTCTTTCTATTTCTCGCATTGACATTGGGGGGGTTTGATGAAGACTTGCGAACTTGCTTTTCTGATTTAACCGGGCATGACTAAATCAGCATTATGAATGGAAGCGGGTTACATGATTTTTTTAGGCATAAAGATGAGGTTGAAATATTCAAATATTGGCGACTAGGACATGATGAGCTTTGGAAACTACTACTGCACTGAAAAATATGCTCTCGCCTTGGTGTACTGAGTAGTTTTGGATAATAAATACCAGTACTACGAGTACGAGTAGCTAGCTCTTCACGTCACGGTTCCAAGCTTTCCTGTGACTTCGGGGGCCAATGCAACGGCGAGTCTCGAGGTCGAGGATAGCACAGTACTGAAACCATATATCAGATCAATGGAAATTATGTGTTAAAAGAGTGGATATCCAACAACGTCAAATTAATCGTACAAAACTAAATGGTATTTGAAGTTCAAGGCATGCTTTGATCGTGCGCTTCGTATATCAGGTCGACCCTGAACTCCATGGATCATAAATCAAATCATCAAACTCATCAAATAGAAACCCACACCGGGGAAGAGGGAAGGGATCATTTCTGTGCTCGACTAGCTTCGACAAGCTCTCTTAAGCGCTTCTCCAATACTCGCCGGCCTTCGCCGCTACTCCACACCTCATGAGGTGCGTCATGAACCACATCCCAAGAGACAAGCTTATTGGTTATGTGGGAAAGGTCCTCCTGACGCTCAGCCCAAAGAGGATCCCTCTTCACCTTCTGACCCGAACTGACGACAACCAGTGGAGTCTCCCTCATCTGGATATGGCGAGCAGATTGAACCTCAGCCGCAGTCATGGTGACCGCAACTAGATTTTCCTGTAGCTTCGCTTTGATGAACTTGCCAGTTTGATAAGCAGATCTCCCAATGACCCTGTCCTCTCTGGTACGACCGCGAATAATAGCACCTGCAAGACGATCAAGTCCCAATGGGGAAATGATGCCACGAAGCCAAAGGACAAATCCCCGACCTGGTCGGCCGATAGAATCAAGGTATGCCTCGTGCAGCGGGTCAATGAGGAAGATCCCGCTCACCTCGAGCAAATGTCGGCTGGCAAAGAGACGAGAGTAGAGGCTTCCGACGCCAGCGGAAACAACGACCCAGGGTCCAGATTCATCGGCTAAAGCCAGTGCCTCTGACAGAACATCCACTGACATTCCCGCGGAGTGCGGTGATGGTGCATTCTCTGACCATCCCAGTCCCGGCCGGTCCCAGTAACAATATCGATTGATGATGCCGTTTTGGTACGCGTCATCGATGAACGGCTGCAGGCTATGTTCGACGGGACCACCACCACCCTCGAGTAATATGGTAGGTTGATCTGAATCTTCAGCTGTGCGATTACCAACACAGTTGAGGTGAACTTTGTATAAGCCCCCGTAAACACTATAAAGCTGTCCTTGGGGTACTAGCGATGCATCCCGGGCACGCAGAATCAGGGTTGCGGTGAAGAAAACGACGGCAAGACCCATAACGACCAAGAAGACCATTTCGCATAGCACGGCGAGCCATTCTCGCAGTGATCGCCGTGTCTCTTCACGCCCAGTCAATCGTTCTTCTTCCTCGCGCTTGCCTCTTGTAACAGTTCTGTTCTGCACAACCTGATACATAGAGATCACCGTAGCCCAAACGACGGAAGCGATTCCCACCCCACCTTCTTCTCGACGGATATGTGGGACAGAAACGATAATGGTCATGTTGACCAAGAGAAGGAGGGAAAGGATAAGACCCCATATCGTCATTTGCTTAGAAGGTACCGTGAAGAACAGCAGGCCAAGCACAAGGTATCCAACGGCGAGAGTTGTGTAGGAGAATGCGAAGAAGCCTGATCCGCGAGTGTGTATGAGCGGCGGACTGACGAATATCGACACCAGGAGGAAAGTCCACCAGATAAAGCTGATGCCAAGCGCGAGGAGGGAGAAGGCTCGCAAAGCGCGCACGCTCCATAAGTTGTAGGGGGAGACCTGGGAATCTTAGCTTCACTTCCTAACATTTCTGCAGAGCTGTACATACTGCGGGATCATCTGGACTCAAAAAATTATTACTGTCCCCCCGTGGAAGTAGGCGCGTCTGTTCGGTTGGTTCCTGGTGGCGGGTTTGGTTTTGTTCATCATCGTCATTGTCATCGTGCTCCTGCGACTGTAATCGGTCAGGGTCACCTCTCTTCGCACCCAATAGGGAGACCATTTTCGTTGATAGATTGCGATATGACTTGAGAAATATGAGACGAATAAACAGAGAAAAAGAGAGAGAAAAAAAAGAAGAATCAAGTAATTCCTGCTGCTGCACTCGTACAAATTCACGGAACCCTCCAAGGAACGAACGATGATCGGCGCGATAAGATGTGACGTCATGCACTCAACCCTGGTTCCATGGTACAAGCTCCATGGTAACACTAACTACAACTTAGCGAGTACTGAAGTATCTGAAGGTTGGCATGTTGAATATCTACTCGTATCTATTCAGTGATATTATCAATATGATTGAATTCTTCCGAAGCTAGAGTTTGGCAGTTGAATGTAATAGCACAACTAGAAACATAGCCTCTTCAGGCCTTACGATACCCCGCAGTCATCTGAGGCCAATTCTCACGCAAGCCAAGTCTTCAATCCCTGAATTCTCTCTCCATCAATCAAACTATTTGATATTCGATATTTGGCACAAGCATGGAGCCAGTCAGTTTCGCGGTTGGGCTAATAGGGCTAGCCGGTCTTTTCAACACCCGCTTGGAACTCGTCGACAAGATTGACTCGTGGAAAGACTTTGGAAATGAGTCGCGCTCCTTGGTTGCCCAATTCGAAACGCACAAAATTCATCTAGAAAGATGGGGTCAGGCCGCCGGGTTCGAACACGGCCACTTGTCGAGTTACCATCACAAGCTTCTTGATGATCTGCGAACGCTATCAAATATTCAAACACTTCTTCTAGCCATCAAAAATATCTGCAGCAACGACTCATAAGATCGATTTTCTCAAGGATCCATACTAGAGGCAGGAAAGAGATTCAGTAAGATTCAAATAATCGGAAAAAATGCTCTTTCCAACGACTCTCAAAAATCGAAACGACAGAAGCTGAGCTGGGCCTTAAGAAAAAAAAGCAAGAAGTATTACACAAGTGACGCAGCTTTCGACGCTGGTGGATGATCTTTATAGCTTGGTCCCTACAAATGCGGAAAAAGATGCTAGATCAAAAGAAGGAAAGGACAGTACGTAGCGTCGCTGAATCGTAACTATCATATTGAAGAGTGGACTGATATGACGATCTAGATCAAGTGCTTTGGCTAGGTAAATTCAAAAATGTGGAAAGAATAGAAAAAGATATCGAAAGCGAGTCCCTCTGGTCAACTTTTATATTCAATTCAACTAATTATTATACAAGAGGAGACAATACGCGAATTGAGAACGTGGCTGCTGGGTGGTCACTCCGCGAATGATCTTTACGAATTATACGTCGAAAGAAGTGTCAAAGGCTCTTGTAGATGGATCTTAGATCGCTCTTGGTCTACCAACTGGTCGCCTCCCGATTTTCCATCAGGACGCACGAAGCTTCTCTAGATCAATGGCCCGGCAGGAATTGGCAAGTCCATCCTCTGTGCGAAGATAGTTGAACATCTATCTGCTATGGATATACCAATCGCCCACTTCTTCTTCTCGTTCAGCTTTGAAAGTCACGGAACCCTTTTATTGCTATAAGGTCCTGGCTATCTCAGCTGATATCTCACTCGGGGGTATTCGAATCCATTCGCGATATATTGGAAACTACCCGAAGGGAACGGGCAACGCGTGGAGAAGTTGTAAAGCTTCTACAGGAAGCTGTATCAAATAATTCTGGATGCACACTTATCTTGGATGGCCTAGATGAGTGCGATTGCATAAGTGAAGCTCACTCAGTAGTCAATATTAGTGACTCCATCACCCGTCTCTTAGAGACATTGAGACAGGTGACCACAGGCACTCACACGAATCTTGATCGTTTGTCGCGATGAACCACAGATTCGGCATTGTCCTACACTTCAGAAAGCGGACATGCCGAGGTCGCCAGATTGCTTCTCTATAAAGGTGCAGATCTTGCAGTTCCTTCAGAAAGTGGAATTACACCAATGTATTTTGCATCATATGGGGGTCATACCGAGGTTACCCGACTGATTCTTGAGGGAGGTGCGGACCTTGCAGCCAAAGATAAAGTTGGAATTACTTCATTACACTATGTTTCGGTAAAGGGGCATGCTGAGGTGATCAAGTTGCTTCTTGAGGAAGGCACGGAGAGAGAATCGGCCACGAAAGATGTTGACATGTTGCCTCTATCAACGCCATATGATGGTCATGATGCCCCTCCTCGATACTCTAGCAACAACGCTGAGATTCGAGATAGATACGGCCGGCCACCACTTTTCTATGCTGCTGGACAAGGCCATATCGAAGTGGTGGATATGCTCATTTCTAACGATGCTTCTGTGGATGCCACAGATTGCTATCTATGGACCCCATTGTTTTTGGCAGTAATGAATGAGCAAGAAGAAATAGTCAAAGGTCTGATTACTTTGCCGAAAATTGATGCCAACCACAAATATGGCTTGGGTCGAACTTTATCCTGGTGGGCAGCAAGAAGCGAAACCCATGGAATCATCAAAATGGTTCATCAATGGGCTAAAGAACCTTACGATGATGTTGTGAAAACTATCCCCACCAAGGCATGTCCCAAAACTGAGTCCGGCCAGTTTAGGCCTTATAATGCGTGCATGCGAAATCTAATCTCCAAGAGTGCCACTTACACGTGCGGTCTTTGCGGTTATCTTGATATCTGTCAGGAATGCTTCAATTTGGACATTCAATGCTTAGATTCCTCTCATAAATTAACTTCCAATCAGCCCCATGATTGAAAGCAGTCTTTAGGCGAAGGGGATATCCAATGGCTAGCTCCCACAAGCCTTTACAATTTTGCTAAACTCTACTTTCCGAATGATATTATTGTATTGTACACCTGGGCACCTTGTGAGATCTAATGGCAATGTCATTGTGTCCCTCTTAGTCAGCGGAGGATGTCTTCATCCACAACAAATCACAGCAATGTCCGCATGTTACTGCAAATTGCCTTTATATACCAACACTTTGGGAGGCAAGGAAGTGCTAGCGGTGAGAACACCGAGTAATCAAATGAGCCAACTTGAACTTACGATCTCCGATCCCCCGGACGTTTGACATCAACATTGATTTGACCTTCACTTTGCCCCTCCATCAACGGATCCGCCGTGTCCCCACCCGCAACCGCAACGCCAACCCCATGAGCGAGTTCCAGAAATCCTTCGCCAAGTCCAAATTGGCCAAGCTGCCTGCAGAGGCCCCAATGTTCGACACAATAGCTAACCCTGAAGGGATTCGAGAGGAGGATGCCTCTTCCGCATCCTCCGTTTCCTCGACGGGCACCCTCATGCCATCGCCCACGCGACATCTCTTTGCCCGAACCAGCTCAAGGTTGTCCGCCCCCGCCTAGTCGAGAGACATTTAAAATATACAATATATTAAAAGACTAACCATCTTCCAGCCATTCCCAATCGTCCACTTGGTCAGACTTCTTCGCCCAGGAGCTGTTCTTTCCCGAGCAGCTCGACCAAATTCACATCACCCATCATGTCTACCTAACACCCCCAACGGGGTCAGGGCCTCTCTTTGTCTTGCACCATGGTGCAGGCTCATCCGGATTGACATTCGCCTCCTGCACCAGCGAGATTCAGAAAATCCTCCCCAAGGCAGGATTTCTCTCCCTCGATGCGAGAGGTCACGGACAAACAACGATGACATCACATTCAAAGCCCCTCGAGACCGAAACCCCGTCTCTCGCAGCGGCAGCTCACGCCGAATCAGAAAGTGAGATTGAACTCGATCTGAGTCTTGAAACTCTAAGCCGAGACCTTCTATTCGTCATTCGCCAGACCCAAGCGAAGATGGGCTGGGAGAATCTGCCCGATATCGTTCTAGTGGGTCATAGTCTTGGGGGCGCGGTTATCACCGATCTAGCAAAGCAAGGCGAACTAGGCGGCAAGGTGCTTGCCTATGCTGTTCTAGATGTTGTCGAGGGTAAATCCACCATTGAATTGACCTCGAACTTGAGGATTGATTTCTAACCATACTCACAGGTTCCGCCCTGGATGCCCTCCAAAGTATGGAAATGTACCTCTCTACGCGCCCAATCCGATTCCTCTCATTGGCATCGGGAATCGAATGGCAGTATGCGGTCATCTAACTCTCGTCGGTTATCTCATCAGGACTAATCAATTCTCTAGCACCCGTTCTCGTATGATTCGCAATTCAGCCTCTGCGCGGGCATCAGTTCCGTCCTTGATATATGAAGAAAGCGAACCTACCGATTCCACCCGCCCATGGGTGTGGCGCACCAACCTCTCCGCAACAAAACCCTTTTGGGAGAATTGGTTCATCGGTCTCAGCCGAAAGTTCCTCGATTCGCGAGGTGGCAAGCTGTTACTACTAGCTGGAACTGATCGATTGGATAAAGAACTGATGATAGGACAGATGCAAGGTATAGTTTCTTTACTAATTTCCGCTGTTCCAAAACCACTTTTGCTAATTGGACTGGTTTTGCGGAACTATAGGTAAATATCAACTTCAGGTCTTCCCTGAAGCAGGCCATTTCCTCCATGAAGACCAACCGGCCAAAACGGCCCAAGTGTTGGTGGACTTTTATAAGCGGAATGATCGTAGTGCGCTGGTGCTTCCTCCGAAGGTGGCAGATATGCAGGCGGCCGCTGCTATGAAAAAGAGCGATGGTACATCTGAAAAGCACGGTGTGTTGAAATAACGTTTGCATCTCTTGTTGGGTAAAGGTGAACTATGGTGAGAATATTCATATCATAAACCGTGGTCAGGTGAAACCAATATATCGCCATATTAGACATCAATATAGTTTTGTATATCAACTACTCCGGGTTTGGAAGTATCTAACCAGTCCTACGGGAATTTGGAGTAGAAGATCATTATCGTCATATCAAATTTGATCAAGCCGAGACAAAACTCGGCCTACAACCTTGGAAGGTCCGAGATACGAATACTTTGGGACATGAAACAGAGGAAATCTAATCCCTCAAAACAAAACAAAGCAACAGTAAAAGTTGAATGCAACCACCCCTCAACCCCGGGGACCAGCATCCCGATCCCAAACGCCATCAGATTTTAATTTCATCGGAGAACAATGACGTCGAAGAGATTCTGGAATAGAGTAAGAGAGAAAAAATGATCGAAGAAAAACCAGGGGTATTTGCGCCGTTGATGATAAGTAATCTGATCATCCGAAGTACCAGGAAAATGCACCACCGCCGTTTAAGGAAGATAGGCCCCACCGGCAACAACCAAGTTCATATTAGTGAACTTGACCTTGTACACTGGACTCTTTTTGGTCGGGAAAGCGCTGATCTGATCTGGCGTGACCACAACATCTTTGCCCTTCTTCTTCTTGCTTTGGCCGGGCGCGCTGGCCGCGGCATTTCCGGCATCAAGCTTGGTGCCAGCGCCTCCCTCTCCGATCACGCGTCCGGGATCTTGGGGTGCGGCGACATCCCATACACGGACCGTTCCATCGGCACCGGCAGAGACCAAAACATTCGACTCCACGCTCCAACTCATAGACCAGATGCCGCCTTTTCCGTGGCCGCGCATGCGTTTCAGCAGGCGACCTGGTGCCAGATCCCATAGAAAAATTGATCCTTGGTCATCGGCAGATGCGAGATACTTTCCGTCACGGCTGCATTCCATCGACGTAATATTTCCGGTGTGGCCGGTGAACATGCGAACAGCGTTACCGGTTGTGACAGCCCACATGCGGACAGTGTGGTCGGAGCTGGCGGTGAATACATAGGCGGAGTTGGGGTGGAAGCAGACAACATCGACATCTTGGTCGTGGCCGGCAAAGATACGCTGCTGGCGTATGTGATCGGTGACCCAGAGGCGGGCGGTCCGATCGTTGCCTGCGGTCACGAAATAATGACCAAAGGGTCCCCAGCGAATGTCCCAAACGGGACGGTCATGGCCCTTGTACACGACCATGCATTGCCAAGTATCGAGGGACCACAAGCGGACTGTTTTGTCCGCGGAAGAGGACAGGAGCCAGCGAACATTTGTGGGCACGTAGTCGTCCCCGGCAGCAGCTTCATTCCTGGGGGTAGAGGGAGCAAAAGCGACGGCATAGACTGGACCTGAATGACCAATGAGTCGTCGAGAGTTGGCTGGGGGCATGTCATCTAATTCCGGGTATGCGGCTTGGATGTTCTTGCCATCCAAACTCCAAATGCGAATATAAGACTGGGCGAATCCAGCTGCGACAAGCATATTGTCATCGGAGAAGTCGATGCAGTTGATACTGTGAGAGTGTCAGTAAGATCTAATTTGTGAAAAAGAAGCTGCCACATAAGACTAACCCGTCATAGGTGTTGTGGAAAGTGAACATGCACACACTGATACCCGGCCCAACGCCACCAGTACGACCGTCCAGTTTGTAACGATCCCGATTCTCTTTGACCTTCATAACCTCCATAGCTACGTCTCGGGCAGTGGAGGGCGGGAAGGGAATATCAGCTCGCGTAGGAGCTTCCTCTTCCTCCTCTTTCTTGATCATGTGGTCAAATTCCTGCGTGAAAGTGTTTTTTCCAGCAGCAGGAGGTATCTTGACATCCTCGTCGGCCAATTCTGCACGAACATCTTCTTCCATGGTCTGCTCCATTGGCATTTTCCCCAGTCTCAGCCTGGGGAGAGTTCCGGCCATGGCTGGATTGTCACCTGTATAAGCTGAGCCAGGGTGATGGCCAGGAATACCCTCATCTTCGGAAGGGAAGCTCTGGCCAGCTCCAATTTGGCCGAGCATGGCAGCAAAACTGAACCGATCGTCAGCAGCGCGGTCCATCGTCTTAATAACGCAGTAGCTACTCAGGATGGCATTCATCACTGAGCCACCCTCCTTCTCCTTGCTTTCCAAGAATTGAAGAAGGTTAGTGTAAGCTGGGTTACTTAAGACCACGCGGTACTTGTTGGTGCGGTAGAGTTTCGCTGTCGAATTATCTTGGACGTGTTCCGGCAGACTGATGGGTTCGAAGACACGAATGTCATCCGTGTGTTCTGGAAGAAACATGTTCTTGTTCGATTCAAAGAACTGCTTCGCATCCTGAGGGTAAAATGAGGTAACCATGTTCAGGAATGAGTAAACGAAGAGAGGCCACAGAACGCGGCGCAACTCGGGCTAAGGAATCATCAGTACAAAATACGGACTTCTAATGCTTCAGGGTCGTCTGGTTCATACCTTGTAGAGGTCTAGATTTTCCTCGACCCATGTTTTAAGCAGATCAAACCCCTGCTTGAACTTGGGCCGGGCATCTTCTCCAAGTGGAGGCAAGGGTCTGCCATCAATCTCTTGATTCGCAGACTCCATGCGAAGCATGGCCTCCGTTCGGCTGTAGCCCTTTTTGGCCAGATAATCGATAACCTAAGATCACCTCGAGAGTTAGACTGTGAATCTTTGAAAGCGAAAAACAAGCACAAGACCGACAATAGAAGGTCCATCGGGTTTATCAATCATGTATGAAGTAATCAGAGAGGGTGCCAATTGTTGCCTAGAAGGCGGAGGTGCAGTGGGCAGGTCCTGGGCAGGTCTTTCTGAAGAACCAGCCGGAGGAGCTGGCGGCCTCAGCCTGATCGACTGACGAGGCCCATCCGAGCGTTTCTTGGCCGGCTTTCGGCGACTCGGCTGGGAGACGCCTCCGGAAGACATGGTGTGTAGACCGAAGATCAAGATGGTTCGAAGCAGAGATAAGGTAGAATGGGTTGGATGTAGGGTTGGAGAGGTGTAGATGTGAAGTAGTGAATTGGGGATATGGCAAAG